AAGCGTGTGCGCAAACAGAAAGTATGGAGGCACTCCATATGATACGAGGTGATGTTGTCGCGTAAAGTGCTTTTTAAAAATGTTGGTTTGCGATATATAGATATCTCCTAGGTTTATTGCCATATTCAGGATCAGGATCTAGGAACGGGGTTAGCCCCGTGCTAGGGGATACGGAGTATCAATGTGACCTTCTTGCAAGGGGACAAGGCTGATCAAGGACCATGCTGGCACCTCTAACACAACAGATAGCCATACGTAAATCTTACTAAGTAGGTATCTCACCATGCGATTCCAAGAACTAGATCTCAGTAGTTTCTTGTCCACCCTGCCTCATGTGTGGTGCAACCGATTATTAAAAATAGAGCGGTGTGAGTGTTTCTCCAGTTGTTGTTTGGGATATCGATCCCCGTGCAAGGATGCCGCGATGCCGTAAAAAATGCCCACAAGCCCTTTTGGTTCAACGAAATGTTGCCGTCTTCGCTTGTTTAGCCCTTTCGATATCATCCGAGGATCGCCGAGGACGCTGCGTATAGAAGCAGACCTTGCCTCCTGATTCCACTGTGTGTCGATCCATAGGAGGGAAAGAAAAACCGCCTGTTTCGGTACGGAGTAAAAGTATTCTCATCCTGCGGTGCCCGTATATGTCCTCTCGCGGTTTACCCGGTCAAACCAAATTACAGGGCCTGGAGATGCAGTGGTAAATCACCTTCTTGGTAAAGAAACACGCTGTGGAATAACTGTGCTTGGCTGCAGTCATCGTTAGGTTCTGTCCCACCGTTTACTCGCAATATAAGTGAGTGTGCTTCTATAGCCTGTCTCCTCCGTCTTGCGTGTGTTGAGATCTTAGATCTAAGGATATTTCAGCCAATAAACGGCCTGGCTGCGGCGTATTTTTGCATGGGCGCCAACCGTTAGTTTGTCACTCTGCAGCGAGCGTATCCCAGGCCCATAGCACATTCCATAGTATGTAACGAAAGTTACGGAGCCCCCGTACAAACTAGGCAGTGGACTGGCGTAATTTTTTGCCTTTTTTTGCCTTTCCCTGTCCGTCCGAACGATGTTCCAACTTGACGCAAAGCCGGAGATTCCATCCAAATCCAGCAGCCAGCTTTCACTCCCGAGCGTTAAAGTACGCATGTACCCAGAGTAAAATGTATTCCTCATAGTACCATGGATAATCTGCATAATGTAATCGCCGCGCTCAAGGCTGTGCCATTCAGTTATGCCCGATGGCACTGATCCGGTGGGACCCTTGACCTTGCTGCCGGGTCATGCTGGTGGCGGGCGCCTGAGGGGGAAGAGAAGTCGAGAGTGCTCCAGGAGAACCAGATTCCTTGATGCTATCGGCCTAGCACGCAAAAACCAGGCTGGCTATATCGGCCTAAACTGCGTGAGATGGAGAGGAGCTAGCCATGCGGTCCCCTTTGCAGACACCATCGATGATTGGATCCTTCGCGTTTCCCTCGCAGCCCTTGACTCCTGGTGCTTGCGTGCGTCGTCAGGGAGTGAGAAGACCGGGCTGAGCTTTGGTAAGACGCCGTCGAGAAGTATAAGTTAAGTAACTTATATTGGCGGGCGAATGATGGACGGGCTAGGCTACAGATCGCGGCAAAAGGGATGTAACTTCTCCGTCCACGACAACGATTTCGAATAATGAATTATTTCGCCCTGGACCAGACGCTTCGTCTTTCTTCCTTTTTTTTCCCCCCCTCGTCTTTTTTTCACTTTTTATCAGGCGTAGAGCTGGACGCGGCATGATGGTGGCACAGCGGCAGCAGAGTACTCGCACCCGTCACGCATAACGACGATGGATGAATGACTGAATGGATGAAAGTCAGCTAGGGTCGCTTGTTAGTGTAGTGCTCGGTGTCTTATCGACGTATCATGCTAAGCGTTTAGATCAGAAGTTTTACATAATCTCGAGATATTCTGGTGCTATCGTGTTTGCGTTGGTTTTGTACGTGTGAGAATCCGTACATATCTTCGGACTATGAACATGGGCGGTCCACATTACAAGCAAGTCCTGCCATTATGACAAGGATGAAGGCCAACAGTCAAGCAGCATGAAGCATGACCACAGCACAAGGCGGAATAACTGGTTCGATAGTATACTATCATGATCATCCACCTGCCTGCAAACTAGGACCGGTTGAAAGTAGGGGGCACAAACCGTTTCTGTCTGTCCGGTTTGACGGCCCCAAAGAGGTTTCATGTTTTCTTTTACGAGCCAGCATCACCAGGAATAATAACGGGGAACAAGCGATGGGCGATGGGCGATGGAGATGGGCGACGGCGGCGGCCAGCTAGCGCTCGAAGAATGGCAGCTTATCGTTACAGCCTCCATTACACCCAACCAGAGCGAGCACGCCGCAGGCAGCTGGCAGCTCCGGCCTCCAGGATCGTAGGCGAGCGACGGCGAACGGAGGTCTTAGGTTTGCTGTCTTACCTCAGGCCTGCCCTCTTGTCGTCGTCGTCACATTCGTACGTACCCAAGCGAAAGAGGCAAATATGAAGCCGTGGGGGGCAGATGGGATATAGGAAAAATGACCTATACATGCAGATTGAGCAGAGGTCCCTCGACAGAAAGTACGAAAAGTATCTCTCTCCTGTGCCGTCCCGTCGACCTGATTTGCTTTGCGGTGAAAGAAAAAACATCATCATCATCCCCCCCCTTGTCTCTGCTAGGCATAATTATAATTAGCAATTTCTCTTTTTCCTTTATCCTCAAATATCCCGTACCCAAGATAAGTCAACAGACTCAAATCCTCAGCCGGGAAGGGTGTACGCCGTGCATATGTATCCTGTTAATTACGCCTACCAAGAAGGAAGGGGGCCTTGCCTTGTCGCCTGAGATTGATTCGTATCGCCAGCGCAAAGGGTCACGTCATACACTGCAGAAGGGGGACCATCGTTTACGTAGAAGTATGTATACGGATAGCGGGCGGACTTGTTATACACCCTGGTGATGGGTTTGGCAGGGAGTTAAGACATGCCGCCTGCGGATGGGACGGTCGGTGGAGGAGCGAGCAGCGCGAGTAGCGAACGGAGGCTGGGGGTGGGAGGATCCAGGGAGATCCTCAGTTGTTTGTGTGGTGGTGGCTCGTAAAAGTCGCCAGATCAGCCTTTTGCTGCTTCTCAGGTCTTTTTGCCGTGTCACCACTTTATTATTCGCTCTCTGTTCGTGTTGTTGTGTCGTCTCATCCTGACTCCGTCCCCTTTATGCGAAGCATAAGACGAATATGGTGAAACACAGACATCCACCAGCTAATCATTATGGCTGGTGCTATTTTGATAAGGCCGCCCATGGATAGACACAAGTAGTGAAGTAAAAATGTGGATTTAGTAGCTCATCGTTAGTTCTGTTCTGGGGGCCACGACCGTGGATGGAGGGCTGTACGGAGTAGAGAGGTGACTGGGCGGACTTTCTGATGCAAGTGACTTGACGGGTATCGTTAGCCAGACAGCAGGCAGGCCCATATCAAAGGATGAGACAAGACTATTTGCTCAAACCGCAGCAGGGCGTCCATCGTCCGTCTTCCGTCGTACTGCTATCACGCAATAATAACATCGCAGCCCAGCCTACATACGAGCGAGGCAACGGAGATGCAAGACACATCCAGGTACTCCGTAGATGACAACGAGATCATGAGGGATCTTGGGGGTGTGATACGAGCTAGCTGGTCTTTTTGAGATTCCGTTTAGGGCGGCTTCTGACCGACATGGCAGCGCCTTGAGCCATGAGCTTGAGCCCGAGCCTGAGCCTGAGCCCTTGTCAAGATATACATATGGCCTACACCCATAGTTAGTACGGGGAAAGACAAGCCTGGACGCACAAAGTAAAAAAAAAAAAAGGGCGTACTATAGTTATGTATACTCCGTACTTACACCGGCCTTTGCTTTTTGCCTTTTTGTTTCCTTCGTCTCTTGTCTCTCGTCGTTGGCTTCATCGTGCCTTAGGGCAGACCGACCCCCTGGCTCCTGAACTCCTGCATCCCAACAGTCGGTCGCCCAGCATCCAGCGTCCCATCAACCAGGGCTCGCCTCCGTCTATCCATCCTGTATCTCCGTGCTAAAGATGCCAGCAGCAACGAAATAAAAAAAAAGTAAAAATAACGATCAGCCGCCTTAGAGGTTTTTGTTTCCGGGTCAAACTTCGCCCAAGGGCAAAAAATAATAAAAAATAACTTTTCATGCTGGAGACTTGCATTTCCCCCATCGCATTCCCATCCGGCTCTTTTTTTTTACACTTTCTTTTTTGTGAAAAATTAGCTGGATGGCTGAATGGCAATCCGGTGGCCCAGAGTTAGTGCTCCAGAGAACGAGGTAGTGGATCATGGATGGTGGATGGATGGATGGATGGATGCGACCCTCAGACTGCGTCCTATCCATCCCTTTCATTTGCGTCTCATTTGCGCGCCGCTTGATTGCTGGCTTTATTGCCTCGGGTGCTGTAGAGCTGTAGATGTTGCTGATGCTGATGCTCGTCTATGACTTGCCCCCTTTCTTCTGCCTCCTTTCTCGTGTCTGCCGCCGGACATGTTTTAGTGACTTCTTGCCCTCCTATCCACGGCTGGTCGTCCCGCTTGGCTGGCTATCCCCATCCCCGCCACGGTTCGTCTCGTCTCTGAGATGGGTGATTGAACCGTCCAGAGCTTCGCTGGTCCTGCCGAGAGCTTCTTCTGTGTCCGTAGTCCTGGGCTGCTTGTCCTGCTGCTCCACCTGGGGGGGGGGGGGGGGCTTCGTCCCTTTTGCCTTCAGTCTTCGTCATCCATTGTTGCATGTCCTGCGATGCTAGCCCTGGAGGACATGGACTTGTCTTCTCTTCTGCTCTCTTCTCTTCTTCTTCATCTTCATTCTTCTCTTAATCATCTTCGGTGAAGCATTGTTGCTTCACTCAAACCACTTTGATACTCACCATCATGCCCCAGTGACGTCTTATACAACGAGCTCACCGTCACTCGCATCTATATCTCTCTCGTCCCTCATTCTCCCCACCACCCATGCCTGCCATCATCGATATACCGCCGAACCACTTCCTCCCGCACCCATTCCGGCCCTCCATATCGTCGTCGACCTCCAGGCAACGTCTCATCGACACAGCCGAGCTCTCCAGGCGGCAGGCGGAAATATCAAGACGGGGTGCGGACACGGAGACAGCTTCGGATATGGCGAGGATAGGGGTTGCCGTTGCGTCGTCGCTGCCACATCACTATGGAGGGTACTCGCATCCCAGGCCGGACGTCCAGATGGGTGTAGAGAGGAGGAACGTCACGACACCGACCACCAACAACACCTGCAGGGAGGACACAGCACAACAGCGGCCGTCACAGCGGCTGCCCCTGTCCCTGATCAGCCAGTACTCCAATATCAACCAGGAGACTTCTTCTTCGACCACGCCGGTCAAGTCTACAGCTTCCAGCATGTCAAGTCCGCAGCTCTCGTCTTCCATGACCGGCAACGGAGGAAATCTGGCGGAATTCGCTGCACAGGTAGGTCATGATCTATATATATCTAGTTTATACACTGATGCTAACTCTTGTGTAGGTATCTTGTTTATTTTGGTTTGCAAAGGCATCTAAATTGAAGCAGATCGAAGATGGCTCCTCGTCTTATACTCCTACTTCGCCCGTGGAGCTAGAATTCGCACCGAGCCCGGGGTTTAAGAAATGGGTTACCACAGTACTGACTACCACTCAAGTGAGCAAGAATGTCATACTGCTAGCTCTGCTGTTCATCTACCGGCTCAAGAAGTTCAATCCTGCGGTACGGGGGAAGCGCGGAAGCGAGTTTAGGCTAATGACCATAGCTCTCATGATGGGGAACAAGTGTATGTTTTTTTTATTGCTATTTGGCTTCATGTCTGTTATTCCTAACTTTTATATTCTAGTTCTGGATGACAACACATATACGAACAAGACATGGGCAGAGGTATCAGGAATATCAGTTCAGGAGATCCATGTGATGGAAGTCGAATTTCTCAGCAATGTTCGATATAACCTGTTTGTCACCAAAGAGGAGTGGAACCAGTGGCTCACCAAATTATCGGTCTTCTCAAATTACTTCGAAAAGGCGTCGAGGCTCAGCCTGGATGTTTACTCGGCGAATCGCTCCGCCCATACCTCGCCAGCTCATAGCCCGCTGACACCTTCTATGGACCCCTATCGAGCCTCCCAGCAGGCAGCAAAGATGGTATATCCAGCCTCCACCCATGCTTTCAACGTGAACCAAGCCCTATCATTGAGCATTCCACAAACCGGTGGTGTACCTCTCGGTCTCAACGACCCTACGTTGCGTCCAGCATTAGCAGTGGAACCATTAAGTGCCCATAGGAAACGCAGTTGGGATGACCAGGCGAATGAGAATCCAGCCAAGAGACCAGCAACCGCCACCACAAGTTGGGCTCGACCTTCGACTATGGCCTCCGCGCCGCTATACCAACCTTCTCACCTACCATCTACCGCACCGCCTACCCCGCAGACTCAGGTACCGACGAGTATGGTTTCCATGCCCTCGAACATGGCGCCGCAGCTTCCCAGGCCACTTCCAGCGTACCCGATGAGCTCTGTCAGTATTCCCAACTCTATAGCTCCATTTACCAGCACACAGCCTCTATCTACCACTCCCCGACCCACCATCTTCCCAATCAACACCACCCCGGCTCGTTGGAGCCAACCTCCAGTTTCTCAGGCATCACTGGCTCCATTACCCCTATCAAATCTTCAGCCTGGAATGCCAAACAGCTTCCCTGATCCTTCCCGGCGTACGGGCCCAGGTTCCTTCTCTGCATCTACCTCAACAACCATCTCACCCGCCATTCCTATATACTCCGTCCGCACACCTATCCACCTCTCGCCTTCCTCCATACTCCTGGACCGCAACTCTCCCTACCGACCGGTTCGAACAGTCAACACGCTTCTCTACCCGCCTCCACCTGGCTCACTTCTTCAGCCCCGACAGCTATCAGTCGACCTAATGCGGTACCAGCCGTTGGGTAAACGCAGCTCAGAAGATCGAGTAGATCGAACAGGCGTCCTTCCTTATTCCCAACCCAATATATGGGGGGAACAGTACTTCTCTCAGGTCCAACCAACCACCCAGACAGCACCTTACCATCAAGGTTAACAGAACCTCTAATTGGGAATGCAGGCCATGCCATTTCATGTTCTCATATCGTCCATTTCGGCTTTGAGTTTCATAATCTCTCGTTCGGCATATCTCGATTGTCTTTTTTCATTTTTGCATTGCATCGGTGTTCACAGTACTACTAGACAGGGAACCAGACTGGTACTCGAAAGCCATCATATCTGCTTTTAATTTTGATGTTATTCATTTCATGTTCACTCTGCATCGCGAAGCTTAGGGCGGCATTGTCTTGTTTTTTATTTATTTTTCATGCAACCTCTCAGCCTTGTGCTAATTTTTTTAACATGGCTTGACTCTGCCGCTGTGTTATTTCCATTTTCCATACGAAGGCATTTTCTGAAGCGTTCTTGTGATTATTTTTTCTTTCTTGAACGGTGGCTTGGTTGAAGGCATGCTCTAGTATTTTCTAAAATACCATTATCACGAGGATTGCATGTTTGGGAAGGCCATGGTGAATCAATGGGCTTTTATATAGTCCTTATACAGATACCAATTGATACGTACGAGTAAAGCATATGCCATACAGCACACCTCGGACTCATCGTATCCCTTTACTTTTTCAACTTCCCATGATAGTGCATATACGAAATCTTAGCTTGTTAGCTAGTAATAGGGCCTTGGATCTTGGGTGCCTTACCTTGCTCTTAAGGATAGCCCACAAGTCGAGAGATCCGGTTGATGGACACATTCCTCGACTGTCAAAGTTAAAGCATCTATATATTATGCACTATACACCTTTGTTGTCAAGTCTATATGTAGAAACGTCATACTGGTTGGTTTGTCAATTGTCCACCACCAGCATCCACCGCATCTTCTGGCCACGGTAACCACACAAATCGTTACGGACTTCTGAGGACACACATTCGCTTCATTTAAGAGTTTTTTCTCTCCAACTAGGTGCAGTGCCGTTTATATCTCTCGTGGGTGAACGTTTGCCATGAAAAGTTCATGACCATCTAGCACTTTTTCCAGAAGAAGACGAGGATAGAAGGGATTTCATAAAGCTGGTACCACGGTTGCTTAATGGTGTTGGCAGCTTGCCTCTATACCCAAATTCTTACAGGAAGATATACGCGAAGGCCAGCCGAATTATGATACCACAGCTATCGATGCTTGAAACCTGTTCTTAATTCTGATCTCCCAAAAGGAACCTAGCCGTGATCCAGCTGCTATGCAACGCACCGCCCTTCCTGGAAACCCGGCCGGCTATCTGTTGAAAATCTCCTCCACATCAAATGACCAAGTAGGAGATTGAGCCAACAGGCAGCTGGCCCTATGAGAGGCCTAGCCCCTAAGTCAACAACCTCCGATGTCTTATGAGCAAAGCAGGAAGGCTTCTTCAGGAGGTCTTGTTCTCGCATAAGCTATACTTTTAGCTTCGAAAACAGCCATGATATTTCTAATGTAAGACTACTAATACCAATAATTCCAACTCAGGGAAACAAATAAACCGGTTGCTAACCCTGCTAATAGCTGTATATATATAGTCTATTAGCGGCTCTTTCTCACTTCTGAGGGATGAGATTTTCCATTCTTTGCGTTCGTCCGCTATGCATGAACCGAAAACATACTGTCTTCCAGTTACGAATATCCTCCAACAAGTATGGATATACCCCAGCTGCTTATACAGCTTCAAGGATAGGAAACAAACATGAACATAAACCGATGTCTATCTTCCTCGAGAGAAAACATTAATCATATCTCAAAGGGGGAGAACGAAGGCTAGCCCCGAGGAAAACCAGAGGAACCAGCCAAGTGTGGAACCGGCAAAGCTGAAGAAACCCGGGCATCATGGGTTGGTGTCTAGCCCATAAAACAGGCGGTAGACATACAAGGAGCGAAGGAACCTATCTCAGCTGAAGAAGAAGAGGCCATAGCTACAACCAGAAAAGCAAAGAAGGGGGGATATGACACTTTGCATTTCAGCTCTCATCTCTTCACAGGCGACCGTCAACCCATACACAGTTGGCTAGGCATTCTCGCCCATACTCCAGCCTTGGCCATCATCCATACCCATGGACCACGCGTTCAAGATATATATGACTGGGATATCGGAAACAAGCAGGAGTAGGCGCAAAGTAATTCTCGCAAGAGATAGTTATACCAAACAGCCGATCAGTCAAAAATGCCCATCCTGATTCAGAACCAAGCTTGGTTTGGCCCCTATGACGGAGCCCTTAGGATCATCTCGACGTTGAGACCAAGACATAGGTATTTAACAGCTGCCGCCCTCCCATCTCATCATGACTTCATATGGAAGGAAGTTGGTCGTTAGAGAAATTTAAGGTACGAGAGCATCGATGACAAGGAGCAGATCATTCCTTGCAGGCCTCCCGGCCAGGGTTATGATGCGGAACGTGTTTGAAGACCGCTGCCCAGTTACCCCACGAACGATCGGAAATCTAGGCAGAGAATCCACCCGATGGGATATAAAAATACCTGTCTACGCCTTTGCCATCTACCCTGGTCCCTGAAAACGATATCGTGATCACTTTCTACCTCACTGTCGGAGGTATGCCCGAAAATGATACGTGTCCACTCACAACATTACTCGTATATACATACAGTCTACTTTTACTGAGAGGGTCCAACCGCCTTATCCTCGTCGGATGCCATCCCCATAGCATGAGGATGCGGTACCTTGCTGGACCATCAGCCTCCTCCTGGGCCATGGCTGCCCCCGCGTATCCTGCACATATATGCACGCCTGATAAAACAACCGAGCGGGGAGGACAGACACAGGAATGCCTTACGGTCTTAGATTGTTCGATGAGATAATGATTAATAGTTCTCAAGCTAAGTACATGGGGTGCATCATGTTTCCGTGCGTCTCTTCATGTAGACCTGTTTTCCCGTCTGACTGCTGCCACCAGCGTACACAGGTACCTAGCATCCGCATTCACCCCCCAATCCGGCCGGGGAACTCGGGAAGTCTTAGGTTCCTTGACCATAGCATTAATCTCATACTTAGGTAGCATGCTGGCATACCACCTTCGGCTGTACGAACCCGCTGTTATTGCAACATCCGGCAGGCAGAAACATTTAAGGCGACGGGAAGGAAGGCACAAAAGAAGATTGCTCCGTGCAGCCATCGTTTGATGACACATTGCTAATTGCTAGACTAGATCGGTGTGTCTACTCTAATTTTGTGCTTCGCAAACACCTTCCTCTAGATATATATGGCATTCATATATGGCGAACGCAGGATGATTTACCGCGATGCCCCTGCAGGTCGAAAAAAACTAAGCTGAATCAGGATTGAAAGATGACAGGCAGAACGGTATGGATTATGATCTTGCTCTAAGAAAAGAAAAGCCTAAGGCATCCTCGCTGGGTTTCGGTTCCACATTCATGGTTTCATGACATCTGCTGGAATTTCTACCTGACTCTTCGAGAACCAGGAGCGATCTAAAACGGAAACCTAAATTGCTCCTCAAGTTTCGATTTTACTTTAATAAAATAAGCCTCGAGCTAAACGCGGCCATCTCGGCCCTGGTTTCTTTTTTGTATATTGCTTTTGTTTTTCTCCCTTCCGTGGCTAACCCACCCATGCGTTAGGTAGGTGTTACGACAAGTGGCCTGATATTCAGGAAGTCATCTTGGTCTCAGAAGCTCCCTTCAGTGTCGAGGTTACGATAAACAATCCCTCTTGGGGACACATAGAAGATCCTCTCAGGAGAAAGTGAACCTGTGCCACCGAGCCCTGTAAAACACGTTGTCGTTGAGACAGGGATGTTTTGCCTCCAAAAGAACTGTAATTTAGAGCCGTTGCAGAAATCTGAAGAACGATGGGTCTTGGGCGAGGAACAAATATAGCCATACTTTATCGGCTATTGACATGACATGATAGGTCTACTATATCGTTCGGTTGGCCTCCGTCCCGTCTAATCAGCATAGAAGGTTGACAAGGATATGGATATGTTCTAAACTCTAGTTATTTAAGCTTGCCTCGAAGCAGCAAAGGCAGGTAATAGAGCGAGAGCATAGTATGTAATGGAGATAATAGCACAGTTCGCGCTTTGATACACTAACGTTTGTGAGCACCCTGTGTTGCGTTGTCCACAGTCCCTGTGTGCTAACTTTTTTTTGGGGTGAGACATGACAAGCTAAGATTGGTGAATCACCCTTATTCACCATCAAGTCAATAAAAATACAAACGGGTAGTACGTAAATGGGAAAAGAAAAGAAAAGAAGAGAAAAAGCGGAAAGACAAGTGGTATCGCAACAAAAATATTCGGCATATCCCAGACATTACATCGTGAAAGAATCGCTAGTCGTGGCTTCCTTGATTCTCATTCCGTGTACGAGAGAGGGAGTAGAACTGCCTGCAATTCTTTATAGAAAATAATTCATGGTCGTAAGAAGAGGGTCTCTATATTCTTCATATTAGCAATGTACAGTAGTTGTGGTAAACAATTGTGACTTACTAGGGAAGAGGAAGAAAGGCTCAATAGAGCGAATATTGCTGTCATTGCTAGGAGGCAATTCAAGCTCAACGAGCAATCGTATTTGGGTAGTGAGCGAGGGAAAGATTGAAGGAGCGTATCAACGTTTGCAGACTCGACATTGGCCGACGACGACGATAAATCGCTCGTGAGGACTTCCGGGGCACCGTAGATCGCTGGACCCATCTGTTGAGATGCGGAAGAAGTGATTTCCTGGGTCCCTGCAGGAACTATACACATAGAAGTTCTTGAAAAAGTTGCACATATTGACAAGATCAACTGTCGGTTGTGCTGCTTGATTGCCCGAATCAATTGTTGTAAAGGTAACCTCGCTTTTGGGTAGGAGCGCAGTCGACAGCCTGAAAAATAAGAGCACTTCTCAGAAGCGGGTAGAAAGAAGGACGGAGGAGGTGTCTTGTCGAAAGAATGCAGATAGGCCAGTGGGAGGGCCTGATGTTATAGATTGATATGGTGCGGTTGAGCCAATGCGCGTCATAGACTGGTCGGCAAAAGCAGCGGGTATTTGTTGGGATTGAAATTAACTTTCAAAGTTAACTAGGCCACGAGGGGGAAGAGAAGAGATTTGTATAGATAGGTAGGTAAAGAACGTTGTAAATAACGAGAGTAAATGAGTGAGATGGGGTCGGTAGAGTCTAGATAAACGAGCGTAAGCATTGGAGGATCATAGCGGTGGTAATGATAGAAGATTCGAAGCATCTAATATATTATCACTTGAAACATACAATAAAACCAACGTCCTAAGACGGGGAAGGATATATACGTGACCAAGTATATGATTCAAGCGCGAAACTGAGCTGGTCCGAGTTAAGCTCCTTTTTTAGATTGAAGGGAAGAACTTAGTTGATTCATCACGTTCTACCTTCTGGGCGATCTGAGCCAGGATGTTGGAGATCCCGGGAAAATCAAAATTGACCCTATTTGAACATGCTTAATTTTGCCCGTATTTTTTTAAAATTTGATACCACCTCTTAGCGAGACGAGCTGAGTAGGATTGAGAAAAGAATAGAAGCTTGGATGAAGGTTGGCCCCGGCTTGGAATGATAATCCCGCAAGTGGAGAGACTAGCAACTGAAGGAATAGTTCATTGAGTCCTCTATCAACGTGGTGGATACGCACCAAGTATATAGTTCGCCAAAACGGCTCCACGGCGAAAACTGTCGTCATATGTCAAGCTAAACGGAATCTCGTCTGCAGTCCCGGCAGAGAGCCAGAGTTTCCTGCTTGCACACCCACTGCCAGAGTAAAAAAGCTACATTGGCGGTACGGTACGGGACGGTGGGCTTGCAGAGACCCTGACAGAAATGTCCCGGTATGCCATGCAGGTTGGCATCCCGCATTAAGGCGTCACACTTCTCCCGTTTTCTAAAATAACGGGACGTTGAATGGCCGATAAACGAAGCCGTGCATAAGAAATTAGGGTATTTGGCCAATCGAATCGGACTTGGCGGAGTGAATATAATTTAAACAAACAGAAAAAAAAAAAAAAAAAAATTTCCGGGCAATCTAGCATTAAAACGACCCCAATATAGGGGAAGGGTCATCTAGAATCGGTGCACACGTAGTATGTATAAACCTGTCTAGAGTTGAGATGAAGAAATTAGAACCTTGTTCCGGTTCTGAATGGAATCTGTAAATGTATATCGGATGGACAATCTCCGAGGAAAACGAGCCTCTTAGGCAGGTAACGGACAGGTAATCTGATGTCAATATAACAACAGCCAGAATATGTAAAAAAAAATAGCGATTAGAACCAAGCCCGGGTTTAGTTGGTCCTCGAGTGCACGTTTTAGGTTATTACTCTGGGTTCCGGGGTGGAGGGGGGGTTGAAGATGACGAGCATGTGTAGAGGGTAGATTAGAGAGGGGTTGACCGGGTCTAGTTTTCCTGAAGATGAGAATCCGCTGGTACTAAAATCCTAGAACCCGGCCGTGGGACGGCACCTCCGAACGCCATCTGGATTCTCAGAAACATCAGTGCTATAGCCATGGTCTGAATAGGAAGGACGGGAATAAGGAAAATCATGTATGAGATAGCCGGTTCCGTGAGTGTGTCGGCCAAGAGAAGATCGATGTACGGAGTATATATACGGAGAAAAGAATCCAAGACAAGAGAGCGAGCGGCACCTGGGGTGTACCAACGATGGGCTGGTCGAGAAACGCTCGGGGCGTTTGATATCCAGTTTTCCAGGTGTGTCTGCATCGCGAATGCGGGTCTCGTCGGGGAGGTGTGGCCTGCCATCCCATACCGCGCGCTGTGAAGGGATACCCATGTATAGGCCTGGAGCGAGCAGCCTAGATTGCGAGTACGCTGCGTCAAGATCGTGATGCCAGAGATGATGGGCTCGTCGTCTGGTTTGATGAAGTTGGAGTTCGACCGCGCTAAACCCGGCAAGGCTGCCTGATTGGTCACGAACTAGTTTCTCCGAGAGCCGAAACCACTGCCACGTCCAGATTAGGTTTAGTGTCTAACCATGAAACGCCGGCGTTACGCTAGTCCTAATTGGGATACGCACAGGCCTTGTATTATGTAATAGGAAGGGCCTTATGTAAACTTAATCTTCCTTACAATTTTGTTAGTAACTCAACTTTCTCTCTTCTTTCCATCCCACGACGTTTACTTTTATATATCCCTACATCCTGAGCGCAGCGGACATGGAGCTAATAATAGGTGTGCCTGCAGGACGTTGTTAATAAGAGCCCGTCGATATAACTAACGTGGAACGGGGTTTTGGCGACCGGGGCCTTGCCTACCTCGCATGTGAACAAATGTGTCTTGCATGCTAGCATGTCCCTAATTCCTCCGCTACTCCCAAGGTCAATAACTAGGTTATCATGGATATGACGACATGGCTCATTCCGTTCTTATAGAACATTTCGATAGCCGTAAGGACCGTGTCTAAGAGTTTACGATGGCTGACTCGACCGCTCATAAACTAAGCGACTATGAGACGCCAACAGTCGAGCAGCCCAGTCGAGCAGCCCAGTTTACAAAGGGGCCCGGGGCCTGAGGAAAGATACAGGCTGTTTGACATATACTATCATCCCAACCATGATCGATTGCCCTCCCACGCTTCTCCTTTCGCCAAAAAACAAAAAGGTGGGATAACGCCATATACCCAGGGATTGAGGATTCTCTAAACCCCTCACTCTCGGCGGCGGGGAAGAAGATCGTTATCTTAGGAGAAGTAACAGGCATTGGGGCTGAAAAATTGCAGATGTCGTTGCTGCAACTGAGGCAGCAAAGATCGTCATTTTGGTCGTATACAGAGAAGACCATAAAGCGAGTTGGTGGGAGGTCCCTGAAGGGAACATCAGCACGAGGGTTTTATTATTTCGTTATCGACATATATACGTAACGGAGTCGCTATCGATGTGAAATAAAAACTGAGAACCTGGGATGGGCTTGTGGTCAAACGTGCACATCCGCCCAAGTTTAACGTTGATCAGGTAATAAGATGTGAGTGAGCGGTTTCAGGCAGTCGGGGGTACGCTCGGCCACAGGGATCCCACTTCCATACTTCAAAAATTGGCTAACAGTGTGGTCTCAAAAGCAAATATGATAGGATATTTGCTTCTTTGCTCTTGAACATATACCTACATATACGAATGGCAGATAGTCAAGCTTTCTTGAGCAACAATGTCTTACATGTATACGGGATATACCAACCCCGTCGATCACTTGTCGCTTTTCTTCAGCCCTTCAAGGAGCTAGTATGAAACTCATTCTAGAGTGGTTGTCAACATTCACATACGCACCTAAACGCCCTACAAGAACAGGCAACAGGGGTTTGGAACCGGGAAATATCTCCTAGTAGGTGGTGATATTGTTGAACTCTCTCATCGAACCTCATATCTACTAATGTGTACCTAGTAAACCTAACCGCTGGCTTTATGCTTTGCGCTATGGGTAGCATTGCAGACTTTTCAAAGCACTGAATACTACATAGTATGAGCGAATTGCAATGTTAGGGAGATTAGGCTAATGCAGCTGAGATTGCTACTGCCGGCAACTCATCTTCCTGAAATGGGTTAAGAGAAGTGCCAATATCTTTTACGAAGAATCTACACGCTAGTGGACTTGCCATGGATTGTCATGATATCGTTATGCATATACCTATAGCGAGCGTCTAGTTCTAGCTTATAACTCTATTGACATCGATTTAACATTGACTCCTGTGTGATGCTGATATGCTCCTGTCTGGGCCTCCCGTTAGCAATTAACATGCAATATGCCAGATAAACTCAGTAACTCCTAACTCCTAATTCAAATATAGATGAAACGGCTGAAGTTCGCATTCATATTCCTCTTGCGTTGAAACGACCTTGGGAGAGTAAAATCAAATAGTATGGCTCCGCTGTGGCTTAGTAGGTTGAGAGGCAGCCTTAGCCTTGAGGGCGTCCCATTTCTGCCGTTGCTCCTCCGTGAGCTGGCCATCAGGAAAGAAGGTAGGAACCATATTTCTACCCAAGTTCGGATATTTTTCTTCCACGGCGAGGAGGGTATCCATAACACCAACTTCCCCGATAACATCATGGAACTCTAAAGGTAGTCCGAACGAGTCAGGAGTGCGTTTCCCTCCAACAACGTATGCGTTCTGTATTGTGCCCATACCGCCTGCAGTGATGATGTACCATGCGTTTTTCTTGAGACCGGCTGCTAAAATGGTAAGCAGCACCCATAAGACGGCGAGGATGAGCACTGCTATCCTGGTGAATATATCACAAGGTAAGTCCCTTTCCTCAAAGCCAACCGCCATCTCTTCAAGATCGAAACCGCAGCCATCTCCGATGATGACAATGGCATGCTGGCATCCAGCTCCCTTGGTCAAAATAACCGTCTTCTCCGACTTGGCACAACAAGGCCATTTCTCCCGCCGCCACTGCCTTAAACAGCCTGACAGGACGGATAATATAGCACCTGCTAGGGTAGTTAAGAACGGTGACCAGTCCCCCTCTCTAATCAACGGAATAGCCGCAAGGACTAGTTGGCCAACTGTAGTCAGGAGCCCACTGTAGTCGAATTTATCTCGTTTTGGGCATCCCAAGCCTATCTCCTTGGCTTTGTATATGGACACGCAGAGACCTGCTTTCCTAGGCTGCCTAATCTTGGTGCATGTGCCGTGGGTGGTTATGCTCTCGAGCTTCATCTGATCCCATTTTTTCGTAATCGTGCCTTCCAGGTGGTTCCGGACGTCGTCGTGTTTCCAATAGTCGTGGTCCCGTAATATGCGTCCGAGCACCCAGCTGGTATTATCAAACGAGATACCCGTCTCGCCGTTGATTATCTTGCATGGGTGATCTGTATTTGGCATGAGTCTATTTTTGCCAATAGCAGATACCACAGCACTCAGCCCATACGAGACGCAGCCTGTACGAGAAACCATCCGAGCATGTAAGCATATATGACCATGGACGCACACCACTTGAAAGTTTATATCAGAATAACTTACCAAATGAAAATGCGACTGGTGGAACAGCCGTCCCAACGAGCTGGGCAAAGGCATGTTCAACTAGATCGCCGCCTAGGATAAAGAGAACGGAGAGGATATCCTTTGGATCGGCCCAGTGGATAGAAATTCCCATAGAAGGCTCGCCAAAATCAGGCACTCTCCGTACAAGTTCGTCGACCACAGGAGGCATCTCTTCCAACGACCGTGATGTATGGGAAGGTCGGTGGAATGGTATACGGATGTCCCTGTTTCTTCTTCCTCTTCCTCCTCGGGTGCGGTAGATCGGTGGTTAGAGAGACCATGATTGCCAAAGCCCTCAGAGTCATTCTTATATTGTTCCTGCAAAGGCCGACGTGGTTGTCCATTATCACTTCCCCAAGGGCAAGAAACATACCCCGTGACTCGAAGTCGTGTCTTTGCTCCAGCACGGTGTAACTGCAGAATCACCGAGCAATCCTACGGCCGACTCAGTTGATGTAGTCAGCTGTATACCACGACAAATAACATCAGGAAGAGACCGAGGTTCTTGATGTTCGGCGCCCTCGCCTCATCGATGGATCGGCAGGACATGAATCGTGAGATCGCTGGTCATGGGCTTAGTGTCCGGATGGCGCCCGAAGAGTTTAAACTGAACAACCTGTTAATAGGGTCAACGCAGTTTGGAAATCCTTTACTTGGAAGGGAGTATACAGCAGCCTTGGGTTTGGTCCCTTTTGTCGCATATTTAGTGATGGCTTCAATTTATCTAGTTTCTATGGAAAACTGAACGCTCAGCCATTTGGTGCTCGACGGGCTAGCTGGATAACTACACGGGGGGCTTGATCAAGGAACCATCCCAGAAGCCTAGGAAACCCAGGAAACGAGTTTTATGGGTGACAAAAAATGAATTTGAATCTTAACAGTACATACAGGGCTAGGTACGTGTATCGTCTCATGTCGAGCTTTCCTCCCATTCAGGATTCTATAAGGTCATGGGTTAGCAATCACTGCTCACAGAAAGTGCGGAGAAGTCTTATTTTTTGTCACTAACCTTTCGCAAAATTACAAGGCCCTCAAGCGTACTGCTTAGGCAGATGTACTCTTCATCTTCCAGCTCTGCTCGCTCTCCATACGATAATAGTACCGGCGTACTCTGTGTTTGCCAGCCAGTGATGGTCTTAGGTCTTCCGGCCTGGCCAACGACATCGACAGCCTGACCGACACGAACGTTGACTGTAAGTGGTTTTAGGTCCTCGTCTAGAGTGATGAGGAATCGCGGGTTCATGGCGGTAACAAGGTAGTAGAGGAGGTAATGGGAGTCGGCCAGGATGAAGTCCTTTGCATCGATCATGGCCACAAGAACAGTCAAGAGACCAGCGGCAGCAACTCGCGAGAGAACTTGACGATCAGTATGGAATGGGTTCACCGACATGCTTCCCTTACCCATATGGAGAAGTCCCTGAGCGATACGGACCATAAAGAGGGAGTGTTGATCACGCTGGTAGTAGCTTGCGAGTTGGCGGAGGAGTTGCGCCAATCGAGCGTTGTTAGTTCCTGCACCCAATAAACCCATCGCGAAGATGGCGTTGATAGCGACATCGTTGTCGTTGTCGTGACTGTACCTCGAGAGAGTATCGTACACCTTCATCTGAGGGTTGCTAGGGCTGATCAAACCCATAGCGAGGGGCACTGCCTTTCGAATGTTTGCCGCGCCATAGTGCATCAGATGGCCGAATTGTCGTAGAACCATATCCTGGCCAATCTCCTCGCCCATGGCGATTAAAGACAAGCCCAAGACGGCATATGACTGCACGAGCTCTTCACCCTTATTTTCCTCCTTGTCTTCAAAGACCTCGTTACAGATATGAAGAAGCTCTTGGAGTTTCAAGACGGTGCCGGTTCCAGCCCACGCACAAACGGATGCTAGGACAGAGGTTGGTTTCGCCATTGGGTGCTCAATAACCTTGAGGATATCCAAGATGACCTCGACTTCCTCCTGTCTTCCGAAGTATAGGAGTGCGAGACCGAGTGCCATGAATCGGGTCCACTTGTCCTTGAGATGCTTTTGCCTCTCCTCATCCATCAATGTTGTGGCAATGGACTCGCTAACTTGGTGGTTCGACGAGCCGACAAAAATCATACCAAGTGAAACGGCGGCCATGGCGGAAATTTGCATATCAACAGTGACATCCTCCACAATTGGGAGAAGCAGCTCAAGCAGTTCCTCTTTGCAAGATCCAGCATATGCTAAACCAAGACCCATGATGGACGCTATCCTCATCGGAACGCTCTTGTTCTCAAGGTTTTCGTATTCGCCGAGAAGAGCCAATGCAGGATCGGAGTCGACTCTGACACCTGCATTGAGAATACCAATTCCGAGAAGTGCTCCTGCTCTGATCTGCTCTTCCTCTGCATAGGTAAATTTGTCTATTTGGTTCAACCCTTCTTCCACATCCCACTGAAGAAGCATACCCAACGAAGCTGCGGTTGACAGCATACCATCGTCTTTTGTTTTCCAAACCCAAGGTCCCTTGTCTCCTTCAACCAGCATCATCTTGTCGTTTCCGAAGCCAGCATTGGTGAAAGCGTTAACGAAGGCGCTTGCAAGGTTGTGTCGTGCAGAGTCAACATTAGTAAGACTTCCTCGGTTATTTTCGAGATGAGTTTTATAGATATCCTCCGGCATTTTTGGCTCAAGGATGTTAAGTTCCTTTGCAAGGGACTTAAAGTGAGTAGGCAGCGCGGTGTTGTTGAGACAGTCCACCAGTTGCAGGTCATCTTCTTCTTCAAGATCAAGCCATATCCGTTGACGAGCAACCAAGAATGCCATTTGATACTTTATAGCCTTATCCGTTGTTGCTTGGAAATCGCTCTTAATCAGATCGATATCATTGAGGCGTATGGCGATAACAATAGCTTGCGTGAGCTTCTTGTACTGGAGGTAAATGTCGTGGACTGTGCGTAAAAACTGGTGGTCCTCTGGATACGTGAGGAGGTTGACCATGCTAACCATGTAAAGACAAACTCGCGGATACGTGTTTTCGTCCACGAATCTGGGTAATTCTTCGATCATCTCTAACTCGCTTAACAAGTCGACTGCATCGGCCTCGGCATTATGGCTGAGGAAGTAGGGGACGAGGGATAAGGAGAGATCAACGAGGTCCTGTACGTCCTTGTCATCTGTCAACCGGTTTTGATATTCCTGACCTATCTCCAGAGCAAGATGGCGAATATATTCGTGGCCCCATGATCCGAGATCGTTCGATTTCGCGAGCAGGCGGTATTTAAGGGTTTCTAATTTGTCCTCAACTCCATATGTCATTCCTAACACTGATAGAATATCGGCGAGAGAATCCTTTCTGACTGTTAGTTCTACATTCAAGTGCCCGTGGGGAGAGTAGTTTCCATACCTTGTCGTCGCCAGGTGTCCACTCCTCATATACCTTAGCAAGGTCGTCATAGTGCGGTCTGAGGAATTTAAGTGGTTTGGGTACTGCGGTCATGGAAGAAGTGGAGGTCTTGATGAAAGTTTTGATGGCCTCGAGAGCCGGTTTGTAGAGGGATGTGTCGGACTCCTACACGAGACTGAATATTAGCCACCAAGATTCACTCGAGAGCACGCCCACTCGCTGCTGAACCAGCAGCTCGACATGTCACATACCTGCAGCCTCTCAACGAGCATCTCAAGCTCATTCTTAAGCTGTTGGTCTTCCTCGTTAAGTTCCTCTGGCGCGCAGGTGTGTTAGCAGCCTTGCAACATACACAGCTTGGATAGAAAGCTTCGCGCACCTTCTTGAGGCTCCTCTTCCTTTTTGCCATTTACGGCAGGCTTGCCATCCTTACTCTCATTCTTCGGTCCATTTATTTCCTTCGTGTCCTCTGCTTTTCCCTTGCCAGCGCTGGAGGATGATGGCAGCTCGTCCTTCGCCATGGGAGCAACTGATGAGAGGAGTGGTGGGAAGACCGGGTTCAGTGCAGCTCTGCGTGTAAGATCTTACCCGACAGAGATTCCGAGAGAGGTCAATGATCGTGTTTTCGGGGTTGTTGTGTTGCAGGTGAGGTAGGTTGTACTGGGCTGTATGTCAAGCAGATTGCTAGTTCTCCGAGCTCGTTGACTTGCTTTGAGATCTGGAAGCTTCATAGTGATTACGTAATCTATATCAACACTAACCACCAACCACCGAGAAACAGTACCTCATGGTCGAGGAGAAGGTAAAATCTTATAGGAATGTTTTAGTCAGAGAAGTTTACTTTCAGAGAAGACTATTGCAAGGGTTGGTTGAGATCCAGATCGACTACATGGTATAAGAGCGTGGGACGGGGTAGGGCTATCTAAATACAGTTGACCAGCAATATTATACAGTATTGGATAATGCCCAAAAAAAAAAGTAGATCGGAGTATTAAAGGGAGAGATGCTAGATTGGGGCATCCAGGCCTTCTTTCGTTATATCCGCTTGGCAAAACAGGTCGTCAGCCTTTAGTGGGACAATCTTAGGTATATCGTCGCCATCGGTACAACCACCAATGTCTTTCCTGAACGTTCGTCGAAACGAGTCTCGTTTCTCCATAAAGTCATCAACATCCGCAATCTCCCCGGTATATGGTAGCACCGACAACTCACGGATGTCCGGTAAGCTTCCGGGGTAGATATCAAGTAAGGTAGTTATAGTCGAAGGGGAGTGGGCAAGGTCCTTCTCATCGAAATTCGACTCTACCTGCTGTTGTTTAGGGTCATCATATTCCTCGGGAGGCTGGTATAATTCGTTATGCACTGTAGCTAAAGCGAGGTCGCCTTGGGTTGCAAATTCGGGATAGGTAAGGTAGTAAGCCCGAGCACGCATAAATTCAAGCATATAATCCATCCAAGAAGGGAATGCTTTTGTAATAACCTTGGGAGGGGTCTTTTGTTTCGCCTGTATGGATGGAGCAAGCCGGTTGGAGAGGAAGGACTGGAACTCTAGCCACTTGTCTCCGAAGTACAATACAGCATTACTATTAGGCATCTGCCACAGTAATGTTGGAAGTTCGTCCTTCCGCGCTTCAGCGGAGGTAGATTTTGTTATACTTTTGGGGACGGAGAGCGGCTTCCCATCGGTGGGGCGAGATGATGGCATCTCGAGAGAAATTCCAACCAAGTGAGCTGGGATGTTCTCCTTTGCGCAATATTTGTACTTTAATAATGAATATTTGAGGAAGTGGAAAAACGACGGTGCCAGTTCCGTGTTGGGGGATACCACAAGCACATGATAACGGCTGGAATCCTTTGGATAAAATGAATCAACCGCTCTGACCGCGGCCTCCTGTGATGTCATGACAGAAGGTGATACCCGGCGACGAAGCGTAAAATGACGACTGCCTGTCCGTGGAGGCCAACGAAAAGTCTTTAGGTATTTGAGCAACGTTGGGTCCGCGTCAACGGGCAATTCAATTGTTAATCCGGGAGCGGGGCCAAAGTAATCGGCATGCTGGAGATCTTTGAGCAGCTTCCGAAGGGATCCTGAAGAAGCAGGAGGAGCGTTGATGAGTATTTCTGTTTGAACGTCGTTCCAAGCTAAATATAAATCAGTTAGTATGATTACCAAGAGGAGATATTGGGCGCAACCCCTTACCCTCAAGAGAACTAGAGTCCAAATCTGCAATCCATTTGAAATTAGACATGGAGCTGGGCAGCGCAATATGCGTCATCCTCATCTGATAAGCGCGGAATTCAACAGCATCCATGAAAAATGATTCCTCGTGCTCGGCATCACGAGTAATAATGGCTCGAGGATTCAAGACTCGATACATATGAACCATGGCCGCCTTGACGCTCAACTCCAGGCGCCAGGGGCTCGAAGACGAAGCATGGTCAGGCCGGGCATCTGCAATCATCTTAGAATCTCGTCTTTATTTTCAGTAATTAAGTGAGCTCCGCTTACCATGCCATACTATAGGACAGTCCTCTTCTATAAATGCGTTGGCTCTCTGGACATCGGCGAGCGGGATTTCCTCTCGTCCCATGATTGCAAGATGGACCTTGTTCCGTTCTCTAGAAGCCATATCGCATGCTACGGGAAGTATATCGCCCAGGAACTTCAATTCGCCCGTCGCAAAGACGACGGCGTCCTGATCCTCGTCACCCCAACTGCGCGAAGAATATAACGACGCAAGTAACGACTCGAATTCGATAAGTCCGCGATAGTATCGAACGCCATCTTCATCGGGTGTGTTATCTGTTTCAAGGGGTTCCGAGTCGGTATAGCTATCATATTGAGGGTGCGACCACAGATGCCCGTCACTGATATCGCGCGTACGTGTCGGCACATGTCTGAAGAATATAAAAAGGAGGAGTGCGACGGTTATGGCCAAGGCGATGCGCCGTCGTCGCGGGAGCCGTCGCCAGAAGTTCATGATTGACGATCCGTATATAGAATTGGGTCTATTATGGTCGTCATATTTCTTCCCAAGCTCCTCGTCGCTGAGGAACAGGCGCTTGGGTGCAGACATGGTTGCGGTCTAAATATCTCCCCGTGCACTACATCATTGCGCCAACGTTAGACGAGGGTTATTCCCAGCCAGTACGGAGTAGAGATAGCAAGCATAGATGGAGGCACACCGTTCTTCTATCATATACTATAGCGCGGATATAGATAAGTTCCTGACAGCCTAGAATGTGTCGATGCGCTCAGCATTTGAATCAACCCCAGCTTGAACGGAGACAGTATATCATGGTCATTGGCGGTCGCGAAGAGGTACGCATATAAGGAACGTGGCCGCTATGCCAACTTGGAGAAGAAGCGGCTATCTGGTCTGTAAATTCCTGAATATAAAGGAGGACAACATGAGCTATTGAAACGTCTTCATGGCCATCAAGCCGCAACCATTACTCGATGCGGACAGCTGGCGTAGTATCCACGTGACCTCTCCCAACCCATAGAACAGGTTATAGAAGAATCTGTGAGAGTACATTTTTAATTATTCTTTAATACATTAAATAAAAACTATAGGGGATACAGGTTATAATAGTCAACTGATTAGCACCAAGCTCTAAACTCCTGATTTTGCCAATGCCTGTAAGCCACATTCATTGGAGTGCCATGAAAATGTGGGCGTGAAATTGAATAGCTCATAGGCTGTCTGATATCATCTCCCTTGTGCTCCAAGCACTCTGAAATCATCAAACCACCGCCAGCATCTACCACTTCTGATTTGCGATCCTTATGTCAGGGAAAGAGCACCATCGTGGGATATTTGTGGCTTCGTTCCTGGCACAAAGTGTCAAGAATCAAAGCATGGAGACGAGTTCGATGATTGACGCAAATCCCCCCTCTTCTAGATGGACAGACTCGAGAGCCAAGTCGATGGGGTCAGTTCGTTTGATGAAGTTGAGCAAGTCTGTCTCTGTGGTCTTTATACCGCGTAGCCTGCTCCGCCTCAGCTTGGGTAGATTTTCTAGCTCTACCACGTTCTGGAGAATCCTCTCGGAGTGAAAGTTTCTGTCTATATCGAAGCGGTCGTTGTAGGTATGGAAGTAGTGCAATTCAAAGTCTTCCATCTGGCTACATCAATTGATAAGTTTTGTAACCCCGATGAAATTCTCTTCTCTGTCAGCTTTCGCTTGGAAGCCTCTCTTACTTTTGCTCTTGCAGTTGTACGGGAGGTTTCCCTCGCTAGGATCGTACACAAAGTCCATATCAACATCGAAGACCCTGTCGCAAATACTTAGCGACAACGACACGAGCGTTGCTAATGACTCTGCAAGCCCGCTATCTTGCAAGTCAACCGTAATAAGCTGATCACAGGGTAAGCTGCATAGTTGTACCCCATTAAAGACATCCAGCCTCTCAATGCATAGTTGGCTAGCGGACAAGGCTCGTAAGGCAACTTACCATGTATCAACTGCGCAGGCCCATACGCGTTTTGTTGGATACCGCCACGGTATCTTAGCATCAATAGGGAGATGCTGTGTCTCATCCATGTAAACGATAGTCAGTCCTAGGGTAAGCGACTCGAGACGACCATTCTTCTTGCGTCTTGTAATCTTGTTGAGTGCCTCGGTGAGATGACGAGTTTTGCTTTCTTGTCTTCTCTTCGTCTCTCTTTTGTCTTCCTGTGGGCTCGGCTTTCGCGCCAGTCCTATGAGACTCAAATTCTTGAGCCGAGAGCCATTTGCTTCTATGCTCTTGAGAAACGTCTGCAACCCTTCACTAGTCAGGTCGACACATTTCGACTGACAGAGGAGCCGAAAACGCCCCTGCGACACCTTGACAGACACGGCTTTGCTCGTGAGTCGTAGGTTCCGAATGCCCTCCAAGTCCAACGACGCCACAATTCGTTCGACAAGGTAGTCTGGACAGGCCAGAAGAGTCGGCACCATGGTGCAGCAGATTTGATATATTAGTTTATGTGCAAGCGGCGAACGTGTCTTCTCTTCCAGTGTTTTGTTGACTAGAATATGGATGAGACCGGACTAACTTACGTCGGCGACATGGTGTGTTATAAAACCCCCGCTTGGAGAGACAGGGCTGCCTGGCCATTAAGGGGCTTTATACATATAAGTTGGACATGGATGGCGTTAATATTAACAGTTGGCAGGATTAATGTTGGACCACAGGGGACAAAAGGCCTAGTCTCCAATGGGAACCATAGAGAATCTGATATAAAACTGTCAAATATCTATTCACTGATTGATAAGTGACGAGCCTCCTGGGACAATTTCAGGCAGTCTCGTCTACGGTACCCTAATATAATTATCACACGAGTGAAAAACAAGTACTCTTCAAGTACTAATACTCTAGAAGTACTAGGATCCACGATATGCTGGGTGAGGAATAGGTGTCTCTTTGATGTCTCTAGCCAGTGGGTATAATAATCGACAAGTGGTTCTGCTAATATGCTCCCTCGATGAGGCGAGTTCCAGACAAGCGTTGTGTATAAGAAGCCACTGCATCCTTAGCGGAGATGTGCAGTGCAAGATCGACATCCTCTCACTCATCTCTTACAGGAGACGCGTTAAGAAAGGTCCAGAGCGAGCAACGACACCTTCACCGCTGTTATATCGACGCTGAACCGGTTTACTCGATTCAAAAGAAGCAACTATAATGCCGAGAGTATTTCGTAAATGTGATGCAGGGATGGATGATATATACCCGTATATCCCCGCCGGTTTATCTGTATCACCTGCATTTTCAGCGACTCAACACCTAATAGTACTCCATGTACACCTGAATGAATGTCCATCGTAGTACTCCGTATATTAGTGCTTGGTCACTGTAAGGACGTGGCCGATCGGGGCATCGCCTGCATGCGCTGGACTGGACAGAGAGTGCTATGGAGTATGGAGAGTGCTATGGAGATTATGGAGCTAGTTTGGTTGGATCTAAGATGCATTCCGCAGCCTGCATGCAAGAAACGGATCTTAACATTAAAAATCTCTGCAGCGGGTAGCCTTATCTTCACATACTGTCGACGTGATTGGTGCAGGTTGGGGGAAAAACATGGTTGCGGCCGAGAATCGGTATAATATCGTGAGCAGCAGGGAGATATCTCGGACAAGGGCCCGGTCTTGCTGTTGCCAGTGTCTGGAACCTCGTTTCGCCTGGGATGCAGAGGATCGAGAAGGATTAAGGCTCGTCGTGGGTCGCGGCCGTACGGAGCACTAACATTAGCACTCAGTCCATCGTATATCGCTCCGTACGTGGTATATCGTATCTCATCGTTGCTCTATACGTGCTCTAGCCGTATCTCATCGTTACTCTATACGTATGCTCAATCGTATATCGCTCCGTACGTGGTATATCGCCTCCTATTCTATTCGTGTAGGCCTGGATCTGACCGCCGGCTATCCTGCTTATAAACTAGCCGCGAGACCATGGTACATATACGGAGTATGTATGTAAGAGCTGGAGTGCGTTTTCGTTCGATCGACAGACCGAGAGCCGTGACCCTGGTACGCACATGCAGACTAGCAAGGAGAGGCACGACGGCCCGGATTTCTCATATGTTCGAAGGACAGTGTTTTCAAGGCAGCCAGGGGCCGAGCGAGTGAGGTAAGGCAGGATGGTAGCCGGACAGGCCTCTGGACAAGGAGATTGCCAACTCGCCTGGCTCGCCATGTCGCTCGCAGCGTCGATCCAGAGACGGCCGGTAGATAGTTTGTCTGTCCGCCTTACATGGCGGTTTCAGATGACAGCTACTATACATATACTATCTACCATACATATACATATACATATCTATACTATACATATATATCTACTCCGTATATCTATTTATATATATATATATATATATATATATCTATATCTTCTATCCTATATTGTATATATGTTATGTTAGCGTATACCACGTGACGGTCCAGACTCCTTACTAAGCATATACACATCACGTGCTCATATCCCCGAGCGCCGACGCAAAAAGCAAAAGAAGACGAAACAGACGAAAAAGACGAGGAAAAGACGAGGAAAAGGGCTGGAAAAGACGAGTAAAAGACGAGTAAAAGGCGAGTTTCTGGCTGCCTCTTGCATGCATGTTCCAGACTCGACCGTAACACCTGAAACCAGCCAGTCCTCACTCTTCTCGTCGCCCTCGCCCTCGTTTCGCCTCTGCCGCCCGCTCGACGGCTCGCGGTCGATGGGGAACGTGGTGCAAAGCCTAGACCTCGGCCAGCCAACCTCCCGCCCCTAGCCAGGCTGACGCTCGTCCAACTTCATATATATCTATCGCCCCGTCGCTTCTCAGGCTCGGACTGCCAGTGCACGATGGACGACAGGATGGACATCGACTCCGAACCACGAGGCCTCAAGCGGCCGGCGCCAGACGCAGACGCAGACCACAACCCGCCAGCAGAGCGCCCGTCCAAGATACAGGTAGGTCACGTGACTTCCATATGAGAGACGATATAGAGACAGATACTGACGGGACAGGCGCTGGACCCCGATGTTATCAACAAGATCGCTGCCGGAGAGATCATCGTGGCTCCCATGCATGCATTGAAGGAGCTGATCGAGAATTCGGTGGACGCTGGCTCGACGTCGGTTGAGATTATGGTCAGAGAGGGCGGGTTGAAGCTGCTCCAGATCACGGATAATGGCCATGGAATCGATGTTAGTGGTCCCCCTCTTATATACTGTCTGGAGGTCTAACAGCTGCTAGAACGATGACCTGCCGATCCTGTGTGAGAGGTTTACGACCTCCAAGCTCAAGGCCTTCGAGGACCTCTCCTCCATCGCTACGTATGGGTTCCGGGGTGAGGCCCTGGCCAGTATCAGCCATGTTGCCCATCTGGCGGTGACGACGAAGACGGCCGGCTCGAGCTGTGCCTGGAGGGCTCACTACAGTGACGGAAAGCTCGTACCGGCTAAGCCAGGACAGAGTGCGGCTCCCAAGCCCATTGCCGGGCGGAGAGGCACCCAGATTACCGTTAGTCTTCAGCTCCTTCCTGCCTGTATGGTTTTGTACTGACAAGGATGTAGGTTGAGGATCTGTTCTACAACGTCCCCACGAGGCGGCGTGCGTTTCGATCGGCGAGCGAGGAGTATGCAAAGATCCTTGATATCGTTGGTCGGTATGCGGTGCACTGCAGTGGAACCGCATTCTCCTGCAAGAAGCACGGAGAGGCCGGTGTCAGCCTGTCAACCTCCGTGAGCTCCTCCATAGTCGACCGGATAAGGCAGCTGCACGGCGGCTCCGTGGCCAGTGAACTCGTCTCCATCCAGGTCGACGACAAGAAATGGGGGTGTCGGACGTCGGCCTGGGTCACCAACGCCAACTACCACGCCAAACGGACCACGCTCCTCATCTTCATCAACCACCGCGCTGTCGAGTCGACGTCGATAAAGAGGGCGGTGGAACAGACTTATTCTACCTTTCTCCCAAAGGGTGGACACCCATTTGTGTATCTTGATCTCGAGATCGAGCCACACCGTCTGGATGTTAACGTTCACCCCACGAAGCGAGAGGTTAATTTCTTAAACGAAGATGAAATCATCGAGTCTATATGCAGCGCCATCAGGGCCAAGCTTGCTGCTGTGGACTCCAGTCGCACCTTCATGACACAGACCTTGCTCCCAGGAATCTACACACCCGACGCACCCGCACCACCTTCAACCGGAGACGCCTCTTTGACCGGGGAAGGCGAAAAGCTGGCTCTCCGAACCCTGGCAGGTGTGAAGCGGCCGTATGAAAACAACCTTGTGCGAACAGATGCGAAGTTGCGGAAGATAACATCCATGCTACCCCCTGCAAATTCGGAGATAGGATCTGGCGATAAACAAGCGACGCCTCGAAATGGTCATCAGGGACTTGCTTATCAAAAGGTCAATCGGGAGGCGGTCAGTATTCGTCTGACTTCCGTCAAAAACTTGCGTGCCTCCGTTCGCTCCTCGATGCATAATAACCTCACCGAAATATTCGCTTCCAACACCTACGTCGGCCTCGTAGATGAACGGCGTAGAGTTGCGGCTCTACAGTCGGGCGTCAAACTATACCTAGTCGATTACGGCATGGTGTGTAACGAATTCTTCTACCAGCTTGGACTCACCAATTTCGGAAACTTCGGGTGTATCAATCTCGAGTCGTCTCCAAAATTGGTCGACCTGCTCTCCCTCGCTGCAGAAGTAGAGCGCGATGAATACTATCGTAGCAAGCAACATACCGACTCTTCGTCTGACGGAGACGTGGCGTCGGTGACCTCAGATGGTAGTCGCGGAGCCGATGAGGGGATGGGTGTCGATTTCACCTCTATCGCAGCTACCGTTGCGAAGCATCTAATCGATCGCAGGGAGATGCTAAGGGAGTATTTCTCTCTTTCGATATCTGAAGATGGAAGTCTATTATCTATACCCCTCCTGTTGAAGGGATATATGCCCTCACTAGCAAAACTCCCACGTTTCCTCCTCCGCCTAGGCCCATACGTCGACTGGAGCGGTGAGGAAGCTTGCTTCCGCACCTTTCTAACGGAGTTAGCTGCCTTCTACACACCCGAACAACTCCCAACTCCCCCTTCTGCATCTCGAAGCGATCGTCGCGACCAAGATAGTTCGGCTCAGGCCAGTGCTCGGCCCGGCAGTCCGCACTCTACATCCTCGGATGTTTCCAAGGGAAGTCAACAGACTGATCAATCATCCAGTCTCGACGAGGCTGAAACGGAAGATGAGTCAATTACTCGTCGTCGAGATCAGTTGTCATGGATGCTAGAACATACCTTATTCCCCGCTATACGGTCACGACTAGTTGCCACAAACAACCTTGTCCGAGGCGTGGTTGAAGTAGCAGACCTAAAAGGACTCTATCGGGTCTTTGAACGTTGCTAGATTCAACCACCTCCCCAGACCCTCCCATACATTCGACTTTCCACTCCTCCTCCTCCTTCTCCTCCTCCATCATCATCATCAAGGTTACCCCATTAACCTATACCCTAACCCACATCTGCTTTTGCTGCTGCTTTTTAGCGTATCTTTTACGGCCGAAGTATCTCCCGGATGGGTGATGTAAAAATTTCCAACGAGTTATGAAAAACATATCATTAATACCCTGTCCATTCCCACCATGGCTTACATCTATGCCAATTCATACCTTACGAACCCAGCGTCGTGCCCTCTTACTTACTTGCATCTCATCTCGACATATATATCCAACTCCCTTCATGTGTCGGCTCCAACTCTTCCCTCAAATCTCGTTTTCGTTACAAAGTGCATATTACGGTGCAGTTTCTTTCTGCCTGGAATTTATTTTATATCTACCCCCTCCTATATAACGGCCATCACAACACCCATCACCCGTCACACATCAATTGTAATATTTTTTTCTCAATGTCTTATGTCCGTTCATATTTTCTTATGGCAGCGCGGAAAGTCATGTTGTATGTTTAACGGATTGTTGACGTTAAAGCATGTATACATCGAATTATTCCTATATGCTAATATCTCAATATACAACCATTAAAATTGTAACGTTTGATTTGATGTATTGGATGGCATATCGTATCTTTGCTATTTCGTAGATATGGTATGCGCGCACGGAGATGGGGTATTAAATAAGTCTACGTAATCATTTATTTCCCATGGTCTGCTTCCGATAAGTTATGAATCAGATTTAGAGCAAGATAAGGACTGGTTGATGAATATTGGTGAATATAGTGAAGCTTATACGTAAAGACACAACCTAAACCTAGAAGGGAAATACGTTTGTTGATACTAAAACATAGCGAAAGATTCCTGATTCAAGATAGACATTGAAAAGCTTCGTGCCATTGAATTTGTTTCCATACACCATTCATCATTGAGACCATAAGAGACGTAAATCGAGAGTGAGAAGGAGTAAGAGGAAGAAGGGAGTAGGGGAGGGAACAACAGAGGGAATAGTAATAGTTAGTAGGAAGAATGACAGAGGGACACCCGAGCTTTGTGAAAGGAAGAAGAAAATTAGGAAGAAGAAAGGAACATGAAGAGCCTAGACATCCAGACATGAATGTTTCAAGGCAGTAAAAGTGGAGTACAGTAGAAATATGCCTGAAAAAGGCAGGTAAAGGAGTAAAAAGATCGGTTTGAATAGAGAGGCAAAAGGGAGGCTTCCTTCCAGGCAGCTCAGCCACTGTGTTGGTAACGCTACTGTCTCGAATATGGTTTATTCATCAAGGCAATTTCGCGGGCCACGGTAGCCCATTCTAGGTCTCGTCGAAAAGTGTTATTTCGCCTCCTTTGGAGGGTCTCATCCCATTTGAGAAGTTCATATCTAGGGAAGTAGAAAGTTAGTATATAATAGTCGGAGTAAAGCTAAACTTTGTTTGAAGCATGAAGCGCAGAATCCAAGCGCCGGAAGCACTGGCTCTTAGGCCTAGCAACGCGGAATAAAACTTACACAAATCGAAGGTGGGGCTGGATAATGACATTTAATCTTCTCGCTCGAACGAAACAACTACAAAAGCAAGGCTGTTAGTGAAGGTTATAGACTCGTAGGATATGACGGGTAGACTTACTATGCTCTTGGGAAAGAAAGATTCATAGACTTCATAACCTCGGCAATACAAATAGTTGCAGACCTAGAAACACCGACACGGCAGTGTACCAACGTTGCTGTTCCTTGCAGTTTGCCATTTTCTAAATATAAAAGAGTTAGAATACGCTCGGTCCGACACTATATAGAATGTGGAGCACGGATACATACCGATAAATTCCAAACACCTCTCAAGCTCCTGAGTTAAAGGATCTATACCATTGTCCTGTACCTCGTTGATAAGCAATAGGTTTTCGGCACCCCACTTCTCAACTTCCTCAGCCATCCAGGATACAGGCTCCCCAACGCTTAGCACCCTTCTAATGCCCAGAGACCAAAGCAACTCCGGGTTGGTGGCATGGGCCAAATTTCCAAGATACATATAAGGCAAGATTCGGCTAGGTAGTGAGCCATCCATCTTTGTCATCCAGTTTGGGCTGGGTCGATATGTCAATTGTCGGCCTTTTGGATTTGGGCTCTCGCAGAGCAACTTCTGCTGTATGCCAAGCAGGAAGGTAACGTCCGACGGATAGGCAAAGAAGTTCCGTTTTTTCTCACAGTGTAGCCTTAGCCATGCCTCGTGAACTGGCGCACCTTCTGCATACATGAAATATGCCAGGGCAAGGAGCGAGCTTTCTGTGTATCCGTCCCCGCAGTGTATAAAAACTTTGCGTGGTTTGGCTGGAACGGTTCGCATGGGGATATCACCATCCTCACCCTCAGACGGCTCATCTTGCGAGATAGGGTTGGCGAGTTGATATATCCATCGGCAGGTAGCGATAAAATCGTAGACTTCGAGTTGACTCCACGCGGATGCCATAATGCTGCCAGATGACGGGAATTCGATGTGATGAGGGCCCTTGTGGAGTTGGGATGATATCTTTGTCAGGTATCTTGAGTCGGGTATACTGGCTCCATCGTGTGTTTCGATGAGAATATCATAATCAGCAGCCGGTAGCCCTCCCATATCATAGCTCAAGTCTGGGGTCGGGCCTTGCCAAACGTTATTTGAAATTTCCGACGCCTGGGACATGCTGTACATCTCCAGTCGCTCCCAAAGGACTATATGTATGTTAGTGATTTGCGATGAATTAAATTGGTAAGAGATATGCCTTACAAAAATCCATGACTTGGCCTGATATGGCCCCATTTTGGTTAATAGCTACTATATTCGGGTGTTGCTCTTCAATTTCTTGGAAAGAGGCTATCTTACAGTTAGCTCCTATCAATAGCAATAGACGATAGCCATAGAAAGACAATTGGGACTCACTTGACACCACAAACGTGTTAAACAGCCTCGACTCTTGGCCAGGATCATATCTCCGCATCCATTCTTCCTGAGCGGTAGAAATATCGACCGCCACTGACAATATGCTTTCTTCACTCACATCATCATCTCCATATACGATGATATCTGAAATTGCAGCAAGCTTTGCCGCCTGAATATGGAAGTTCCTCACCGAAAAGCCTTCAGTTGGATCGGCATCGATAAAACTGGACCCAGCCAGAATCTCATCTGGTGCAACCGCTCCTCTGATTTTGGACTTTGTCAAATCACCGCCAACTTTCACCAGTGTGATAGACCTTAAACATTTCGGTATCCGTCGCATTGACCTGCGACGAGACACGAAAAATGATAGCTGTATCTGGTTCTCGGGATGTAACCCGTGGAGCCAGGGGAATAGTTTGGCGGGATCAGGGAGAGGTCTAGTGGCGAGATCCTCTAAAGCATTGGCTAACTGCTTGCCATTAAGTGAGAATATAGGTGGGTGGTTGTATATCTGATGATATCTGTTGTCTGGTGGGTATAAGGCGGATGGGTGCTGAACACTATATTTGCTAGAAGACGACGAAGATGTTGAGTAGGATGACGCTGGAAGTTTGGAGCTAGCCGGCGCAGGCCCAGTGGGGCAAACGGGCAGGTGTTTATTTGGGATTGGAGTTTGGCTCCTGGGTACTGGTGCTGTGAGACTAAGTGTTGGAGTTCCGAGTGGTGGGGGAGTGGGCGTTTGCCGCACCGCATGGTGCTGGAGGATGACTGCTGCCATGACAACTAGAGACAAGGAACTTCTCTGGGTTTAATATCGAGATTGTGTTTGTAGGTCCTAGAGTAGAATGTGTGGTCTGGTGTGTTTGTTTTGAATCGAGAGCCTAAAGTTGGAGCCAGCTACATGGCCTGCCAGAATGATAACAATGTCGTTATGACGTAGAGGGGTATCGAAGTGGTAATTGTCTTTAGAACAGTGAAATGAAAGGACAAGATAGAAAGAATGAAGGTATATTTGAAGCAAGGATGGACGATCGGAGAACGTTATCCAAGGAATGACATAGAGCGTCTACGCAAACAAAAGAGTCAGCAATCGGTCTTCCTTGCAGTGAGTGATTCTGAACAAGCTAATGGGTTCAATGACGGGTATATATATATATATATATATATATATATCAGCTTACCTGTATGCCAGATGCATGGATAGATTATACGGCGAAATGGGTCTAAGTGGAGTCCCGTTGACCGTTTAAGCCGCTAACACACCCAGCTGAGCAAAATACAGTCGACAAATAAGCAAGCAGCACACTCGGCGCAGTAGCAAAGGGCGACGGCGTAAGGATAAGGGGTATGGGTTATGCGCGAGCCGTGGTGGTGAGGGCGACGATGGCCATGAAGAAGACGGATGTATGAGGTGGTAGAAGGCCGGGCAGGATGACGGAGATTGGGAGGCGGGGATGCCCAGAGCAAGGTATCGGGTACTTCGGTTAGTTAACCGTCAACCGCAGGCGCGAGGTACCTTATACAAGAGCCAATAGCGTTTCGTTCACGGCTGGAAAGGATCCGGAAAAGTGGGGTAGAAAGGTTACGCTAGTCCGTTTTGGGTTACATGCGAGGTTGAATTAACCAATCAAAACACGTGATGCATTCTTGCTTTTGGTCACGTGAAGGGGTCGCCGAGAGGGGAAAGAAGTGCGACTTGATATCAAAACATGGGAGAAAGACGACGAAGAGGGAGAAGAAGAAGAAGGAAAGCAGCAGGGTAGAGGGTGGAGGGTGGCTAGGGCCAGTGGTTGCTGGTTCAACGGCTTCTTTGAGCCCTGCCGCGGAACGATCGGGGATGCGACAGCCAGGGATGCAACCCTGATTCCGTGCTCGTACCCTAGGTACTCCCTCGTACTGCCTACATCTGAATCGTGCAAGAGGAAAAGGAATATGGTGTGGCTCCCGCCTAAACTCATCGTCTGGCCGGTGAAGGTAAAACCGACGAGTTATTGCGGGGGAAAGTGGGTTACACAGTTCGACGATCTGTCCTCCACACCATTTTAGGTCTCCCTGCCGCTGTATCTCCCTTTCAATCGCTGGCATGGTCGTCTGCTGGAAAACACATTTACGGCGACTCTGATGCAACCGGTGGAGACGCAGTGTGGAGCCAAGAGTGATAAGGCGAGGTGTCCAGGCAGTACCTCGTATACTTAGAATAGTACACCGCGGGGTCGCGTCGAATGCCAGGGGGGGAAATGCCTGGCCATTTTTGCATGTTGATGGACCAAGGGGCGAATGCGAGATAGGAAACATCTCCTGGAGGGCGGGGAGATGGACCGTTTCTTTCCCCTTCTTTTGACAGAGGGGGGAGCGACCATTACCTGCTTCTGTTGCTAGCCCTGTACTCCGTACGCTCGCACAAGCCGATAGGTGCAAATGCAGCGTGATGACTGACTCAGGTCATGCATGGATGGCAGATATCCAGAGAAGGAAACGACACGCGTGCTGGGTAACGCTGCCTGCTTGAGTTGGCAGTTGATAATCATCTCTAAGGTCGAGAATACCTCCCCATAATTTCCTGCCTTGATGAGCAGATTATGGGCGGATTCCGAACACAACCTATCATTCTTGCCGCAAATACCGCGATATATGCAGCGCTGAGAAAGTTCTTTTTCCTGAGGATGCATGGTATTTGATTCAACAATGTTGAAACGCGATCTTGTATCAAAATCCCGGTTAGAATATCTACTTTAAATCATTTGAAATAGATTATTGTAAGCATGCTTACCTTACGCATTTGTTCTGATCGTTGATTTAAGGTATTATGTACCTTATACCTTTGTGTGGGCCAGATATCAACCTCCTTGTACAATAATAGGATTCCTTGATTCATTCCGATGACGATGTATTAATCACCAACGAACTTTCAGTTTTTGAGACAAGAGGTGGTGGTGGGAGAATGGGCCATTAGTGGTGGATCGATATTCAGTGTTGTATGGGCATCAGAACTTGATACTGGTTGAATCATGCGCCATTCAATATCACTGCCCGACAAACCTCCATCCAACAACCACGTCCCGTTGTTCCAAAACGTGCCAAAAGCAAAACACACGGCTCCGCCACCTATTATCAAAATCCTGCCTCCGCCAACAGGCAGAGAACTATGACCGACTAGGAGGGGCCGCGGATGGGTGGGAGAAGTATCCACAGTGAACGGGAGAGGTGTATTATTGATGCTGCCGCATTTCAAGGCGGCTAAGTCAAGCGTTATGACCTCATACTCATGTGGGATGCATCCACCAGCAGAAATTCCTCCTATGACGACCAGCTTATTTTCAAGTTGATGTACCGTGGCTCCAAAACGTGATAGCCATACGGATATTTGTGGCAGAGATTTTTGGATTTGCAGTGTTTCGTCTGTCAGCTGCAGTGATACTTCCCCGTCATCGCTCATGGATAGCTGCCACGTCCAAAAGTCATTGAGCACTACACCATCCTGTGACATTCCCCCAAAAAGAATTCCTCTTCCACTGTCGATGCTAGAAAGTACGGCCCCAAACCGTGGACAGGGGCCACCGTGGGCGGCCAAAACCGTCCAGCTCTCTGTTTCGTCGGTCTTTCTCCACAACGCGAATTGTCCAGTAACTTTACCACCGGACGACTTACCACCGTAAATAAGTACGCCCTCGTCACCTCCCGGAAATATCACAGCGGTAGCGGAATGTCGGAAGCACGGTGTCAAAAGATTGATTGATTGGTGCCAGTTACCTCCCTCCATTAACCACGTATCATTGAGCACTCTAGATGGAGCGGTACGACCACCCACTAGTAAGCATCGACCATTGCCCAATTGTGTAATGGTGTGGCACATCCGTGCCGTAATTGTTTCTGGCGGTATATTTTTTGTAGTGATGCTAGATATGGCCGATGACGCATATAAATCCGTAGATGCAAGTCGAGCTTTCTGACCTAGCCCAGCATGAAATCCTATTTGGCCGTCCATGGCAAATAGAGCTCCAAAACGTTTCTGTCCCTTAAAATTGATGGGGAAATTAGGTATCAGGCGCAATGGGTAATCTTGTGACGTTAGGTTGGCTTGGATCGCTGTTTGCCGTGGGCTAACTTCCTCGGGTGCTAATGCTCGTGTGCTCGCCCTGAGCAAAAAGTAATGTGAAGCAAACAGAGCAAGTTCTTCCCATTCATCAAATGCCTCAAAAGAGTCAAGAGATACCCTTTTTTCTGAGCTTATGAATTCATGGTCACTCCAAGCTGCCCACAAACTTCTAGCGTGGGCTTGTTTCCAATTTGCGTTGATAAAACGTTGCTCCTGTTGCGATAGTGTGGGATAGACATGGATAGATTGGAGTGGAGCCCGCCATTTGGTAAAATGTGCCATCATCGTCTTCGCGAATGGGTGCTCGGGCCCGTCTGGGAAGAACTGCTCGAGTAGGCCAAACTGGGTATCTATGACGAGGTTAGTTAGTCACTTCTTGCCCCTTATCATACCACTATATATGAATGATAGCTCGTTACTAACCATCGCTCAACTTCACCGCCCACGCAATCAATGCATCCGCGGCCTTGACGTCCATGTAAGTTAGGGAGACCTCTGCAGTACAAAGTATTGAGAACTTGGAAGGATCTAGTTCGGACTTCAAAATCTTTTCCAGTTCCACAAGGTCCCCGAGGTCACACCCAATCCCGACATATTGTTTGCCTCGAATTAGGGGACCACCCTGATCAGCAAAAACGGCATCAGGAATAAGACTCTTGAGTTCAGCACTGTTTTGTATGGCATCCCATTTCTCGAGCATCAATTTATGATGATCAATATCAATAAACTTGACATTTTCACATAACTTGGGTTCTCGTGCAAGAAGCTGGAAGAGCAAGGGATCACTAGAAAGATGTAGAATTAGGAATTGGGTATCCATCATTGCATAGCTGGCTGAAAAGGCGTATCCAGGCAGAACAAGGGTTATCACATACAATCCACAACCGAAATTTATAACCAGTTTTGGGCGGCCTGTATCCTCTTTCAAAAACTCTAGAACAGTGTGTTCAATGGCATACATTCGTAGCCAGTATCCACGGTTTATCAGGGGGGCTCGCCGTGGGATGGTCATGACGAAATGCCGAAAGAAATGAGGTTCATCGTAATATATCCGCTCGACACTCCGTTTTGAGACGATACTGCTTCCATTCGTCTTATTCAAAAGGGTTAGCTCTATACGTAGAGAATCGCACATTCCAGGAATGGCTTACGCCCATAACCATGCCCGCTTCTTTCTCCGTCTGGAGCCCATTGGACTTCCCCATCTTTGCAGATTTTTACCACACCGTTTGATCGTTCTGTTAGTCGCAAAACCTCTCTAACATCACCTGCATAAGGCGCTGGATCTCCTATAAGGAAGGAAAAAGGTGGTGGAATGTAGTTTGAAGTGGGAGGAAGGAGAAAAAAGTTGCCAAGCCCCCCCGATAAACATTTTTAGCTTATCGATAATAACCACGTGATCTAAGCCTCAAAGTGTGATCCGTGCGTCCTTCCCGTGCGTCATATGACTTGCGCTAAACCCTTTTGGGCCAGGTACCTTGCGCCTGCGGATGACTTCGTCACTTTTCTTTCGCTCCTCACTTGACATTTTAACATCTCCCGTCAACATTCATCATCCAGCATTCCAACGCTCGACGCTCGCCATCTTGCACCCACACGCCAGCGCATTCCCACCGCTTATATTTGTTAATTACTGCTCGTTGAAGCTATAGGGCTTGTCGCATCTCACGATCACCTCTATTCGCGCATCGCTTGCCCAAACCTTAGACGCTATATGATGCTACTCGACCTGTACGCTTGACCTTTACTCCAGCCAGCTTGGAGACATATCTTTGGACTTTTCCAGAGATAGCAGCACCTCCTAGAGCGACCGGATCTTCCCCCCAGACCGAATCGCGCGGATACGCACGACCTCTATCCATTCACCACATATCTATTGGGATCCTCTGCGCAGCAGTCTTGCCCACCATGGCAATGAATTTTGTGACTTTCAATCAGGACTATAGCTATCTAGCCGTTGGTATGAGTCTCTTTCATACAATTCTCATTCGTATGAACGTATTCTTAACCAAACCGGGCGTTTTTAGGTACCTCCAAGGGCTTTCGCATATTTTCCACAGACCCGTTCGTGAAAAGCTATGAGACGAAAGAAGGCAACATTGCCATGCTAGAAATGCTTTTCTCCACATCACTTGTCGCCCTTATACTATCTCCACGACGACTCCAGATTACAAACACAAAGGTGAGCCGGTCATCCGCTTACTGAGCTGGAAGGATATGTACAAACTGTTTTTAGCGAAGCTATTGGCTAACCATCATCTCATCCACAGAGACAATCGATTATCTGCGAACTTACCTTTCCTACAACCGTTCTCGCCGTTCGACTAAATCGCAAACGACTGGTCATTGTTCTGGAAGATCAAATCTATGTCTACGACATCCAGACAATGAAACTGCTGTACACTATCGAAACATCACCTAACCCAAGCGGTAAGCCTACCAGCCAAGCAGCCGGATGTTAAACCGTATATACTCACCCAACGCCTCTTTAGCAATTTGTGCCCTATCTCCTTCGTCCGAGAACTGCTACCTCGCCTATCCTCTTCCTCAAAAGGCTCCGCCGCCATCATTCACTGCTCCAACCCATACTCCGCCAGTAAATTCGCACATCGCTCCCACAAGTGGAGAGGTACTAATATTTGATGCCCAAAAACTTGAAGCCATCAACGTTATAGAAGCGCATAGATCGCCATTATCGTGTGTTGCGTTAAATAATGATGGCACCCTGCTCGCTACAGCATCCGACAAAGGAACCATTCTTCGCGTCTTCTCCGTTCCCGATGGCCACAAACTATACCAATTTCGCCGAGGTTCCATGCCATCTAGAATATATAGCATGTCATTTAACATCACATCTACTCTACTATGCGTCTCGTCTGCTACCGAGACAGTCCATATTTTCAAACTTGGTCACCAAGGGACGACTGTCGCAAGCCCCGGCTCCCCCACCAGCGTGAATAGCCAGGTGTCGGCGAATCGTCCGTACGAAAAACCTGGAAACAACGGACCGGACATGGACGGGTTCTTGGGGCGCAAACACGACGGCACATTCATGGGCTTGATACGACGGACATCGCAAACAGTCGGAACATCAGTTGCGGCAACTGTAGGCGGATACTTGCCCAAAGGTGTAACAGAGATGTGGGAGCCCGCTCGCGACTTTGCCTGGATCAAACTTCCAAAACATGCTGCAGGTTCTCAGCAACCACGGCCTGGTCCCGTACGGAGTGTTGTCGCGATGAGTAGCAATACACCGCAAGTGATGGTGGTGACTAGCGACGGGGTTTTCTACGTTTTCAATATTGATTTGTCCAAGGGAGGAGAGGGTACCTTGATTAAACAACATTCGTAAGCTCAGTCCCTTGCACGAAGCGTGGAGCCTCGATTCTTCCCCGTTCCTGTTTGATTTGCAGCCACTAACTTCCTTTTTTTTTTAGGGTCCTCGATCCCAGCGACAGACTCGGATCTTCAACAGCAGATTACTGACATGGCCAGGCTGAAAGAATATCCAATGAGACGAAGACTGTATGAAGATAAGTACTAGCTATGGCGGGTTCGCGGGCTGCGGGTACACAGGAGGGCTAATCATGCCTATCACTCCATTTCTTTAAAACCGCCCCTTTTTACGGTTTCTTTTTGATGCTTGTTTGTTCCAAACCAGTTCACTCGTTTCTTAGCGAATTGCATTTTCCACTGCTGCAAGGGCGTTATCGTGAAATTTTATGCCTATTTTAGTTGTCTATATTATTGTACATCCCTGGTTGCCGGATGGCGGGATAGTTGAATTCCTCTGTATACTTGGCCGCTTATCCTGCTATCCTATCTATCTTATCTCTGAAGATCCCTTGCCTAAACGTCCTCCTCCTGCAGGGTATGTGTCTCTTTTGCTTTGAGTTCATCCACAATGACGATCGTAAATATAGGAACCCTTGGGATGTTTTATCTCTCGCCTGCATCAACCACAACTTCGCTTTACCTCCCGCTCGGGCGTCGATATCGTATATAGAAAAACCGGAGCTGCCATCGTTCTCGTTCACTCTCGAGCGTATGTCGTATTTCGTATCTCGTTTTCCAGGCGGCGTTTCTCGTGGGTCAAAGAGCTTCAACGCCCTGCGGTTCCGGTCCATTCAGTGCCGAACGCTGCTCGAACATGGGCATCCCGGATCCACGCAAGGGTTCGCCGGCCCTCTAATTCTTTGAATTATGGGCCTCTCCACAGCAGACCACGAATCCTCCAGCAGAGGTGCCGGCGGGATGCTACCCGTCGACCACCTGGACGTATCCCCGATGTTGGTTCTCGGCAAACCCGCCTGAAGCACCGATGTTACCGGGGAGTTTGATATATAAATCCCAATGGGACTCGCCTCCCAATGATCCTACATTGTTCCCAGCCCAAATACCCTTCCACAGTTGTAGGAGCGCTGTATACCGCTCATTCGATAGGATCGGCCGCCTGCCCACAAAATGAGCGTCCCATTGACGACCCTTAGCCAGGGCTGCTGCGTAGACTCTGGCCCCCCTCAGCCGCCTATGAGAGAAGGTATGTTTTGCACTCTATGCGAGAAATATTCTGGCAATCTATCATCTTATTCTGGGAGCAAGCAAGAGGTTGGTGCTGATAACTCGTTGCCACCAGTGGAGGAGGTGAACAGGCATTCTGGCACATCAATCACTTCGTCTCAGTCGGCAAATTTACCGAAATGGAACAAGCCATCTATCAATCTGTGGCGGTTTGCTGCTGCGAACTATACGTTCATCATCCTTGGTGCTAACGATGCTGCGTATGGGGTGAGCATACATAACTGTCATATGGTTGATATAAACAAGAACATGGCTAACTCGTTCTATTTTGATCCTGACTAGGCTGTGATACCTTATGTACGTATACTTGGGGTATTTCTATATCGACATGAGCTAATGAGAATTTCCATCCTAGATCGAAAAACATTACAACATTTCATACACTGTCGTTTCACTGATCTTCCTGTCACCTCTCGTTGGCTACGCAGCAGCAGCAACATTCAGCAATATGATCCATATGAAACTGGGCCAGCGTGGTATAGCATTCTTCGGCCCATGCGCGCATATATTGGCATATGTCGCCGTCTGTCTTCATCCGCCATACCCGGCCCTTATCGTCGCTTTTATGTTTGCTGGTTTCGGTAATGGCATTGCCGACGCAGCCTGGAACGCTTGGATAGGTGGCATGGCAAATGCAAACGAACTCCTCGGTTTCTTACATGGATTCTATGGCCTTGGAGGAATGCTAGCCCCCCTTATTGCAACTGCTCTGATTACCAAGGCTGGCTGGGAATGGTACGAGTTTTACTATCTAATCGCCGGTGCCGCATTTCTAGCCCTCATTTTCTCCCTGCCGGCATTTTGGGAAGCAACTGGATCCAAGTACAGGGCGGATAATGACGACGGCTCGTACGACGAAGTTAATACCAGCAATCCCGATGGCCATGGAAATAATATCAATGCATATACGACCCCTCCAAAGGCTAACAAGCTCATGGTCAAGATTCTGGGCAAGACCAGAATGGCCGAGGCACTGAGCAACCGGGTAACCTGGATTTGCAGCATATTTCTAGCGGTTTACGCTGGTGCGGAAGTCGGATTAGGAGGTTGGATCGTAACCTTCATGATAAACGTTCGAAACGGCTCCCCCTTTGCATCTGGAGTTACAGCCACTGGGTTCTGGTTGGGCATAACACTAGGACGAATGATTCTAGGGTTCGTCACCCCCAGATACTTTAAAACCGAGAAACACGCCGTCGTGTTCTACCTGGCTTGCTGTATCGGCCTGGACCTGATATTCTGGCTCGTCCCAAATTTTTACGCTTCTGCCATTTCCGTTGCGTTTATGGGCTTCTTCCTGGGCCCCCTGTTTCCAGCAGGTGTTGTCGCCGCGACGAAATTGCTACCCAGAAATCTCCATGTTGCCGCTATCGGGTTTACCTCAGCTATGGGTGCATCGGGAGCTAGTACGCTGCCTTTCGCCGTTGGTGCAATTGCTCAAGCCAAGGGAGTCCAGATTTTGCAACCGTTTATACTAGGAGTTTTAGTATTGTGCTTAGCTGTTTGGATGTGTCTACCAAGCCTTCCAAGGAGCAACATCCGCATATAAACTCCAGCAAAGGGATGGGGCTTGAGGGAGTAGGTGGCAATCTGGTGTCTCTTTTATTCATCCAAAGGACGATCAGGTGGATAGATGGATTACGATACGCATGACATACCAAATTTGTTTATTGATGGAACATATATATAAATATATATATAAACAATCCAGAGAAGCAGCTATTCATATCATCATAGTGAGTTTCAAGGTCCTCCACTTATATTGTTTCCCCTAACCAGAAGGTAAATGATCTGTATATCACCGTTAAGAAAATCTGTCTTGGGCGTTCTTTATTCTCTCCTCGGCTGAGCGGCTTCTTCAGTTTTGACAACAAACAAAGTCACCACCACCAGGGCAGATAGGATCTATCGACATATCTTAGGAATCACGCCAGATAAAACGGGGCGATCTACTTTCGACTCACCAAGGAGAACTGTTCCTGCGCACTCTCCTTTCCATTTGCATACTGCATTTTGCTTGCCGGGACACGGTGAAATCTCGCAGCCCCAGACGTTATCTGGATCGTAGGGGCATGCCCAGCTTTTCCGTCCTGCATCTCCCTGATACGCCCATCCGTGGTATCTGTTTGTGCATACGTTGTGATCTAGGCAGATGCAGCGATCCGAGTTCCATTCCCCGCTGCATCTCCCACCAACAGCTGCAAGCAAAGGGGTAGGTAGGAGTAGAAGGACAGGAAGTAGTAGCTTCATCTTGTCGAATAACCCTCTGTATATTTATATCTTGGTGATGAGTTGATTTGCTCGAGGCCGTCAGCGAAAATCGAGGAAACGAGTCATGAATAACAAAGCTGATGGATGACGAGGAATATATACTCCAACTCGATACTATTAATAGTTACAACGTGCCCTCTTGGGGTACTCGAGTGTAGCTGCAGCTCGTATTTCTCATATTTTCGACCTTTGCCGTATCTATGATTGGGCAAGATGCCATTGGCAATGGGTATCAGACATGATCTTCACTTGCGAAGCCTAATATTGCTCATCAGCCTCAGAATGGCCCTCGAGCGAATAGAGATGCTTCTGTCCGTTCGTCATGGTGAGTTGGCAGAGTAGATCGTGGGAACGAGGGTAAGCAGGAGAGTACTCCATACACAGCTGCTGCTGCATGAGTTGATAAGATATTAACTAATTAACCATAGAGATGGACTCATATTCCCATCACATCGTCATACTTGGGGGTGAGCCATGTACTTCGGCTTATATGCTAGGATTTCCAGTAGATTAACTACGAAAACAGCAATAGTTGTGGTACAGCGGCAAGCTAGAAGCATATCGGCTCTGTTGAAAGATATTAACCATGTTTCAATCGGCTGATGGGGTCCGTTTGCATCGCTTCCTTGCATTATTATAATTAACAGACAAAGTACAGCTTGATATAGATGCAGGTCTTAACACCGCTTCCGGCTTAGGCGGATTAAGGATCCTAGCAAGGAATATATCAATAGTCCACCCAACACATGCGATATCCCCGTAGGATCGTAGTAATGCCGTTAGCTTGCTCGCCCCACGGGATCAAGTTATATCTTCGTTTTGTCCAAAATACGAACAGATGGAGGATGACAGTGGGTCGGACTTTATGCCACGCGCGTGATATTGCGCAGTGCAACCTGGGAGGCTTATGTTCCATTTGCTCGCCAATAACAGTTTAATACTTAATTCCTCGCTGGCACGGTGGTAGCAGGCTTCAGAGGAGAAGGATGGCTAGACTTCCAGGGGAGATGGAGACAGCCAATAGATGTATACCGGCCCTGTTGGATGTTACATTTTCGCCATGCAGCATGGGATACAACCCATGTGCAAAATGTTAATATAGCTGCTTTCACCTTGTAGCTTGCTTCCTTTCATCTTGCAGGGATACCTATCCCGCTGCTACCGTCCAAGCTGCGAGGGTATCGGCAGCAGCTATAAAGAGATGCCCCGTCCGAGTCCATTCCCTGTAGTCCTAAATACCTCTTCTTCGTTCTCTTCCTGGATACCCTTCTCGAGATATTTAGTATCAAAGTAGAAAATGCGTTTCGACTCTATCCTCGCAGCAGCAGCTGTCATCAGCAGTGTCGTAGCCCATGACCCTGTTGTTGAAGTCCCCAGATGTCCCCGGCGTGTCTCCCTGGGCTTTGACAAGACAGTTCCTGATCAGAAACCATTCCCACGCACATCCGTCAAGCTCTGCTATAACACCAAGACCCTCAATCTCCAGTTCGAGGCCAAGGATGAAAAATACTTCTACTTCGACCCGGCACAAAAAACCAACGAAGACATCTGGAAGTATGAAGTAATGGAAGCATTCATCTCCACAGGCCATGCCGACCCTTCGACATATCTCGAGTTCGAAGTCAACCCCAACAACGTCACATACCAGGCGTTCGTCTACAACCCATCCAAGAATCGAGCAGAGGGTGCTCCCTTCGACCATGCCTTCATCACCGATCCTATCGCTGACGGCATCACATCCAAGACGTCGCTAGCACAAGCCGAGGGAAGGTGGTCCTCTGATGTCCATATCCCACTCGCTCTGTTTAACGTCGATACACCATGCGGCTCGAAGTGGCGCATGAACTTCTTCCGCACTGTGACATCCAAGGAGACCTATCCAGACCAGGTTTTGGGTGCATGGAACTCCCCGAACAAAGCAAGCTTTCATATAACCTCGTTTTTCAGGAAGCTTGTTTTTGTTTAATTCATTCTGCTGGTTCTGGGAATGTGCTTGTCTCTGGAAATATGCATTGGAGACACAATGTTATGGCCGTTAGTTTAGCACCGATGACCACGAGGACAGATGCATGTTGGCCAAAATATATCGAAATGATACACAGTATTAACAATGTGACTTGTGATAACTTCAAGAACTTTTCCTCCGTGGGAGCTTAAATAGTTACACATCACGTGACGTACTTGTTATTTTCGGCGTTTCTCATCATTTCTGGTTATTTTCAAGGTTGAACTTCGAGGAGGCCGTTTTATTCTCACATTGTCTAAATATTGCAAGTCCTTATTAAGAAATGGAAGTCTCGGAGTCGAGGAAGCATAATAAACCTCCTAGAAAGAAGGCCGTGAATCCTTCTCTCCAGGGGGCGATCAAGGCGTTCATCAACAACCATCTACACCCTTCATTCCTAACAGACCACAGCATCGATTCAGACTTATTATTATCTTCTGTTACCAAAAGATTCACCATTTATGAGCCACTCCTTCTGCTACCTCCCAACTTCTTCAGCAAAACACCTCAATGGGAAGCTTTTATATCTCTCTTAAGCCATAACCAACTTCAGGGTTTATACACTTCGATAGCGTCGACCTTCGCACCCATGGGTGTAACCCATGTAGCAGTAAATGCTCCAATTTCCCTTACTACAAATAATGGAAATGAGAACAGGGTCCGGGGTCCGACTAATCTTACCCCTTTATATGGCGACTTTGGCCCCATACTGTCCTCTGGAGACCAGCAGATACATCCCTCAGAGTCCGACTTCCAGCAAGCGTTTTGGGTCAAGACAGTACAAAATTCCCGAATAATACAGATTTGGGCGCCTTTATATACAATGTTCAGCCGCGGAAACGTTGTGGAAAAGGCTCGAATACTTGGGCTAGAATCAAAATTTGATGGCTTGAACGAACAGCATCTTCGTCAGCTTCCGCAAGAAATATCGATCATCGATATGTATGCTGGAATCGGCTATTTTGTGTTTTCTTACCTGAAAATGGGTGTGGCTAGGGTGTGGGCTTGGGAGCTCAATGGCTGGTCTATTGAGGGCCTGCGTAGAGGATGTGAAGCAAATAAATGGGGGATTAAAATATTGGAGGTGGACAGTGAAGGCAGAGTTAATGGAATCGATGACCTGATTGACAAACTAGATGATAATAACCTTAGAGTGGTCGCTTTCCATGGCGACAACTCATTTGCAGTCAGGGTTATGCAAGACCTGAAAGCCAGACTAGAGGCGAAGAACATGTGGAAGCGGATAAGACATGCTAACCTTGGCCTTTTACCAAGCTCAAGAGACACTTGGGGTGCTGCCGCGGCCTTGATAGATCCCGAAATGGGTGGATGGATTCATGTGCACGAAAACGTCGATGTACGTGAGATACCCGATAAAAAATTATCTATTGTTGCGGAATTCCAAAGGCTACAATCAAAAAGCGAGGAACCCTCTGGGCGGCGTGTCCCAAGTCATGTTGGGTGTTCCCATGTGGAGGAGGTGAAGACCTATGCACCAGGAGTGATGCATTGTGTTTTCGATGTACATATCCAACCTATAGATCCTATAGGAGTGCAAGGAGAGAAGGAAGGTTAGGTCGTGTCATCATTTCCGGATGGAATTAGACACCCCTCCGGAATAAAACAAAACAAAATGTGCTATATAGTTGGCATTGGGAATCTATCAGACATGCGAGGGGAAACATACTACATTCTCGTTCATTCACACATACCCATTAACTGGGTGAATATACTTGGAATATTCCACAGTATATAGAAAGGAAACACCAAACTTGCCAAATGGCAAGGTTATGGGCTCGGGCTCTTCAAAAATTTGGCCGGAATATTGGCAACCACGATATCCATGCTCTCCAGCTTGTCCAATCTCAAGCTTTCGGCATACTCTCTATCGTGTTTCTTAAAGTGTTCAATATCCTCTGGGTGCGTCAAGTCCTCTTCCTTTGCGTCATCCCCATGGTATTTCTCGAAATGGTGGATTTCATACTCGTACTCCATATCACCATGGTGGCCTGGCCCAGTCCCAAAATCGGGCAATTTTTTGCCCTCCTTCGAAAGCCGTACATAGTCGTTAACCGAAATCACCCCTGTTTTTAGGGGGTCGAAAATGTTGAAGACCTCCCGGAGGATTTGTTGTTTTCGTTCTTCGGTGAGAGCAGCATTTGACTCGTCATCTAGGCCGTACGTTCGCCGGACCTCATCTGTTGTCCATACCCCTGAATTATCGTAGTCGTGTAGTGTAAAGAAGGATCTCGCGTCGAATGAATTGATGTGGTGCTCCTCTGTTATGTTGGTCGGCGGTTAGCGGGGGATGTAATTCGTTTCATTCAAAAATAGCTGGAGGAGGAGCATTCGGGCTTTCAAAAGCCATCAATAAATGCAGTATCTCACCTATCATATGCATCGTTGGCCAGTCTAGGGTCGAGTAGTCTTGTTTCTCGCCATGGTTTTCGTGTGCGTGGATGAAGGGGGTAAACGCCAAGACGGTTAACAGTATACTCCTTGCTTTGATCATTGTGAAATATGAATTGCAATGGCGAGACCCTTCTATTGTTTCTATTGCTGCCGTATCTTTCCCGTAGATCTGATAGATGGCCGGTGAAGCTACGTTACACTATGCGGCCTCCTTCGCCCTGAGCTTGTTTGGCTTGTTTGCATCTATACTGGTTGCTTATGTAATTATATTCGTCAAAGTCAATTTTGTTGCATTTCCGAATATCAAGAGACCGGAGGAGGGCTGATCATGAATTTCTATATCGATGCCACAACCAGCCCTCCAAGCTCGCCATTGACACTTACGACAAGTATTCCTATACCCGCAGAGGCCAAATGATGTCTTTCATTTAGGTCCCGACCCGCCAATTCCGCTGAGACGCCGCCCATTTAGCCCTTGCCCTCCTTCAATGCCGCTCCCTATCTGACGCATGATGCAAAGTCTTTGGCCGCGGGCCCAGCTACAGGCCTATGCCTGTCGGTGTAGCTCCTGCTTGAAGAGCTCTACATCCAATGCTGCCTCCAACCGGACTGTCTCCGCGGCAAGTCGACGACGGATGCTGATAGGAAATGGCGTGACCGGATTTTATGCTACCTTGTTTGCAACGGCTGTAGCGTGGGATACTAGTGTGAAGACAAGGAAGCGGATTGAAACACAACTGGAAATTGAGGCCGTGAAGGCAGAAGTCGAGGCGTTCGAGCTCGACCAACTTCGACGATTGGAGGCCCTGGCCTCGAGGAGAAGGGCCCGCGCATCAGCCCCATCACAACAAAGGAGACAGTTTAGCACGTCCACAAGGCCCTATCAGCGGCAGTACGGGCATCGCCAATTATCGAGTCAGGCCACTGGAGCAAAACATCAAAACCCGGAAGCAGAGTCATTTGGTAGGCCTTGTGTCGACGAAGAGACCGATAACTCCGTGGCACAGCAGGAACAACCACTCTCCAGGGACTTGTCGAATTATGAGACTGATGTAGACCCGAGGTCTGAGGCGGAAATAGAGAGATATGAAAGCGACCTTTCGCTTAATGACATTCTGCGACAACGAGCGATTCTACGTCTGGCCGCACGACAACTCGCAATCAAGATGATACTGCGGCCCGCCCTGGCGCATCTATACGGGGGAGTACCATTTAACTCACGAACTTCTTGCATCCTCCCAGATATCGAAATAGAAAAGCTTTTAGCGGAACTCGAAAATATTCGGATCAGGATAGCGAAGCTTAGGAGTTCAAGAGATGCGTGGTTTGGCGACTTGGCGAGAAATATCACAATAGTGGAGCATGAGAAACTGATCGCGGAGAGAACTGCTTTAAATGAGGAACTGAAGCGAATGTACAGGATGTACCAGGACGACGAACTCACATCCCGGGACATGCTTATAAAAGTTGCCGAAAACATCCTGTCATCTGAGGAGCCATTGTCGCGATTTTCGGTGTCTTTATTGATAAGAATGTTTGGTCGATCAAGGCAAAATGATGTGGTGAACATGATTATCGATTCGATATTTCCGAACGGCCTTATTCTCGGAGAAGGTGTCATTATAGCAACTATAGACTTCTTCAACAAGTCAAAAGATCTATATAGATTCGACGGATTCTTGAACAGGCTGTTAGGAGGAAAGCTGCTACGGGTACCACAGTATTGGAAACTCACGACTATTGGTGGTATTGAGATTCCTGTACCACCAAGGGGCTCTGGTAGTGATCGTTCAATCCTGAGTGTTCTCGTATCTTCTGCCCTTGGCTTTAATCAGCCACAGAGAGCGGATGCCTGGCTTGCCGTCATGCGATACCGCGGCTATTCCGATACTCCCCAGATATTGGGGTCATACCTACGATTTTACTCGCTGCGCCAGGACTGGGTTAGAGGGGGCCACCTGCTACTGAGGTGTGTCGATTACATCGCATCCACTGTAGCGGACGATGAAGGTGAATTTGAACGCCTAATATTATATATGGCTGGCTTTTGCATCTCTTGTGGCAAGGAGAGACTCGGGAAGACGATAGTGAAAAAAGCGGCAATTCACGGTATCGATTGGCAAGACGCCTACAACTCCACAGATGAAAGAATTGTCATTTTATCTACATTAGAACGCTGGCGTGCGGCCATGGAGTTTCCGAAAGTGCCGGAATCTAGATTACCAATTAGTGAGAGGCACAAAGCGTTTGCAGTGAGAGTCAAGGAGAATATCGAGCGTGCAGTATCGGTGACCGAATGGCAGAAAACATCACATCAACAAAGAATCGACCGAGTTGTGGACGAAATCAAATATTCGGAGTTGGCCATTCGCGACCTGGGGTTTGGGGTGGAAAAAGAGCGTCACAAACAGGATATGAGAAATCTACACCTCAAACTATCCCAGCCAAGCCAGAGCGAATCTATCCGTGAAAAGGTTCACTTTCTGGATGTATCTATACGCGACATTGCCTTGGAGGTTGAACGGCAAACGCGCAAAGCGGAAATGGCGGCTCTCAAATCACAAATGGATCTGATAAAGGCCATGATGTCCCACAAGGTCTCGGCCCCAGATACAGAATCGCATGAATCGCCATGCACAACCCGCGAATTCACAGCCTCCAAAGCTTCATCGTTGGTCCCTCCGACTAAAATTGAGCTGCAAAAGCAATCTAAAAAAAGGTCGGCTCCTCGGATCAAAAAGGTTGCATCTGTCGGCAAAGGTATACATCCCTAATGATGGTATGCCGCACCAAATTTCTCTGTCTAATTAATCACTATACCCACTCCATATCTTACTCTATTTTCCGCATCATGGGCGTCCCTTCATTCAAGCCTCTCTTATCGATCTCCATCCATGGTAACTGACAGGATATTTGTCATTTGCCAATAACCTATTGTATACTATTTGCTCTACGTTGGGATATTTGGGTGATGATATATGCCTTTGAAACTTGGTTATTTGTATTATTATCATGCGGTTGGAGTTTTATGCAGGTGGATATTGCCCCAAGTAAAATCAGGATCAAGGAAGGGATCCAATTATCATGTATTTATAGATTCAATCGAAGGTTGAGCCCACGGCCATGGATATTTCACATTCCTTTCTCCCATTGTTTCCGTAGATCTAAATTACTACGATAACAGGTTGACGAATAACCCTATAAAGGATGGTTGTAGGAATTGAACGATTGTTTATGTATTCATGATGGCTTTATCACATAATTCTATCAACTCCTCCTGCTTCTGTAGATGTGAAAGGAACCACTTGGCCAATTGGGTACGAGATACAAACATGGTCTATTTTTCTGAAGGGTAATAACGCCGTTGCCATTAATTTCGCGCACCGAGAAGGCACAACCACCGATTAAATGCAAGCGCTCTGACTCGTGGATTTTTTTTATTCAAATGCTGAGAGATGGTCGTAACTAAGGTAGTAAAACAACTGATTGATATCAGTCCGTCCTGCTCCTAGGCTATCCTCGGCTACTCTGCGTGTAGAGGTGGTGTAAAGGTAGCGTATGTGTACGTATCCCCATTTATCGTTTCTTGCTGACATCAGATCTCATTTTCTCCTTACGAGAAAGTCTTTCTCCAGCCCGAATCAACGCAGACCGAATCTCTCCTTTTGGGAAACTGGATATGTCATAGTATGCAGGAGATATATCCTATAAAAGTGAAGCACGAGTTAGGAGACCGAAAGCAAACTTTAGTGGTAATGAAGGGAACGTAGGAACTCACCAGCAACCATTCTCCCTTAACCGCCGTAACCGTTCTAATGAAGCTCTTCGTTGTCAAAACAAACTCATTATACAAGACCCATTCCGCTTCGTATCCTAAGACGGTGCTAGGATGTAACAAAACTGGCTCATTGTTATCCTTAACTGTGCGGTACAAGCTCTTGCCTTGACTCTCCTTCTTGGCAACTTGCATGAAAAATCCAGCAACCAATGCACGACGAATATTTTCGTAATATTTCTTATCTTCAAATGGAGTGGATACCAATTCAATCTCTTCTCGTTCCATTATACGTTGAAGTTGTAGTCGTACATTGTCGGCGGACTGTAGGGCTCGGAGGGAAAGGAAATGATCATGACACCATTGTCGGGGGTCAGCCTGTGCTTCTGGGCCCTTGAATGCATGATATGCGTTAAGGAGCGTGAGATGGTCGCCATCTGGGTGAGCGAAGAGAGCCTTCATTTCATCAGCACGTTTTCGCTGTGCTACCGGGCGAACGAAAATCTGAGAGACCGAAAGTAAGGAGGTTATTGAGAGGATCTCATTGGAGCAGTAAAACTCTGGTGAGCTTATCAGCATCACAGCTAGGGCGGGATCCAAGGGGAATTCTGACGCCAATCGGCCTAGCTCAGTAAGATCTCCATTATCATCCAAGCATGCTAAGTAGTTCAGCTCTTCCAGCGCGCGCATCAACGTCTCGGGAGCCGGAGGGTCCATAAGATCAAAGTGAACCAAGTCCTCGATACCGAGTTTTTTCAAGTCCAAGACGGTAGAGGATAAATTTGAGCGAAGGACTTCTGGGTGTGTTTGTTCGATAAGCTCCTTTTTGAATGCGCCTTCGGTATATAGACGGAAGCACTTTCCAGGTCTTGTACGACCAGCACGACCAGCACGCTGCTGGGCTGATGCTTTTGAAATAGGAGACACAAGAAGAGACTCAACACGAATGCGCGGGTTATATACCTTCTGCTTCGAGAATCCAGGGTCTACCACGTACACGATACCGTCGATGGTAAGCGAGGTCTCGGCAATGTTCGTGGATATAATGCACTTCCTTCCAGGTCGTCCCTTTGGCTTTCGCGGTGGTGGTGCAGGTTCGAATATGCGTTGCTGCATTGCTGGAGGTAGAGAACCGTATAGAGGATACACTTTCATCGGCCCAGCATCTACTTCACGGATCATCTCGTCTACTTCGAGAGAAATCTTGCGTACAGCATCTTCAATCTCTTCTTCTCCCGTTAAGAAGAGCAGTATATCGCCCTCTGGTTCCGTCGCATGGATTTGTAGAACTGTGCGAATTGCTGCTTCAACATAATCTTGTTCTGGCTCCGGGGTATAAAATATTTCGACGGGGTGAGTTCTTCCCGGGACCGCTAACAATGGCGCATCGGAAAAGTAGCGTTGGAACTTTTGAGCATCCAAAGTGGCCGACATAATGATGAGTTTCATATCTGGCCGGCGCAGAACGACCTCCTTTAAAAGACCCATGAGGACATCAGTTGCCATTGTCCGCTCGTGAGCCTCGTCGAGTATGATGGTACTATATCGCTTAAGATCGTGATCGTGCATAGCTTCTCGTAGCAGCATACCATCCGTCATATATTTCAGTATGGTTTTGGAACTTGTCTTGTCTTCGAATCGAATGCTATAACCAACTTCCTCTCCGAGTTTAACGTCCATTTCGTTGGCGACTCGCTCGGCGACTGACATGGCAGCAACACGTCGTGGCTGGGTACAGGCAACCAGCTTTCCGCGAAATTGGGGGAGGTCATCGTAGAGCACGAACTGAGGAATCTGGGTAGTCTTTCCGGAACCAGTTTCACCAACGAAGACGAGAATTTGCGATTCTTGGTAGAGACGTAAGAACTCATTCCTGCTTGAAAGTTAGTACTATGACTTTAAAATGTGAGAGATATCAATACGTTGAACGTACCTCTGTGCATGAACTGGAAGATCGCGACGAGTCTTCAGAATCGATACATATCGGCTTGAGAATGGTCTGCCTGTGAATGGATTTACACTTGCACTTTCAACCTCGTTTGCCATCTCAGCTGTCGTTTCGTGTCTCTTGAAGCCTGAAAGAGGCGACGTATCTCCGAATCCATTTGTCGATGTATGCTCATCTTCGTACATGTGCGCCAGGTAAGGGTTTGATCGAGGATCCATTTCCGCTGTCGTCTTTAGTCTTTTCGCGCGAGAGGTATTCTCGCCATCTGTTCTGGCCGCCATGATAGCTGGATATTGTATAAGCCGTCCGCTTCCTTCACTTGGAGACAGGGCAGCTTGTTGGGTGTTCGTGTGCAAGATGATGTCTTGTTTCGCTGCCTTTTTTTAAAAAATTGTATCTATCAAACTGAAATTTTGGCGGCAGGCCCAGATAGGAAACTCTATTGGCGGAGATACCCTATCTGTTGCTTAGTCATAGTTAATTACACTGTATTTACCACTTTCTTTACCGTCGTTGGCCAAAAATACAGAAATTTAGGGTGGTTTCACTTAGTCAGCTGGAATTTATATCTTCCGCTGTGAAATCTAAATACCAGAAGCCATTCACTATTCACTAGACGAGGAGAGGCACCATAGAGAGATAATATACATGTATCTTGACTGTCTAACACGGCTTAAGCTCTGTAAATGAATAACTGTGCATCAGATGAAATCTTGACGCTCTACATCTGCAATGACAGGATAGGAAAGTAAGCCGAGCGCGGCAAACCTGCCAAGTCCAGCGCGCCCACCACAGAACTTTTTTGCTTTTTGGTCTCCCCGCGATGGCTTCATTTTTTGGTTAAATATCAACATCTCAGCTATCCCGAGCGCTGGGTAATCATATGCGCGCTGAGCTGGGAGTAGCGTTGGCTTCTGTACTGCGGCCCTGAGTTGAAGCTTGAAGATTTGCTTTACGATCGCAGTCTTGACATCAGCTCTTATTGCTTCACCCTTGTGAACTAACTAGCTGGAGCTATCAGAGCTGGTGGGCGACTCTAACAGGACTCACTTTCTCAACTATACTCAAATTACGCTGATAAAAATTGGCCTGCCGCGTTTTCTACACTGTATTTGAGGAAGATGGCCGATTCAGAGTGGTCTCCGCCAACGTTTACCGTTGGCCAACATGAATCTGAGAGGAAAATACGCATCACCAATGAGATATCTCAATTGGCTCATGATGGTGGCGTATGTTTTAACTCCTGTTTCTATGTCATTCGAATTTCAGCGGCCTACCTCTAACGGTTCTTTAGTATGATATGCTTACCACCCCAGTAACAACACCGCATTTCCAATCGCGGGTCCTTTCTCTACTCTCTAGCCATCTCTCCAGCTCACGACAGCCCGTCCAGGACCCAACTGGCACCTTCTTCACCTCTCGCAACACTTCGCCTCTTAAAATTCCCTCGTTTACGACAGCAGATACAAACTTGAGACCTGATGGAGCCAATAGCCATGTGGTTGCCGTCTCAAGTCGATGGATTGACCTTTGCTCCCCAGACCCTCTGATTGCCGATATATCCCGCCAAGTTTTGCTTTTGGAACTTGCCTATGCTGCCTTTTGCGGAGCTCATTATGCTCTTATTCATGGGCCGAGACTACATCACGGGAACTTGCACGGAGATGGGCTAATATACTATGCACGAGCAATCCAGGAAGTTTTGAATACTGCACCATATATTCGTGTTAATATTTGGCTACCCGTGGTTGATAGTCCCGAGTTGGAAACAAACGAAATGGGAGACCTTTCTCCGTTTGCAAGGCGCGAGTATTTGGACAACTCTCAACCAGAAGTATCTCCAAAATTGGATATATTTGGAACGTGGGATGCATGGAACATCATTAGGAAAGTTTGTAAATACCACACCAGACTCGTCGTAGGTAAGGATAATAACATTTTACCCGTTGATATTAAACACCGATACCTTGCTTTGCATTGCTCTTTGTATTGTGTTTCTATATCTTCATTCTGTAACATGCTTGAAGCCTTGATGATTTATACTAATATATGCATCCAATCTAGCACTGTCACTGCCTCGACAACTTCCCCCATCAACAGTGCAATCAAGATGGTTATCAGAACCTGTTCGCATTATTACTTTGGCGAGCGCATCGTTCGTGAAGAACCAGAAAAGCTTCCCTGTACTCAGCAAGGCACACCAGTCGTACATCTTCCGCGCCATGCGTGGTGTACCGCCGTGGATTTTCCTATGCGATGTCGGTCCCATTCCAGGGATAGAGAAGATGGGGAACCATGCTCCAACCCCAGCTGAAGCAGCTCGATCTCCAAAGAAAAAAGAGGATATAGTACCTCATCTATCGTATATACGAAATTTAGAGCAGAAGCAGCCACATTGGACACGTGTGGAGAACTTCACTCTTGGATATCAAGACTATCTACAGGCTCCGCTACAGCCGCTTACAGTCAATCTCGAGAGTGTCACATATGAGGTTTTTGAAACAGACCCGGTGAAGTATGAGTGGTATGAGCGAGCCATTGCTAAGGCTCTGAAGGACTGGGCTCTGGAAAAGAAACCAACATCTAACCCTGATGGTCGAGTGGTACTGGCTGTTGTCGGTGCTGGGCGTGGACCTTTGGTTTCAAGGGCAATTCGTGCTAGTGTTGAAGCTGGTGTCGATATAAAATTATGGGCCCTGGAAAAGAACCAGAACGCATTTGTCCATCTCCAGAGGCAAAATGAGGCGGTATGGGGTGAGAGTGTGACATTAGTGCACTCTGATATGAGAAGCTGGAAGGGACCAGGTCGTGAAATCCCAGCTCAAGGTACGTTTATCATTCTTACTTAGTTTCTATTAGAAACCCATGCTGTCGCGGATATTCCTTTCTGTATCGTACTAACGACATATCTAGATGTTGCCGCTGAAAATGGGAAGCCTTCCATGGTTCATTACCCAGTCGATATCATTGTTTCCGAACTTCTAGGTTCTTTCGGCGACAATGAACTATCGCCTGAATGTCTCGATGGTGTTGATCATCTTTTAAATCCAGTTCACGGAATTTCCATCCCAACTTCATATTCGTCGCATATTACACCGATTTCGGCTCCCCGCCTTTACGCAGATATTCAAAATCAAACTATATCAAATCCAGCAGCACCAGAGACTCCATATGTTGTCATGCTACAGGCCTTTGACTACCTTTCCACCGCTCCCTCAATTCGTTCTAGTTCCGGTAGCGCCTCCACGAGCACCGCGACGCTGACTTCAAGCTCAACTCCATCTACAACACCACCACCCATTAAAGAAGTCGATACACCGATAATCAAAACGGCCTGGTCATTCTCGCATCCGAATCCAAATCTACCAGAGGAGTCTATGTCTTCATCTAGGCCCTCTAATTCCCACAACACTCGACAAACGCGACTTACTTTCCCATGCAGTGTCGGTGGAACGTGCCATGGTTTGGGAGGATATTTTGAAACAGTGTTATATGGAGACGTCGAGCTGTCTACTAATCCTCTAACTATGGATGCCAAAAGCAAAGATATGATAAGCTGGTTCCCTATTTACTTCCCTTTGAAGGTATGTGATCTAGTAGTGAACTAAACACGGAGTTATACTAATTTGCCTCTGACAGAGCCCAATATATGTCTCTGAAAATTCCGATATCGTACTGACCATGTTTAGACAAACAGATGATCGGAAAGTCTGGTATGAATGGATGGTTGAAGTATTTATGTATCGGAATGCTACAGATATGCGTGGAGGAGGCCAGTCTAAACGGATACGGGTTGCAATGAGTGACATCCACTCTAGTATCCGAGATGGATGTTTGATGTAAAAAGATATCTGATGAGCCCACTAGTTTAGAAGCTATACGCAAGTACCATGGCCATACTTTAAAATTAGAGAATAAACGTGGCCCAGTCAAATGACCCAAGGTTAAATGATATTGAAAGGGGCTATCAAAAAGTTAGGGTGAGACAAACTAACTAATTGAGCGTTGTAGAGCTGTGTAAATAATGACCATGTATCAATATAAACCCTCATAATACTGATTCAATGCAGTGATATGGGGTATAGCTCTAAGGGAAGTTGCCCGTTCTTTGACCCCTCGAAAAAAGTAGGTTCAATTCCATTCAATAACCAAAATATCTATGTCTAGGGTAGCTCGCCAGGGTCGCATTTTCCCCGAGGAATTCTTCTGGGCAGATAAAACGGTGTAATATTTAGGCATCACGTCCCGTTAGCCCTTGTCGAATAGCAAGGACACTGTCGACAATCACTGCGTCGATACCCTCGTTGACTTGGATCTGTAAACTCGGCAAATCGCGTGGTAAGTGAGTGTGACACACAATAAACAAGGTATGGAAATATGGTACATACCTTGACATTAGCTGGATCGTTATTTATAGCCCCATATGAAACGCAAACCAGGCCTGATTCTTTAACAACCCTCACAAGCCTGGGGCTGAGGACAAGCGGCTCAGCATTCGTGACCAGGCCTAGTAAATTCCATCGAGATGCGAACCGGATAGCTTCTTGGAGACTGCTGGCTCTAATATCGCAAACAGGGCTTACTCCCGAATCGGTAAGGAACAGGACAGGAATTGAAGGTTGTTTGAAGGAAAGAATGAGACAAATGTCCGGGTTGAAGGATGAAAAGATCATGTTTCGCCCTTCACCATGATCGTAGACTATGCGGAGAACGTTGTCAACAAATGAGTTGAGTTCCACGGCATACTTGTCCATTTCTTCCTCTTCACTCTCGTGAAGCATAGGGTATTCTAATAGGAACAGCAGGGTTAGTACCAAGACCTAAGAGTTATCATTGGTACATGGAAGAGTGACTTACTTAGCTCCATGTTGAAGCCAGCGGACTTTGGTAGCTCCTTAAAGAGACCTTCAAGGGTTGCAAAAGGTGCTTGTATGTGATCACCTCGGGAATTCCCTTTGAAGCCCTTCTTTTTGAAATCTCTAGTATGCTTCATTCTCTCGCTCAAATTGGGCACGTCTAGCTCTTCTCCAACAGACATGGACCGTGGTCGGGTCTGCAAATAGCGTGGAAATCCGTCATCTGATGTAGGTGGTGTTCCCTGGTTTGAGGTTTGTTTTCCCGCTGGCTTTCGGCCATCACTGATATGAAGGAACTGTATAGTGATATCAGCTTCCGCACATTAGGAGACCCTCAACACGGGATAAAAGTACCTGCTCCAATGTAAGAGTATGAACTGGCGCATCGATTCCAGTTTCGCTGACAAGGAAGTCATGATAAATCACCGGAACATGATCCTTGGTCAGCTGAACGTCTTCATTCCCACTCAGTCAGTACATAATTTAACGGTGAGAAGATGATGGATTTTCCTACCAAACTATAATTGAAGAATTAAGGATCAGTAAACACGGACAGCATCGACGAAGGGAAGGAATGGCAATGCTCACCTCAACGTACGACGCTCCCAAGTTTGCGGCCGCGATAAATGACTGGGACCGCCGTTAGGAAAATCAATAACTTTCAGTAGATTTGCGACACACCTGAACAGTATTTTCACCCAATTGCAACGAACGGCGCCCAGCGATATTTTTTCCGAGACCTTAAAGCACATTTGTTAGGCCTAAACGACCCTTATAAGGGCAATGTCAAATTACCTCTATGACCAATCACCATTGGGGATGCAATAGTCCTCCAGTAAGTCTGATCCTCCGTAACCGACATTTTGGGATGGCTGAATGGGGTAATGACTAGGAAGTTGAATGTAACGGAGCCTATGATGTCAAGCGTCTTCGCAGCAATTATCGGAACGACAAAATCGCCCTGTAAGTTGGTTCGATTGGACCCAACAGTCGGCTTAAAGCTGGATAACAAAGCCACACCTCGACCGAAGACTTGGTCCTTAGAGCCTGCATATGTGGGGACTAGATCGAAAACAATTTTGGTCTTGGTAGAATCGGTAGTATGAAATACGATAGGCTCTGTTGAGATGTTGTCTTGAACTGGCAAATCGATGATTTCTGGTTCGCCATGAGCACCACTAGCAGAAACAACAATCGATAGCGCGGTATCAAGTTGCGTTAAATGGGCATCCGCCATCGGAATGCGTTCAAGGCTAACAGGGTCTGCGGTCTTCCTCATATCCATGGTTCCGAGACTGACTAGGATCATGCTCTCATCTGTTAAGTAACGATGACCAAAGGTTTTTACCGCGTCAGCTGCGCGATCGCTCGAATTGCGGTCATTTAAGGAGGATTGAGTTGGGGGAGATGAAGATACCGGCGATTGCGATACAACATCTGACTCAACGCTCCCATCGGAGGAAGCCATGGCCTCGTCCAAATGGCGGGCGATATCTATATGGCCTCTGAGAGTAGCATGTTCCTTTGCAGTCCACCCAGACGAATCAGCTACTTCGATATTGGCCCCGGCATCAACCAGCAATTTAACGACATTCAAATTCCCATCCACGGAGGCAATGAAGAGTGGAGTCCACGAGTAGGTGTTCTCTGCCAGTTCAAGGTTGGCCTTTTGTTCATCAGAGCCTTTCAAAAGCGCAGCAGCACACTCAGCGTGGCCAAATCTCGCTGCAGCATGGAGAGCCGTTTCTCCCTGTTCGTCTTGGTAATTGATATTCACTCCTGCGTCCACCAATAGATGGACAATATCGACGAAGTTCGCCTTTGTAGCAAGAGCGAGGACAGCACTAGATTTTAAAATATTCCTTCGGATTGCTGTTATATCTTGATTGCTGCCTTTCCAATTCTCAGAATCAAGGAGCGCCTTCGTCGTTAGGGGGTGACCACCAACAACGCTCAAGTGGAGTGGTGCCATGCCCTCTTCGTCCTGCCATAAAGGTCCATCGATACCCTCTGAGACATCGAACATATCCCATGCTTGGAGATGCTCAATTATCACCTCACAGACGACTTTGAATCCATATTGAGCTCCAAAATGCAGGGGAGTCTTTCCAGAAAGATCTCTAGCGAGAAGTGCAGACCGTTGGTGAGGAAGTAAGTGGTCAAGCAGGTATTGTAAAAATACCACAATAGGACTATCACGCCCAAGGTGAGTTGGTTGGTTTGATTCCATTACTACTGGCCTCTGGGGTTTTAGTGTTGGGGTAGCGGCAGGGGTGATATAGTTCGAAGTCTCGACTGGGAAATTCAAAACCGTAGGAACGGATGCTTCAGAGTCAATAGTAGACTGTGATCGGCCAATTGAGATGACCAAGCGGTGGATGCAATTTCGTTTGTTAATATCGTCTTCTTCCTCAAGAGAGTTGACTCGTTGCAAAAGGGCAACAAGACAAGCTTTAGAACGGTAGAAAATTGAACGTTGTAGCAACGACATTAAGACCTTCGCGTATACTGCCTCTCCCAGCCCATCGGCCGCGACCTTTAGCGTTGGCAGTAATTCAAGGAGAATGTGGGTGTCATCGCGGCTGAGGGCATCATCTACAGCTAGCAGTAAGCTGGTTGGGAGGTTGAGTATTGTTCGAGAAGATGTTTTCTTCAACGAGAGTGCAGAATGGGTCGAGCTATTATCATCCATGACTTTCTCATGACCGAGTCCAGATAGCCACTCATTGATGGAATTCACAGAGCTTAGGAGACGGGAGTTTGTCGCAAATGGCGAAGGATCAACTTTTGTTGATAGGTACCGCACCTGGGCTTGTGCGCCAGGAAGCTTCTTATCCAATTTCTTGGTGATTTTAATAAAGCCTCTGCGATTTACCTCGCCGTACCATTGCAGTTTACGCAACTGACCGCGAAGCTCCAGGAGTGCTGCTAACAAGTCCTCAGTGTCTTCAGCATCCAGGCGTGGCAGTGCGGCCGTCGGATGACCGAACCGGTCCTTCAGAAGTTTCAAGCGGCGAGAGCAGTCAGAAAACTTCTTGTTATAAAAAGTATCAACATCCTCGAGATTTCGATCAAGGGTGTAGAAGAAGCCTGTTGTAATCTTAATACCAACTTATATACCATGGAAACAAAAATCTAAACTTACCAGCCAAATCGGGATCATTGCCCAATTTTTTCGCGCTGACAGCTGACTTTATCAGTTTCTTCAACGCTTTATATTTGATATAGGATGAGCTCCATTCCGGAACCATGTTCCGGGGTAGGTTGCGACCGAACTTCATTTTGGAAATTCGCGCCTGTCAATAGCCCTTGGCAGGTAGTTTAAAAATGTGTTCCTCTGTTTAGGAATTGTCCCTTCTCGGGGTTTAAGGTATCCCTTCGAAAGACGTCTGAATATAGACGTATCAGGCGTCCGGCGTAAAGACGGTATGGAAAGAACGACGATTCTGTAAGAATGTTCGAGATATGACGTGCAAAGAAAAGCCAAAATCTAAGCAGCAGATCCGCGCAAACGGACCCGGGAAGAAATAGAAGCCATGTTGAGTGGTTGAGACGGCATTGGGGGGCGTAGGAGTAGAGATATGTTGGTGCGTGTGTACTGGTAAACCACCGTGCTCCAAAGCTGTATCTCAGATATTCGCAACTGATTCGTCCGTGTGTATGTCTCGTTCAAGCCAACGGTCTCAGGGGCTCTCTTGTGGCAATGCTATGCTTCCGTGCGGTATACTATCGAAAATGGTAATAGTCGAGCTATTGAAACTGTTAGTCACTACTCTTTCGTGATCAACAAAACATATTCTATCTGCCTCGGTATTCAAGCGCCCCCGGGCACTCAGCCCAGAGGGAATCAGGTAAACAGGAGAGTGACGAGCTTACTGTCTGCTCGATTCTCGAGGATATGTCTGGTGTCTGTGAGTCCCAGAGTAATAGATAACCCCGTGGCGCAAAGCAAGTACGAGGCGGTGAGTAAACGCTTGGTACCTCCACGGGAGCTTCGTATCCCAGGCCGCGGAGTGACGACTGGCTGAGACTGCTTGAGTGAAGGAAGAAGAGGAAGACGACGCAGACAACGGGGATTCTCGAAAGTCTTATGGCGAAGAGGCGTGTAGTGATGATTTCCCAGCTTGGCTAGGGGCAGTTACCGGCCCAGCGAAGGTTAACGTGGAACAAAGTGGGAAAGCTTGACAAGACAACTTCATCCACCGCGACCATATAACAACTATCGCCCGAGATATCTATCTCTCTTTCTCTCTTTCTCTCTTTCTCTTGTTTCTTGTACGAAGACTGCTCGGATCGACTTTTACGGCTGCCTTCGATTTTATCTACGACAGGCCAGGATCTATAACGATGTACTGACGGAGTATGTCCACGATATATCCCAAGCTCTGTGGGTGCCACAATCCCGACATGGACGATGATCCGCTGGTCGAAAGCAAACGACGTGACTGGAGCTGCACATCTGTATGGCCCTGCGACCCTTGTTGCCATCGCCAGGGCACCCTAGAAGAACAGAGATTTTCCGGAGTGGTTCATTGTGAAGCATAGTATCCACCGCAGAGGAACCTGAGGATACGAGGGAGACAGCAATATTTGGTAGGTATTGGGAAGTAGCTCGAGGTAGCTTCTGATACCTCCAATGCAAGGGTCACGATTGACCACATTCATGGTGTCGAGCTACGTCATTGCACTTCCGTCTCACTAATACTTCGAGAACATATATAGGCATGAGGACAAGCGTCTCCTATGCACGGAGAGGCTCGGAGCCGAGTTATGTCGTGAAAGGACCTAGCTACGAGTTTGTCAAACTTCTACTCGGTCAGTTATCGAATGCTGCCGTTGAACCCGTTGCTGGAACCCCGGAGATACAGGCATGTACAATGGCCAATGCTTGCGGGATACTCATGCAGCTGGTCGGGCCAACCTTACAGGGATCACTAAGCAGGCGTTGTTAGCCTCTAACGTTTCAAGCCCGCAAATCACGAAGCAAAACGGAAAAGGAGATTTCGCTGGTGTTTCGAGAAGACCGCGAAGGAACCAGGCTTGGCTCACAAGGCTGGCACATTAACCACTCTACGACAGTTTCTAGATTTTCTTCCTAAGCTAATAATCCTGAGTACAGATATGCTTGCTGGGTAGCAATGCGACCGGAACGAGAATGAGCATGCTAACGATAACATATAAAGGGAGATAAAGTTACATTAACAGCGGACAAGAGTACGGAATATAATATTCAAATTTGCATATTGCTACTCTGCACATTGGGGAAGTAGCCTCGGCCTGGGAAAAAGCTCCGCCAACATGAATAAACACAGACTGACCACCAGCAGTCCCACTGCAAAGAAAAACACAGATTGCCCTGGAAAGACTGCTTGCCACGTACCCAAGAAGAAAGGAGATGCTAGCCCCCCGATACTCTCCATAAAGGTGAGTGATGAGATGGCCTGCGAAGCATCTGGCATGAAGGAGACAAAGTGACTCTTGAAAAACGCCGGGACGGCCAACCCGGCAGCCGAAACAGCAACCGCCAGATATAGCTGGATGGCGCTGTTTACCTGCGTCATTGCAATCAGGGCGGTCATTTGAATAACGACTGCTCCTAAAACCGTGTTTCGGTCTGCATTACTGCTTGCAGTCGCGGGGAGACACCGAACCTGCTGACGTCGCCATCCTAGTCGAGACCCTAACCTCACAACATAAGGAATAATGTATACCTTGACCAGAATCTGGAAGGCGGCGCAGGCAGCCGCGGTTGAAACCAGCAGGCCATTCTCCGAGCTGCCAAAATGGAACCGAATAGATGCAAACACTATTATGACGGGGAACAAATGGCCTTGGACGGCCGTGTACAAGAGCAGCGAAAGGCCATATGGGATGACTTTGCGGTTCTCATAGAACGGTCGTAAAGGAGACAAGAGAACCATGAGCCTAGACTTATGCGATGCCACCTTAGGGGCTGGCGGCTGACTATCCAGGTCAGACGATAAATACTTGACCGGTGGCTTCTGCACGAAGACAACCAAGTATACCATCGTTATAGCGAATATGGCCAGTGCGGTTGTGAAGCTGGCTGTATAGTTCTTGAATATGGTGACTGCAAATGGTCCCACCGCGGTCCCAAGCATATACAGCGCCAATGACGCTGCGATGAGGCGAGAGGTTTCCGGAGCTGATGGAGAGTCCGTCGAAACATAAATGGTGTTGAGGTTGAAATGGAGAAGGTTGTCCGATGCGATGCCTTCAAAAAGGCGGCCCGATACCGCGATAGGGACACTACGGAGGCTCACTGTTCCAGGCCTAAAATCAGCACGGTTCTATGGATTTATTTTCCAAGGAGCTCGGGATATTCTACCTCCTAAGACCAGACACAAAACACTAGCTGCTCGGCACACAATCCACAGGGCGAGACCAGCTTTCAACTGTGTCTTTACCAGATGCTCCAGAGGCCCGAGGATCAGGATTGCCACTGTATGTGCGATTCCGTTTGCGATTGCGACCACTGCAGCATAGGCGCTCTGCTCGGCATCCTTGCAGGCAGTCGGGTCGGCGCAGAGCAAATCCGCATAGGCGTAGATGGTTGTCGCTATAGTGGCTGCCATGCCCAGAGAGGCAAACAAGGAGATAGGAAGGACCTGATATGATACAACATGATCTTGGTGGGTATCATTTGGCTCGTCGATTGAAGATTGGGGTTCGTAGCCAGATTCTGGCTGAGGCAGTAACGGCGCCCTCTCGTTATCTGAATTAGCCATGACTTTGGCACCGCGGTCGTAATGCCCTCACGTCTTGCTTTCACGAACATAAAAAGAATTATCACGATATAATGTTCGATTGCAATGACTAGAGTTGGATTTAAGATGTCTTCGGCGACCGGGCGCTGCTGGCGGAGGCCGGCCACCACTTAAGAAGTCATTCTAGTTAAGGCGCCCATTCACGCTCAAATCTAGGTACGTTGTATCGTTACCTACTATCGAGAAAGAAATTGTGATTGTCCGAGATATTTTTTTGTCATGTTGAAATCGCTAGCACAGCTGGAGACTGCTCTCCAGGCAGTTGTGGAGGAATCCAAACAACACGACAACGCCGCATCTCTTGCATCTCTTCGAAGAGTCGATCAAGCATGCGATCCAGAACTGACGGCGACAGCAAGCCGTATAGTTGATTTAGCAAATAAGGTCATTCAGTCTCTTGAACCAGCCCACTTGGCCCTCGCTGACCATTTGTTCGGTAAGCCCGACGAACAACCTCCTCTTTTACAAACACCACTCGGGTACTGATGTAATATTAAGCATATCAACACACGCAGTGTCTGGCTGGTGCTGTGGAGTTGCGAATTCCGGATCACCTTGCTGCTGGTCCCCAGAAGCTGGATCAGCTGGCAAAAATCAGCCAAGCACGCCCTGATCGGCTGCGTCAGGTCCTCCGACTGTTGTACAATGACGGCATCTTCGAGTATGATTCGGATACCGACTCCGTGAGGAACAATGAAGCATCTGAAATGCTGCAGCAAGACCACTGGACGCAATGGCACCGCTGGGCTAGTGTTTGTAGTCGAGAGTTCTATGAGATGGCTCAGGGGCTTCCAAAGGCGCTCGCACAGGGAGTCACTCGTGAGTATTACACTCATACGTAGGCCCATATGTCAATTCAGCCATCAGACTAATATTAATGATAGGCTCTCCGGCTCAGATGCATTACGACACAGACGAGAGCATGTTCGGCTACCTGGAGCGCAATGGAACCATGGTCCGCCTCAGAGAATGTATGGGGGCAACAGCCATGGCCCAAACTCCTGGCATGATCTCCGCTTACCCATGGGGTGAGCTTTCAGGGACTACCCTGATCGATCTTGGGGGTGGCGATGGTTCCCTGATAGCAGCACTGCTTCGAGCATTCCCTACCATCCAAGGAGGGGTCTTTGATACGCCTCGTGTGCTCCCATTTCTCCAGGATGCCTTCCACACGCCGAAGGGAAAGTATGCCGATGTTGGTTCCCGTATCTCCCCTGAAAGACTAATTGCAGGTGACTTTTTGACTGAAGTCGTACCCGCGGAAGCCTATGTAATGCGCTGGTGCTTACACGACTGGAACGATGAGCAGTCTTGCAAGATTCTACGGAATATCCGCAAGAGTATCATTGCTGGACCAATTAGTCGACTTGTGATATTAGAATCCGTCTTGGCCGACGGTAGATGTGGCCGGATGTCTCGAATAGGCGATATCAATGTCATGGTTACTGCTGAGCATGGCCAGGAGCGAACCGAGAGCGAATGGAGGCATCTGGCTGGCTGTACAGGCTGGGACGTGGCCAGTGTCACCTCCCTACCAGGCGCCTGGCCCTCTGCCATAGACTTACGGCCAGCAGCTGGTTGGGAAAATTGCTGAAGCTACTAGGGGATAGAATCATGATTAGTGGTTGATATAACGCTATGTTGGATATGCTACACATTAGACAAACTATATACATCTTTTACTGCTCTTCAAATACCTTGATTCTATATTATTGTAAAATAGAAGAGTACGAGCGAGATATCCAGTATAAAAAAAGGAATAATATAGAGAAGTACAAAGTAGAATCAGGTAATGGGGTAGATTTTATTACAGCTAGATCAATGAATATATATACTAGTTATGTCTCATACTAAATTTCTAAGTACAGCTGTATGTCGTGGGCTTACCCGACTCCGAACTTCTAAATATGGCATCAATCATGCGGTAACGAATCACTGCGTCATCTAGGGTGACTATGCGAGTCATATCATTTTCCATCCAGGCCTGATACTCTGCTCCCTGCACCGTGGTGGTCTCCAGATGGATCTCCTGCCACTCTGCCGCGCCCCCTGAGCCAGTAGCCGTCTGGAACAATCGGGGAGGGATAGCATGAATCATCAAACTCGGGCCTTCCATCTTCAAAGACCCTTTCTCCCCTGTCACGATCCACTGGCACAGATTAGGGGTAGTTGCGGGATGTGAATACATACACACGGAAGTAGGGATGTTTTGGTCTCCCATTCTTCCGTGAAGCGTGAACGTGTCTGGAGCATCGTTGAACTGGCCAGTCTTTGCGTTCCCTTGGGCATCTTTTAGAACTGGTTTTGGGAACTGCATGCTTGTTTGAGCATGGATAGTGGTGAACTCTCCGAGAAGGAAGACCATGGTGTCGATGAGATGGCCTCCAGCAATCGTCACAATGTTCGCTCCTAGGTATAAAATTAGTTTGTCATTCAATGATCGAGCTGCTTAACGTGCTAAACATACCATTTGCTTTATCATGAGAATGCCTCTTATCAGCGTGGAATTTCATGAATAGGTCATCGGTCACTAGTAGACTGGTACCGAGGATTCGGCCCAAAGTCCCGGATTCAATAATTTCCTTCATCTGAAGTAGAATTCCCTGGTCAGAAATACGAGTCGACTAATTGATAAGTGGAAAGGAGAGCACGAGTTCACCTTCAGAACCTGTGGTGCGAGCCTAGTCTGCAAGCCCACCATGCTCTTCACCTGCTGCTCACGAGCTCGCTGTGCCAGAGCTTCAGCTTCAGCAAGGTTAGAAGCAAAGGGCCACTCAACATAGACATCCTTTCCTGCGTTGATAGCAGCCATTGCAAGCTCAGCGCGACGAGGTACCTTTACTGATACCACCACTAGGTCAACCTCTGGGTCTTTAGCTAGTGTGTTAACATTGTGATACCCTTTATCCTGCGGCAGCCCGTGAGCGATCGCGGCGGCGACGGCTTTCTCGGCTGATGACATAGATAGCGCAACAATCTCATAGTTTTCACTCAATGCTGTAGTTGTCAGGGGCAGCTTGTGGATGAAGTTGGTGCAATGGCTGGGGTCCGCCGACAGGCCAACGATTCCAAGACGGATACGTTTCGCCATTATGAGGAATTGGTCGTGGAATTTCTAGAAGTATTAATGAAATATCGTTGGTATCGCCTGCATGATGCGACATTTCCTCTGCCTCTAATAGCGAATTGTTTTGGGTGTTGCCAGGCACCGATATCAAGACCTTCGGCCCCCGAAGAATGAAGGATGCATCGACTTCCGACGAGCTCCAGCCTGTTCTGGCTTCCTTATGATGCATGTGTACTCCGTATATTGTGCCGCAAATCCATCTTTGCAAGCGTCTTGATGGGAGATCCTGAGTCAAAATTAGTTACAATATCGGTTGCAGTTTAGTGGAAGTGTACTCCGTAGCTTTGCGTCTTTTCTATCCCACTAGGGGAAGCGTCATTCATTCACCATTTCCAGCGGCTACATACTACTCAGGGCTACTAAAATCTGTTTTCGCATCGCAGCTGAAAATGACAGACCTTGCACCATACGGTGCTTCATTCTTCGAGCAGTTCTCGGTCTATCGTGTCTCTACTCTCGTTCGCTTCCTCCTTTTCCCTTCCTTTTACAGACCGGACTTTTGTTCTCGCGGAGACCGACGGATTTAGGTCACGTGGAAGGCCGTGTACAAAAATATCAAGTCGTTCGTCTATCTCATCTCATTTGATACATACCCTTCGGAGCTCGCAAATAAGTAATCAAGATGGACAGGACTTGCGAATCAAGACTGTTGCCATCCCAGGCGTAAGTGCGATAATTGCTTTTGCCAAGTGATATAGTTATTTAACCCTGACCAGACGGCGAATAATGTCAAATCTGCCACCCCCTCTCATGACTCTGTCAGACATACAAGGCGAACTACAACAAGTGGAAGACAATCAACCCGTCAACCAGCCATTTAAATTTTCCCAGTTTTCTTTACTCCCTCAAGAGCTTCAAAACATGATATGGCAGCACTGTATTCCGGCTCCCTACCTCATTCAAATAAATCTTATTGGAGACGATAACCGGCCTTCAACCTTCCACCTCTGGGGTATCGATCCCCCACAAGCACTATATATCTGCAGAGAGTCTCGCCGAGAAGCCCTTTCTATCTACAAGCCTCAACTTATGATCTCTACTTGTAGCGTTAAGGAAAGGCCAATACTCTGTCTCGCCCCAGATACCATCTTTCTAAAACCCAAAGAACCAATTATTTATATATTTTCAAAGAAATCATTACAACCTATTAATTTTCAACCGTATTCAGAGGTCGACTCGGTAGTCGCGGGGAGGAACATTGCAGTGGATACAGTGGAATGTGAGAACTGGCCACCGCAAGAGAATGAACTACCCCGGAGACGGCCTGTATCAATTATTCAGGGCTATCGTCTACGGCACCAGCGGCTGATGGCTACATCAAAATTACAGGGGGGTTAACTAGATTCATTTGCTTTCCTTTTACCTGGAAGTAAATGATGGGAGATAATTATCTATATAGGTAAAACAAAGTCACCAACTCCTGTGGATATTTATAAACTTCAGTCCGCTGCATCTCTCTGCCTAAATACCGTTGGCTCTTATTATTCTTATTATAGCTGCGGTTGCTATATATTTTGGAGCTGAATCTCTATAAGATATCTTACCACCTTGCACACTATTAAAATAGTATAAATAGTGTGCGCTACCTTGGGCGATAATCGCAGGTTATCTCATTACTTAGTAAAATATATTACTTACGTGAATAAAATAGAAACCATTTAATCATCAAATTAATTAATCGCCTATATGGTATCTAAATCACGAAATTCCTACAAGGAAATATTGATGTGCCGTTAATCATGGTCTTCGGCCACCGACGAACGAAGGATGCGTCGATGCCGCCTCAGCCTTAACTACCACGTTTTTTTTCTTCCATTTATGATCTCATTTCTTTTTCTTGTCAGACGGTTTCGGGTATAATCTACGGCCTGGCTTGCAGAATTACAGAAATATTTTGTTGGTTCAAGTACATACAGTGTCTGCGACACGTCCTGGAAACATGTTGGACCGCTTCCATGCCGCGATAAAGCTCTCCTCCCAAAGCAAAACAGCAGTTTCAGTCTGGATCAATGACGATATCCGCCCTCTCCCACCGTCTCGTCGCACTTGGTCGACCCTCACCTTTGTCGGGTGGTGGTCAGTCTGGCAGCTCAGTCTCACCAATTGGCAGCTGGGCGCGGCGCTGGTGGCATCCTCGTTATCAGTATGGCAGACAATGATAGCAGTGATACTGGGGAGAATCATCGCGGCGATCGTGGCAGTTATGATAGGATATATTGGGGCGGAATGGCACATTGGGTTTCCTGTATACTCACGGGTTATCTGGGGTATTTTTGTAAGCATCCTGACCTTACCTCTCATATCAGCTCCCCTACCTAACCACCAATCTCATTGATCAGGGCGCAATAGTCCCAACCGTGATACGGATCGGGCTCACGATTGTCGGTTTCGCCTTTCAGTCGTACACTGGCGGACTTTGTGTGTCGGCGATCCTGGCAGCCATATTCCCTTCCTTCCATCATATGCAGAATACCTTGCCAGAATCAGCACACGTAACTACACAGCAGATCATTGGATGGGCCCTCTTCAATATTATTTCCATTCCGATGCTCTATCGTCGACCTGAAAGAAGTGAAAAGGTGATGATCGGTATGAATATATTATCCTTCGCGTCGCTATTAGGGATAATGATATGGTCCCTGTCTTATGCAAACGGAGCGGGAGACTTGATTCATCAATCCTCGAAGCTTCAAGGGAGCACTGCTTTGGGTTTTGGTATCTTGCAGGGCACCACTACAGTAGTAGGAACCGTCTCTATCGCACTCAGTAGGTGGTCACTATACCTTATAGCTCCCTGATTGCATCCAGAGCTACACTGACAGCGGAATACAGCCAGCCAAATGGATTTTTCTCGATTCGCCCGAAAACCCAGTGATCAGGTCTTTGGGCAGTGGTTCACATTTATCATAATCGGATCCATCATGCCGCTCTTTGGTTGCTTGACCTCCTCGGCGACGCAGGCTATATACGGCGAGCCTCTCTGGAACCCTCCCACGATCCTGGCCATGTGGCTACAGAGAGATTATAGTTCGACATCTCGAGCGGCTGCCTTCTTCGCCGGGGTAGGGTTGGTCAGTTCTCAGCTAGCATTGACTGTCGTTGATAACGGTGAGTTTCACCCTAACAACGTAACTCGTATCCTCTGACGATTTGATGTAGGATATTCCGTGGGGATGGACCTATCTGGTCTGCTGCCAAAATACATCAACATCCGGCGTGGATGCTACGTCGGACTTATACTCGGGATGGCACTTTGCCCATGGGAGTTACTTGCTTCTGCATCGACATTTGTCAGCGTCATCTCCTCGTTCTCAATATTCATGGCTCCATTTTGCGGAATTCACATAAGTGATTACTGGATTGTTCGTCAGCGACGCCTCAAGCTCTCGGATCTCTATCACTGCCAACCTGATGGTATTTATTACTACACCCTGGGTGTTAATTGGCGGAGTGTGGTTCCATGGCTGGTGGGGTGGGTACCGCTGCTCCCAGGATTCATACACAGTATAAATCCCACTACCCAGATGCCTATAGGAGTCGATCGACTGTATGCGCTTGGCTTCCCGTACGGACTTTTATCATCCATGGCGATCCACACCCTTATAAATAAGGCATTCCCGCCGCGCGGACTGGGAGAGATTGACCAAAATGATATATTTGGCACATTCACTGCAGCAGAAGCAGCCAAATTAGGAATAAATGCGGCGAATGCAGGCGGAGATAGTGATGGTACGTCGGTACGAGAGTCAAGTCTTGAGACCAGCGAAGTTGTGGCTGGAAAAGTTTAGGGAGGCCTCCGTCTGTGGGCTTGAATAAAATAATGTTGTATATACCGTATATTGTACGTCCTAGCCATGGTGATGGTGGAAGAAGATAGTAAATAATAGACGTGATCGAGCTTTTTTTTAGTCACTAGCCCTCTGACTAGGCGCCGCGGGATTAGTGATACCACAAGGCGTATTCGCGGTAGCCGAAGATTAACGTGGGAAGAGAACGTTCCTAGGCTGCTTGAGTTGAATTTTGCATGAAAATCCAGTATTAAATGGCATTTGCATTCTCATGGCAATGTGTACAGAGTCACTGGTCGGTAGGATCATGCATTTACCACCAAGAGTAGCTGAGGTATGTATCGGTAGTGAGTAGAAAAATACCGTAATGCTAGGAGAGAGAAAGTTGTGTTCGCTGGCCGGGGGTTTTGAAGGATGGCTGAGCAGGTCGATATGAAGTTTCAACCTCATAGTGCGAATCTATCGTGCTGAGATGAATGTAGGGTTATGCATGGCAGAGGCCCATCCACCGGCGTCGTCATCTTCATCCCTTCTCATGGATTATTCTTCAGAGAATGTAAAGATGTACGTGTGGCACATTATGGGGCACATCCGAAAGAACGGGTGCTGGTCTACTGCCGTATCTTACAAAATATATGTTCAAGATGGATATCTCCGTCTTGAACAAAGCCGACTAACTGGGTATTTATCTGAGTCGTGACGCCGAGTTCCCAGTAATGAGTACATACATAGAATTGCAGTTTTACCCATAATTCTCTGCTATGATTCTCGGGGCTTAAGCTGTGGCAAAGTAGCTGAGTTGCAGTTTCTCAGGCTGAATTTGCTTGGACTCGTTCACAAAGACTTCCAGCCGGACGGAGACATAGAAAGACCTTTATTCAGACCTCTAGAATGTCAGCTATTAGTGGATCCGGGACTCAATGGCAGACGTTGGTGCCTTGGCTAACAATTGAGGCCGCCGATGGGTAAACTGCGCGACATCGGCTACCGAACGTCTTTCAGAAAATCCCGCGGCCTCCCCGGGATAGCGCACTCTCCACACCAGGCCGTTTATCTTTGCGCTATATATGTGAACGATAAGGCGCCATCAATGTAGCCTCAAGTTCATCATAACAGAAAGTCATAATTCGCGATGAGTATATCTCGACAACTGCTGCTGCAGCAGCTGGCGGCGGTTCTGGAGAGTGACCCCGAAACACTCAACATTGACGCCGGCTTTATAAAGAACGGAGGCAACTCCCTCAATGCTGTGGAGTTAGTGTCACGCTGCAGGAAATTCGGAATACCGTTGTCTGTGGCCCAGGTCCTCACATGTACCAATTTGAACTGCCTACTTGGAAACTCTCCATCAGCAACGAGCCCCAACCATGATCACCACACAACCCGATCATTGATTGACGACAGCGATGACGATTCACTGCCACATACGCCTTCGAGTGGAGGCTCTCCACGAGCCTCCACACCTATACCTGGTGAGGATATGTCGACGGCGAAATATGAAAAGGATAATACGATGAATATCCCTGAAACAATTCGTGGAAGTGTCCTCGACGAACACGCTACCGAGAACCTCAGTGAAATGCAAGCGTCCCTTCTCCACGGCTCCCTCAAGAACCCAGGGACCAACATTATCTATCACTATGAAACGTTCCTGACAAGCGTGATCCCGAAAATGAGAGAGGCGTGGAAATCCGTGATCGAAGCCGAACCGATTTTCCGAACATCCCTCATGTGCCAGCCTACTCCAGGGGAAGACCAGTTCGTTTGGACTGAAGTCACTGTCGACACTGAGATGGAGTATCAGAGACAACTACAAGCCGTTCACCTTCAACCATCCGCATCCTACTCTTTCAAAGTAGTCCATTGGCCTGGACAAAACCTTTCAACAAGCCGAAGCACAATTATTTGGGCTGTCCACCATGCTTTCATTGATGGGTATTCCGCAATGATTTTGTTTTGCAAAGTTCGCCGTGCCGTCGCAGGGCTTCCTGTTCCCTCCGGCCCTGGGCCATCATTCACAAAAGTCGACAAACACATTCGTTTGTGGCGCCAACAACACAAGGACGAAGGAGATAAGTACTGGAAGGCCCAGGCACCTCAACTTGAACAAGCCCAAGGGGACCTGTTGCTCCCTGCCCAACCAAACCAGGGAGACATGCCTTGTACTATCACACAGAGCGAGGAAATACACGTTGCGAGCAGCATCACAAAATCGCAATTGCAGTCAGTAGTCAGGGAGTTGGGGATAACTCCTGCTGCCTTCTACTATGCAGCATGGTCTTTAGTCCTCAGTGATTACGCTGACTCGGACAACGTCGTTTTCGGTGCAGTCCTGGCTGGAAGGAATCTCCCACTAGAGGGAATCGATGAGGTAGTGGGCCCGCTAGTCAACACTTTGCCCCTATGTGTCAGTCTTGATCGAAAAGCATTCGTCAAAGATTTTCTTCAAACTGTGTTTTCCAAGATTATGGAACTCGCGGAGTACCAATGGACCACACCTGACAATGGCTATACTAGAAGCTTCACATCGGCGATGGCTCTGCAAGTGCCGGAGCCCGAATGCCCAAAAGGAATATTGCCCATAGAGGCCCCATATACACGGCAAACCACAGATGTGCCACTTAGTATTAACGTTCAGCCAGATGGAGGTGCGCGGTTTGTCTACCACACGAATCACTATAGTCGACAAGATGTGACACGGATTGGGCACCATTATCAGCGCGCGATGCAGCTTCTTCTGCGACCACACCAGCCAGTAAAGGAATGTCTGCAGGGGATTCTCGGGTGTGCAGATCTCGAGACATTAATGACCTTCGGCAACTGTCATTCGACACTCACAACAGCAATGGCCGTCCAGGAGGACTTAGTAACGCTGTTTGAATCGGCGGCCTCAAAGGACTCAGCTGCAGTTGCAATTCGAAAAGGTGGTTCTGAAGTGACATATCAAGAGCTCGATACATACGCCAGCCGTATCGCGACCACACTAAAAAGTTATATCGGTCAAGGTGATGTCGTTTGTCTCCACGCGGACCGATCCATCAACTGGATTGTTGGTATGATGGGTGTCCTGAAAGCAGGTGCTGTCTACTGTGCAGTGGACGGTGGGCTTCCCCAAGAGGCGCGGGATATCATCTTCTCAGCGTCAGGAGCGAGGATGTTTTTGGTCCCTTCCCAGGCCGACCAAAAGTTCCGCCCAGCATCTTGCGAACATTTGCTTGTCTCTGAGCAGTTGATGAACGCCGACGAACTGCCACTAGCCTATCGTGATTCACCCCGGCCAGAAGCCAATGCTTATCTCTGCTTCACCTCTGGTTCCACGGGGAAGCCCAAGGGAGTTATGTGCAGCCACGAAGGGCTTGTCGCATTCCAGCGGGATTTGGAAGTACGGTTGTTTGCACAGCCAGGCCATCGCGTTGCTCAGATCATGTCAGTGGCTTTTGACGGCAGCATCCACGAAATATTTTCTGCACTCAGCTATGGAGCTACCCTTGTCCTGCAGAGTGGTGGGGATCCGTTTGCGCATCTGAGCGAGGTAGACTCGGCCATTCTGACGCCGTCAATGGCGCGTGTTCTGGATCCCAAGGACTATGACCAGTTGAGTTCTGTATGTTCGCTACCTTGAATCTGCTCATCGTAGGGGCTCTGTGTTGCTAACAGTGTTTTCTCTCAGGTTTACCTTGTAGGAGAACCCGTACCCCAGGCAGTGTGCGATCGTTGGTCACAGGAGAAAGCGCTGTACAACATGTACGGGCCAACTGAAGGCACCTGCGGCGCTACGATCAAGCGCTTATACCCTCATAAGGCGGTTACTATTGGGCCCCCTAATCCATCGACGCGATTGTACATTATGAACCGACACCATGAGCTGGTTCCACCTGGTGTTATCGGTGAGATTTATATCGCCGGAGTCCAAGTTGCGCGTCATTATATTGGAATGCCTAAGGAGACTGCCGAACGCTTTATTGCTGATCCCATCCGACGCATCGGAGAACGCATGTATAAGACCGGCGATAGGGGGTATTGGTCTAGTACTGGGGAGGTAGTTTGCCTCGGGCGAACAGATCGCCAGATCAAGCTCCGTGGATTTCGCCTTGATCTTGATGACCTGGAAGCTCGCATGGTACGCGCTGTCGCTGATGTAACTGCTGTTGCGGTTGCTAGGCAAGGGAATAATCTTGTCGCTGCCATTCTCCCTGCCACCGCCGATGTGGACGCCTTCGCAGCGCGGGTAGCGCAGGTACTGCCCCCATATGCGACGCCCCGTAAGATTTTCGCCTTAAGCGAGTTCCCAACCACCAAGGCCGGCAAGCGAGACTATCTGGCCCTGGCACGCATGAGTCTCCAAGCACCTACAGCGACCGGCCGGCCACTACGAGGTCACTTGGAAAAATTGGTCGGTGAAGCGTTTCGTGACGTGCTCCGGCTTAGGCCTGACGTCTCGCTAAACACGCATTCAAGTTTCCACGAACTAGGCGGCCATTCGCTTTTGCAACTACAGCTCACGATTCGCATAAGCCAAGCTGTAGGCCAGCAAATTCCACTGCGACTAATAGTGCAACATGATCGCATTGAGCATCTCGCAGCAGCCATTGAGAATAATGGACCGGGGCTGCCACGCCTCCTCGCCCGCAACGAGATGGTCCTTGGGGAATCGAACCTCTCCCCGATGGAGCTAGAGTGGTGGCACAAGTGTCAAGTGAACGAGAGCACATCAAGTTTCAACGTTAACTTCATAGCTATGCTAGATGACCAGCTAGTGGACCGAGCTCGACTAGCAGATGCTTGCAATGATGTGATGGCCCGTCACAGGATCTTGCGCTCGCGTTATATATTCTCCCGCTCATCAGGAAGAGTAATGCGACAGTATAGCCCGCTGGCACCACGAGTCCGGCTGGTCAAGAGCATCATAAACCCCTGGATAGAGATCAATCGACCGTTTGCGCTCGCAAGGTCTGCCCCAATTCGCGCCGTGATATCCAGGTCCCAATTCATCCTCACGATTAGCCACATCGTTGCGGATTTGACGACCCTGCAGGTTCTTCTTCGCGAAATATCTCAACGATATCACGAAAAATGCCTACCTCCGGTCCCACAGACTTATATGAACACCACTACTTGGGGTGTTAAGCCTACCCCTTGTGATCTAGCCTTCTGGTCAGATACACTGGATCAGCTACCACCTACAGCACATCTTCTGGGACACGAGGGGCATCGTCGCGGTTATCGCGGGAAGTCGGCCTTATGTGAGGTACCTTCCACCACCTATGCAGCGATGAAGAGTTTTCTGAGCCAGTCATCCATCACCGGTCAGCAGTTGGCGATTGCTGCAGTGGCGCTCTGTCTGGATAACCCTTCAGTCATGTCCGACACGGAGGACACAACTGACATCGTCTTGGGTATTCCGTATATCAATCGAAAGTCGCACGAAGAACTGGAAGTGGTGGGTCTCTTCCTCGAGCCGTTGCCCATCCGTATCAGATTCGGAAATGATAGGAATGCCATCGAACCCGATGCTTATCTCAGGACCGTGCAGGAGTCAGTGCAATCATCGGTGGGCCATTCCATACACTGGGACCAGCTGTTAGAGCACCTGCAGGTGCGAACATCCGCGCCGGACCATCCTCTATTCGAGACTGTGGTCACCTTCCATAGCCATAATCATTCAAACGGACTCGAGATATCGGCGCCTGGGTTTGAGACATGCTACACGTTCACGGACGGTGCCAAATTCCGGCTGCTCTGCGAATTCAGTGCGGTGTCGGAGGATAAGTTGGTGCTTCGAATGGAGTATGATACCGACTGCTTTTCAGCCGATGACATACAGCTGCTGCAGACACGCATCCCACTGGCACTCGCCCTTTTAGTGCAGGGAGCCCCCTATATGGCCATCCGGCAGAGAATGGCCAGCTTGCACGATACTCCTCCCGTCAAGGTGCTGCAGCCTGACACTGTATTTGGAGCTCCCCTCTCCGCGATCTAGGCGTCTCGCTCGCCTGAACCTAATGTATATATCCAAGCTTTGGCGTAGTCGCGTGGTCCGGTGATGTTAATTGTTTATTCCAGCCGTGTTGGGGCGAAATGACGCCCCTTGCTTTTCATTTGTCGTCTAGATAGCTGCAGTCGAGATAGAACGTCCTTTTGCCCGTTTTTGCTTGTTTTTTTTGCCATCGATAAGATCACGTGATATGCTATACAAGGCTGATCGTCCATGGATCTCGCTAAAGGACTTCGCCTACGAGAACAAACTAGTTACCTCGCCTGAAAGGATTAGACATTCACGCCTCGGGGGAAACTATTATTATCTGCATTAGCGGGAACTTTGCCTCGCTCCCGGAGCATGCTGGTTTGTCAATTCATACAGAGCTCGGCCTAACCGGTCGCGACCCAGCCAGCTGGCAAACCCAACATCGTGGATGGAATCTGGCTGGATATACGGAGTACTGAGTCGCCTAAATGGAGTTTCTATTTGATCAAGAGGCGCCACCGGCTTTGGAGGCTAGACTACTGGCTGTACCAAATTTTGAGTCTGTCACCTGGCTGATACGTGGAGTAATGATTCGTGTTAAGCCAACAAAGAGCTCAATATACTCTTCCAGCAGGATGTATAGTTAAGGGCTGGGACAAATAAGGCGATCCGAGCGGTTAGCTCGATGGCATAGGTTCGCCAAAAAAGAACATCTAGGTTCCCCAGAGAGCAGTGAATAAATAACCCAGTTCCTCCCCGTCCTGTTCATAAAATCTATAACCCCAAGTTCTCCTATAACAACGCAAACCAGATCCCCACGCCCAATTTCTGACAATGCGTTTATTCGGCGTCCTTCTCCTAGGTGAGTGATTGAACTCGAAAGCCATTTAGCAGAAGGTTGCTTTTTGGTTGTTAAGGCGGTTACTTACCATTACTTCTGCATATAGCCTCCGGGTTCTCTTCAGCACTTGCTGCCCCCCCCAGTCCGGGCAACAGTGAGTGTGCAAAGTGGTGTGCTTCCCACTTTGCCAATCCTGGAGCAAGCTGCACTTCGCTTGCTGCCAAGGGTAAAGGTCCCTGCTATGACTGCGGACCTGCAGCGTCACAGCCTCTCACAAAGTTATTGTGCAATGAGATATGCATTCCCAGTGATAATAAGAACTGTGGTGGTTGTGGAATAGTCGTATGTCCCTTATCCGTGCTAATAATAAGCATTGACCCCTACCTATGACCTCTCTCAAAACTAAGTTCTCCCCTGGAATTATAGTGCAGCGGTGGCAAAACTTGTCAGGGTAACCAATGTGTATGCCCTACTGGGTCGACTGATTGCAACGGAACCTGCAAGAGCCTAAAGGACGATAACGCCAATTGTGGTGCTTGTGGCACAGTTGTATGTCCCTTACCCATCTCAATATGCACTGATTCTTTATCGATGATCTGTATCGAGGCTAACTCCCCTGAATTATAGTGCGGCACCGGAAAAACCTGTCAAAATGGGCAGTGTCAATGTGCTGCTGGTACAAGTGATTGCAACGGAACCTGCAAGAACCTAAAGAATGATAACGCCAACTGTGGTACTTGTGGCACAGTTGTATGTCCCTTACCCATCTCAATATGCGCCGATCCCCTATCGATGATCTGTATCGAGGCTAATTCCCCTGAACTATAGTGTGGCACTGGAAAATCCTGTCAAAATGGAAAGTGTGGATGTGACGCTGGTACAAATGATTGCAACGGAACCTGCAAAAACCTTCAGACTGATAACGACAACTGTGGTACTTGTGGCACAGCCGTACGTACTATAACTCTCTTGTGAAGTGCTAATCTCAATCGGTGATTTGTATCGAGGCTAATTCCCCTGAACTATAGTGTGGCACTGGAAAATCCTGTCAAAATGGAAAGTGTGAATGTGACGCTGGTACAAATGATTGCAACGGAACCTGCAAAAACCTTCAGACTGATAACGACAACTGTGGTACTTGTGGCACAGCCGTACGTACTATAACTCTCTTGTGAAGTGCTAATCTCAATCGGTGATTTGTATCAAGGCTAATTCCCCTGAATTATAGTGTGGCACTGGAAAATCCTGTCAAAATGGAAAGTGTGAATGTGATGCTGGTACAAGTGATTGCAACGGAACCTGCAAAAACCTTCAGGCTGATAACGACAACTGTGGTACTTGTGGCACCGCCGTACGTACTATAACTCTCTTGTGAAGTGCTAATCTCAATCGGTGATTTGTATCGAGGCTAATCCCCCTGAATTATATATAGTGCGACACGGGAAAGACATGCCAGTTAGGGCAGTGTGTATGCAATAGCGGATTAACCAGCTGCTCTGGAACTTGCAAGAACCTCCAGGATGATAATGCCAGCTGTGGAACTTGTGGCACAGCGGTACGTTCATTACCTATCTTGAGAATTTATCATCTCAATCCACCATTTGTATGAAGGCTAACCATCCTGTATAGTGCGGCGGAGGAAAGACATGTCAGTCAGGGCAGTGCGTATGCGCCACCGGATTAACCAGTTGCTCTGGAGCTTGCAGGGATCTCCAGAATGATAATGCCAACTGCGGCCTTTGCGGAACAGTGGTACGTTTACCTGTTCTAAAAGCCTATGACTCTTACCATAGCTAATCTCTATGAACTATAGTGTGGTACCGGACAATCCTGCCAGGCTGGGAAATGCACCTGCCCCACCGGAGCAACTCTTTGCGCTGGGGCTTGCAAGAATGTGCAGAACGATAATAGCAACTGTGGTTCTTGCGGAACAGCGGTATGTCACAATCTCTTTAGGCGTATAAACCTAATATAACCCTTGCTATAACTAACCACTCCGTGTCATAGTGTCCCTCTGGAACAACTTGTATGAGTGGGACTTGTGCATGCAGTCCCGGAACAACCCTATGTGCTGGAACCTGCAAGAGTTTCCAGAGTGATAATAACAACTGTGGTGCCTGTGGAGTAGTGGTAGGTCGCCTATACTAGCTTATAAGCCTCTTCTACCCCTTACAATCGCTAACCTTTTTGACTTATAGTGTCCTTCGGGTAAAAACTGCCAGAATGGCCAATGCGTATGCCCTTCTGGATTGGCTTCGTGCGGCGGAACCTGTACGAATATACAGAATGACCGTAACAACTGTGGTGGTTGCGGAATATCCGTAAGTTTTCTATACAAGCTCATGACCCCATTGGAACTTAATTGCTAACCTCTCGAAACTATAGTGTCCATATGGACGATCCTGCGTTAGCAGTCAATGCGTGTGTGTCCCATCAGGTGGCCCATGTGACTTGAACAACCCAGGCGCGTGCTGCGGCCTAACGTGCACTAATTACAACCCACCAGCCCGTCCAAAGTGTGCCTAGAAAAAACATGAAGGGATACCATGGGTACATAAAGCTAGTCCACGTGTTATTAACGTATTAACTACCGTTACAAGTTTCATGTATTATGAAAATTTGTACTAATTTAATGAAAACCTCAAAGCATTGCTTCAAATGCTTAAAATTTATGAAGCTTTTTAATCCTTAATAGCCAACTCTTCGTTGTACATAGTAACCATTTAATATACTTTATGCTGAAGAGAATTAGACTAAATAAGAGGGTACAGAGAGGCCGGTCCTGAACTATACTGCGATGTCCCTATAAAGCAGCCACTGCCCTTGCATTGCAGCCAATCACGCTAACCCACTTAGCGCGCGGATAGGTCAAATTAACCTTAATTAAAGTTTAATACCCCTGCACTTTGAAACGCGTCTAACTTTCAGTCACCTGATGCTAAACGCGGGTTTGTTTGTAATCCACCGAAGAAAAAGGCGGATTGCTATTGGCTGAATTTGTTTAACGCAGTTTCCGCTTAATCCATTTTGTTTCTTTCATGATCTTTTCACTATTACTGTTAACTATATGGAGTACGATCGTTCAAAGGATAAATAATGTACGGAGTAACGAGATGGAATTGCGCGTGGCTACTTGAAGAATGGCTTAATATCGTCTTCTAGAGGTAGTATATGCTTCGAGTGGAGAGCGACTTTTTCCACGGCCGCCAGCACACGGAGGACGTTACCACCAATGACCCCTGCGAGATCATCTACGCCAACACCGCGATTGAGCAGTTCCTGAATAAGGTCGGGATACTTGGATACATCTTCCAGCCCGCGCATCCCCTGAGCCATTCCATCAAAGTCACTGCCCAGGCCGACGTGGCGGTACCCGATGAGATTGCCCACATACTGGATGTGGTCTGCAACATCTGGTAGGGATGCTTTATCCGCACTTTGGCAGTTGGTAAACTCGGGGTAGAAGGTGATCATGATGATTCCGTCGTTCTGCTGTAGCGTCTTCAGGATGTCATCTGGTACATTTCGCGAATGGGGACAGACGGTGTATGCCGATGAGTGTGAGTACATGACCGGCGCCCGAGACATGGCGAGGACTGCACGCTGCGTGGCAAAGCTCGTATGTGAGATATCTACTATCATCCCGAGTCGGTTCATCTCAGCAACAATGGCTTCCCCAGCCGACGAGAGCCCATTGTGTTGGGGCTCCGAGGGCGATTCGCTGTCAGCATAATGGTTGTGGCAGGTGTGTGTGAGCGTTGCGTATCGCACCCCGAGGCGATGATACATACGGAGCACACTGGCACTGGTTCCAATCTGGTGTAAGCCTTCGATGCCAAGCAGGCTGGAAACGCGTCCTGGGGAAGCACGGAAGTTGTGCATGACATCGGCCACCGACGAGGCAGGGATCAGACTCTTGGGGAAATGGTCGATCATCCTATGCACCAGATCGATTTGTTGGAACGTGTCCCGCACAATTTCATGGTAGAGATCCTCACTATCGTTTGCGGCGCTATATGGTTGCCGTGGGCTGCACCAGGTTAGTTAAGCCGAAATGCCTGTCCCCGCCTGGGGCGTTTTGTGGGCTGCCTTACCATTCGACATAGACACTCCAGAATTGCGCCCCCAGACGCCCCTGCTGTAGGCGTGGGAAGTCAACTTGGCCGTATAAGTGGCCCTGCTCGGTGAAGTTGGACTGGTAGATGTGGTCCTGATAATATGCTCGAGTCCAGATCGGAAAGTCGTTATGGCCATCTATGGTGCATCGTTGATTAGCCTGATCTATATTTTTGAGATTGTGGTAAAGAACTATTTGCCATACCAATTAGAGGAGCTTTTGCCAATACCTGTTCTAGGGGGCTTCGGTTCGATATGCAGCTGTTTGAAGCAGACGGGAATGTCCCCGATCGCAGGAGCAGGGATGCAGCTGACAATGCAGCAAATGTCAAGAGTGAAGCATAAGTGATTGTTCGTTTACGGCTTCGTTCGCCCACGACCAGTCCAGAATTGAGAGCCATCCGCTCAATATCAAATTTTTCGTCCATCTTCATAACTGGCTTGGTAGTCAACGTTATCTATCACCAGGGAATAATTGAACGAAAAGTAATATATGCAATGTCCTCTCGTATTGGGGCGATGTTGATGCCGGCCTCATCTTAACTAACGCTACGGAGACCGATGGAATCGCGGCTTCCGGGGAGTGACCGCTCGGCCTTTTGGTAAGTTACTATAGGTGTCACACAGCCGCCGCTGTTCGAACCATCCATTACTGCTGCTCAAGCAATTGGTACCGACATGATGGGCTACCTCACTACAGACGGGGCTTTGCCAATTCTCGCCGTGGCAGTGTCCCTCATTATCTTGACTACCTCACCACTGACCCGAAAATTTGCGAGCGGGGTCCTGTCCGTCTTTCTAGACGTAGGTATCCCAATGGTTTCACTTATATTATTTAATCTAATTTGTGACGCAGAAATACCTTCGTTGGCGCTACCCAATTCTGTCGGAAGATGGCAGGCGGCCTCTCCCTACTTGTCCATACCAGTGGCCAAATGGACAGGGAGACGTCGCCAAATTCCTCCAGGGCATCGAGAACTGTGACTTATGGGAAAAGGAACATGGAGAGATATACCGGATTTGGTCTGGGATGAAGTCTGAAGTGTAAGTGTAGCTGGCTCCTTTTATATTCGGCACAAGCTTTCCCTTCAGTGAGCTAACGGCGGCCAGTGTAATCACCCAACCACATCACCTCCAGGCCGTCTTCAGGGACTCCAACAAGCACGCCAAAGCAGAGAACAATAATTCTGGCTATCTCATGAGCGAACTCCTAGGCCAATGTGTTGGGCTTGTTAGTAGAGAACGCTGGCGAACCCTCCGCACCGTGACTGAGGTTCCTTTTCAGCATGATAGAACGGGCTCTTATGTTGACCTAGTCTTGCGCCATACGCAGCAGCATTTTGATCGACTGAATTCCACCGGTGACTTGAAGTATGGGCGCATTCATCCAGCCCAGGACTTGAAAATGCTTCCATTTTGGATAGTCGCCGAAATATTCTACGGTGAATGCGACGCTGATATGCGATCCGAGCTCCAGGAACTGTGTCTCATCCGTGAGGAGTTATTCAAACGGACGATTCAGGGTGGACTAGTCCGTTGGCATTGGTCACGATTTTTACCCACCCCGACGAACAGGGCACTCAGCGGGTTTAAGCGCCGTTGGAGAGCGTTCAATCAGCGTGCATATGAACGAGCCTGTCAGCAAAGCAACCGCGGTCTCCCTATCGTTGCTATGACCGAGGCAGCCAATTCCGGAATCATCTCCCTAGAGCAGCTCTACCAGACAATTGATGAGGCACTATTCGCAAATTTGGACGTGACGACTGGTGGGATCTCCTGGAACCTCGTCTTCCTAGCTAGCCATCCACAGATCCAGGAGCGCGTGCGATCCGAGATGCTAGCTGCCGAGAACCGTGACGCATATCTCCTATCTTCTTCAACCTTGCTCGCAGCGTGTGTGTCTGAATCCTCTCGCCTCAAGCCACTGGCAGCCTTCACCGTTGCACAATCTGCCCCAACTGACCGCACTGTTGGAGGTTACTGTATTCCGGCCGGAACAAACGTTGTGGTTGACACTTATGCCCTAAACATTCGCAATGAGTTCTGGGGCGAGGACCGCCAGCTCTACCGGCCAGATCGTTTCTTGAAACATCGTGCAACAGAACTGAGATACCAGTACTGGCGTTTTGGATTCGGGCCGCGACAGTGTATGGGTAAGTATGTGGCAGACTTGGTTATCAGGACTCTGTTGGCCCATTTGGCGATGCATTACGAGCTGGGCTGGTTGGAGCCTACAACCAAAGATGATAGCAAGTGGAAGAGAGATCTCGAATCGTGGATCACTCTTCCCGATATGCAGCTCAAGTGCGTGAGGAGGGAGAATGTGTCAATTTAGAGTGAACAATGAATTTATAAATAGATTTTGTCTAAATTTAGGCCACTAACCATGAGCGGCATAGAAAATATTAAATATTCAGGAACGAATAGCAGGTAACCTCGGAAATCGTTCGATGTTGTGGAGTTGGCCCTTTGATCCAGTTAACTAATCCGTCCAAGGCTTGATTGAATTTCTTTGTGTACTATCTACCTATAAAACTTCGACAAATTGTCAATTGAACACCAACAGGGTTTATATTTTTTTCTTTCTATTGAGCCTATATAAAGAGATACAACACTTCTTCTACACTAATGTCCCAAGGTGGGAGCCCGCTCCAGGACTCGCTTCACTGCAGGTCTACTCAACATCCGCTCACCCCAGCGCTGAATATGCGGCCAGTCCTTGACATCAACGCCTAGGAAGGTGAACATCCACGGCATCGCAAATGGGAAGTACGATAGATCCGCCACCGTTGGTCGGTCTTTCAGCGCGATGTAGTCCTGACCCGGCTCTTGCAATCTCTTCTCCAAGATATCCCATTGTCGGAGTGTATTCGCATGCATCCTATTCAATGGTTAGAAAGAGAATCGGCATATAATAGGCAAAAGGCTTACTTTTCAATAGTGCGAGGAAGTTCAACTGGGTTGGCCCTGGTGGGATATCCTCGCTTGAAATAAAGCCAGTATTTGGCTGTGGGCCTGTTCAGGAGTCAGATATACCATGTCATAGTGATATCAAGGGGACGACCTACCCCAGAGCAGCGGTCTGATAAGCTGTCCAAGAGAAGACGGCCCCCTTTTCAGCTGCAGTTCGGCCAGTCCAAGAACCGTCCGTGTCAAAACGATCGGTTAAATATTGCAGACAGGCGGTGCTTTCAAAGACAATGACCTTCTCCTTGGTGACTGGATCTTGGTCCTTGAGACAGGGGACCATTCTCTCTGGGTGCACGCTGTAGAACCATTCGTCACGAGTGTCGATGACGGAGAGGACGTGAGGGAATTTTAACTCCTCGGCCATAATAAGAGGCTTGATATAGTTGATATAGGAGGTTTGATCGGCTACAGGGTAGATCCAGATGTTATTATGAAAGCTGGGATAGAACATAGAATATTGGGTGAGCTCACCTTTGATGATGTATAGAATGACTCGGCCATCATACTCCATATCACCCATGACAACATCTCCGTTGGTGTCAGACATGTTGAACAGAATGATTTATTGCAGGGGAAGCTTGATGCTCAGATAAGGCTGTGAATTACTGATGTAGAAAGTTGATTCTGCGGGATTGCTGTGAGAAAGGAAATGAATATGCATATATTTATATCTAAATTTAAACAGTACTCTCTAAGCCATCACTACCCCTTCGGCCACCGGAACACCTTACACTATGCCTTCCAGTCCGCCCTCGGCCGGAGGTCGATAGCACAAACCCATGAGCGCCGCAACGGGTGGATCTTGGAGATTTCCCATCCAGAAGCAGCGGCAAGCTCCTGCCACTGCTCTTCTGAACGTTCTTGTCCGTTGGCGGTCATCATCATGTTGATATCACCGTATCTTGAGAGACGTCCAATTTGACCATCGGAAAGAATCGACTCCAAAACAACTAGACGACTAGCCGGTCCTGGGATCAAGGCAGCACGAATGCAGCGCAAGATAGTAATGACGTCCGGGTCTTTCCAGTCATGAAGCACCCATTTCATAGTATATACTTCAAATGAGGGTACGGACTTGAGGAAATCGCCCCCGATTAGGTTCTCACGAGGAACACGCTCTCTCAGGTCATAATAGGTGCCTTTAGGATCATGGAAGAGCGTGCAGGCGTGGTCGATGGTGCGAGGAAGATCAAGAATGGCCCCCTTCAAGTCAGGATACTCGCGAAGAAGAGACACGAGGAATCCGCCACCACCGCCGCCGACGTCTAGGACCGTCCGGGAGCCGAACTCATGCCATGGATAATCAGCGAGGATACCGGGTGCCTGAGCGATGGCACCGCCGCCGAGGGTTCTGTGAAGCCGTGGAAGCCAGCCCTGTGCCTGAAAGTAGGTGAACATGTCGTCCGTAGTATTAAAATTGATCTGCGCTCCCCATTTCTTTTCATCACGACGGATGGATTGGGGAATTCCTCTGGCGATATCGTAAAACTCATTGCCGTAGAGGTCAACCCAGTTATGCCATTGCGTCCAGTGGGTGGTATGGAGCAGAGCCGAGATGCGATTGTTGCGGTATCGATGGGATGCCGCATCGTATTCAAATATACGATTGTTGTGTAGGACGCGCAGGACCTGTTTCAATCTGTCTGGGTTTGCTTGACTGGCCTCGGCCAGCTCAGCTACAGTCATGCCCTGCTCATCTGCCTTTGCAAGAATGTCAACAAGGCCCAGCTCCACGGCGGCACATAGGCATTTAGTGCTGACATAGCCTAATCCAGTCAGTTTTTGGTTAAGATATAAAGACAAAGATAAGGGATAATACCGAGGAAGTGGTCGGCAAGGACTAGATGGCCAGGTTCTAGCAGCTGTTGGGTCTCATGGAGGACGTTGATCGCCTTGCCGGCAAGGATCTCCAAGGCAGGATCTGGCAGGTCTTTGTCTGTATGTAGCGCCTGCAGTAGCACCTTTTGGCCATTCTCTAGGAGAGCATTGCGGGTTGCTTCCACTTGGCTTATGAGCGTCTCCAAAGTAGACTGCAGAGTGGATCTTTCGACATCCGTCAGAGCTGAGTTTGTGATGGCGGCCATGATGATTTTCCGTGGTCTTTGATTGTTGAAGAATGAATGAATAATAATGCCATTGAGGGAATTAGGCTGGTCAAAATATAGCTCTTCCCGCCTGGCTACAAACCGCCCAACGGGTCCGTCGGCGATGCGCCGGAGACCGAAGTTGAGATGTAAGGACAGCGAAGTTGACCTTATATCCGACAAGATTCGGTTAAAGGGACGACCTTTCAGGGGATAATTCAGTGCTACTAACAATCAACATCATGGATCAATCTGAATCACCAGTGGACGTTCTCATCGTCGGCGGCGGGCCTGCTGGCTCCAAAGCTGCGTGGGAACTTGGTCGAGCTCATCACCGAGTGGTTTTATTTGCGTGCGACGAACTAATGAATGATCCCAAGGACGTGGATGCGGAATCATCACTATCAGCTCTAAACTTCCTTTTAAGTCCTGATCGCAAGAACCGAGAACTTCTTCGTCTATTTCGACGAGAGGCTAGTAAAGAATTACCGGTCTGTGTGGAGAGACGCCGAATCACGGACGTACGACGCCTATCGAATGGCCTGTTTCAAGCCGCAGATAGCGATGGCAACGTTTGGACAGGTCGTCTCCTTGTCCTGGCCGATGGAGCAGACGAAGTTATGCCTGATATCTCCGGATATCAAACATGCTGGCAGCAGCAACGCATGTACGTGACCCCCTCCATCTTTCATTATCCAGCTCATCATGCCCCTTATACGATGCTCAACATACTGACTGAGACAGCCTGATTCACCCATCTGAAGAGAAGCATGGCCCAGTTCAAGTTGCCGTTCTGGCAGTAGGAGAGCTGGCCGAGCTAACCATGGCTCTCCATACCGTCTGGCAGATCCGACAGTTTGCTTCTTCCGTGCGTGTCTATACGCATGGCGACCCAGAACTGGCGCAGGAACTGGTAGCGAGAGTATCCCCCGATGCAGCGATCACCGTCGAAGCTGCGTGCATCCAGGAGATACAGCCGGATGCCGACTCATCTCACGGCGTCGTGATTCAACTCGACAACGGAAACAGCGACAAGGCATATCTCTACCACCGGCGTGCCGCTCAGCTCAAAGGCAGCGATCCCTTTGCACGCCAGCTGAAGCTGGAACTGACCGAATCAGGGGCCATCCGCATCTCAGCTCGCGTCCCCTACATGACCAGCATGGACGGCGTGTACGCGGGCGGCGACTGCGCATCCCTGGGCCAGCGTACACTGTTCAAAGCACTAGCCATGGGTGAAGGAGTTGCAGCGGCTGTCGCAGCTCGACTGGAGCGAGGAAGATGGAGGAATCTCTCGTATGAGGAGGACGCCTGTGCATAGTTCCTTTCTGTCTTCTCTCTTTGTATAGACGAATATATCAACCACCTTCATCTTCATCTCCATCTCAACCACTGTAGTTTCTTCCGGCCCTTGACTGTTCATGCATATGGACCCGCCGGTGATCTGAATTTAACTGGTTCGGTGTCTCCCATGTCCGTGGTCTTTTTTCTTTGATGCGAAATCTGCTTCCCCTCGTCGGGCACCGGGGGTTGGATGCATCTCGAGGCTCGAAATTGGTAGATATAACAATGCCTCTCTGCTCGCATTACACAATGCCATTCTCTCACTCGCTCTCATACACCCAATCGATCAATCAATAAACGGCATCTAGTATAGCAAAATGTCGACTTCAACTCTCTTTGACTGTCTGATCGTAGGCGGCGGACCTGCAGGCCTCGCCGTCGCCCTTGGTCTCTGTCGCGCCGTTCGCACCGCCGTCGTCTTCGACTCGCAGACATACCGCAACTCCCTGACGGACCATATGCACAATGTGTCGACCTGGGATCACTCGAAGCCCCAGGACTACCGCGCAGCCGCACGTCGCGAGCTCACCGAGGGCCGCTACAACACTGTGACGCTCGCGGATGTCGCCCTGCGCAAGATTTGGAAGCTCGAGTCTGGCGAGTTTGAAGCTACAGACGCTGGCGGCAAGACCTGGAGGGGACGCAAGCTCGTTCTCGCAACGGGAGTGAAGGATGAGATTCCTGATGTGCCGGGATACGCCGACTGCTGGCCTCGATCGATGTAGGTGGAGGACTGATATAGTTATTTATAACGATGCTGACTGGAAAATAGATATCACTGCCTCTTCTGCCATGGATTCGAAGATCGCGGAGCTGCTTCTGTCGGCGTCCTCGCAATCGGTCCAACGGCGAATCCCAAGCCAGCCGAACATCTCGCTCGTCTGGCCCACAACCTGGCAAAGACAGTGACCATCTATACGAACGGCAACGATGAGCTAGCCGAGCAGCTTCGCCCATCCATCGAGAAGGACGAGTGGCTCAGCCTCGACAACCGGGCCATCAAGCATCTACACAAGACCGACGGCGTTCCAGTCAAAGTCGAACTACAGGACGGTACAGACAAGATGGAAGGATTCCTCGTTCACGCCATGAAGACGACGCCGGTGTTGAATTTCGAGCATAACCTCGAGCTTGAGCTGTCTCCTCAGGGCACCGAGTTCAAGACCACTCCTCCCTTCAGCGAGACTACTACCCACGGTTGCTTTGCGACCGGAGACTGTGGAATGCCCATCAAGGCGGCCAGTATGTCCATGAGCCACGGATCGTTGGCCGGTGTCGGTGTTGTATCGCAGCTGGCTTTTGATGAGAAGGCGTAGCTTAAGTACATAGGAATAAAGCGAAGACTAGATGAACAATATGAATATTTACGCATAACGTTGCATGTTCATGATAATAAACAACACTATAATAATAAATGTTGTCAAGTGCCGATTAAATAAATATTGATGGATGTTTCAGGGGGTGGCTAAACTTCTTCCCATCATGAAATGTTCAAACCAACAAATGGCGAAAGCACAAGATGGAATAATTAATTTCATGGCCTTATAACTGACTATCATTCAACATCTACCGACTATACAACTGATCCAGGTCTACATCTACTCGTCGCTGAAAATCAAACATCGGACCTCGACACTCTCGCGCAGGGGAGCATCCTCTGGCGTCTCGGGATGCTGGAAAGCGCAATGAGCGCACACTGGAGAAATGTCAGACCAGGGATTTAAAGGAGAAGAATAAAGGAAGAGAAAAGGTCACTCACTGTGTCCAGCTACATCTTTGCTATCCCAGATTTTGATCATGGTGATCTCGTCTGTCTGCTGTTTATCCAAATAGTACCAACGCTGACCATCGTCATGGCTGATGCTGACGGTCTCACCACGGAGCTCGAATCGTTTACGATATAGCTGTGTCGGATGGATGTTCGCCTTCTTCAGCGTCGTGCAGTCCATCACAGCCAGCGGCCAGTCCACCACAGGGCCCTTCAATGGACGCCAGACACTAGGAAGGGATCAGGTCAATGCCACCGTCTGGAGCTGGGGATGCAAGAGTGATACGCACTTGATGATTCGAGCTCGGCCTTTTAGGAGTTGGTCTGCTTCCTCAGGAAGGTGTTGGTAGACGCGTCTACGAGCACCGAGGGGGGATCTATACGACGAGATTAATACACCTTGCATCGCCATGAGAACGTCCGTTTACCTACTGGTCACAGTGAACCTGTTCATGTCAGCGTTATACCATCTCCTAGGGCTCGAGGATTGTTACTTACTGTACCGGCAGGCTGCTCACGGCCATTGGGGTTTTTCCCTGCCAGTGAAGCTTCACGACGTCGGACAGTGTGGTCGAAGATGAATACCCTCGATGCCCCAGTCTGAGCCTTGATCAGCTTCTCGACGAGAGGATAGTAGAGCTTCTGGACGGTCTCTTTATCGCCCGCTCGAATGGCCTCCAGTATCTCTGGCTGGCTGCCCTCTGGGTCTACGGCGAATGCGAATCCATGGGTGTCCAGCTGGAAAGAATCACGCTGTGGACGACCATCGTGGACGATGACCTTGTGCTGCTCCTGGTGGAAGTTACTAGTCTCAAAGCCTTCGTCGGCCGCGGATCGATAAAAGGTAGGGTCATCTGTGGGTTTGCGAGGGGCAATGAAGCCCATCTGGGCGGGATACTGGGATGCCATTTTATCTGTGATAGTAAAACAGTGTCTGTGGTAGGAAAACAGGAGTAGGTGCGAGAGATGGAATTGCTTGTCCGACTATGGCCTGGAGACTATGGCCATGTTTTGTATGCTCGATATCGGCTTTGGAATGGAGACCTTGATATTGGGGAGCCGGTCGGTGGCCGGCACTTGACCTGCAAGTCTATATCAAGCCCTTCGGTGCGTGGACTGGCTGACCTGGAGGGCAAGTCACCAGCTAAGCTACAGTTTCAACTATTAACATGGCATCTCAAGAAATTCCCCTTTACGATTGCCTGATCATCGGCGGTGGCATTGCCGGCCTCTCTTCCGCCCTCAGTCTCGTCCGAACTCTACATACCGCCGTGGTATTCGATGAAGGCATTTACCGAAATGATCAAGCGCCGCATCTAGCTACCATTCCAACTTGGGATAGCCATGACCCAAGACGCTTCCGTGAGCAGGCTAGGCTCAATATCCAGGCCAAATACAACACCGTCGAATTTGCAAATGTAAAGCTCGAGAAGGTGGCTAAGCTTACAGAAGGGCCGAACGAGGGTAAATTCTGTGTCTGGGACGACAAGCAGCGCTCCTGGCTGGGGAAGAAGGTGATCTTGGCCATGGGAGTTGATGATATCCTCCCTACTATCCCCGGTTTCGACGAATGCTGGACCAAGGGGATGTAAGTACTCACCCATTCACCGAATAAAACCGTCTCTAACTTTCATAGCGTTCATTGTCTGGTACATCGCGGTTACGAGGAACGAGGATGCGCAAAGGCCGGTGTCCTTGCAACTGATGGAGATGCCAACTTGCATGCCGCCAGGCATCTGGCTTTCCAGGCTCGCAATCTTTCATCTAATGTCACCATCTATACGGATGGCAACACTGAGCTCGCCGAAGAGATTCAGGCGGCGTTAGGACCATGCGGTTTCCAAGCAGAAGCCCGGAACATCACCAAACTAGTCCAGCATAACCCTCAACGGTCACTGGACATTCATTTTAATGACGGCAATTCGGAGACAGTTGGTTTGATCGTTCACCGACCGCGCACCAAAGTTCGCGGCCCCTTTACGGAACAGTTGGGTGTTGAGATGACCCCGGAAGGCCATGTCAAGACGAACTTCCCATTCAACGAGACAACGGTATCAGGGGTATTTGTCGCCGGTGACGCCGGCTCGCAGTTCAAAATCGGCACCCAAGCTGTTGTCATGGGTGCCTTTGCGGCGGGCGGTGTCCAGATGCAGGTGAATGCAGAGAATTGGTCGAAGCCCGTGAATCCTGTGAATCCTGCGTCTTAAGCTATGTTAGATTGATTGTTGCTTATTTATTTCTTCGGCATCCGAGACCGAATACGGCCTTCTAAATAAATACATTTATACACCTAGCTGTCCTTCACTCTACGGAGAACTACTAGAAACATAACTCTCTAGCTGGCTCCTCACATACAATGTTTCTTTCTAATTATCAATGTATTGCTTTGTCCCTTGGGCTATTTTTTGCGGTTGCGCTCCTGTCCAGGGGTAATCGTACCTACCTTGGATTTACGCACCTAGGAAAGTCGCGCCTTTGGTCATTTTTCAGCTGGGAAAAATCAACTCGCTTTGATCTGCCTCGATATGCACGAATTGGATACGAACAGGTTGGTTATATCGAGAGTTTGTTTTCTATTTGGGGACACTGGGTTGACGGGTAAACTATAGTTCAACAAAGCCTTGGGGAAACCATTCACAACGACAGTATTTGGCCATGAATACATCGTTCTTCCATCCAAATATCTTGATGATATCAAGCGGGCGAGTCCGAAGAGTTTGAGCTTTTTTCAAGCCCTCAGCGATGTATGTTTGCCCATTTTCGCCTTCTTGAATGTCTGGCTAACACACACTCAGGGATTGAATATGGAGGCCTCTGTTGGCCATTTATACACAAGCACAACAGAGATTGACGTCGTTGTCAAACATCTAAATCCCCAGCTCAGTATGTTCTATCGATTATTTGGGAAGCAGCATGCTAACAATTCGCAGCAAAATTAACGCCTCTCTTATCCGAGGAGGCTGACTTTGCCATTGCTAAAGAGGTTGGAACTCTCCCAGGTGAGCCTCTATACCCAGCATCATACCCATAAATTCCAGGCTAACGGATGTATAGAGTGGAAGACTTTCAACGTTTCCAACCTCATCGGTGCCATTGTGCATCGTACTACTAATCGAATCCTCGTTGGCAAAGAACTATGCCGCGATGAAGAGTATCTCTCCACCACGACTCGATTCTCCCGCTCACTGTTCTTACATGGAATCTTTTGGAATTTCATCAATCTAGGACCACTGCGCAAACTTGTGGCCCGCCTCACAATCTACTTCCATTTGAAAGATCGCGATGCAGCTGCAAAGCTGCTTCTCCCTCACATCCATGCTCGACGCCAGGATAAGGAGGCATCTTCAAAATACCAGGATGCACTCCAGTGGACACTTGATACGGCGCCATCTTTCCCTGGTGACGATGAGCCGTTGCATCAAGCATACCACATGCTGCATCTCACGTTCGCAGCAAGCAGCGCCTCAGGAGTGGGAGTTACGCAGTGTTTGATCAATGTGCTGGCGTACCGCGAATATCTCGAGCCTATGCGTGAAGAGATCGCGGCAGTCATAGCCAAACACGGGGGATGGACTGATAAAGCACTGTCGCAGATGGCCTTGATGGACAGTTTTATCCGTGAGACCATGAGATTGCACCCGGCCGGCTCTTGTAAGTATCTTGGGATATAGTGTAGACCATGACTAGCAGTGAGAGCACGCTGACAGCTCATCTAGTGACCGTGGCTCGAACTGTGATGGATGAACAATTTCGATTCCACGACGGCCTGACTCTGCCCAGGGGTACGAACATCATCGCGCCGGCGCTGGCTGTGCACTATGACCCAGACAACTACGAGGACGCAAGCCGATTCGACGGGTTCAGGTTCGCCCGTTATCGCCAGAAACAGGGAGAAAGCCATCGCTGGCTGGCATCTACCATCGATCATAAGTTCCTCCAGTATGTCGTCTCAGCTGCAAAATATGTTCTTGGACTAACATTGTCTCACAGGTTCGGCTACGGCAATCATGCCTGTCCAGGCCGGTTCTATGCCGTTCGCAAGGTGAAACTGGTCTTCGGAAAGCTGCTCATGGATTATGACTTCGACTGGACGCAGTCTCAGCCAGCAGGAGATCGTCCAAAGGATTTTGCGATAGAGGCGCAAATGATGGCAGCGCCGGAGACCGAGATCTTAGTCCGCAGCCGGGCTAATTCCAAATAGTTAGTTAGCGGGAAAGAAGGATTTGACAGGGGGCGTATAATATCAAGCAAGGATCGGGCTTAAAATAAATAACGTGCATTATTAGATTGCAACTTTAATGAACAAATTTTCAGATGAAGAACGCGAAATTGCTGCAGGTTCTATATGCATAACTAACGATCAAACATGGATTTCTTCAAGATTCTCGCTTCTGCTCCGTATTAATCCTACGGAATGGGGACCATTCGAACGAGAGGAGCGGCCAAAGTAAAAGGCAACGGTGGCACTTCTCCCATCTTTAGGCGGACCATGGAATCACCAGCAAAAGGAAGCGCAAACCAGAGCGCGCAGATCACCCAGAGATAGCCCAAAACCGGCGCCCATCGCGGTGTCTGTGGACCAGCATACTTTTTCCATAGCCAGATGACAAAGTCCTCGATCGTGATCATCGCGGCCTGGCAGGGGAAGAACAGGAAAATACCAATAACAATCTCGCTAGGCGTGATATTAGCTGGTCGAGGCATCAGCAGCTGCGACAGAGCATGCATCACCCCCGAGATTGTAAATGCAAGCCAGAGTTGCGTATACGATGAGGCATTCGAGCCGCGACGGATGCCTACGGCGTCGACAAAGGCGCCGGTAATGGTGCTCAGAGACTGTTCTTATTAGCGATTTATTCAATGAAAAAGGGGTTTAATACGTACCTTGCGCAGCATTTGATGCCAGAATATTCCCCAGAAATTCCGTACGGTGGTGGCTTCTTTCAATTTACCAAACAGTGGCGGCCAGTCCTATACCAATATCATATCAGCTCCATTCTTCACCGTTTGCTCAACTTTGTTCCACGAGTTGATACTGACCGATGGCTTGCTGATGCCTATGGCTACAGCTATGATAGAGACGACCAGGTACTGCATGTTGATGAAGTAATACGGCCCCAGTCCAAAGGTCAAGGCCTTCAGGAAGCTCCATCCTAGACGGTGGTCACTGACGGTGATGTATTTGGAGTCCAACGCTCCCACAACTCCGGCAGCATCGGTAAAGAAGAAACGAAGGCCCATCTGGGAGACGAGATCTGCCATCAATATCACCAATACTAGTTCTCCGAGCCGCCATAGCAGAAAGCGAGTGCGACTCATGCGATCTAAACCTGGTACTGGAGGCACATTTTTGACCTGATAACTCCATCGGATACCCCTGAGATTTAACAGCAACGTCACAGCCCATTTGATTTTGCGCCATCCCAGAGTTGGCCATGTTGTGGCTTCTTTGGCGATGCGGTCGATCCGCCATAGATCTGCCTCAGGTCCTTCGGGGGAGGAAAAAACGACCTTTTCCAAAGCAGACAGCCAGTGTGGCCAGGCGAGTGCGAAAAGGTTGGCGAGGCCTGGATTGTTCGTGAATCTATTGCATTGGGCGACCACTGCGAGACTGAGAATCGTCGTGGCAGCGATGGCTCGGCGACCGGGAAGCAGACGAGGGCCGGCGAGTATTAGAATCTGGGCCGCGATGAGCAGGAGATGAGGGATGATTGAACCATCTGCTGGATGCAAGTCTTTATTACTGAGGGCTTCCATTATGAAAAGTATCCGTGTGAGCTATGGAGATATAGTTGAGCAGCTACTTGATGGAAATGGTTTCACTTTATACATTCAGACATTTATATCGTCTACATAAGCATCCCGATCGGCGACCGAACTATTTACTTCCGTCCTGTCGAAGGACGGTTTCCATCCGCTTAATGGCTTCCTCCAAATTAGACCGCTCTATCGCAAAAGTCATTCGGCACCAGCCCTTCTCTTCCTCATTGACGTGATACGCCTTGCCGCTGCTGACAACGACGCCAGCTTGCTTCAGTCTGCCGATGAGGGCACTCTCTTCTTCCCAGGACTGGGCGTTGGGCACCAGACGGGCCAAAACATACGGAGCAGAATTCACGGGAATGTAGGTGATGTTTTGCTTCTTGAAGAAATCCGTAATGATCTTATACGATTCACTCAAGCGCTGGGAGTTCAGCTTCAATAGTTCTGGCAACTTCGGGGACGTGAGAAGAGCAGTTGTAGCTACTGCAGCAAGGCTGCTCGTCTCGGTGTTGGAAGCCAGAGCCAATCCGACGTGCATCTCCTTGTTTGCCTGGGTGATGCTGCATCCCTATCGGTATATTTGATTAGACTGAATATTCTAGCAAGGAAGAAACAAAACTACTAACCACGCGGAAGCCGCTGGACCCGAAGTCCTTGCTGGTGCTCCAGAATGTATGCACTCGCGAGAGATCACAACCAATCCCGGCTACATCTATCTCCAACGCAGACACAAATGACGACGCATCTGGGAGCTCGGGATTCTCAAATGAGGACAACGCATAGACTTCGTCCGAGATGTAGTGAATGCCTTTGGCATGACAGAAGCGGATGCAGTCCTCAAGCACAGCCTTGGGATAACACTGGCCAAACGGATTATGAGGGTTGGTGAGCAGCAGGCCTCGAATAGGGATTGTAGATTCTGTATACGCCTTTTCCAGCGCTGGTATGAGCTGCGATGTGAGTGTGTCGGCGCTCTTTTCAACGTAAACCATCACCGGCACAGCGGACGATCGAGCAGTAAAGAGCCAGTCAAAGCCATCTGCTCGGTTAATTGTTTAGTTAAGAGTGTTCAATTATCGCTGGGAGCCTCTAAACTAAAGACTCACTCCAAAAAGGGGCGGGAACAAGGATTCCCTCGCCAGGCTCGCAGGTGTTGTAGAGAAAGGTATTCAGGCAGGTCGCCGCACCAGGCGCAGTCGCAATATGATCAGTCTCGACGGGGATGTGAGGACGGAAATATTCATTGAGGAATCCTGCCAGGCTTTTAATCAGGTCTGCATCGCCAGCAAACTCGTTGGGATACGACAGATGCTGTATATCGTCAGGACAACAAATCGCAACTTTGGATATTCGGGAGACCATACATGAGGCTTCAGTCCATCCCGTATGCCGTCCTTGGTCAGCTCGATGATCTCATTGCGCAGCAGCCAGTTCTCCGCCGTGGATAGATCAATCCGGGGAGCGGTGGGCTTCGTTCTTTCGAGCAAAGCAGCACTTATCCCCGGCATGATCTTCTCGACATTGGCAGCACCACGCTTCGATAATCCTGAACTAGCCATCTTATTCATATTCTCTGCTCTCTGTGATTTGATTACTGTCTCAGCTATGCTGGAGACATCCCATCATATATCCATATCCACGGCCAGAGTGGTGGCTTGCCGGCTGCCTCTCGGGGGCCGAGCAGCAATCCCATAAGACTCTATCAAAACGGACTCTCCCGGTCGAAACATTGAGAACCTGAGCTGTTCTAAACCATTACAGAACAGACAATCCAAAGATGCAGCTGTCTATACTGGTATTGGCCCTGTGCTGGGCTTATCCTGCTTCGATTTATCTTTCCTACCTCTTCTCCAGACTCGCCATCGCCATTTGGCAGAAGCATGAAGACGGCGCTGCAACGCCTTGGTACAAGAAAAACCGTCGAACCGCATTTACAGCCATATTCTGGCTTCAGCTGCTGCAATGTGTCAATCTGGTCAGTGCAAACTCCCAACAAGCAAGTTATATAGACTTACAAAGAGTAGACAATATGCGCCAGCGTCATCGGTTACCTTGTCAGCGATAGCTCTAAAACTGCCGCATGGTGGATTAACAAGGAATACATGGTACTGATATACATTGTTCACCTCTTAATTCGACTTATTCTAATCATACTAGGCGTCGAATATTGCGGTTTTGATGTTTCTCGTTGCCGGCTTACTCCCAGACCCTGACGAGCCATTCACCCCGTCCCTATCGCACTCCCACGCATGGAGTCTGGCCACGATCACAGAGGCTCTTCAAATAGTCATGTTCTGTTTTCAGTTTGGTAAAGATCCCACGAATGCCGGCCTAGAACGCCTCGAACTAGGCCTCGTCATGCTACGAATGGGTGTCTTTGTTGCCATGATCGCTCTATACCTTCAGCCGATGTATGCCTGGTCGCATATTAAGCTTGGTGAAACCGATCCTCTGCTAGGGGAGATGGCCGCACAACCTGTGCGAGATGCTCAGCATGGTGGCTGGCTAGACTATGTCACCGGTTTCAGTACTCTCTTTCCATTCCTATGGTTCGTCTCTATCATTTCTTTTGCCTGATATTCTGTGATGGTATACTAAGCCTCAGTAGGCCATCCGACTCGCGTCGATTACAGTTACGAGCTATCTTCTGTTTTTTCCTCTTGGTCCTACAGCGAGGTGTGAATATCATGGTACCGCATCAGCTAGGTCTTGTCGTTGGCTCTCTAGGCTCAGGAACGATCCCATACAAGAATCTCGCAATCTATATCATCTTACGTGGACTGCAAGGCCAACAAGGAGTGATCGGATCAATCAGGGCCTTACTTTGGATAAGCGTCAGCCAATCTACATACCGAAGGCTCACATCCTCCGCATTCGAGCACGTCCTCTCACTCTCTCTTGAATTTCATTTAGGCAAACGCATTGGAGAGGTCATGAGCGCTCTAAGTAAGGGCAGTGCCTTGAACACCTTTTTGGACGGCCTGGTTTTCCAACTGTTCCCCATGGTGGCTGATTTGTGGATTGCTGCCGTATATTTTTTGATTGAATTCGGCGCTTTTTACGCATTAATGGTTATTGCAGTCACCTGGTTGTATCTGTTTGTTACTATCTACATGGCCAAGTACCGTGGCAGAGCCCGACGAGACATGGTAAATCGTGAACGTGAGATGGAGGCTGCGAAGTAAGATCCCTCACCATCCCATCTACCATTTACATATGGCAAAAACTGACAAAAACTAGGACGGATGCTCTTATGTCCTATGAGACTGTTCACCACAACTCTGCCGTACCCAACGAACTCAGCCGCTTTAATGGACTGATTAAATCTTTCCAAGGAGCCGAGTACTTTGTGTTCTTCTCCTTAAACATGCTAAATGTCACACAGAACTTATTGTTTACAGCAGGAGTTGCCATTGTCTGTCTACTCTGCGCGTACCAAATATCCGCAGATATGCAGAAGGTTTCCATGTTTGTCACCTTGATCACCTACCTGGCTCAGTTACAGGCTCCCTTGAACTTCTTTGGGAGTTTCTATACTCAAGTCCAAAACAATTTGATCGATGCTGAGCGAATGCTGGCTTTGGTGAGCTTATCCCGTAAACTGATATTGGTTATGTGTGGATTGCTAACCCCCCCTCGCAGTTTAAAGAGAAGCCCCTGATTCAAGATGCAGACGACGCTATGCCTCTGAACTACTGCAAAGGCCGAGTCGAGTTCAAGAATGTAAATTTTGCATACGATGAGCGCCGCCCAGCTCTTCGAGATGTTAGTTTTGTTGTTGAGTCTGGCACTTCGACTGCCATAGTGGGAGAAAGTGGTAGCGGGAAATCTACCATTTTGAAACTACTGTTCCGATTTTATGATGTCGCTGGCGGATCAGTTCATATCGATCAGATGGACCTCCGAGATATGACCGTGGCAAGTCTACGCAGTCACCTAGGTGTGGTGCCGCAGGATGCAATCTTGTTCAACGATACCATTCTTTATAACTTATTATACGCACGGCCAACTGCAACTATGGAGCAGGTGTATGAAGCTTGCAGGGCAGCCAGTATTCATGACCGGATCATGAGTTTCCCTGACGGCTACGAGACAAAAGTTGGCGAGCGAGGATTACGTCTTTCCGGTGGAGAAAAACAGCGAGTAGGTTCCCTTTTTTCTATATCCATGAGTGAGCATATCGTGCTAATTTCAATAGATCACTATTGCAAGAACCTTCTTGCGGTCGCCCCAAATATTACTTCTAGATGAAGCAACTGCTTCGTTGGATTCCCAGACAGAGCGACAGATCCAAGGGGCGCTTGAATCGATTGCCAAAGGCCGAACGAGCATCACAATTGCGTAAGTTATACGTTTATTTCCTGAAGTTGATATTTAAGTACTAATACTAGCCTATAGTCACCGACTGTCTACAATTACCAAGGCAGATCAGATTATTGTTCTACATCAAGGACGTGTTGTTGAAAGGGGTACACATACGGAGTTATTGTCTGCAAACGGGATGTACAGTCAGATGTGGGAGAAGCAGACAAAGGCAAAAGTTAAGGCTGATGGCGAGGAGCCAAATAATGCCTCATTGGCAAGCCCAGAATGATATCATATTCTTGTTTCACTATGTCTCGATATAAATATATGTTTTAATTTCAAGAACATTCCGACTTAGCCTACCTGCTTAGTTATTTCCTTTGTATGCTATATTCTGCTGAATATCATATCCATTCTATGAGCCTACGGGCTATGTGCGGGGACACTGATATTTTAGGTGCTAGAAAATGTATTAAATAACATTATCGTCTAACTTTAGGGCACTCATACAAGTATTAGTGTTAAATAAACCGCGTCTATCATGCATAAACAATACAAATTTTGTAAAAAAGAACACTCTAAAATAGCCCTCGGCACCCGCTTTCAGGTCATGGAAGGAATAATCATTGCGGCTTGGGGGTTGGCACACTAGTCGGCGCCTCCGCTGATGTATGGGACCCCTCTTCTGCCGACCCATCCTTCTGGCCTGAAGTTTCTTCAAGCCCAAATTCAGTCTCCAATGTAGTTCGCAGTTCAATATGTTTCTGTACCCCGACAAGGACGAAACCAAGCAGACCAAACGCCATGCCAACCTGCCATACGGTCCGCAAGCTATCCGTGTAAACTGACTGGACCGCACCTTCATCTGGGCCCAGGTTTTTCAGCAATGGTGTTCCCACGAGGGAATACGCACCACCACGGGCAAGCTTGTCGCGTAGCGCAGCGTTGTGGACTTTTCCTAGGAAGCGATCGACCTGGCCGTTAAAGATCACAGCAGGAATTGCAACACCCCAGACAAAACCGAAGCTACGGAGGAAAGCGTAGGCTGAAGTTGCGGTAGCGTTATCTGCCTCCGGGAGGGCTCCCTGGATGGCGGGGAGAATGCTAGTCAAAAGGAGACCGTTTCCAAGCCCGACGAGGCACTGTAGAGTAACCCATTCGGCGCGGGAAGTACGGATAGACCACGTACTGAAGAGGCCCATACATATGGAGATGATGGCAAAGCCAGCCCAATGTAATGGGCGATAGAATCCTGTTTTCGATATTATTATGCCGCCTGCAATAGCAGATGGAATTAAGAAGCCGGTGAAGGGTATGACGGAAACTCCAGACATGGTGGTAGACTGGCCCATGACAGATTGGAAGAAGAAGGCCAAAAAGTATACAACCCATTGCATCAACATGGCTCCAAGGAAGGCAAGAACGTATGCCCCCATGGAGGTCCTGTTGCGAAACAAGCGTGGAGGCATGGTAGGTTCCAAGCAGTAAGGCGATGCTTCAAACACATGGAATAATGCCCAGCCAACCGCTCCTAGGACGAGAGGAACCAGTACGTGGTAGGAGGACCACGGATAGATTGTACCGCCAATGACTAGTGCATACATGATAGCACAGATGGCAACGATGAAGATGGCATTACCTATCCAGTCAACACGAGCGAGTGCGTGCCGCCAGGTTGCCTCTCGATGATGCTGGACATTCAGACATAGGACTAGAGATACCAGAGCCAGAGCCGAGAATGGCAGGTTGATATAAAACACCCATCTCCAGCTGGCATGCTCCACCAAGACACCCCCTATCAGCGGGCCCAACGAGGTTCCTAGGGCGCAGGTCGAGAGTGCAATGCCGACATACTGTGCTCGCTGGCGTAGAGGAACGAGGTCGCCCACGATAACGTCTAGCAGGAGGAGAATGCCGCCGGCACCAAGGCCTTGTACGGTGCGTCCTGCAATCATCATGGCCGTCGAGGTTGCCCCGCCACAGAGGCCACTTCCCAGGGCAAACAAACACACCATCGCTATCATGGGGTTGCGACGGCCTATGATGTTGGAGACCTGGCCGATGAGCGGCTGGACGACGGCCGAGGCCAGCGTATACGAGTTTGCAATCCACACATAGTTCTCTTCCCCGTTTAGTTCGCGTGTTATCGTGGGTAGCGCGGTGGTGATGGCGGTTATGTCCAGGGATGCGACGAAGGACGCGAAGCACAGCGAGACAAACACAAGCCAGAACCGGGTCCCGCGAGGAGCTGTCGACTTGGGCTCCCGCTGGCCGTCGTCGGCGGGCTGTGTCTCGCCCATGAGTCTGTTCGTGTGGTTATAAAAGTGAAGGTTAGGACGGGGATGGGAGTTGAGAAGAAAGCAGAAAACCAGGAGCAACAACGACTACGGAAAGCTACAGCAAAGAGAAAAGAGCTTTCACCCTAGCACACGGAAACCCCCAGTCATTTCGCACGCCGCAAACGGCCACCCAGTCAGCTCCTATTCATCCTGGAAACCAGAGCTCAGAACCGTGGATGCAGATGCGCCCTCCCCCGGTGACCGAATATCGCAGTATAATTAAGCTACAGCGGTCCCCGAGCGTTATCCCCGAGAACCCCGGAGGTAGTTAAACAGCGGACAAAGGGCTTGCACAAAGATCTGGCAATTACCTGATTCGGTCCTGGGTGACTTCGTGAATATTCCCGTTTCCAGAATGACTGTGCAACCGCCGCTGCTACCAAAGTCCGAGCCAGTCGGGGACCGGCTAGTGTGGTACCTAGCCTATGGATCTAATCTCTCGGCCAAAACCTTCCGTGAAGATCGAGGGATGACACCACGGGCGGCTGTTGCCGTAAAGGTACGCGGATGGCGCTTGGCCATGTCGAGCGCAGGCTTCCCGTATCGCGAGCCATGCTATGCATCCATCGTCGAATACAGACCGGAGAAGGAGAAGGAGGACCAGGATGACGAGCTCTGTGGCACAGCGTATCTGATTACCTGGGCACAGTGGATTGAGATCATCGGTTCTGAAGGAGGCGGTATTGCCTACGACGAGGCTCTGGTGGGAGCACAGCCAATCCATGCACCAGACCGCCAGCGTTGGGGCACCGAAATACGTGTCTTTACGCTTGTGAGCACCATGGAACGGTGGCCGGAAGCGCGGCCGAGCGAGCGGTATCTCGTGAGTGCAAATTTTTAGTCTCCGTCTCGAAACTGGCGGCGATCATGCTAACTTTTCCTTCTTCAATCCTTCAAGGGCCTCATTGTCGACGGTGCCCAGGCCGCGCAGTTTCCACCCACTTACATCGCGCATATCCGCCAAAAGTATCCCTGCTATCAGCCGCCCTCGAGTGCGTGGGCGCGCATGGGTGCATCCATTTTTCTTGCCTTCTGGACCCCGATCATGGCCCTGCTCAGCACTCTCACCCATTCCACCACTCGCGTCGGGCCGGGCAACGACGGCCATGTCCCCCCCAGCGTGCGAGCCCTGGTCCGCTTCGCCATGTTTAGCATGTGGTGGATTCACGATGTGATATGGGCAGGACTCTGGGGCCGTGGGGACGGCTTAGACCTGAGTTCGCTGCGTTGACATTGAGTCGTCGACGGGGAGATCACTCGGCCGGTGAACATCTCTAGAATTGTGATCCGGCCTGCAGCTTCTCCCTTCCTTCCCTTATATTGTCCTGTATGCAGTGTATATTTAAGCACCAGAAGAAAGAATTATAAGCAAGTCGATCTCCGAGATGCAAGTTGAAGTCGTAGAAGAAGAAGAAAAAACAAAGTAAATTTAGATCGTCGTTCAGGATGAAGGTTGTGCTTAGTCACCAATTTCCTATCTCGGCAATCTCGACGACCGTTCGACTTTTCTCAGCTTTTGGGCCTCAACCCCTGCCTCCCTTCTGACACTTTTCTCGCGTATGCACAGTTCGACCGACAGCCATAGACGGAACGGCGTGGTACGGGGGTCACCGCGCGGCTGAGCGAGCGGACAGAGGTACGTCCCCTGTCCCTAGGATATCTCGTTTATGGTTACTGAGATAGTGAGAGATAGGCTCCCCCAGAGCAGGATTCTCGACCCACCAAGGGCTGCAGAGGGCCTTATTTCTCTAACCCACGCCTTGCATGGATCAACAACCCCTTCGCCCGCTCTATTTTACTGTCTGGATGCTGCTGCTTGGCTAGCATGCTTACCGAGACACAGCATGACCGCCGTAGGATTCGCTCCTCGAAGGCAGGGCTGAATTCGATGACGGTGTATTTTGGCTGAGGGGGAGAGAGATACCTCCAGCCGTAGGCTGAGGTTTTTCACCCCCCGTCGGCATCGTCGAGCGGGTCGAGAGAGGGGTCTCGGTGAGCATTCTATAAGAATTGCATCGGAACCGCCCACCCGAACATCATATCACTACGCCACGACTATCCTTCCACCGTAAAGAACATGTCTTCCACCACCACTACTGAGAGGTTCGTCAGCCATCATACCCTAGCTAATCAATAGTTCTTTATGCATGATTCATATTGTATTGTATACTGACCTCACCCTTGCAGACCAGACTCGTCGGGTAAGCCCGTGCGATGGCGCTCTGCCTGTAACCAATGCCATTCGGCAAAGGTATGGCTGAGATCTGCGGAACGACCAAGCCATTGCTATACTCCGTACTAATTGACCGAATTAGGTACGGTGTAGCGGCGAGCGAACTGGTTGTTCTCGGTGCAGCAATCTACAGTACGAGTGCGTCTACGCGGTTTCCAGGGTCGGCAAGGTACCAGGCATTCGGGCTCGAGGAAACAAACCTCCCCGGACGGCTACATCAGAGGCAACAACTACGGCACAACGACCTAGAACTTCCACTCCACAGCAAGATGCCGACGGCGATACAGACATCCAGACCGCCGGTCCAGAATCTGATGAACAACCGAGTCGCATGGATTTCGGTGATAAGGCAGACGCGACTGACGCCGATCACTTCCTGGACGCCAGCACCCCCAAGTCTCACACGGGGCTCTATCCGGACTGGGCCGACCCAAGCAGTGACAAATCCCTGAATCCTTTCGACGCCGCAGACCTCTTCGTCCTCCCCAGTCAACTAATGTCCTCAGAAAACGACCCCGGTCGATCGTCACGCTGTCCCTCACTTCATCCTCCCAGTCACCACAGCCAAAGTGCCGGAAATTCGCATACCCATACTCCTGTCCACGCCAATACCCCTTTCCTAGACCCTGGGATGCTATCCCTAGACCTGCCCGACTTGCCCGACCTGGACTTGCCGGATCTAGATCTCCACATCCACGATTTCCACCCCATGGACCTCCCCATGGGTTCACTAAGCACCCCAACCAGTACTCCAGTTACAACCTCCAACGCCAAACGACGCTCAATTGCTCACTCTGATCTACAATGCGGTTACCCAAACCATTCCATGTTCCAATATAGCGAGAATGCCTCATCAGCAGAGTGTGAGAGTGAGTGTGGGCGTCTTCATCATCAGCAATACAACTACAGAAGCTGGACTATCCTAAGTTGTAACCGAATCGTGGAGTTCTTAGAGCATCGCATTCAAAGGGGCGTCACTGCACTCGACGTCGTCATGCATACCAATAAAGTCACTTTGGGCGAGATATCGCGGCTTATAAGCCAAGGTGCACACAAGGAGCGATCAAACTGCGCCATGCTACTTCTCATCGCTATAGAACAGATTATTACCCTATTTGAGCGCAGTGTGGGCCAAGGTCGTTCGGATAGCGATCGTGGGAGCATTATGGGGAGTTTAGGAAGCATGGGAAACATGGGAAGCTGCAAGCCGGCGTCTCACGGAGAAAACTCCACCAGCAGCAACGTCCTGCCTAACCTCCGATTCGGACTGTTTCAAATCAGCCAAGACGAGCAGGTGGAGCTCCGGTCTTATTTATTACAACGCGAATTACAGAGGTGCATACAGGTCATTGCAACTCTACGAGATTCCATCACTCTAGAGCCAAACCCCTGCACGAAGTTGGAGGAGCGAGTTGGCAAACTATCTTCAGCTATTTAGCACAATTGAAGTAATGTATAATGAATTTCCCTTTTATTTATGTATATAGACAGTCTATCGGTGTTTCACATATAGAGACGATAGCTAAGACCTCAGCGGCCGGATTGCAACATTCAAATTACCTTTATCCCACATCATCCATACTTTTTGCTCAGCCCAGTTCTTTGACTCTTCCAGCAGTTCCAGCTCAAAGTTCCAGAGCAATCGCGTGAGAACAAGGCGCATTTCCGCATACGCAAGGCTACCACGCATGAAAATGTAAGTATTACCGACTCCAGTCAAGTCAAACAGAGGTGGATATTGCACTTACTTCTTTCCGAGGCAGTTTCTCGGTCCATAGGAAAATGGCTGGTAGGCTTTCTTGCAGTCATTCTTATACCGCTCATCGCCCAGCCATCTTTCTGGCACAAACTTGTTTGGATCTTTGAAATTCTGTGCCGATGTCATCGCAGCTAATTGATTGACACCCACAATATATCCCCCTGCAACAAATTGTCCACAGACTGTGGCGCCTCCAGGAGGCGTTGTGCGTGGAAACGTACAGGGTACAGGGGGATACACTCGCATGGATTCCTGAATGACAGCATTCAGATACTCCAGCCCCTGAGTGGATCGCATCGTGATATCAGCTTCCTGTTGAAAAGTGGCTTGGAGCTCTTCTCGAAGCTTTGCCATTGCCATGGGGTTTTTAAGAAGATAAAACAGCGTTCCTGGACAATATTTGACTTGTTAGCCAGCGTCACTGCCCCTTTCGATCAGGAGTACGTACCAGACAAGGCTGATGCAGTTGTCTCACTTCCAGCCATAATCAGAATCTGCGCGTTGGCCTCAATCTCGTCCTGCGTCATTCCCTTTTCTTCAGTGGCACGGAGGATATAGGTCACTATCAGAGATCAGCATTGGGATGTTTCATGCATCAATTGGCCATACGTACTGAAATCTGGTCTGGTGGTTTCTCTCGCAAGACGTTCACGGGCTTTCTTTTGACAAAACATGAACTGATCTTGCAAATGTTGGTTCTGCTGTAATAATCCAGCAATGAACATCATCAGAGGGAACAGGCCAGGGACGCGGCGGATGATCTGCATATCCATCACAGCCTTGATGGCCGTAAAAATGAGCTCTATCCATGGGTGCATAACGCCGCTGCGAAGACAGCCAAAGGGCTCGCCAAATGCCAGATCACCGAGGATGTCAAAGGAGGTAAAGTTGAACCAGCGGACCATGTCGACAACCCCCTTACGGTCGCCCTTTTGCTCGTTGCTGCGCTGGCGGAGCTCTTCGATGAGCTGACCGACATAACCAGTGATAATTTCCTGCTGGGCACTAAGAGCCTTGTCCGACATAGGATGAGATAACAATCGTCGAAAGCGACGATGGACTGGAGTTTGTCAGTATCACACAAACTACATAAAACATTCAGGGGCTTAACATACCATCATCTTTTGCAACAATCTGCGAGAGTAATCACGGTTAGCTACCATTCCTATTTTTCTTTCAAGCGAAAACTGCTACGCACGATTGAATCTACCCCATTCGGGGCTGGGGGAAAGAAGGTCAAGTCCTTTTCAAAACTTTCTGTGCGTTGCCCTGTTCGGTGACCTGATTAACAGTGAAGATGTCAGTCAGTATACTTCCTCGAGCACGCGGAAGGAGATATAACTTTGCCCTACCGCAAATATCCTCCCATGCCTCTGCTGTGTTGTATGACAGCTCATCAGGCGCAATTCGAACACATGGACCATATTTGTCGTGCCATTCTTTGGTTTTGTGTGGAAGACGTCCAATCTTCACATAGTAGGAGTAGTACCAACGGGAGGCGCGAGCCAACCACGGTCCTGGATAGGAACGCAGAGGGTGAAAGTACAGATTATAGACTGTTTTGACAATGATGAATAGAACCAACTGAACAAGTTTTAGTCTTTAGGCTTTATTTGCCTGGCTGGCTGAAAAAAAAAGGGGAGATTTGGACATACTGCATAGCCAACCGTCAGAACACCGAATGAGAACAACATTGCGGCAAACTATATTCAGCTTAAACGTCTAAATCTAGCTGCTTTATTTTGTTGGTAAATATTATTGAATTATTTGAGGGCTCTTCGCGATCTATATCTAGAATCTCGGCGACAGGCGTCGGGATGGGCTAGCAGCTCGGTCTCCGAGCGAAGGAGCCCATAAACGTATGACCAGGTATAAGCCCCCCCAAATCTTTCCTATTTTTTTATGCATTACAGGTGAACCATGGAGCTTCTACGGGAACAGATAATGATGTCGGCCTGGCCGTACATGGCCGGTCTGGCTGTCATCCTGCTCGTCGTCCGTCTCATGCGACCCAGACAGAACAAAATTCCTATAGTTGGCGATGGCAAAGACTCCAACTTCCTAGCAGCATTGAAAGAAGGCTCACAAAAGGTAGATTATGTCCTTATTCTATTCCTTATCCTTAGCACTAACATAAAATAGTACCCCGAATCATGTTTCCAGATCCCTACTAGTGATATCCCGACGGTCATTGTGCCGCGCAAATGTCTTTCTGCAATTGCCTATGCCCCTGAAAATAAGTTAAGTCTAGGCCGGGAGGTATATGAGCGATTGATGGGCCGATACACCAAGATGGTCAAGAGTGACCACTTGGCCGAATTTGTACGGGGCGGGTTAGCAAAACAACTTGGACAAAATGTCTCTATACTCCAAGAAGACGCAGAATGGACCGTTTCCTCACAAATAGGTGATTGTCCAGGTACTGTAACTCGCGATTCTCCAGACCTGATATGATCATGGTAGCTGATTGAATCTCAGAATGGAAATCATTGCCACTATTTCCAACAATGGTCAAACTAGTTCCATTGCATATTGGCCGTACCTTCATCGGTCCGCCACTTTCTCGAGACCAGGAATGGGTGAGTTATGGCTGTATATTCCCAGAAGATATAACATAGTTTGCTAATCTTCTTAGATTGACCTGACGCTTGATTACGCCATCTCAACCGTAACTATTGCAGCTAAAATGTCGAGCACCCATTGGAGCTTACGGCCGTTCAAAGCGCTTTCCCTTCCTGAAATCGGAAAGATGAGTCGGCAATTCAAACAGGCCAGTAAACTATTGGCACCGATACTAGAAGCTCGACTTCAGGATGACGAAGCTCCCGACGACCTGATGCAATGGATCATCAAAAATTATCCTGCCCAAAAGAATGACCTGGTCCTCCATACGCGATTGCAACTTGAGGCCGTCCAAGCGGCAACATACAATCTCGCATTTCAGGTAAGTGCAAGGAGAGAGCAGATATTCTTTGTATAGAAGGCTAATTCAGTGATAATATTCAAAAGCTTATTCACTTCTTTTTCGATCTCCTGGCTCATCCAGAATATATTGAGCCTTTGCGAGCTGAAATTCAGACGGTGTTTGATTCTTGCGGCGGCAATTGGACTCAAACAGCCCTGTCAGACCTCCGCAAATGCGATAGCTTCCTCAAAGAATCCCAAAGATTGAATCCTATTGGTATTGGTAAGGACTATTTTGACTTAAGAGCATTAAGGCGAACAACTAACATTCAAGTAGTAAGCGTAAGCCGCTTCGCTCTATCGTCGTTCCAACTACCAGATGGTACTACTGTACCAGCAGGCACCTCCGTCTCTGCCCCGTCCATGACGGTCAACACAGATCCGTCAATCTGGGCTGATCCGGCGCTCTTTGATGGATATCGGTTTGAAAGATTGCGCCAAATTAAGGGGAGTGAGCAGAAATATCAGTTCTCATCAATTAGGTATTTCAACCCAGCTTTTTTTATGGAATACACAATATGAATCAACTAACACAATTATAGTTCCACAGAGTTGAATTGGGGATACGGCACTCATTCATGCCCTGGTCGTCATTTTGCGAGCAATCAGGTCAAGATTCTGATTGCTGCCTTGCTCATGAAGTATGACTTCCGCTTTGACCAGGACAAGTCGGAGAGCGACACGCCAAAGAGGCCTCCTAACGTGTTGGACGGAGTTCGTATCATGCCAAACCCTCAAGCTAAAGTTATGATCCGGTCTCGTCGCTTAGATTCGTAAGGATGGCTGTTTTAGAGTTAAAAATTCTTTCTCAAAATGTTTGTTAGATAAATAAGCTAGGAGTGATATAGAGACCAGGATATTTATCATAGAGAAAATAACATCATCCTATACAACCTACCTATCTCGCGTATATGATCCAAGTACCTAGTAGATTGTAAATCTTACCCATCAGCTTCCCGTCAGATAGGATCCTTCTGGATTCACCGTAGACGATGAATCCTTCAGTTGTAATGATGAGCCGTCTCACCGGAGACCGGCCTTATCGCCGTCTTTCATTGTCGGTTCCCGAAAAGGGGAAGTGTTGAGGCTGTGGCCAGCTATATAGAGCAAGGCAAGGTAACTATCGTAGTACCCCTATCCAACAACTCTCAACTTCGCAAATCAGAAGCAAAATGTCGATTCCAGAAACCTGCACAGCCCTGGTGGTCGGAGGCGGCCCAGCTGGGTCCTATGCTGCCTCAGCTTTAGCTCGAGAGGGCGTCAACGTCGTCCTACTCGAAGCGGATCTTTTCCCTAGGTAGAATCCTCCTCTCATTCTATGTTTGCGGTTAATCAGTTAGCCATTGGGGGTGTAGTTGTGGGACTAATATCGATACCCAAACCAGATACCATATCGGCGAGAGCATGCTGCCATCCATTCGCCACTTTCTGCGATTTATTGATCTCGATGCCAAATTTGATAGCTACGGATTCGTTCAGAAGGTGTGTACTCCCTATCCTTTGGGAAGGATTACTTTGAACTAACACGTTGATAGAACGGTGCTGCTTTCAAGCTGAATTCAAAGCCAGAAGCATGTAAGGATTGCCCACTTCGGTGCTTTGAGAACAACATCCTTAGATTGACAGAGCTGACTCTATGCCAGACACTGATTTCATCGCTGCCGGTGGTCCTGGAAGTCATGCATGGAATGTGGTGCGCTCGGAAGCCGACCACCTCATGTTCAAGCATGCCGGTGAGAACGGAGCCAAAGTGTTTGACGGCGTGAAGGTGACCGGTATCGACTTTGAACCGCTCACCGAAGCCACTTCAGAGCTGGGACGACCAGTTTCTGCTTCCTGGTCTTGCAAGGCCCAGAAGACTTCTGGAGTAGTTAAATTCGAGTATCTTGTTGATGCTACCGGACGAGCTGGACTGGTTAGCACCAAGTACATGAAGAATCGCACTTATAACCAGGGATTGAAGAATGTGGCCACTTGGGGATATTGGAAGGGGGCTAGTTCGTATGGCATCGGAACTCCTCGTGAGGGAGACCCCTATTTTGAAGCCATCGCAGGTGCGTATTTCCTCCGCCAGGGTTCACTGTCTATCCATATAGTCGCGACACCGAGCTGATAGATCTCCTTTAGACGGGAGCGGCTGGGTCTGGCTTATTCCCCTACACAATGGAACGACTTCCATCGGAGTTGTCATGAACCAGGCTGTCGCAACGACGAAGAAGCGCGAGGCTGGTTCGACTTCAAAAGACTTTTATCTAGAAAACGTGAAGCAAATTCCTGGCATCTGGCAGCTTCTCGATAAGGCAGAGCTGGTATCCGATCTTAAATCTGCTTCGGATTGGTCCTATAGCGCTTCGAGTTATGCCAGCCCATACCTGCGAATTGTCGGTGACGCTGGCTGCTTCATCGACCCCTTTTTCTCTTCAGGGGTTCACCTGGCTATGGCGAGTGGGCTCTCTGCCGCTCTAAGCATCTGTGCTGCGCGGAGAGGAGACTGTGATGAGAACGCTGCGGCTAAATGGCACTCAAAGAAGGTCGCCGAAGGCTACACTCGCTTCTTGTTAGTGGTTATGAGCGCCTTGAAACAGATCTCAGATCGAGACCAGCCTGTCTTGACAGATTGGGACGAGGAGAGTTTCAGCCGTGCCTTTGATCTTTTCCGACCAAGTACGTTCCCTTCCATCTTGACACATCAGGATAGAGATATCAAGTACTAACTGATATTATCACAGTCATCCAAGGAACAGTTGACGTGGACAAAAACCTCACGCAGGCTGAGATCGCTCAAACGATCGACTTTTGCATGCAGGCATTCCAGAACGCCGGCCGGGAAGAGCAAGATGCATTGATGAACAAGATCAAGACGGTCAGTGAGACGAAAAATGAGGGAGAAAATGTTATCCAGAAGCTCGATGCGAGCCTCTCTGTGGACGAGCGACGAACCTTGAGTACCATCCAGGCTCGACAGATTATTAGATCTGAAGACACTATGAACATTGACAACTTCAGTATCGATGTCATCGACGGTATGGTGCCGAACCTGAAGCGTGGATCTCTTGGTCTGGTGCCATATGTGCCCAAGGCCAAAGCTGGCCAGGAAGATGAGATCCGAACCAAGCTTGGGTTGCCGGAAAAGCAGGAATCCATCTTCTCTTATTGAGCGCTCAATAAGTTTGATGGAGTGGTATCACGATTTTATGGAGTTCGATCATATGGCTGGGGAATGTATGTAAATAGAATAGTTCATGCAAGTTGAATTCATATCAGTGCAAGCAATATATTAGGGCGTGTGTTATTTAAGATCATGAATTCGGATAGGGCAAATTGGAGCAAAAACAAAAACAAAGAGCCATCCGTATAATAGCAGCCATCAACCATCATCCATCGAAGGAAACACCGGTTAAATTAAATCCCGAGTAAACGCCATGAATAGAGACGTAAATAAGACAATGAAGGGGGTAATGAAAGGGGAGAAATGAAGCAGAAAACCTCCGAACCAAGCATGTAGTAAAGGAAACACAAAAGTACAATTAAAAAAAAGGGTAAAGGGAGTTTCAACCGCCAACCTAATCCGATGCCTGACAATCAACCAGCTTCTTCAAGCATTCAACTCCGCTCTGCAAAACAGCAGGATTCTTCGATTTGGTAAGACAGTCCCGTAGAACCTCCATACCACGCTTTTCACGTAATGCTCTTCTAGCTTTCTGTCCAATATTCCCGGACGCACATACAATATTATGCACACAGACTATACCGCGATGAACTAGTCCCTCGTCATCCTCTTGACACAGACCAAGCAAGATATCAATGCCCCTCGCCCTTTCGACAATGGCAGACACGGCGCCTTCAAAATCCGTTAGCATTGCCAATGCACCGCCCGCGGCGCTACGAGTGGGTAGATCATCAACATCAGCCAGTGCAAGAAGGATATGCATGCGTTGGCTGGCTCGGTGGGTGCCGTCTGCAAACTTGCCCACACCAGCTTCGCAGGACATGAGGTTGCAGACTAGCTCGCAGGCTGCACGTTGAATGTACGTGTGCTGGGAGAGGAGGAGGTCCTCGATGGTGGGCCAGGCAGAGCGGACTATGGAGGTACTGACGCTCTGATCGGGATAGGAGGCAAGGTTGGTGAGGGCCAGGAGACTTTCGAAGACAGGTAAGAGGTCGCGAGGTTGGTCGGAAGAGAAGCTGGTTGTTCCAGGGGGGGTTAGGAGGAGAGAAAGAGGGCGAACGGCGGAGGTGATTTGGGGGAAACCCGAGGAAGGGAAGACGTGGGATGGGTTTACGGAGATGAGGATGCGGGCTAGTGCATGTGCGCCACTGGTGGTGGTGCTTTCATTTGGCTTTCTAGCAGTGCTGCTATCCTGGGAGGAGACGGAGGATATGAGGAGCTTGACGGCGCCCTGTTGAGCGAGTTTGCCTCTTGATTTGGAGTCTTTGGATAGAGCGAGCAGGATCTTATTGACCAGTTCCTTGGGGGAGGCCAACTGAGTCTTGCCGCACTCTACCAACAAGGGCATCACACCCGTGTTCACAACTGCATTGCACCTTGCCTTGACATGATCATCGCCGTCTAGCGGATTACCGCCCGCGCGCGGTTTCGAAGCATTGGCGTACACTTTCAGTTCGGACATTTTCTTCTGTTCCTCCGACATATTGGGCCGATAGACGGTGATGTTGTGAATTATCATCAATCCACCATATAGGACGGTAGCGTCTCCAACCCGTTCAAGTAAAACATTGAATAAGTCACGTAGAAACTTGGCATCGTTGGCGAGCTGCTCCTTAACTTCAGCCTTCACAGAGGCATATGCTAGACCTTCAACGAGATGGCGTAGGTTGCCATCTTGATCCGGTTTCGCAAGCATTGCCTTGAACCTATCCACGAGTTCCAAGGGGTCTGAATGCTCTTCTTGAACCTTTCCGTTCTTCCCATCTGCGTTGGCATCTTTGGGAGATACACTGATCTTTGCCAGAATCACAGCAGCGAGGGCGTTTGCCTCTTGGGTCCCGCCATTCAAGTGACTCGAAAGCCAGTCTGAAAAGTGCTTAGATATGGCCTCCCGACACGGTCCATTGACGGATGCAGCATTGAACAACTCTAGAACAGCAAGTTCCAGATTCTTACACTTGATTTTCCGTGCAAGCAGAGGAATGAGTGATTTGAGGAATCCTTCAGTCAGGAAGAGGCTGACGGCGAACTCTGGCATTATCGGGAAGACAACGCTGGCAGCTGAGAAGGCGATGATGTAGTCCTCATTCCGATGTTTGGCGACTCGTGCTTTCACGAAACTCGAGCACAATGCTTGACCGGTCTCACCGGAAACCTCTAGGTACTTTGCAGTCGCAAGCGTAGCCTGACTCTTGACGTCGGAGGGTAGTCTCCGGTCAAGAGAGGAGACGATAACGTCGAACCCTTCCTCATCGATCAGGTGCTGCAGGCTATCGGCGTCGACGGCCAGTAGACGGGCGATTCCCTTCAAGGACCGCCCATCGTGGTCATGACCAGACTCCATCAACTTGGCGATAAACAGCTGGAACAGTCCCTCCTCGCAGTTCTTCCTCGTCTGTTCAGACTGCCAGAGGCCCCTCTCCAAAACAACCATGTCAAGACAGACGACAGCTCCATCTCCGCGGTCGTAGATGCTGTCAAAAAAGCCAGTGACGGAAACCTGTAGCTCGGCTGCGAAATGGCTGCGAACGCGGGAGCTCTGCCGTACGAGGCCGGTGATGATATCGTCCTGTCCGGCAGGGAGGACCTTTGCCGGCTGCGCCAAAAGCAATTTGAGGCAGTCCAGAGCCACCTCCGGCGGTGGCTGGAGGCCCTCTGAGCGAAGATACTGTGTGGCTTCGCGGGCAGCACTATCATCGCGCAACGTCACGAAGCGTCGACAGATGTTGAGCAGCGGATGGTTGTTCTCCTCGTCCTCCCTTATCTTGCGGAACACAGTCTTGACATCTTCGCTGTCCGGGGCAATGGCGATTGCCTCGCGGAGGTTGCGAGATGCTGCCTATCAGATATTAACGTCCGCACGAATTGGCTGGCAGCAGTAATGAACGCACCTCCTTGTGGCCCGCATCTACGAGCTCGACTGCTTCCCTGGCTAGTGTGCTGGCGCGCTCGAGATCATGCACTGAAACCATGAGCGGCACTGTCTTTTTTCTATCTTCTGTGTCTTCTGTCTTCAAGTGCTGGTCTCCCGTCTGTAGTTATCGAGTGGTGATACGGATCGCGGGGGTTTTATATCGAGATCGCAGTTTAAGCTTCCGCCGGCGACAAGAGCTGTGGCAGGGGGCTTCGCAAGGAATAGAACCCCGAGAAAAGGCCGCTCCCAGTCGGAACAAGGTGGCAGGCTCAAGATATAGGGACTCTCTGCCCTCGTACTGTCTGGTTTCTGTTGACTGTTGAGCGCTGTGGCTTGCGATGGTTGGGCTGGGATGACTCAGGCGAAACCTGCTGAGGAGAGAAAAGGAGAGAGGCAAAGGCCGGAGTTATATAAGGCTCGACTTATGAACCGGGAGCAGGCTGAAGATGATATCAGATGTATAAGTATATGCGAGGCCAGCGAGGAGGAGGATGTTTTATTCTTACTGGTCGCGATAAGTTTATCTGCTATTACGTAGATGATGCGTCTAAGAGTATCTGACTGAGATGGACCAACCGGATCAGATCGCTCTCATCCTATCATCTCTGCATCTTCGCTCTTCTCTTCTTCTTTATCCTTTCTTCTTTTTGTTCTTATCTTCTTTTTTTCTTTCTTCTTCTTCGCTTCTTCCTCGGTGTTTTGTGGATGACTAAGCACTGAGATAGACCGATAGACAGACGTACAAGATATACAAGATATAGAGACATACAAAGATATAGAAAGACAGAGACAGACAGAAAGGCGAGATATAGAGAGAAAGACGAGATATAGAGAGAAGAGAGGAGAGAGAGAGGAGATGGCGGCGAACTCGCCTTCGAACGGTCAGTGGCCCTTGACCGTCAACTGTTCCAGCTAACATGCCAAAGACCCTTCGCTCTTGACGGTCATCCTAGATACAAACCCGCACGCCTGGGCTCAGCTTCAAGAGACTCTCCCGCTATCATCTGCCGTAGCGAACCTGCTCGTCTTCATCAACGCTCATCTGGCGTGCAACTACGCAAACAAGGTCGCCGTCGTGGCCAGTCACAGCCAGCACGCAGTATGGCTCTATCCAACTCCCCCAGCTGCCGACGCGCAAAAGCAACACCACCAGCACCGGCCGTCCAATAACGACCGCGACGGAGATACACCCATGACCGACTATGGAGAACCCGCGGCCTCCCCGCAGATCCAGCAGGGCCAGCAGAGCCAGCAGCAGCCGAACAAATACCGTCCGTTCCTCCTAGTCGAGCAGCAGTTGACTCGCAACCTTAACCAGCTCCTCACGCGCACCCGAGCAGAAGAAATATCGCCCTCCACTTCCACCATGATGGCCGGTGCTCTTACGCTCGCCCTCAGCCATATCAATCGTGAGACCATCGCCTACCTGGAAGCACACGGCACCGCGGCCGGCTCCGACGGTGCGGGAGGCGGCGCGAGCGGACTCCCTCCACCTCCCGGCGGCGCTGCTCCTGCTTCAGCCTCGTCGACAAGCAACAGCACTGACTCGCCCGCCGGCGGAGGCGGCGGCGGCCTCCAATCCCGTATCCTCATCATATCCGTCAGTAGCGCCGCAGACTCCGCGCAGCAGTACATACCCATCATGAACAGCATATTTGCCTGTCAACGTCTCCACATCCCTATCGACATCTGCAAGCTATCCGGGGACGCTGTCTTCCTTCAGCAGGCGTGCGACGCTACTCGTGGGATTTACATATCCGTAGACTCCCCGCGCGGCTTCCTGCAATATCTCATGCTCGCCTTTCTGCCTGATCAGCGAGCAAGGCGGAACTTGATACTGCCTACCCGGGTCGATGTGGACTTCCGAGCGGCTTGCTTTTGTCACAGGAAGGTTGTAGATGTCGGGTTTGTGTGTAGTATCTGCCTGAGTATCTTCTGCGAGCCGCCAGAGGGAGCCAACTGTCTGACGTGTGGCACGCATCTGGCGTTGGGTGACTACGGGGCCAAACCCGTCGTCGTTGCGAGGAAGAAGAAGCGCAAGAAGGCCACCGCAAAGCCGCTGAATGGGAACGGGAATGGGGGCTCATCTGGCGCAGTAACCCCGAGTTCGATGGCCACTACTCCCGCTCCTTGAGTCGCTGGTATCTCATCTCCCCGCCCTCAACTTTACTGGTGGGGACATGCCCATTAATCAAGAATATTATGTATTCCTAGGGTCGGTGCATACAGCTCGTGCGTGTTAGGTAGGTTACAAGATGGGTAGACAAGAGAGGTTCAGGTTCAGGGGGTACCATCAGGTCCAGGTTAGGAAACATCCAACCAAATACTCTTCCCCCCTACCCCCAAATTCATCTTCCCAGCCTTATTCATTCCCCGGTTAGATCTAGAAGCCAGAGATAGGCCGGTAGGAGTGAGTTACTATTGCTATGGTTAGCAGAGCCAAGGATTTAGGTTAACCCAGCCTTGGTTAATATCGATAGCATACCAGGTTTAATGGTGGAAAGCCGGGTTGGTACACACGCGAAGATATCGAGGTCATTCCAAAAAACCACTGAATGCCGCAGTGGCTTGCCCCACGTCGGACTTATTTCGAAGTAGTTGGGCTAGATTTGGATCTAGACATCACAATCATGTCAGTTACAATAACAGTTACCCCATGAACCTATCTAAGCTGAAAAGCATACTTCTTGAGTCGGATAAAGCGACCTCCCTGGGCTATCTTGCGGTCTCCGGGGGTACGAGACATAGTACAGCATGCCGCCGAATCCTCAGAGCTCATGCTCGACACAGCCTATCACAGTTAGACAATTACCCCATGCCAGATAATAAGTAGTACTCACAAAAGAATCGGTATTATGACCAAAGACAAATATGATGCCGTCTTGGGTTTTCTTAACAGTCATCACACCAATTGCAGCATGGCAGTGACTGGACTTAACCGCAGGATGGCCTAACAGCAAGAGTTAGCCGGCTTCATCCCGAGATTCATCTTCACAAACACGGGTTTCCATACCCATGAAATCGTTCTGGATCATAGATTTAACGACTTCATCTTCCGTCGTAGGCTCATACACTCCAGGCTTGCCCCCGATTCGTTTGGTGCCCGAGTAGATCCTTTCAGCACAGGTTTGAGCTACCATTGTCGTCGTCATATGCTCCCCTGTTCCACTCGCAACAGCGGCGGAAGATGTACACATTTTGTCATCAGGGTCGACAGGAACGACAGCAGTACCGATACCAACCAAGGCAGCGGGCCCAGTGCGCCCACTGTGCTTCATGCCGATTCCTCCAGAAGATGAGCCTGCAGCAATGTTGCCATGGGAGTCAATAGCAATGGCGCCAACTGTATCACTGATTTCGTCTTCACCCCAAGCCTGGGTCAGCTTATGGGTATCCTTCGGGCTCGAGGTCTCAGCCTCCATTTCCACCTCCTCAAAGTGGACGTGGTGCTCTTTAGGTTTGTCGTCGGCGGCCAGCTCTTGGGGGACGTTAGCCCCTGGAACAATGTCATGATAGGTGTCATCGATAAAATCAGCGTCAGCACATGAATCGGTGTTTGTCTCGCCATCACCTTCCATTGCAACGTCATTATGTGAGGTGTAGATAATTGGGGATCCACATCTGTTGGACACAGCCGTGTTCGCCATTTCCCTAGATGGGCAGACGTTGCCGACGTGGCTTGGGCTTCGGGAAGCTTGGAGCGGTGAGTTTCCCCCAGGGCTAGACCCCCGCGAAGAGGACTCGTTACTTGCACCTGCTTCAGGAGACGTGCGGCTCGCCAGTGGAGAGGCATGTCTGGGAATGAAAGAGTCTAACTCCATACGTTTCTCTCGTTCCTGGAGCCTATTTGCAACCTGTTCAAGGTCGCGTTTCCAACGTATCCATCGTTCTTTGGAGCCTGGGGCAACAAGGACATCTGCGGGAAGAACCGGCATACCATGTTCGTAAGCAAATTCCGTAGCGCCAGAGCATACAAGGAGGTTTGGAGGGACTCGGTTGAGCGTGAGGGGCTTTGTTGAGGTATCCAATACCACTCTTGCGAGTGAAATTGGGTTTTTGATGTCTAAGGAAAATAAGTCAGGCGCTGTCGTATTATTTTTATGAATTGAGGTACAAACGTTGAACTGCTCCAACGGCGCCACTACGACCAAGGTGATCGACAACCGTAGCATCACACTCCACAGCACCAGTAATTGTCAGATTGCTGCCATACCCGGCATTAGTGAGCTCGTGGTCTTCGAGAAACTTGATAGCTGCTTCGACTGCATCAACTGCGCTCCCACCGGCCTTCAAGATTGCCATACCAATAGAGGAAGCTCTATAGATAACATTGTCAATTAGGTGATTTATACCAAGCCAGGAGAGTCAACTTACCTGCTGCATACCCACATATGAAGCTCTTCGCTTTGACGGCTATGGTAACCAGCTCCAGCATGAACAAAAATGGCAGATATATCTTGGCCCCTCTGGGGATCATGGTTCTTAGCGCTCATCATGGTTGAAAGGTTCATCCGCGAACCTTGGGGACAAGGCGGTCAAAAGAAGGGGTGATGATGAGCGTTGAAAAGAGAACGCAGGCTAGAGCTGAGAGAGAAAGCTTGAACCCAAGGAGATAGGACGTAAAGCTTGGGTGTATCTGTTGTTGTGAATCTGGTACAGCGTGTTGCTAGGCGACCTAACCGTAAGACCTTTGGTTCCCCACTGTGTGATAGCAAAAGGCCTAGGAACTCTCAGACTTACTAGGCTCTCAGCTTCTAGCACAAGTAGAGAACAGTGAGGGGAGGAGGTAAGGTAAGGAGTAGGTATGAGGTTTCCAGAGAGTGTAGAATGCAATAATAACGAGTGAATGGCTATCTGTGCATGAAAAAGAATGATGCTCTGACACAGTATTTCACCCCCAGCCCAGTCAACAAGAAAAGGCCCTTTGACTAGAAGTAAGACTCTGGAAAGAGTAGAAGATGCAGCCAGATAATGTGAACTTGAAGACAAGTCAGGGTGTTAACGAGCTGGAAGATGGTATCAGGATAAGTGCGGATGAGAGTGAGCGAAGAAGATGCAGACAAGTTGAGCCTGGTTCATTATTATTCTCTCCAGCATTCAGAGAGAAGAGGAAAAAGAAGACGTAGAGCAACTGCATCTGTCTCAGTCCTTAGTTCTGTACAGTTAGTCGAGAAGGAAGCGGGTGACAACAATCCAGGCAGTTGTTGCTTCCAGAGTTTCCACCTAACGTTGTCCTGATGTCCTGAGGGTATATCATTTTTCACATCTCTCAACCATCCATCCTAGGTATATGTCATGGTCGACAGGAGGAAGACGAAACCTCGACGTCGTCGCTGAAGTTGAAGTCGAAGTCGAAGTTGAAGTCGCAGTAAAGTTGAATCTCTTTAAGTCCCAAGGCACATGATATCAGGCTTGGCATTTCACTCCTCCACCTTCGATGCTTCTTGACGCTGTATACGCAACTCAACCGGCCAGGCTACGAGATACTGCGACTGAACCGCGCCCGTAGAGACCGCAGCACCTCGGACTTGTCTAGAGAAGCTGTTTCTTTAAGCTGACGTTTCTCTATATTTCTTCTTCTACCCTCCTTACTCTTGTCAATCGGGCCATCACGTCACCACCTAAACATGGCGGCACAAACCCCAGCCGTTGTCATGGACAAGTACGTTGGAAGGGAGATGCTGTCCCATTGACTCTGATTTGCATTGGCTAACCACTTTCTCTTGACAGTGGCACGGGTTACTCTAAGCTTGGTGAGCAGCAAACCCTTTAATCTCCGTTATATACCCCTCGTCTGTTTTCCGTTCGGGTCAACTCATACTCCTCCTCCCAACCAGGGTTCGCCGGAAACGACTCCCCTTCTTTCGTCTTCCCAACCGCGATAGCTACGAAATCTGGCGCAGGTGGTGCTCCAGGTACTGGCGCCGGGCGTCCGCCAGTTGCGAACAAACCTTCCTTCCTGACTGGCGGCGCGGGGCCAACATCTCAGCTATCTTCAAAGCGAGGTACCGAAGATCTAGATTTTTTTATCGGAGACGAGGCTCTTTCTGCCAGCTCTGGCCCGGGATATGGCATCCATTACCCTATTAGACATGGGCAGATTGAGAACTGGGACCACATGGAGAGGTTCTGGTCCAACTCCATCTTTAAGTACCTAAGAGTCGAGCCGGAGGACCACTATTTCCTATTGACCGAACCAGTAATAAACCCATACCCCTGCGCGACTCGCATATATACTTGATCAAGTTTACTAACTGCTACATATCCAGCCATTGAACCCGCCGGAGAACCGAGAAAACACAGCCGAGATCTTCTTCGAATCGTTCAATTGTGCGGGTCTATATATTGCTGTACAAGCCGTCCTTGCTCTTGCAGCTTCCTGGACGTCGTCAAAGGTCACGGATAGGTCGCTTACCGGTACCGTCATTGATTCAGGTGATGGTGTCACTCACGTCATCCCCGTGGCCGAAGGATACGTTATCGGCTCCTCAATCAAGAGTATCCCAATCGCAGGCCGAGATATTACCTACTTCGTTCAGAACCTCCTCCGAGACAGACATGAAGCGGATAGCTCACTGAAAACCGCAGAGAAGATCAAGGAAGAATACTGCTATGTTTGCCCAGATATCGTCAAGGAGTTCGCGCGGTACGACAGAGAGCCAGACCGATTTCTCAAGCACACTGTCACGTCCCCCAATGGGAGGACTGTCTCTATAGATGTTGGTTATGAACGATTCCTCGCACCCGAGATTTTCTTTAACCCTGAAATCTACTCCTCCGATTTCCTCACCCCGTTACCAACCGTTGTCGACGGTGTCATCCAGTCGTCTCCCATTGATGTTCGAAGAGGCCTGTACAAAAATATTGTCCTATCTGGTGGCTCTACTCTATACAAAGATTTCGGGCGCCGACTACAGCGTGACATCAGGCATCTTGTGGATGCTAGAATCCGCGCGTCCGAAGCTCGCAGTGGAGGAGCTAGGAGCGGCGGTTTGGAGGTCCAGGTCATAACCCATAAGAGGCAACGACACGGCCCATGGTTTGGCGGCAGTTTGCTAGGACAAACGCCCGAATTCCGCAGCTACTGCCACACCAAGGCAAGTATTCGCTTATCCGTTCTGTTCCCCTTAGGCAAGGAAGATCTATTCTAACCTCACTCCAATTCTAGGCTGAATATGATGAAATTGGTCCTTCTATTGTGAGAAGATTTGCTCTTCTAGGTGGACCTGGAAGCACATAGAGAGAGTTCCCTCCCCAAAATAAAACCCAACCCTAGCCATGCCATCTCTTCGCCATGTCGCAATGAATTACGTATGCGGCGATAGGCCTACTTCTAGATTTTAAATGTACCCGTTCACGAGTAACGTTTTTCTTCTGTAAATAAATATTATCAACGCAGAAGGACCCCCCCCCCCCCCCCAAAAAAAAAAAAAATAGCAGGTGCGTTAAATGCCCATTCAAATGCTTTCCAATAGTATACAGGGGGCCCACGGGGGTAGGGTATCGCTAGACTTTTCGCTATATTACAAAATATCATGCAAGCGGAATTCACAGTCGTGATATATGTGCAATGGCCATTGTAGCCTGACGACCTCTCTCACTCGGCCTTGCTCTCGACAACCTTTGTTAAAACAGCCACACTCTCTACGTGGCTCGTCTGCGGAAAGAAATCAAACCCTCTGATACTCTCAATATCATACCGGACTCCGTTCTTACCCTCCACCAAAACCCCAACATCTCGAGCTTGCGTATGAACATTGCAGCTAACATATAATACTCTGGTCGGCTTAAATGCAAGTAGTTGATTCAAAAAATTTGTATCGCACCCCTTTCGCGGCGGGTCTATGACAAGTAGCGTCTGGTCGGCTGGGTAGGGAATCTCCTTGAATAAATCTGCAGCATCCGCAGCAGCGAAGCCGGTGTTGGGCACTCTGCTGAGCTTAGCATTTTCGCGCGCACATTTAATGCTAGACACGGCGACGTCGATGCCAAGGGAGGAGCGGAATATGTCTGATAGAACGATCGTAAACAGCCCCGAACCACAGTATGCATCAAGGAGATATTTTAGTTTGGGGTTTGACACTTCAGGTGTTTCCAGCCCTGTTTTGCTCACATCTGATTTAGGCTCAGGGTGCAAGGCATTGTTTCGAACGTATCCTGTAAAGGCCTGCAGAATCGAGTTGTTATTTTGAAAGAAGGTTCCGGCAACATTGTGAAACTGGTAATTGTCAACATATTCAACTGAGATGCCGTTTTGATCCGTGATGTATGTCTTTTCCTCCACATAATCAGGGAACGTCTTTCGTATGACTTTATCATCCGACGGTAAAGCCTCGTTCTTCTCGTTCTTCTCTATCCTCTTCGTACTTTCCCGAATCAAAAGCGTGCCGCCGTATTTGTATTCGTGTAGGTTCGCTGCAACCCGTTTCCGCTCATTCTTTAACCCGCTCCTGACAATATCTGTTCCTAGCGGGCAATCTTCGATATCCATAACCTTCCGGCGTCCCTTGATCATAAACCCGATTGGGGGGATTTCAGGTGGCCCGTCTCCATGTTCTAGTTTCCGGTTGCGAGCGGGTTGGGTGAAGTGGGGAGTTAACTTGGTTCGGTATCCATATTGCATAGGTGAGCCCATCGTATCTCCAATTGCAGGTATGAGTTCTGGCAGTATCCCTGAGAAGTTGGCATATGCCTTTTCTATAATTCGTTTCTTATGCTGCAACTGGTCCTCGTACGGTATCATTTGTAGCTGGCATCCGGAACACTTCCCGAAATACTGGCACTTTATAAGGGAGTCGTCACGCTGAGGGGATGGCTTCACAATTTCGATAAGGTCTGTCAAACTATACGACTTGTGTATAATCGTCTTATATACTTTGACTCGAGCCGTCTCTCCAGGAAGCGCAAACGGGACGACGTAGACATGGTCGCCACTGGGCGAGAGCGCAAGGCCTTCTCCAGTCGAAGACATCTCAGAGACAGTCACTTCTGTTTCCGGGAATGGCGAGTCCTTCTTCCCTTCATGGATAACGGACGCAGTTATTTCTTCCTTCTCCTCCTGTTTCCCTCCATTTTCCTCGGACGATTGCCTACTCCTCTTTTCAAGTAGATTTTTCACATCCAATTCGACGACCTCATCTGCGCCTCCTTCATTTTTCGATTTATCTTTTCCTTTCTGCTTCTTTCTCTGCGGTTCCCTTCCCCTTTTAATTGGCGGCGCCTTTTCCTTGACAGGCATCTCAAAACACCCTTTTAGACGTATAGCGGGACGAATGGTAGAGTAGTAGCTTATCGAAAGCGTTGGAAGTCGTGTGACGGGTGCTCGTATTGTCAGAAATCTCTGAAATGTAGCAATTCGCGCGGCTCGTGGTCTGAGGAACATCACGGTCAAAAATTGAAACAGACGCAACGATTAACCGTTCGATATTTCGCGACCCAGATAAATTTCACTTTTATACCGAGTCTTGGCATACATCTTTCTTTCCACCCAAAAAAGTGACATTAATAATCAGTCATGTGATATCAACTGTGCTGGAAGAAGCCGAACGTCTCTAAAAATCGATGTTTAAAAGGATACACATCGGTCAGGCTACAGACACTAGGCTCAACTTTCATCCTGACCAGTTTAAACTCGATCTTTGTCTGCAAACTAGATATAACGAAACATGGAGAAAGAGCGTACGTATATATTGTTACTTTTTTTTTGTCTTGGCGATGTCGGCCCGGTAGAACTCTTAATCCGGAAAGTATTACCTAAGAAATGCTAGCTTCAAGAAATCCTTTCAATCTTCAATTGACCACGCGATTGAGAGACCAAATCCATTCCAATTCGTTCAGTGCACGTCTCGTCTTGAATCGATAATTGGTATCGAGGCCGTAATTGGCCTCGCGAGCTCCATCCGCCACAATGAGCGTCACACGACCGGCTAGATGCCTCTTCTGCACCTTTTCGAAGCCAAACCTCGTTCGATACCCTCGCCGACAGTTCCACACCACTCCAATACCGTGTGCTCCTCGGAAACCTAAGCATCAAAATGTCAAGGCCTCAGATGTCGAAGGCTGGCTGAAGGAAAACGTGCCGAAGCGAGAGGCGTATACCGATATCGACAAGGTCAATATGAAAGAGGAATACTCTGCAGAACAAATCAAGGCAATTGAGGCTGGAGAGAAAGCAATTCCTGATGAGGACATGGAAAAACAATCTCAATTGCGAGATGATCCATGGGCACTCAAGTATATCGACGATTTTTCCACCATCGAGCCTGTCGTCGACCACCACATCCGCGCTCCCATTACAAACTCCGACCCCAATTCCCGCCTAAAAACTGACGATGAAATAACCGAGGATGTGGCCAACTTTGTATCGGACCTGCCAGACGAACCTCTTACAGGGCCGGAATGGCTGAAGTTTATGGACAACATGCGGATGACAGTCGGCAAGGAGGAGGCTGAGCTTAACCCAAACAGCTCTCTCGTACCCGACGTTTTTGAACTCGGCGAAAATTTTAACAACATAGGCCGCCATAAAGCTCAGCTAATCACCGAATTCAAGACCCCGGAGCCGGAAATCCCAGAATTGACGAAAAAGTTGATGGTATTAACTGGCTATTCTGAACAACACATCAGGCGATTACGCACCAAGGTCCTTGTATGCCACGACGTCGTGAACCAAACTCGCCTTGGAAAAATTCGCAAAACCTACGTTCTTGTTGTCGCAGGCAATGGCGACGGTCTTCTTGGAATTGGTGAAGGAAAGGCAGACGAAATAGATGAGGCCAGAGTTCAGGCTGAATTCCGAGCTATGCGCAACATGCAGCCAATCCGTAGATATGAGAACCGAACGATATTTGGAGATGTAAAGGCGAAAGTGGCAGGGACGGAGTTGGTACTGATGAACCGACCACCAGGTATGTTTGCCATATATCTACCTCATCACTAGCATTCCCTTTGACGCTCCTTCGACGCTTACTAACATTTAACTCTAGGCTTTGGTCTTCGCTGCTCGCAACGTATCTGGGAAATGTGCCAGGTAGCTGGAATCAAGGACATAGCAGCCCGTGTTTCTCGTTCTCGAAACCCAATGAACACAGCGAAGGCGGCTTACAAGGCATTGATGAACCAAAAGGATCCCGAGGAAGTTGCCCGTGCCCGGGGCAAGAAGCTAGTCGACGTAAGAAAGGTGTACTACGCCGGAAACGTCTGAACGGGTTATACTCGCCAAACATCACGAAACCCAGCCATATTCGGCCTGCTGTATTACTATAGGATAGGATTGAAGTGTATTTATATAATTTTTAGACAGACTGTTATGTTCTATTTCTTGTGGTTCGACCAAGCTCGCACAAATAAATCCGACAACTAAATCTATTCCTAACTCCAGACTCCGTGTATGGCCGTCATTATAAGTTCTCACACAACACAGCCACCTTCCATAGACCTAGACCATGAAAAAGAACCGTTTGACTCGTTGTTCTCGCCGTTGGTATGTCTAGTTCTCTCCCGTCTCCCCCTCATCCCCGCCGTTATATATTTGCTGCTGCAGAACAATGCTGTACACGCTCGCCTTCAGCAGGGTATAAACCGTGGCTGTTTTCCGTTCCAGCGCACGCAGGGCATCGAGTGTATCAGAGGAAGGCTGAACAGCGAGGTCGTTGAGGGTCGTGGAGAGCTATATCATGGTTAGCTGGAACAGCCCATGTCTCAGGAGGCCATACCTTGTTCATGTTCTCGAGCAGTTTCGTGTATTCGTCCAACACCTCTTGCTCGAGCGGAGAGAGCAAGGGATTCTCGCGCACCAGCGGGTTATCCATTTCCATCACTGCAATCGTCGGAGCTGTTTGTATATTGTGTGCTTGGTTGTGGTGCAGTTAAGTAGGTGAGTAAGCGCCCAGGCGCCGCGTCACTGGGTCCAACTCCCCCAAGCCGCCAACTCTAACCTCACGACTCTCGACGACTTCTCGCCGGCTTCTCCCTGCATCTGCATCCCACGCCTGCATCGCATCCTCCAGCCGTACCTCTCGTTTGCTGCAGACAGATGACCAGTCTTCTCTCGTCAACGGTGCGAGTGCAAGCCTGTGGCCCGCTTGTTTCACCAGCGTTGATGCCAATGGTGCCGAGCCATTGCCCCATCACTCTCTAGCCCCTTCATCCTAGCTCGACTCCTCGCTCGCTCGCTCTCCCTATTCCATCCTCGCCCAGACGGAAAAAGAAAAGAGAGGACAACCGCCACATACTGGCCAATTGTCTACCACGGGCATCTTCCTGTTTTCCCGGCTTGCTAAATACTTTCCCTTGGTGATAAGACGGTCGAGGCATTGCTGAGGAACGGATCTAAGCGCTACGTCGCCTCAATCGTCGGCTATTCTGTTATTCACTGCTGCTCCTGCTGCTGCTGCTGCTGCTGCAAGACCAGAGCAGTATCGTCGTTATGACGCAGTTATTCAACTCCTCGACTCCTACAAACGCGAACTCGGAGAAACGGAATTTCCCCGGTATATCGTTGACTGGCAAGAAGCATGCTGGCGACTCCTCCCATTTTCCAACAAAACTACGCAACTTCTTTCGAATAAACAGCTCGTCTTCGAATACGAGCTCTACAAGCCAAGGAGGTACAGGACAGAACTCCCAGCAGACTAAGAACGCCAATCTTGCAGTGCCAAAGGCAGAGTCAAAGTTCCAGTCAAGATTCCTTCCACACATCGGCCGGAATCGATCTACCACAGTTGCCAGTGAAGGAAACCCTCTCGATGACGATGGAGTATCACCAACTGCTCATGCAAACCCTTATTTTGCACACCAGGGATATCCTGCCTTGAGGCATCGAAACGATGATAGCGTACCGTCAACCCCACCAGACACTCCAGGCATACACGTTGATGGAGCTCCGGGAGTAGAACAACCGACAGCAGCAAGCAAAGAGGAATTAGCAAGGAAACTAAGGAGAGTTGCGTCAGCGCCAAATGCGCAGGGCCTATTCGCAGGCGGGAAGGCGGATGATCGGCCTCGGACGGCCGAGCTAGGGAAAGAGCCGTTAGTTGAGCACTCTGGCAGCACGGCGAAGCTAGGCTTCGTCGAACAACCTACCTCCCAAAACCTCAGCGTCCCCGAGGCCGACCAGCTCGGACCTATCCCACTTCCGGGGCAAGTACGGAATTCCGCCGGATACAGACGAACATATAGTTCGAATTCGATAAAAGTCCGCAATGTGGAAGTCGGCCCCGGGAGCTTTGATAAGATCAAACTGATCGGAAAGGGAGATGTCGGTAAGGTATATTTGGTTAGGGAGAAGAAGTCCCAACGGCTATATGCTATGAAAGGTATTTTTCATACTATCTGCGTAGTTCTAAGGTTATGCCCTTTGCTAACTCCTGGTCCGAACATTCAGTGCTAAGCAAAAAGGAGATGATTAAGAGGAATAAAATAAAGCGTGCCCTCGCTGAACAGGAGATTCTTGCTACAAGTAACCATCCGTTCATCGTCACTCTATACCATTCCTTCCAGTCGGAGGATCATCTCTATCTGTGTATGGAGTACTGCAGTGGTGGTGAATTCTTCAGGGGTATGTAAAGTCGTCCTGTTTGGTTACGAGGAGTTACTAATAATTTTGTAGCCCTCCAAACGAGGCCTGGGAAATGCATTTCCGAAGATGACGCACGATTCTATGCCGCTGAAGTAACAGCTGCTCTTGAGTACCTTCATCTCATGGGTTTCATTTATCGCGACCTTAAACCAGAGAGTATGAGACTATCATCCCCAATCCTCACAGTTGATCATCTTTTGCTAACTAATATCCAGATATCCTCCTTCACCAGTCGGGGCACATTATGTTGTCAGATTTTGATCTCTCAAAACAATCTGGACCTGGAGGCGCACCAACAATGATAGTCGGCCGCAACGGAACTTCCGCCACCTCACTACCTACAATTGATACCAAGTCGTGTATCGCCGATTTCAGGACCAATTCCTTTGTTGGAACTGAAGAATACATAGCGCCAGAAGTTATCAAAGGAAACGGTCACACTAGCGCAGTAGACTGGTGGACGTTGGGTATCCTCATCTACGAAATGCTCTACGGTACAACGCCATTTAAAGGCAAAAACAGAAACGCGACATTTGCAAACATCTTAAGGGATGAGGTTCCTTTCCCTGAAAATGCCAATGCACAGCAACTTTCCAAGTAAGATATCCTTCCTCCGTATCTTTCTGGCGTACTAACCCACCGTACCGATAGCCTCTGTAAAGGTCTCATACGCAAGCTTCTTATAAAAGATGAATGTCGACGACTCGGCGCTCGTGCCGGCGCTTCCGACGTCAAAACACATCCTTTCTTCAGACCCACTCAATGGGCTTTGATCAGACATATGAAACCTCCTATGATTCCCCATCAGGGCAGAGCCATCGATACAGTCAACTTCAGGAATGTCAAGGAGAGCGCTAGCGTCGATATTGGCGGCTCAAATAACTTGGCTGGCGTACCGATGGACTCAGGACTAGCAACTCCGTCTGGAGAAGTCGTTGACCCGTTCGAAGATTTCAACAGTGTTACACTTCACCACGAAGGTGACTATCATGACAACCATCTGGTTGATGATAGTAATACCCACAAGAGCTAGCTCGCTTTCAACTCTAGCTCCCTGTCTATCTGATCTCACTTATTCATCCCGCCATTACCCAACCAAGCTCCTCTCGGTCACCATGCGGCCATTTTATTAAGCTTTAACTACGTATGGGCTATGAATTTTTCTATTACATATTTCGACCGCGTCATACACCGAGGCGTTTGGTATCGTCCTTGATTCGCCGCATTTTACGCAGCCATCATCCCCCCTTCATGCAAATATAGTCTGTGCTTGATGATCTTTAAATTTGGCACAGCGAGCGCTAGCTACTGTTTGTCATTGATGAGATGCACGCCTAAAAAATATTAGTTGGCTCTCGTTTTGTTTTTTGCTTGTTTGCTCTAGTATCTATGCGCATGGTACGTGATATCTCTGGTTTTGACGGGTGTAGGCGCGATGGCGTCATGACATTGCATTGAGTGTATCATTTTTACTGTCTGGTTTGCGCCTTCTCGGATTGTTTTTCTCCTGTTGAAGCTATCGTATCATATAGTATAGGCATATCTTGTATGCCGGTAAGGCGGGTGTAAATCGTTTTTGTCATTTGAAATACAACCACCCGTTTATCTAGATTTATGCTCTCACAGTAATTCCACATCCACCTAGATAAATACCAGCTCAACTCTCAATGATTTCCCACTTTTAAGCCCTCTTCCCCTTACCACCATCCAAAACACCAAGCGCTGCAACACCCACAGCCATAACAACAGGTGCATAAGTCCAATGATTCCACTCTCCAGCACCATTTACTGCGCAAACCACGCCATCCGCAAACGCAACACCACTCACGCCGAGTAAGATCCATCCTAGCGCCTTTCGTTCTCCCAAACACGCAGTGGCATATATAGCCAGCCCCATGAACACGTCTCGCACACCATAGACTGCCATTAAACTGTTAAACAGCGTTCTCTCGGGTCCAGAAGTTGGTGGCGAAAGCTCAAAAAACGAAACACCGTGATCAGGGCGCAGGATAGCATTGATGCCGAACCTGACACACATTGTTGCGAATACGTTGGCGGCAATTAGGACCGGGTATGAATTAGAGATCGCCATCTTGTCCTGAAATGTATGGTATCAATTAAAGGATTCTGTGTCGTGTTATTGATTGTTAGTGCTCACAGTTATATACCTAAATACTGAACTTGATGCCTTCTCTCACCTCTTCCGTTTTATAGCGATGTCACTAGATGTTCTTGTAGTAATTACTGCCGTTGAGATGCGTTGATAGTCACGGAACTATTCGATCGACGAATATATAGAATATCGACTGGTCGTCTTGAGGAATGGTTGTTATTTACTTATATAAAGCTCTTCACGTCCTATTTTAGCCTAGCAACTAGGCAGCAAACAGGCTAAATCCTTCATGCATATATTCTTCCCAGCAACACCCTTGCCATAGGATCAAAGGATCAATATGCCGAGAAAGAGGACTTGGCTTGATATTCAATACTAAGCAAATTTTATTTAATAAATTCTTTTGAGTATATCCATGTATCGACGCTTATTTATGCAACTTTGCAATATATTCAAAGCAGCTCTATAGACTTTTTATTACCCTAATCAACATAATAGCAGAGCTGTTTACCATCAGCCCTATATTTTTTTTAACGGCCCATCCTCCTTTCTCAAAAAGCGAGGATTCTGCTAATTCGTTGTATGCATATGGCCGGCGTGGAATCTGGCCTGCGGCCCCCTTCCTAGGGGGTTTAACGGGTATTGCAGAGAGTGGACGTTTTTGAAGCTGTCAGAGGTGACCTTTTAACGAGGACATGTTCTGGCCAGGAAAATGGAGGTGATCAAAAATTCCTATTTGGGTCGTTATGAGGGAGTTGGATTTTGATGCCTGGGAGATAATTCAGCTGGGTCCCCGCTCTGGTCCTGATGTAGCACTTCCTGAGGCTGCGGTTGTACCTGGGTTAATTCATGCTGCCTCTTCTTTTCGTCAACGGTCAAATCGCTCGATGCCGGATTAACTCTGACAAACAGTACAATAATCAACAGCGCGACACTCGCACAAGCGGTATTAAACCAAAAGACAACCTGGTAGCTCTTCTTTCTTCCTTGTCCCACAGTCGCTACCTGTGCAACATCTGCAAATCCAAGTAGCACTGCAATACTCAAAAATAAGACAGAATTTATTAGAGCACCAGCTAACCCCTGGCGATGTTTTGGTTGACTTGTAGTGATGAAGATGTTGGTGATGTTAAATGTAACGTCGATGCCGAGAGTGGCACCAATCATTGCGGGGAAAGCATATGCCCAGTAGCTTGCACCGTCGGGCATTATTGCAAAAAGAAGGCCTGCTAATATCCAGCCTATGCCGGAGACGATAAGGAGAACTGTTCCGGAGACCAGGTGAAGACATATTCCGACCATGATGGGAAACGCAAAGCCGCCCACCACCATCGGGGTACACCAAGCGACGACCTGTAGAGATGTGGCGCCCATAATGTGCACCATGCTATGAGAAAACGTTAGTAGTGTTATCCATGGGAGGAATTGTGGGGTGGGAGCATACTATAAAGTTCCGTAGAGCAGAAATACTCCCAAACATCCATAAAAGAAGAGCAGTGCCATCACCATTGCCTTCATATACGGTGCATCGAACAGGTCGAACGGTAATAACGGCCACTCAGCAACCCATCCTTCAACATAGACCGCTCCAGCCAAAACCACGCATCCGATAATGAAGCAGACGTAAATATACGGCGTCCTCCATCCGTCGGATGCATGGGCGCTATCTGTAATGGCAAACACGGAGAGCGTTAGACCCACAACAATGAGTATTGCCCCCAGGTAGTCCATCTTAACACCCTGTTTCCTCCTCTCGGCAGCATCAGAAGGGACGAAGAAGAAAGAACTCGCGGTCGTAATGGCGGCGAGGATGGCGCCGATCCAAAAATACCACTGCCAGGCGAGATATTGAGCAGCCAACCCCGAACAGAAGATCCCCACGAAGAACCCGAAAACCGCACAGGTTCCGTAGACACTGAATACCAGATTCTTCCGTGGACCAGGCCGATACACGATCGACAACAACATCATTCCGGACGGCAAGTAGGCTGCCGGACCAAGGCCTTGCAGTGCTCGACATAAGATGAGCATGATTCGGTTTTTCGAGAAGCCAGCAATCACTGACCAGATACACAGCCAGCCCATACCACCCACATACATGTAGTAGCCGCCTATCATGTCCGCTAGACGCCCAGAGATAAGAAGCGTGGAAGCTACCACGAGCGGAAAGGCACTGGCCGGCCACACAGCAGAGGCATCGGGAATATCGAATTCGTCAATCAGCCTCGGTATTATGACATTAAATCCGGATATAAAATATTCCTAATCTTTCATCAGTTCCAGGCCGTAATTGTTTTTGGAAAGGGAGAAGATGACCAACCGTTAACACTTGAGACATGACAATAGAAAAACAAAACGCGACCTCCGCGGCAAAATTTTTGAAAACAGCTGGCCGCTGTCTGCCCAGTTTTTCTATATCAGCTTCTGGGCCAATGGCACCCTCTGCATCGTACTCTTCAGAAGCACACGGCGCTTGCCGTGTGTACGTCGAGGACGATAGACGGCGAATAGATGCAGTGATCGATCGTGGCCCATGTCCATGTTCTCTTCCCTCCTCTTCCTGTCCTTGTTGATTCTCATCTGTCCAAACCTGACGGGGTATACCCGACTCCTTCTTCGCCCAAAACCGCCAGCGGCTGGGTCGTTCACGGCCAGACATCTCAGCCACTGTATCTTCTTGCATCCGCGAGCTCTTCTGAACACAGTGAAGTAAACAAAGACCGTATAGTTGGACGATCAAGGCTGTACAAAACTACGCCAAGAAGATAAATTCGCTTTATCCACGCATGCAGTAAACGTCGTTTCCCTCAACCATAGGCAGAGTAACCTAGAGATATAGAAGTGTATATGCAGAGCTCATAAAACCTAGCCTTGTGTCGAAGCAACATCCCCTCGTCAGAAAGCCGTTGCAGCTATGCCTCAAAAGGGTAAGTATACACGGGTATGCTTTACTAAACAAGCATGGGAGGGACCCTGATGGAGAGAGGAATATAAAAATAGACGCTCGTGGGGTGGCCTGCCTTGTGTCTTGGAAAAATGACAGAAATATAGAAAGAAAACGCTCTTAATCGTCATAAGAGGCCAGGAAACTTAAGAAACGCGTAAGGTTATCGAGACCTTAGCGAGCACGGAGGATGGCTGGTGCTTTTTCGAAGGCGGTTATAGCGCGAAGCAGAGGAAGAATAAAAGCGGAAAAAAAGCGGAAAATATCCCGGGAATAGGGCCAGTATAAACTTATATCAGCCGGGGTGGACCGACTAACTAAGGGTTGCATCATCAAGACGAGGTCTGAGAACAGGAAGCATGGATATCGAGGTTCAAGTGGACAGTGGCGCCGTTCCAGCACCTCCGGCGTGCAGGCATCTGGTTTCCCTGGCCCTGGCTCGAGGTGCAATCTCTTCTCTTCTCTACCATTTTCTTTACCACTTCTTTACCATCTTTTTACCATCTTTTTACCATATTTTTACTTATATCGAGGAGGCAAAAGATGAGATGCGGTTGGCCTTTCTCGATTGGGAAACCAAGATGCCACGTGAAAGTAGTCTTGGCATCGGAGTTTTCTTTTTCCGTTCATGCTTACATAATATATTAAACCTCCAACATTTAGATCCCTGGATATAACGAAGATGTTTTATGAGATGTTTTATGGGATGGAAGGCGAGACAGGGTGAAAAGACGCATGCACTGGGAGTCGTGGTCGGCACGATAAAGAAAAAGAGTCATATCTTATTGAGTTAACTGCCCTGTACCGTCATTTCAGCTCAATATCCCGGCCCCAGGTGACAGCAGCCCTCGCTCTCGACAAGCTGGATGAGAAGAAAAGAAAACAGATTCCGCCCCCCCGGCCACTCCGACTCTGGCGTGATTTAGCTTCAACGTATCAATACGAGCACTAAGAGAGATACATAAAAAGGAATGGGTAAGGAATGCAACTTTCAGGCAGAAGGGTGTCGTCACATCATGTCATCGTCAACTATTAACTGCTATCAACTCCATAACTGAACGCAATGCACAATTAAGAAAGGCAATAAAACAATGAGGAACACAAGAGTAGATGAGGGAGAGGAGGAGATAGAAGATGGTAACAAACCCTTTAACCAAAGGCTCGGCGCTCGCGCTCCTTGCGATATTTGTCTAGCGCCACCGAGTCCTCGTCGCGGAGAAGCTTAAAGAACCGGCGCACGTCCATCGGATTGGGATCTGGTCGGCGTCTAAGCAAGTCCATCCATGTGGACTCGGTATTGGCTGTTGACTTTCCGGTCTCCGTCTTTTCGTCCTTATTGTTGTTGGATTCCGTCTGACTGGCTCGTCCAGGGCTCCCATCCACATCCCCGCCCCCATCAAAGGGTGGTAAATAACCGTGAGCGTTGACCTTCTGTTCAATTGCAAGCGTCTCCACTTTTCTAGAGTCTCGCTTTCTACAGTTCTGCCTGCAGGGTGTGAAAGAGAGTGGGCTCTGTTGTAAGGTGCTTAGTTTCTTTGGCGACGTGTGATCCTTCGAGGACCCGACAGCAGCGGGATTTCGGGATGTTGTCGGTGCTTTGGTGGCGGTGGTGCCTTGTCGGGGGCCCTTAGGGTCTACTATTTCGAGTCGAGCGCTTGCCCTTGCTCGTGGCACTTCAATCCCAGAGCTGGTCATGTATTCAAAGGTACCCTGGGAGCTACCGCCATTGTCGGAACGCCGGGAATAATTATCGAGTTTGCGGCCCTTGTGCGTGCCTAGCCGGGTCATATGCGCTGTCACTTTGGCCAATTCCTGGAAGAGCAATCCAAGGGGCTCGTTACGCTTAGCAGCCGCCTCGATCTTCTGATAAATTGCATTCAGCTCTGGAGGAGGCACCCAGGTATTGTTTGGCTCAGCCACCGTCTGGCCAGTGGGTGAAGTTATGATTCTCATGTCATCGTCATCATCATCATCATCGTTAATCTTGTCAAAGATTCCTCCTGTCGGATTAAAACCTGGCGTCGTCAAGTTATTTGCAGTTCCAAGTTGTGGTAGGCCTGCCAGATATCCATTATCACAGTAAGGCTCCGGGGATAGATACGGTGACTCGCTCATTTGGATAGGGGACATGAAGCCATACGCATCGCTTACACTGAACGAGCTCCCTCCCGTATCTGGTGGCCCGGACCTATGGTAGGCGCTCTGGAAATTCACGCTTGGAGTACAGGGTGCAGCCGCGATATAATCTTGGGCACCTGCATTTGGGAACTTCGATTGAGCTTTGGTTGTCATTGCAGGCTCACTGCTGGGGGCAGTCCGCAAGATTGTCTCAAGGTTCTCTTTAAGTACTCTAGCAGCGTCGAGCTTTGTAACTAGCTCCATTCGCTGTATAACGAGAATTTTCTTGCTGGCAGGGTCAATATCCCAAGTGTGTACGGCCATGTATCGATCCAAGTTCGAGAGCTGTGTGGAGGTCGTTTCGAACTCTTGAATGGCGTTCTCAAACATATTGTTAAGGCCACGAGTATCGATAACTGGAGTCATGCTCTGTGCTAGGTTTGCCCCTGGGGTCGTAGGACCGATAAAAGGGTTGAAGGCACCTGGGGCCTGGTACATCTGGACTGGGTTTATTATTCCCAACCCTGGGGTTGTGGGATATGGCCCAATGTTACAAACCGGGCCCACGTACTGAGTCTGGGATGCCCCCTGACCTTGGTCAGAGGCAAGCTGTGGAATACCTGCTTGGGTATAATACTGTTGAAGGTTAGGAAACGGAAAGCCAGGCTGATCCGTCTGGCCTTGTGACATTGATATCCCGTCCATCCCCAAGTTCCCTAGATTCGAAATGAAGTTCAGACTCCCCAGCTGGCCTGGTGTCGTGGAGTTGATAGTACCAGATGAAGCTACCGCGGGCGTCTGATATCGAGTACTTCCCACTATAGTGGTCCCTTTATTAATTTGACTGGTGGCAGAATCCCGCCGTCTACTGGCCTCTGGCCGGTTATTATTATCCATTGTCGTACGGGTACGCCGACGTCTTTGGGATCCACCGTCAGCCTTCGACCCTTCTTCCTTGACGATTTTAGGGTGATTTGAGACGCTCGGATTTTGTTGGCTTGCGGGCTCTGACCGCTTCACCGGTGGTTTGAACTCTGGTGTGGGGCTTGCTTGTATGCTCATTGGGACTATACGGCCACCAGCAGTAACTCGATGATGCTTCGGTGAAGCATGCTCCTTTAAAAATCGAGCAAACCCTTCGTTCGTCTGGGCGGTATTTCCTTCAGGAGCGTTTTTTGGCTGACGTATCGGAAATTGGACATGTGTTGACAGGGATGTATGGTAGCTTGCCTCTGTGTCCATCGACATGTTCGTAGACGTCCGAGTATGGTTGACTGATCTTTCTCTCAACACGCAGGAGCCGGATCCCAAGGATCTCCGTGCTATAAAAACAAAAAAGAGAAAAAAATCAGTATACCTGCAACCCCCACGATGTTGTTACAGATTCATTTTACTTACCACTGCCGAAGAGGCTACCAATATTTAGCCGCCTTGGGCTATCCTTCTGTCCCAACTGTTGCCCAATATTCAATAACGTTTGAATATCATATTTTCTGGGCTTCATTTTTGTGATACTAGAAGATAGGCTGCCTTCGGTAGTCATCTGGGCAGACTCTGTATCTTCAAATATTTGGAGACGATTCTTAGATTGGCCTTCATTCCCAATATTTAAAGCCCCTTGGAGAAGCGACGACGGGGCTGGAGAAAAGAAATGATAAGTTAACGTGGTCTTTAGTGTATATACTGAATATGATGGACTTACCAGGCCCCTGAGCCAGAGCTGCAGCCATCGCTTTTGATAGCTGTTTAGTGGCCACCTTCAGTCGCCGTGTGTTGATTCCGGGGGTATGGCAGCGGTAGTATCCAACTTTCAACCGTCTTCATACAGTAACAGCAGGGAAATATTGTTGATTCCTCCTTCGCCCGTCTGAAGCTGCAAAGAACAGTCGATGACCCGTTACTAGGAGGCGTGTGTTTTCGTCCGTTGCTTGCCTCTCCGGCCACCCAGCTTCAGAGACCTTCACTATCAAAGATATCCGAACTGGGTGCTATTTGAAGTGAAATCTGAGCAGGTAACTTGATTTTCTGCAGTATACCCTTGATATCAAGATCTAAACAGCTGGAAGTTGACGAGTACTGGACACCCCTACTGGAATAGGGTCAAGAATGAGGATGACAGAGCAAATAAGAAGCTGACAGCCTTTCTGATGGCGCAGTTTATGCAGAAAAGCTTCTCTTGGTCTGATAGATGGGCTGGAAAATGGCGGTTTTCCTGCTGTAAAGAGGCTGCTCCTGCAATATGGAAGGAAGGGAAGAGAGCGAGATAGAGAACTGGAAGGAAGAGTCACAGAGTAGGAGATAGAAAGAAGAAGTGAGACGGAAGCGAAGAAAAGGAAGAAAGAAGAGGAAGCGAGCTAGACAGAGTGAGAGGACCAGCTGTCTTGCCTGGGCGTGTTGTTTTATTATCAGGGAGCATCGTCGGCGCAGCAACAACACCTACACACTAATAACAATAACAACATCATTGTTGTCCCATTCAGGGTATTGATATTGTGAATAACCAATATGATATTGTCACTATGAGTCTTATTGTGCGGCATGACAATGGAAGTAGGTTTCATCTTTAGAATAAATCAACTGCCACATTTGAATATATTGAAGCTACTCCGGACAATAACACAAAGAACTACAGGATATAATTGCTGATAAAACACCCATGCATGACTTAGAAGCTTGTCATTGACTCCGTAAATATATTTCAATGCTCCACCTACTGCCAAATACTAGTCAAGAGAAAGACAGGGGATACCGAAAGCCGAAGCACCAATAATTGATAGGGTTAAAGATTAAACAGTTTCACAGTCTCTGGCCGGATTAGCAGCAGGGCTCAACAATGGCTCCGTATCACTATCATCGCCAGTGGTTTCCGTACAAAAGCTGCGATTAGGACTGATCCCCCTCCTGCCATATCTGCGTGTCAACCAACTCCAAAATTCCATCATCACTGGTGCCGTCCGTAATTGTTATTACAGGGCGGACCAGGATTGCCTCTCCGTTGTTTATTCGCATATTATTAGAGCGCTGCCTAATCAACTCAACCAGCGAATCTAGAAGGGGCGCGAGACCTATAACTGTAACTATAATCGTAAAAAGCAGCAATTTAACCGGCCTATCTGTCGGACAATGTTTTTCTGAAGGAGTGGCAGTGTAGGGGTAGCAGAAGCTGCTATCGCTGTAACATTCCAGGCACCACTCCGGATAAGACTTCATGTTTTCTACCATCTTGGAGACAAATTCCTTGTAAGGCATCGCAGTCTGAGAGAGGCTATTTCCAAACATCGGATAGGATTTAAAAAGCGTCTCTGGGTCAGCAGCATTGGTTCCATTTCGGAGCGAGAATCGGACCATCAGCTTTGTGTCGTTGGTAGGGTATTCGATAGGCCCGCCGTCTTCCTCGACACTAAATAGCTCGATCATCATCGATGCTCCAGGATTGGGGATACCGTTCAAGTCGTCTCGATGTTAAGGTGAAACGGCAACGTTTATGAAGGCCATCATGGACTCGTGCCCTCCAAAAATTAGAGACAATTTATTAGATGCACCTTTCGTGGCCTCATTATCCCTGAGCGCATGCAAGACCATATGAGCCAATGTTTTGCCCCCGATGGCAAGAAGTCCATTCCTACCCAAGATGTTGTCTTCACCCCTCGAAGTAGCATGCGCCCATTGGTTTGCGAGGTGGCGTGCTTGGCCTATATCAGCACTAGAAATTGTGCCTCGGGCGGTTGAGTTGTGGAGGTACTGGTAGCTAAGATACTCGTAAATCATAGGTGCATTGAGTAGGCTTAACATGCTGCGGTCGTAAACGTTGAACAGCAACTGTGGATATAAATCTTTATAGAACGAGTCGGCTTGTTCAATAATCTTCTTGTACTCTGGAGTGAAGAAGAAGTTCAAAACTCCAGCCAAATGTAGTGGGCAATGCATATTCCCAGAAATATAGGCGGACGTAGGGTCATCGAAGCTATAGGTCGAGATGAGTGGATATTGGTACCCGTTTAATGGACAGTCAACCAGGCTGCCATTGACCTCTGCCATATTACTCGGGAGTCTAACGGCCAGGGATGGAGGGTAAAGGCCCTGCATAAACGCTTGGGCAGACGCGACCATATTTTCGGCGGACACCGTAGAAACGCTAACCTGACTATTTTCCAACGAGACCGACAAGCCTTGGATCCTAGACAAGGATAGGCTGGGGTTTGAGCTCGGCATAATGTAACGGCGTCTAAACGCAGAACCGGCCCCAGCTAACTGTTGAGCACCGAGGGGTGTAAGAGTCCCGGCTGCGGGCAAGCCATAAGGCACACTTTCTCCGTATCTTGTAAAGACGACTGACCCCCACACAACCTGCCGGGGAGTGTTCTGGGCCCAAGAGGCCTCAAGTAGTGAGATGATCAATGAGAAATAGAAAAATAGATACATGTTGGCAGCAGCATCTAGTGTACTCAATACTTGGACAAATATCTTTTGGGGATGCGCAGCCTTGAAATAAGAGAGAAGTGTCCCGGTCGAAACCATTGAGCTGCAAGAATCCAACCTGGATGAGAGTAGAGAGTGCTTAGGAAGTCCGGGGCGCCAGGCTATTTTCAACCCGTCAGTCAACAAAGGAGAACTTGGTTTTAAACGGCCAGCAGAGCAGGAGCGCCTCGAACCCCAAATGTTCAACGTAAATCCCAAGACACCTCCGATATCTGATGACTAGTGTCATGTTTGATCCAAGCAAGATCAGAATCTCCGGAAAATGCAGACTACGGAGATATTGTACTGAGATATCACTGCGTATCATGATATCATGATATCCAGGTGCCAACAACATATTGGCGTCCTCCGTACGGAGTATATATAACAAGTACTCAGTACTGTAGGTTCATCTCCTACCCAGGTGACGAGTATCGACTGAGATAATATCCATTGCCATCAAGCAACCAGGCTCCTCGTGGATATCATCGTAGGTAAAAGTCGTAGCAACTGTATATCAAGAATGTTGAAGTAAGAACTGATATGTCCCAAAACGGGCTAGTTAGGGCATGGAGACCAGCCCTAAGGAAGCCCTAGAAAGCGTCCCAAAGGAGCTAGCCCTAAGTCAGCCCTACTTCTGCGCCCTATCCCTAAACCCTCATTACTGCTTCTGGGAGAAAAGCCCTGATATCTCGACGCTCTGAAGCCCTAGTCAGCCAGTCAGCATGACCGATCAGCAAGCCGGAGATCTGCCCAGAGACGACGAGTCGGCCACCGACAGGCCACCTTCGACTGCAACGCCTTTAACGGAAGGCAATGGTATGATTTTTTCAAAGCGAAACCCTGCTGCCTCTTACGCATAGCCCATCTGCCTTTCCCCCCTCCCAAATCGTGGTCTTTCCTGCATTGGCGTTATGGGAGAGCTGGTATCTAACTATCAACATTATAGAACAATTGAAATCAACCCGCCCACTCCAGGATGACGATGCATCCTTACTTCCAGACGCGAAGCGACGACGGACGGACGCGCCTGGCGGGGCTGCTGCCGTCTACGAAGTCGCTGGAGCTGCACTGGTGCCATCGGCGAACCACCAGGATGACCCAAGTACATCCTCGCTCGCTGCCGTGAAGAGTACCCCAACAGGCGCTATAGGGCTGGATGTTAAGCGTAACCAGATCAAGGAGGAACTGGAGGACGCACTGAGACCAACCACCCAGGCATCATCGGCGGAAAACGTAGCTGAGGCTATATCTCACCTCCTTGACCAGACACGGAGGGTAGAAGATGCTAGCAAGCAACAGGTCGGGCATGCTGAGCCCTCTAACTCGACGTTCCTAAAGGCAAACTCGAATCTAAAGTTGCAGAGTCTCCCGATTCTTGATAACCTGGTGAGTAGATGCTACGCTTCAATGGTTGGTCTACATGCTAATGCTCTATTGCTAGTCTACTCAGATGCTCTGCTTCGTCGCCCGTACAAACTTTCAAGACCTTAGTACGCTAGTGTTGGACCCTCAGTCTGAGAATGCGCAGTCGTATTCCACCTTACGCTCCCTATTCGACCATACCAAGAAGGTTTACACAACAACCCAATCCTTCCTGTCCGCGTCGGATCTGGGGTTCACGGACTCCAGTCAGGTTGAAATAATCCGAAAGGCAAACCTGGCGTCATTCGTGTTCAGTCTGTTTGGAACTCAGGAGATAGGGTTGTCCGACCTGCATGACCACTTCCTGGATATATTCGTTCCAGAAGGTGGACGGCTCCTTAAAAGTCAAGCTGCCCTATTTCTAGAACTGAAAACGCAAACATTCATTGCCGCCATGAACAACCCAGCTCGACCAAAAGCTGATATTTTATACGAGTTGTTTCCCGATAACCTTGGTGTCAAGCTACTGGCCCGAAGACCTGGTACTCGACACCCTGCTCCAAGCGAGACCGATTTCGTTAAAAGAGCCTGGTCGCGACGGGATATCCTTCTGGGAGAAATAAATAACCCAGACTCGGCCAATACGTTGTCTGAAAAATACCTCTGGCAAGACTTCTTAAGAGATGTTAGCATCTATGTGAGCAAGAATATCGATTCTATCACCACTCAACAGGTTTGTTGCCCTATATTATTGCAAGTGTGTGGGGTATACAAGTACTTACGATTAACAGGCCAAACGATCCAACAAAATAAGATCACCAACTTCGCCGCAGGAAGAGGAGATAGAATCCCCAGGCATTGCCCTGGAGACGCAATTTCCTGTAGCTCCTCCAAACCCACCAGAGCCGGCTCCTGTTGAACGGAGGATTGGAAAGGTTGACCTTGTCGCAAGAGCTGCTCGTGCTGCACAGATTGCTCTTCAAGGTCAAGGCGTGAGGAGAGCCAGCGCTCCTACCGCTCCTCCAGTCAATCAACCTCAGTCCTTGCAACAGCAACCACCACAGCAACAGCAGCAGCAGCAACAACAGCCACAGCAACAGTCACAACAACAACTACAGCCACAGCAGCAGCAGCAGCAACTACAGGCTCCAGCTGTAACTCAGGCGTCATCTCCACCTCCGCCTCTACAACAGACAGCCCCCCAACCAGCATCACAAAACCAGCCTACCACCCAAGCCTCCTTTACTAATTATGCTCCTGCTCCTACATCTTCCGCGCCGCAGTCAACACATCTTCCATTCCTTCAAAGCCACTTCCAGTTCCAGCAATATAGCCCACAGGTACCGCCTGAACCTTCGGCTATAAGGGCAAATGCTGCATCCGCCAGTTATGGATACATGCCAGGAGTCCCCCATTACTCACAATCTGAGCCCACCCAAATTCTCTACGAACGTGCCAGGCTTGCAACTACCACACGATCTTCCCCAAGTAGTCGTCGTGCAGGTCTCCCTAGCCAACGACGTCCATGGACCACGGAAGAAGAGAATGCCTTGATGGCAGGACTTGATCGCGTCAAAGGGCCTCACTGGAGCCAGATACTATCAATGTTTGGGCCCGGGGGTACCATCAGTGAAGCTCTCAAAGACCGTAACCAAGTCCAACTCAAGGACAAAGCACGCAACCTCAAGCTATTCTTCTTAAAGAGCGGAATAGAAGTTCCATATTACCTCAAGTTCGTCACTGGGGAGCTCAAAACTCGTGCACCAGCACAGGCTGCAAAGCAGGAGGCGCGAGAAAGGGAGCGTCAACAGGGCGAAGAGGATAAAGCGCATGTAGAGGGGATTGAAGGGATGATGGCGCTTGCTGGAGCCCATGCATCAGCCTCCGTTGAGCCCTCTATCGGGAGTATAGAGTCGCATCCCAACACGCAACCAAGCACGCCGGTCGTCCTTCCACAGCAACAGGAGATGCATCATCAGCCTGACCAAGACCAGCATTCAGCTGAACGGTCCGCCGAACAAGTGCTATATCAAAGTCTGACCCAAGACCAAAAGTCAGACAGCATGCAGATGGATTCTCAACGCAATTACGTGGATCCTTCTCTGTAAACTTGCTATTCCCTCCTGGATTGTGTATAGGAGATACATGGTTTGATGAAGGATCACTTGGTTTCAATGGTTTATACGGTGGTAATTGTTCATTGCGGGAGCGTTCACGGCGTCTCAACTTGTTTATTTTAGCGCTTTACTGTTATACAACAGTCTACCATGTATATCTATGTCCTTAATTCGGGTTATGCCCGGGGCTTTATTCCTATTGCTCGTCCCTGGTTCCGAGTAAACTTTTCGCCTCATCCCTAGCAGTAACCGACTTCACAACCACTTTTGTAACCTGCCGGGATATGCGAGACAAGAGAACCCTCGCCTTGAATACCGCACAGTATCCCCTGCAAAAAGATAAAGAGAAAAAACCAGTCTGTGCTGGCGACCGACTGGTGTTGCTGGCGTTGGATTTCGTGCAGGCTGACTGCTGCATCCCAGAGCGACTAGCCAGCTACGAGCATCCCCAGTGCCAAAGATTTCGACCATCCGTTCAACCTGCTGCCTCAAACACAGGATTCCATCCCATCTCTTTATCCTCATATACCTTGACGGCTTCAGCATCTCTCGACAAAGAACTACCGTCCTTCAAAGAACGGCGCGCGTCTCAGCGAAGCTCACCGCATCCTTGCCCTTAAGCTCTTATTACCTTCACCGTGCATACACACATACATATCACTATGGCCGAATCAGATTCATCACAGCCACCACCTCCACAACCACAGTCGAATCAGGCGGACGTCGCACAGCCATCATCACAAACTGTGGCCCAGGATTCCATGAGCCCAGCACCAAAGGCTAGCACTTCGGCCTCGCCACCGCAGACGCAGATATCTCCAACGCTACCACAGGAGACAGCACCTTCAGCAACCCAGAGCAACTCCCAGTCACCCATAAAACGGCAATCCCCAAGTTCTAACCCGGCATCTGAGCCTGCAGTGACTGCAGGAGGTGGGGAAGGGATACCAGCTGCAACCGAGCCGAAGGATGACGATATAAGTTCAAGAGACACCGGTATCAAAGTCAACTCGACGGGAGATATCACCATGGGCGGAACAGAGCCAGAAGCCGGAGATTCTGCGGCACCTGAAGCCCCTGGAGTTGCTGATGCTGCAGGTACGGCGCCGACGAACAGTGCCCCAGCTGCTGCGGTGCCTACAGGGCTCAACGGGATCGAATCGATAATACCTCCGTCCAAGAAAGATACAAGCTTGAGAGAGTTTCTGGGTCAGATGGACGACTTTGCGCCTATTGTATGTTTGATTTATTATCATCTTACCTCCTACCCTGGGCTATATCAGATCACCCTCGTTTCATCATTATATCATGATATATTGGAGGCAAAAGTCTCGCATATCTCTTAATACAAAGATGAATAGCTAACCTGTTTAAACTACAGATCCCAGATGCCGTGACTGCCCATTATCTTACCGTTGCCGGCCTTCCACCACCAGGAATCGGACCAAACCACACCCCACCTCATCTCGCTCGCCTGCTTGCCCTAGCGACCCAAAAATTCATTGCAGATATTGCTGCGGACTCGTACCAATATTCCCGAATCCGCAGCTCGAACAGTGCCTCGTCCAACAACCCCATGGGCAGTATCAACGTAACTGCAGGTCTCAGTAACGTTGCTCAAGGTGGTCAACCCGGCGGTGCTGGCACTGCTGGAGCTGCCGGAGCTGGTGACGGAGGTAGCAAGGGAAAATTAGGAACTGGCGGATTACACCTTGGTGTTCAGCGGTCTGGCTTTGGAGGCGGCGGTCAGGGTGGTACTCAAGGCAAGACCGTCCTTACCATGGAAGATTTGGGCATGGCCGTTGGCGAGTATGGAGTTAGCGTGAAGAGAGGCGAGTTCTACCGATAGGTTGTCGGCAGTGGAATACTCTTAAGGCTATCGTTCGTTTGCTATTTCGAGATTTCGCGCCTCATTTGAATACCCCTTTCATTTACTTATCTGTCACTGGGTTTCGGCTAGGACTCGCCTGACTTAGAGCTCCTCACGGTGAATAGGGCTGGCGCATTTCTAATTCATGGTTGATAGGCGCATATTGTAGGTCGGCATCAGGTTGAAAGGGGGAGTTGGGCTTTATATCACTACTTAATATCTTAGGCCATCTATTGTTGTTGAACCTTGTATCAATTCAATCCGAAATACGATGGTGTCTCAATAAACATTGAACAATGAATAAATGGTATGAAAGGTTTCAATATTGTATAATGTACAATTGCTATACTCAATAGTAATACAACCAGCAATAGTGTAGATGTAGGGAAATATAAAGCCCAACGTTCCATCCATGCTGCGCAATTTCTCGGTTCCCCCATGCTAAACGATCAGGTAATATCAACGCCTAGTAACCAAAATCAAATGTTTGGCTTGTAATAAGCCAGCCCAGGAATGCAAGAGCTAAATGATGGCCCGAGTCCCAAGATACTTCTTAAGAAACCGAAGCTCTAAGAAAACCATTATAGTGTAGGGAGAGGTGCCGCTGCCCACCGGGTCGATTTCCGTCCTCCCCCCATTCCGACGCAGACGATTAAAATCCAGCGTTTATTTATTTTTCGTGTGTTGATAAGTGAACCGTTTTCTCGTCCTAAAACCAAAAGTCGTCAGTCACCCAACTCTAATCCAAAAGATGGCGAGCTATGAAATAGGGTGCTCGAGGTGGGAAATGACATACGGCGCAAATTCCCCTAACTTCCGTCCCACCATTTCTTCGGTGATTAGAACTTCCTGGTATAGCTTCCCGTTATGAACGGCAAATTTTAGACCAACGAAGTTTGGCAGGATAGTAGCAGCTCGGGCTTGGGTGCGGATTGCGGGCGTTCCTGGTGGTGGAGGGATTGTTTTAGGCAGTGGAAGACTAGAACACACAGTTAACATTGAGATCAACGTAGTGTCACGCAGCATCACTACGCTCAAGGCTGGCTTCAAACGTACGGAACGATATTTGGACCTAAGATATCCAAGGTTAGCTTCACGTCATTCTGGCTAATCTAGGACGGAGAAAGAAACCTACCCTTCCATGCTGATCGCTTAAGCAGCGCACGAGTAGGAAACATGCTTGCTAACTCTTGGATTGTCGATTCTTCGATATCGACTCGATCATGGATGGCCTTTTTGACTTTGATATCGAAGAAAAGAGCAAATAGATATATGACTAAGCATATTATTACATAATATACATCACGTGTTACATATCCGTTATCAAAGTCGGGGAAGAGTGAACAAAACATCATGGAAGGTCATAAATATCATATCTATATGAGCCAAAGTAAAGAGGCCTCTAGTCACTAGCTCTATTTTCCGGTATGCACTTGGCGAGCTCGTCTTAAGTGTCCCGCACTTTAGTTGGAGACCTTGGATAAGTCCTCCATAATCCGCGCAACGTTCCTCAGACCCCTTAGAAGATTCTCATCCGGGCCCTGGCCGGGCGTCCAGCTCGCGTGCGCAAAGTCGATCAGGCGAATGTCGTGGACCTTGGGGGTATCCTCCTCTTCCTCCTCTTCTTCATCCTCGTCGTCGTCGTCGTCGTCACCCCCATGGCCAGCAGTCCTGGTGGATAGGCTCTCCGAATTGGCAGCCTCCTTGCTTTCCATCTCCAGTGCTCTCTCGAACGCTTCCGGGTCGCCTTCATAGACGATTAAGACACTGGCGGAGTACATACGGCTCTCCTCTGATTCGAGGACTGATTGGATCGACCGCAATTCGGCAGCGACTCGCCCTGCTACAAATGCCGAACGGTCTATCTTCCCAGCCTTAGCAGAAGCGAGGAACGTTTCGAAGCCTTGCTTCACGTTGTGCTCGTTGAACCCCCGCCCATACCATTTATCAAAGCGGCGATAGCCCTCCGACTCAATGACTTTCGACTTCGACTTGACCTTCTCACTGGACGTGGATGGAAGATGATCTGCTGAGATATCTATGTCAGACTCGAGCTGTTTGATATCTTTGCCTTCTCCAGCCCACGTTTTCATTCCTGCAATGCGAAATCCTAGGCTCCCGCTTGTCGTTTCTGATGCCACCTTGTCAAGCTTCGCTCTCTTGTCAGGAACAGCATCGTCATCCCAGAGTCTCGCACCAAGTTTAACATCCAGGACGCTTGGGCGAACGAACCCATCAGTAATGTTTTCCAGGACAATCGACAGGCCCGTATCCAGTTTCTTACCGCCAGACGGAACCCAGGGCTCCTCTGGCTTCTTTGCCGGCCGAGAGATGGGGATGCTGGCTTTCGTCGTAGCCAATTCCAACGGTAGTGAAGAATTATCCTTGGACGTCTCCGCCGATGCAACAAGTAGTGGTGCCTCGGCATTCGCAGTCGATAGATCAAGGGCTCCCTGGGGGGCACCAGCAGTAAGCGAACCGATAAAGGTGGGCATATAACGCTGAAACGCAGGGTGGTTTGCACCCGACTCGTAAAACAGAATTTCTTTCTCTGTACAAGGCTTTGCTATGAGTCCGCCGGATTCATCACAGCGGACACCCTCACTATATACACACAGCAAAAGATTAGTGGCTTGTTCACATCCAGTATCGTTCCTCAAGGCGAGCGGATCGAGAATCCCTCAGGAGGCTATCAAATCAAACACGGGCATTGTCCTCACCACCTCCTCGAACCAGTAACTTACTGTCCAGCGGCAGCATGGTCGAATGCCACAAAGTTCCCTTCATCGAGCTTCTGAGCCTTCGAGCTGCCTGGTTTAGACGACGCTTGCATGATTGTAGCTGTGTATCACTTGGAACACCTCTTGTCGGTATAGGTCAGTTGTACTGCTACCCTCGACCTCAGCCACGACTATGACCAAGTTCAAACACGAGAAGTATGCCGGATAATCGGATATTAGCCACAACAGTGAGCCTCTTCGCGGGGGTTCGCGCGTATCGATCGTAACTTGTTCCCTTGATGCAAGTAATTGATGCGCCAAGATAGGGCTATCTGGTTGGTCAGCAGCCTTATGTCCGGCTTCTTCACCTTCACTTCTCGCACTTTTTTATACACCCATGCAGCTTCACAAGCTGACCAGCCTGTTTGCTGTCTTGCATAGCTCAGGATGAGTTCTCATGCAGTTATGCGGCAGCTGGTGATGAAATGGACAAAGGTGGCAAGCAGCACAAAGAAATGTAGAGCTGGCAGGACCAAAGTAGTCTCAAGGACTATTACCTCTTCCCTGGATGCCACTTTCTGCTTCACGCCATAGGTTTTTCTCAAGATACACAGTGTGAAGCAGAAGTGAATATTTTCTTTGATTAGTGAAGGACACCCTCGTTTCACAAACACGCTCAATATAGACTGTGTTTGTGGGCTGGGGGATTCATCTCAGCTTCTACCTGCAACTCGGCTGTTGGCAAAAGAACCTCTTATATCGCATCTTTCTCAGACAGATACTTCCTCGAGCAGGCAGTTGGGTTCCTTTGAACTTCGAGTTACCCAAGATGGATCCAGAACATGGACACGAAGCAGCCGCTGATCAGCCTGCAAAGCCGGAGATGGCCCCAACTTTAGACACAGCTTCGATCACTTTGCCTCATCGCCCTAAGAAGGAGGTTTGTGGTGAATCTGACCAGCAACAGGCAACTCTCCAGCAGGAAAATGACCGGGGAGATGAAGAAGGTGACGATGTTGACGCTGAGGAGGACCAAGGAGATGGAGAACCAGCAGCAGAACCTGAGGACGAGGGAGTCACAATCGTCAAAAAGAAAAAGCCCAAGAAGAAATCTAAGAGCAAGGAGGGAAAGGTTAGCTTTTCTTGCTGGTTTAATACTTACTTTTGTATTTCAGACTGAATTAACCCTCCGAACAGAAGAAGCCAACTGGTTTCGAGGAATATTATGTCGATGCTCCCTTGACTCCAGCTGAGCATGCTGAAGAGAAAATGATCTACGATCCGTAAGTCATCGTGACCCCCTATAGAAAATCGACCTTGACAAGCTAACTGGAAGTTAACAGGTCTAAACCGGCAATCCAGTAAGCTCTAAAACCCGTACAAATTATGGATAGAGTCGCTTCTAACGTTAAACTAGGCGCCTTGAGACGGCAATTCAGAGGTACCAAGCAAAGAGACGCATGGATTCCGAGAGAAGACATATCTTCACGAAGTACATGGCATTCGGTGGGGTTGATGTTGGGCCGAAAATGTTTGAGGGAAACGACCAGCGAGATCTTGAGGCCATGGATGCAGAGGATATACTCACGGCAACGGCAACGTCCAACATACCTCAAGATCGCGAAAACTGGACTATTGACTTTGAAACAGTTGCAAAGGGATACTTGTTCGTTTATCACCTCATGTTATACCTCAAGTTTAGTCGCTTACACTTTAACAGGTCGTCCGTCTTCCCCCAGATATTCGCTATCGATACCGAGAAGCTTGTGCAGCTGGGGACTCTTACCATCAAAAACTTCCTCAACTACATACTTCATCATGATGTCTGTCCGGAGTATCGTGCCAACATTATGGCCGCCCGCAAAATAGCCGAGTGTGCCACTGAAGAAATCTGGAAAGCCCAGCAAGCAAATACCTACGCACCTGGCGATTTCAACACTGCTTGTTCTACTCTCTTTGGCGGTTCCTTCTTCGACGCCTATACAGAAGAGCGGGAATGGGTTGAGAATGCAGATCACACTCCATTCATGACACTCACCGTAGCACGCAAGGTCGTGAAGTTTGCCATTGCTGGAGCAGGAACCCTTGAACAAGCGCAACGATTCCATGATTTGGCATGTGCTAATAAACTGCAGGCAAAGCTTGTACATGAAGATGGCTTTGAAGTTACAGCTATTACACTTCCCAATGCCGAGGTGACGGATTTCTACAAGGAACATGCCAAAGACCTTAAGCCGATAGGAAAGGTGCAAGCCATTGCGTGGCGTGATTCCAGCCTCCCTGAAGAGGACGTACCACCAGGTCAAACGCCAGCTTACCAGAGCGACATGAAGTTCGAATTCTTCGTCGAGGAAAGTCTTTTGGCGTTCTTCTTTCTCGGAATGAAGGTTGACGCCCGTGTGTGGAAACTCGATTGTGGAATTCATTATTTCGACAAGTTTCTGAATGTATACTGCTCTTTCTACACGTCTTTGCCAAACGAGGGGATGTTGGCCTGGAAGAAACCTCGAGATTTGCGTTCTGACCATCTTGTTTGGACGGAAGGGAAGGGGAATGGGGAAATAAAAGACGAAGACGACGCAGATGCCGAAGCATAAGAAGCGAGCGAGCCCCAGAATTCAGGTATACGATCTGATCTAGTTTCAGTTACATAGGGACATCCGCTTCTTCCGCCCATATTACGGTTGGGTCCTAGTTCACGATGCATACTGTGTTGAGACAGGGGATTTGCCAGCATTTATTTTCGGGGACATGCCGATGAACGATGCTCAATATTTCGAGTGTTTTAAGCACAGTGGAACAGTTTCCTTAGTTATACTATGCAATCAATGAATGTGAACTCCCATATAACTTACCCTAGTGCTCCAACACTTGTATAAACGTATATCGACTTCCCGGCTTCATATCGGCTATTCTGGATATATAAATAGAGGCCGTGGGGTAGTAAAGTCAATTGCTCCGCATGCTTAGCAATCAAAATACGACTATTACGCCATATAAACTGGCCTTGACCTCTACATTAAACGTCCCAGGAAGACAAATATAGCTGTCCATCGCCTTATCTACGACTCAATGAAGGTAGCTTTACAAGATATCGCTACATCTACGCTCGCCAGAGGATCGATCATTTCCAGGCGATATAGCCAGTCAACCGTCAACCCCGCGATTACTTCTCGCATTAGGCCAGGTCTCTTCTCCTGCAGCCGTATCTCATCAGCTTCGAGATATCAAATATCGCCCGTTTGCCTCCAGTCACCCATTGTCCGCGCCATGTCTTCTATTCCAGCCACCCAGAAGGGAGTTCTAGTCTCCAAGATAGGAGGACCCGAGGTTCTCGAATATAGAACAGACTTGCCTGTCCCTTCACCAAAAGAAGGAGAAGTCCTTGTTAAAAACAGTCTAACGGCCATCAACCTTATCGACACGTATTTCAGAAAGGGTGTATATGAATCTGTTAAGCCTGAGATTCTGGGCAAAGAAGGCGCCGGCACGATAGTTGCTTTGGGCCCTGGTGCAAACCCATACAACTTCGCCGTTGGTGACCGGGTAGCATGGATAGGAGGCGGAGGATATGCAGAATACAGCACTCCACCAGCCTATAGAGTAGCGAAAATCCCCAACGGAATCTCTGACGAGAGAGTTTTGGCCGTGTTGTTGACTGGTGCAACATGTCTGTCTTTCATCAGGGAGGCATACGAGGTTAAGAAGGGCGATTGGATTCTTCTCCATGCCGCTGCCGGTGGAGCGGGAATTATCATGACTCAATTGCTGAAACTGGCCGGCGCCAAAGTTATCGGCACAGCGGGAGGGCCTGAAAAGGTCGAGCTCGTCAAGAGCTTAGGAGCAGACGTGGTGATCGACTACAAAAGCTCGGAAGGGTCCAACTGGCTGGAGAAGGTGAAGGAGGTTACTGGTGGTGAGGGAGTGGATGCGGTTTACGATTCAGTGGGCAAAGATACATGGGAGGATAGTCTCAAGGCTGTCAAGAGAAAGGGATCAGTTGTTTTCTTTGGAAACTCCAGTGGTGTTGTACCGCCATTCCCCATCTCGTGAGTTATTTATACGTCCATATCTCATGCTCGCGTGATAGAAGTTGATCTGCGTTCTAACTCTTCATAGGATCCTCGGAGCAAAGAATGTTAAGATATGCCGTCCTACGCTCTTTAATTATATCTATACGCGAGAAGAGTTTGACCTCTACATGACCGAGCTCTTCCAGCTGCTCGAGGCTGATAAACTGAAAACGAGCATCTATAAGATATACCCCTTGGAAGATATCCAACAGGCGCACAAGGTTAGTCCGGTCCCCGTATTACCATTCGAACCCTTGTGAAGAACTTAAGTAGTATTTAACGGTTATCGTGTCAATGTAGGATATCGAGGGAAGGAAGACAACCGGGAAGTTGTTGATAAAGCCATGAATATAACGTCACAATACTTGACCCAGTCGCTTCAGAGAACTGATAATTTACTGTGCTTGACATATAAAATATTACTTCCTCAAAAAGGTGTGCACAGCTTGTATATCAAAGACAGCACAGAGCTATAAGTACAGCCACGTTCAAAACACATCATTTCATATTCCGATGCCTCCCATTCGAGGCAGGGTTCTGGACTCGAATCCCAGGCCGCCAATATAGTCACTCGCTTCCAGCGAATATCCGGAGAAACGGGGTAAGACGATCACTCCCAGTGGCAATCCAGTAACGAACATGTGTTTTGGTAGATTCGGCTGAAGTTCGTTGGCTAGTCGGATCTCTGTTGAATAGCGCCTGGCCGAAGATATCGCCATCGAGAGCAGTGCGACCTGTAACTCACTCCGGATGTGGAGGGCTGATATTGAGGATTGGCCTGGCATGGATTTAGGATCCCTCTTAGCGCCACGCCACTCCGGCCCATGATTCGTTTTTTTTTATGTCCTTCGGGCATGAATCCTGCTGTCGGGCGCATCTCTGCTCCACCAGGCACTCTCCAGCATTTCACCAGCGATGCAAGCCCTCACAGAATGACGTTTTCTTCCCTGATGGCGCGAATAGAAGGACTCGCCTTAAGCAGTGGCCTGCGTCATACAATGCACAGCAAAAAATGGGGGTTTCCATAAAACCTTGCCTTGCAGGAATGATTGGTGAGCCTCAACTATTCGAAGCAACTGTCGGAACGAACGCTTGTGCCATTGAGATGATAGGAGAAAAAAACAAATACCACCGAGGCGCAGCAAATGAAATCATGTTATCAATGTGATTGCAACTAGTGAGACTGCCCCGTCAGGCATCGAGTCACTGCGAAATTGATACCCGAAGCCGTTGTTGTCGATCTATCGGATACCTCCACAAGGTGGACAGCAGGACGGCGAGCGTTGCAAGAAACGTCGTCCTCAGCTGCTGGACGAGGAGTTCTCTTGTTTCATATACTCTCGACGGCATGCGTCATGTACCGGGCGCCCTGCTACGTCCAGTTACGTATCAACCTACCCGACAGGGCTGCATATAGGGATCATGTCAGCCCAATAACGGACCCTGTTGAAATTACCCCTGATGCCCAACCAGTTTCCCGCTGCAATCCGCGTCCCCAGCGCATATCCGTCCCGCCTATACGAATATCCATATATACCTATTTCCTTTCCCGGGGCTCCTTGATCTCTCTTTTATGAAGTCTTTGTGTAGGAACGCTGCGATCGCTCTACAGCCCGATTTGAATACCCCCATTCGACTCTTGACCCCTTCATCCTTTGTCTCTTCTCAGAATTTACACTCCATGTCAATTTTATTCTATCGCGACCCTGGTGTGAGTTTGAGTCGCGTGAGATACCAGAGCTTCTCCAGGGTTATGTCTAACTCGAGAATATTGTAACAGATAAATCCCGTCCCTGAAGTGCCTTGACCTCACCGATATCTGCCACCTTGGATCCCCCTCTGTTTTTTGGTTTTGCACATTGCCATATTTATTTATCTCTTTCTCTGCATGAGATATGTGTGCGGTCGCATCTCCGAAGCACAGGTGGCCGCCGGCCCCCCGTGTGGAGGATGAGCTCAGTGCCCTCTCGTACGAAGTTTCAGATACTTCTCTGTCATCGCACATTGAAGATGATGACTCTGTAGTATCCAGAGGAACAATCGACCAGTGGCCCATTATCTTACCAGCGGAAACACCGGGGTCTTGCAATCAGTCAACCCAGGAAAATGAATGTTTTATGTCAAGAAAGAAAGCCGCAGAAACGGATATGCCAGTTCATAGGAAAGCCTCGGACAGTACAACAAACCCATCATCAATCAAACGAAGCCAGTCGGAAAGGAGACCTGCCAGTAAGGTCCGATTTTCAGAGCCACCTGGAAGAGATGAATATTCTAGAATTAGAACGGGCCCAGTCCCATCTAAGGCTAATTTGAAGTACACGCCGGAGCCAAAATCCCATGCCAGCGGAAAGGATAATGTGTCAAGCCAAAAATCTAGCTCCAAATCTAGCTCCAAATCTCATCGTAAAACGATGATTCCGGAGCCAGAGGGGTCTCGATCCCAGGGGACTAATATCTCATTAGGGTATACAAGCCAGCCAAAAAATGTCACAAGGCATCCCGCAGCAGCCACCCCCAGCCAATATTCTGCAGATGCACTTGATAACCGAAGCGACTTTTCCGATTCATGGAAATCGTTCCAGCATTCTGATATATCGACTGATGGCGGCAGCAGGAAGCCCCATCGCCGTCAGCATGCAGGAGAATGGCATAGCGACGATGAAATATCCTCGTCATACCGAACCGCGCATAAATCGAAATATTGGCCACCAACCCTCGATGAATTCCTCAGACAAGAATCTCACGACGACAAACCGACCCGAAAATCAAAACATGAGAATGCCCCTGAACAAGTTCCTCGCCAAGGTGGATCAACCCGTCGACAAAAGACTGTGGCTACGGAGGAGTTTTACACCTATATACCGGAGTCGGGCAAGAGGGAAAGCTCCCCTCGGAAAGAAAGACGTCGCAGCAACAGCTCACTGCCTCGTTTGGAACGGGCTAAATTGGATACGTGCACCCACCGATATCTCGATCCGACAGATAGATCCAATTCCGATCCAACGCAAAATTTACCAGCTGTCTCGTCTGGGGCGACATATGATGGGACTGTTGCTCAACAACCTGTCTTTCCTCCGATAACTTTTAGCCAGAGTGGCCAGGACTACAACCCCGAGGGGTGGGAATATGTATCCCCTGCTCCTTGCTACGAGTGCAATGGCCATGATGCTCCATGGTCAGCGCCCTCCTATCTGCCCGCGATGGACATTCCGCCACAGCTTCCATACATCGGGTACCAAGAGAATATGCTGCAGCTTGGACCAGGGTCTAACTCTGCTCTTGCTGGACAAGAGACTGTGAGCCGCAACGCTGTCATTCCCAAGAGACAAGTCTCTCCACGACGCCGTTGTGAGGAAGCTCCGGCTTCGTTGGCCCCCTGCCCAAGATCTATCGCTATCGCCGATTACGGTGACTGGTCCACCATCATGGGATTGACTCATTTGAACATCTGTCCATCCTGTACACAGCAAATAGAACAGACGCGATTTGAGAGCCTCATTATTGCTGCACCTGTCCAACCTCTGGGCCTGCCCATCCGGTGCTCCCTCAGCCAACCTTGGGCACGCCTAGCATGGGTACAAACGATGAAACTTGGCTTAAACCATCTTGAACTATTGTACCAGCTCACCCGCCCGTCATCGATCTACAAGCACTGTCCTGGCCGTACGCTATCAAACCAGACATGGTACCGAATCACCGATCCAGAGACAGGCAGGCTAATGCCAAATTTCAACGCATGCGCTTCATGCTTTCGCAATGTCAGGATTTTGATGCCATCCCTCCGTGATTCGTTTCAACCTAGTTCGACTGCACAGGAACGAACCTGCGATCTCCGATGCGGTAGCACTCGCTTCATCCAATATCTCGACCTCCTCGATGTTGCAGCCACTCGTCATCGACACGACTCGGGACACAAGCCTGACCTCAGAGACTTCATCCGATACGCCAAACGCAAGAACCGCATATACGATTGCCCCCGCGACCATCTTGTGGTAGGGCCCTGGCATGTCATTGATGAACTGCCAGAGTTTACCGTCTGTGAAGACTGCTACGATGATGTAGTCTGGCCTTTTGGAAACAGCCCTGTCGCTTCGCTGGTTTCTCGAACTGTTCAAATGACCCCAGACAAGAAAGCCCAAGCAACACGTCAAGCATCTTGTCAGCTATATAGCCCACGTATGAGGATGATGTTCCGCGAAGCGGTTAGGCGATCAGACTTTGGGTACCTGAGGGCTGCGGTGGTGGCACGATATCAAGCTGAGACTGCTTTCCGCGAAAACAAGAAATTGCTACTGGAAGATGTTTCAATGTGGTATGACCGTGATGCTGAATTAAGGAAGAACGCAGCGGAGTGGAAGCGATGGGAGTGAAGAGGAGTAATGGGTTCCATGTTTTTATGTTTACGTCTGAATATTTTCCTTTTCCCAATTTCTTTTATGTCTCATATTCCGTCCATCTGATATCCAATTCCCTTTTTGTCTTCTCATTTTTGTTGATTTCATTTTCCACGTTTCCTTGCATTTTTGGGAGTATTTTGTCGGTTCTATCATGGTGCCTTGGATAATTTGTAACCCGACTGTATCAGAAATCGTCGTTATATTATTATTTTGCTTTTTTGTTTGGCGTTTACTTGTATGATGGAAGGATATACGATTATAATGTACAAAAGAGATGGAACATTACAAACATCAATCTACAATGAGATAATATACTCTGATGTGTTGAACCAATTGAAGTAAATTCTGCTAGTTTCTAATGCTGGCAAACAGACGTAATGCTTTATAACTACAGCTTCCTGAAATGGTTGCTGGAGGTCTATCCAATTAACGCAAGGACTTCTCCGGGCCATTTATTTCCCCATATTATTGCCCTCGACGGTACTCTCCCTGCCACTGGTGATAAAAGCCTGAGTTTAGCCTTCTTAGAATCTACACCGGCGACGTATAGGAACCCCATAATACTGGCATCTCGGATTTCATTCAAAGGGGCGTTTGGAGGAGCATGGGTAATTGCTAATAGTGTGTTTTCTAGAGCTTGGGGAACAGGGGAATCGGTAGAGGGAGGAAGTTTTTTAAGGGGTATCTGTTGGAAAGGGAGGCCAGTAGATGATGGGCCAGAGGTTAACGCGGCTGTGGATGTAGATGGTGCGTCGTCTTCTCCATTATCGTTGCTGCCGCCTGGCAGGAAAGAAAATTCGTTAGTAGAATTTGTAATATGTTTCATACCATCGTATTCATCGTTGTTGATGGTGATGTTATAAATAGATAAGTTGTCGAAGTCGACATGCTGGCCATGGGGGGAAAGTGATATGACTGATCCTGGGGCCGTGGATGAGGAGAGGGCTGATGATGCGGTCGAAGGAGCAACGGTGCCGAAGAAATATGATCGGATTTGAGATTCCCGGGTAGATTTCATGAACAATTCATCACGGTCAACACAACCTCCCGACTTTGAGAGTTTCACAACCGAAATTCTTTCGTCAGAAGTAGGCGTCGTAGAGGTTGAGGAGGTTGGCTTTCCGTCATAATTCTTCACCATTGTGCTATATAGGCGTTCTGATCCAAGCACGAGAATCGTTGAGACTAGAAGAAAGTAAGCCAATGAAACCATGTATAGAAGGGCCTACCCTCCTACAGACGCCTACAGTGGAGGAGAGAAGTATGAACGTACTAGAAAATTCCGTAACAATATGATTAATGATATCCTCACCGCCTCCTCTCCCTTGACTGATTTCTCCTGGAGTATCAATGATGATTCCTGTCTCCTTGGCCTCTTCATCCTCAGCCAACCGACCTGCAACAGTCAGAGCTAATCTCGAGACTATAGACTTGTATAGCTCTTCGCCGCCATCCAGCGGACTCCGCAAGCCGTAAAAATATACCAGCGGTAGCTTCACGGGTATAGGAGTTGGTCCGGACATGGGACTACTTCCCCATCCTTGTTCAACATCAATCAGAGTCCGGAAAGCTGTTGCCGTCATAGTACCAGGAACACTCAACATGCCCTCTGACGGATCAAGGTTGACTACAAACGGCTGCCGGCCCATCTTCGTCGCATAGCCCGTTAATATCTTTGCTAGACTCGTTTTCCCTGCATCTTCGGGTCCCAGTATTAGCACACGAGGACCACCTCTCCCATTCGCCTTGGCCTCGTCCCGCATGGTTTCGAGCGCAAAGTGTACGTTCGCATAGTCGACCATCGGTGTCTCTTCAGCAGTATATTCCACTTGACAGCCTCCACTGCCGGATCCTGGGGGGACAGGTGCGCTTCCGACACCCCCAACGGCAACGGAGTCTCCTGCCGTTACTTCTAAGGTACATCCATGCCAGGTGTATATAGCAGCTTTGGTCCCAGAGAACGTATACGTTTGCGAGGTGGCTAATTCAGTTCCAAACAATTCTGCAGTGCCGGACAGTAACTATTCACAATATAAATTAGCATAGTTGTAGTCTGTGGCCATCGTTATAAGGCAAGATGGAGCGCATCCGTTTATTGCAAGAAAGCAACCACGAAACATCATACCTTAACCCTGACCGCATTTCCAAAGGCGACTTCAAACCTCCATTCTGAGCCCTTGGAAAGACTGTGTTGCACTGGCGCTGCGGGAGCTCTCTGAGCTTCAATGGCGGGCAGTGAGAGCTCTAAGCCTGGCAGAGACATGTTACCTGCTTTTCTATACCATAAATTGCAGAAAATGAGACAAGCCTTAAAAATAATGAAGGCTTCGGTGTTGTATTTAGTATAATTTCACTCGAAAAGCACAGTTAAACTCGATCTCAATATTCGAGATCTGAAGTCTCGTTTGTTGACGTTTAAAGGTGAAGCACCGCCAAGTCTTATCGATAACTAAATAAAGGCTTCCAAGACTATAAGTTCACAATATAAATGACATATGGAGTGGATGGATAGAACATTTGGCATAGCAAGGCTTGGATTTTCCATTATCTTTAAAGGTAGTAATTTCCATCACAGGGAACTGAATTTATTTACACTAAGAAACAAAGAAAACGGCCTAACGAGCTTCTCGCGAGGCCCGATCAAGCATCCGGCGGTAGATAGCACGTATGTACTTGGCCTGAATAAACAGTATCTTGCAAGGAGTTCATGCCAGTAAACCGGAGTTGATGAAAGGCTGAAGTTGGAAGATCGAAACATGGAAGTGAAATGATAACACTAAAGCTAGGATATGTAATTTCATCCACGCCTTCCGCCATCTCATTAGTCGGAAGGTGATCATATTTTTTGCACGTCGATAGTAGACATGCTGTTTGGCGAACCGGTCGTCTGCACGGTTAGTAAGACGAGCGATCGATTTTCGGGATTCAACCCGATAGATAATTAAGGGTAAGGAGGGCCGAGAGAAAGGTGTCGTGCACACCGTAACGCCGAAACTCCAATGTGTGCTAGGCAGTGTTGGGGAGGAATATTAGTTGCGAGGTAAGGGTTACATTATAGGTTTTATGGCTGGTAAGATCAGGACGCGGCATGTGTTATCTAGGGTCGAAGGGCCTGCGACATCCAGATGTAAGGAGCGTGGGTTTCAGGGATAGAGGTTCAATTTATCGGCTTTGTAGGGGCCGCTGGGTTTGTATGGGTGGGATATGCTGGTGCAATAGCGACTGTTTGAGTACATGCTCCGGGGATCAGGGTGGTGGAAAGGAGTGAAGCTGTATAGGGGAGGGAGGGTCGTGTATTCTGGCGACAATAGCGTGAGACGGGCTTGGGAAATATAGTTTTTCGGAAGGATATATTCGAAAGGTGTGTAAAGGGGAGGGGGATAGGCAATAGCAAATACAGATATAGAAAGAAAACTGAAGAAAAGGTAATAACAATAAACCTGGGAAGTAATAACTATCAAGTGCGACACAGTCCAATCTGATGGGAAGAAAGAGAAATGAATAAAAAAAAAAAGATGAAAAGAGAATTGAAAAACTCCATCAGTCGCGCAGACAGCACTGACAATGATTAGTAAATCAGATCAACTAAAAGAAATAAGGAATCGCGGCGCTGGATAGAGATGTTAGCATGTAACTAGATAAATGGGCAAGGGAGGGACTTACGCCATAGCAAGAGTGGCAGTGACCCCGAATAGAGCACGGTTCCGTACTCTCTCCCGTCTGAGCTTGTCTTCCAGTACTCTAGCCCGCTTCATTGCATGGGGGTCTTCAGCAGCTTCTTCCTCGCCTTCCACTACTAGCTCTTCGGCCTTTCGCTTCTTAGAGGCTACCTTCTTGGTTGAAGGTGGAGCTTCAGCTTGCTCTTCCTCTTCTTCTCCTTCCTCTCCCTCCTCATTCTGCTCAGCTTGAAGTTTCGTAGCCTCTTCAACCATCTCCTTGGCAGTCTCAAGCATCTTTTCAGTATTTTCCGGTAGAGGCAAGTCAGCAAGGCCAACGGGCATCTTGACAGAGACATTGGTTGTTGTAGTTTCGACGTCGTCTTCGTTATCCACTTTAGACTCAACCTCCACGGTTACACGCTCCTTGGGCCTCTTGACCATAACAGCATGTTCCTCCGATTCGTCGTCATTGTGGCCGTTGAGCTCGCGAGTTTCCTCTTCCTCCTCAGGTTTCTCGGGAATAGGCGACGCAGCAGCGGCATCCAGGCTAGTTTGCAGTGATGTGCCGGCATTAGCATTCGACTCCTTCTGCGCTCGTCGTGACTTTCGCGGAATGGCCATTTTCCTGCCTGAGGCAGACTTGGATGGGGAAGCGGATCGTCTGGCCCTGCCACGAGTCTCAGGCTCTGGTGGAGCGAGAAGGGGCCCATCAAGTGGTGGCAGATCAAACTTTGGAGGCTCTGGAATCGCGTTCTCTGCGTCTGCCGTCTGAGCATTGTCTGCAGGGTCCGAGATGTCTGTTGGGTCTAACAGCGCGCGAACCCACACCAACATGTCATATTCTTTCGCTAGCTCCAGAGCTGTTTTGACGTCTGGTTAGATTTAGGGCTGGAATTCGGGGAAAAGGACTACTCCATACCTAATTCCGGCGAAATCCAAACATTTCCTGCGATCTCGTCCTCGCTGGTTTCAGGACGCGTTCGAAGATAGTCGCGCTCATCCAGCTCTTCCGAGTGCTTGGCCCAGGGGAAGGCGATCTTAAACATTCCAGACGCGCTTATATGGCCATCACGACTTCGTCGCTATCGAATTAATAGATTAGTACATGTATATGAGTACGCTGTACCATGTAAATACACGCGCCACGGGGGTCAGGATCGGGTCTTACCATCAGGAAATACGAGTCCATGTGCTGATGTTTCTGTGAAAAGATCTCCGAGCCCTTCAGGTCACTGGGAAGCGGCGCTCTAAGGTGCGCGTATTCGAATGGCCCCAGGTTCGAGGGCATTGTCGCATTCGAAGAGCCGATCTTCGCAGGGGCGACGGCGAGGTTCGTCCTGCCCAGACGGCGGCGCGCGACGAGACTATCATCTGCCACGAGTTAGAGACCATCACGACTCGCCGAGCATACAATTCTGGCCTTACAATCAGGGCAATGCTTAGCCTGCAGCTGCGGGTTGCGGCGCGCTGGAAGTGGTCGCATCTTGACCAAAAAAAAAATAAGGGTATGTTGGTTCGAACAAGTTACTGGAAGGGCGAGTGCGAGAAGCAGGACGAGAGGGTGAATGCGCCCTCTGACTGTCTGTAACGGCGACGCGGGTGGGTGTGAGGATGCGATGCGATGCGGAGGAGAGGAAGGGAGAAAAAGGGAGCCACGTAGTAAATGCGCGTTTCTCGCAGCGCCGAAAGAGGAAAAGGGAAGTTCGGGGGAGGCTAGTGCTTAGTCAGCACGCATTATGGCGGAAGTTTCACTTGGGCATTTTTACATTTACAGGGCGTTTACTACGTTGGGCACTGCAGTTCGAAAGAGAACGAAGAGAAGTGGAAGATGAAGACGAAGAAGAGAAGTGGAAGAGAACGAAGATGGAGGGAAGTGGGGGAGAAGTCGATATAGTACAATAAACCATATACAGTATAGTATAATGACAGAGACTAGACAGGAGGCAGCGAGTACTTCCCGCCAAAACTGTTCCCGTCGATTTCGGTAAACTCGAGTTTGTCCAACACTTCGTCGACGTCCTCCAGCGTCCGGATCTAGCACTGTTAGCACAGCTCACAACGTCGGGAAGGATACCTACGTTAACGGCGACATTCTCCCTCAAGTGATTGGTGTTTCCGTCCTTCAGCTCGATCATCACCGACGTCCCGCAGATTCCGCAGAACTTGTGCGGGCGAGACTTGGACGCGGTTCGATACTCGGACATCGTAGCCATGCTGCCGTGGGTGAAGACGACATCTTCGATCTTCGGGTAGACGAGCAGATAGCCGTTCTTCACGCAGACGGAGCAGCTGCAGCGTACGGGCTTCAGTGTCTCGAGAGCAGGCATGCTGACGGTGAATCTCACGTTGCCGCAGTGGCAGTTACCCTTGTATGTCTTCTTCTCGGCAGGAGAGTCGGCCATGCTGAAGATGGCGGGCATCTTAGAGTCTGCCATGAAGCCTGCTTGTATATGTTGAAGTTGATGTAGATGTAGATGTTGATGTGCTGAACTTGGCCAGCCTGAAGGATGTGACGATCTGCCTGGAGGATTGATAGAATCCGGTAGCAAGGCTAAGAACGCTAGTGAACACTTTTCCCTTCCAATTGCTGCCTTGAAAGCCTCGAGTCAGTGTCTTCTTCAGCTTACGGAGGAATAACGGCGGAGTACGGAGGTGTGTATATACAAGGATGCGCTGTAGATCGGCCTTCAGTCCCAAGGCCAGCTCAGCCAGACGTTCGACGGGCCATGCGACGAGGATGCCATCTACCGCTGCCGAGCAGATAGTTACCAGCTGTAGAGGTATAGAGCTGTGAATGATAATATTATATTGTCTTGAAGCTTCATAGTTAAAGAAGAAGTGCTATAATTACCCCACTTAGACAGGAAACCTTAGGGAGAAAAGGAACAACCAACATCAACAAGTCAACATTCAACATCTAACACCTAACACCAAAACACTTCCCGACGTTTCTCTGCACAGCTTCGTCTCTCCAACTTCTCTGCCTCGTATCCTTGTCTAGTCTTTATACAAAGCTACTTTCTACAGAATGGCGGATCACGAAGACGAGTTGGCCGCCACCACCACCGACGGCTTCAAAGTCGGTGAGAAGAAGACCGTTGAGGAGTACGAGAAGCTCGGTTCGTACCCTTTTCTCTTCTCTTTCAAGGAAGCTCCAAGAAACAACACTCCTGCTGCCGCCGATGCTACAGCTATGGGAGAGCAATACATCTATCATTCAGCTACTACACATGTACCAGGACTAACCGGCCTTCCCCCCATCTAGATCAAAACGACGAATCTCTCAAGCGATGGAAGGCCTCGCTAGGCTTGGGAAACGGCACGCCGATATCTGACCCTAACGACCCTCGAACCTGTATCATCAAGTCGCTTGCTCTCGAGGTGGCTGGACGAGACGATATCACCATTGACCTCTCTGCTCCCGGTGCCGTCGACAGCCTCAAGGATAAACCATTCACCATCAAGGAAGGCAGCCGGTTCCGCATCAAGGCCACTTTCCAGGTCCAGCACGACGTCCTCAGCGGCTTGAAGTACGTCCAGGTCGTCAAGAGGAAGGGCCTAAGAGTGAGCAAGGACCAGGAGATGCTGGTAGGTGGTTTCATGCTTGCTCTATATCGCATCGGTAGGTGCTGACAGGCTGCTCTAGGGGAGCTATGCTCCAAACACGACGGATAAGCCGTTTTATGAGAAGAAATGTAAGTTGTTCCATCATGTCTGGAAACGTCTTCCCACTGTTTTCTGATGATGAGTGATAGTCAACGAGGAGGAGGCACCATCTGGCATGCTATTACGAGGGCGTTATAACGCTGTCTCCAAGTTTGTTGATGATGACGAGACGGACCATCTAAAGTTCGAGTGGACCTTTGACATCGCCAAGGACTGGTAGAGGGCGTTGGTAAATCCTTCGTGTCGCAAGGCTATGTGTGTCCGGAGCAGCTGGGTTGACGGTGACCGCGATTCCAGGGAGAGTTCATTAAACTTTGGATTCCCTTCACAGCTCAACCGCGTCCGTTTTGATGCATTACTGATGCCGCTTAATGATTGATCTTCATTTTTGAAAAGAGACTTGATTCTCATACCAGATAGCGTTATGTTGTTCCTTCAAACGATGAAATGTCCCCCCTTCGCTTCGTCTTCTCCTTCTTCTTCTTCTTCTTCTTCTTCTTCTTCTTCTTCTTCTTCTTCTTCTTCTTCTTCTTCTTCTTCTTCTTCTTCTTCTTCTTCTTCTTCTTCTTCTCTGCTTCGTCTTAAAACCGGTGGAGGTGACACCGTCTAAAATATCATGCCCAAAACTCCGAAAAATGCGCTGGCTGGATGATTTCTTTGCTCTGCACATATAAATCGAGGATATCATAGGAAATACTCAATAACAGGATTCTGGCCTTCCTTTCCTTGCTGATTCGGCTGTTCTCCACGGTGAACGTCGTTGTTTTCCGGCGCTGCATCGAAGATGTTGAAGAATCGCTCGCCAGTGTCGCTGACCTCTAGCACGCTCGCCAAGTTCCCACATCGGTAACAATAATTTGGGGCGCTCCACACGGTACTTAGCCGGTCGTCGTAGAGGACCTGATAGCCCTCTTGACACAGCTGATGCGCACGCAGTATATGAGACATGCTATTCACTTCCAAAAACTTCCTAACCACCTGCGCTCCAAAAGTGTAACCTGCACCTCTAGGAGATAAAGAAAACTCGTCTCGCTCCGTATCCGGGTCTGACCAGACCAGGTCTGCCATGGGGCCTTCGTGGGGTATCTCACGGAACCGGTCGATGATTTTAATTTGATCTATTGAATGGATGGAAGGAGAAAGGCCGCCGTGAACGCAAAAAATTTGATTGTTTATAACCACGCTGAGAGTGAGGAAGTCGAACATGTCGGTAAAGTAGTGCCAGACGTTGGCGTTTCCGTATTTGCGAGCACATTCGGTGTAGAAACCGTACGACTGCGTGACGCCTCGCGATTCATGGTTTCCACGAATAAGATGGACTCTTTCGGGGTATCGGAGTTTTAAGCAGATGAGCAAGGAGATTGTCTCTACGCTGAAGAGCCCTCGATCAACATAGTCGCCTGTGCATAGTATGATTAGTTACCCAGCCTATCCCCGAAAGATACGAGGAACTCGGTTCGCCCTGCCTACCAAGAAATAAGTAATTCGTATTTGGGCAGAATCCTCCAATCTTGAAAATCTCAATCAGGTCGTAAAACTGGCCGTGTATGTCGCCGACAACGGTGACCGGAGCAGCAATGTGTACAACATTACTCTCCTTCATTAACAATTCCTTTGCCTTGGAACATATCGCTTCGATAACCGAATCGGCCAATAATTCCCGTTTGTAGATTCGCTCTATGCATTCGTCCAGGTCGATGCTAGCTAGATGTGAAGTAATAGTGGACAACCAGTCAGACATGCACACATGTAGATTCCAAGGCTCAAGATCACACAGAGTTCCGGTCGCACTAACTTGGAAGACCTGGCATGGCGCCTGAGGGTGTGATGGAGGATGTTTGAGAGTATTATATGGGCCCCCCTTTATCCTATCCTGTGTCTGGTGTAGTGGGGTGAGAGCGAGTGTTACGTCTGGAGAACGATGCGGTTCACGGGTATCTGCTGTATAGGGCGAAATAACGAGGGACGGCGGGGAGAGAATGAGACTCGCATGGTTCGGTCAAGCGCGACTAGAGCTCAACAGTGAGGATTCATGTTTCACAGAGAATAACAGAAGCAGTAAACCTCCAGCAGAGACGTGAGTTGGGATGTATTCCATAGTTGATCTTCATTTGATAGCAAGCTCGTTGATATCGTGGATGACTAAGGTTGCTGCTTATCTAATGATCTATGAACTCCGGAAGAGAGCTAGAAGACTTTTATTAACTGGGTACGGGGTACTTTGTGCTCTATTCTAACGTCGTCTTCATCTCTACAACAGCTTCATACATATCTTTCTTATAACATATCTTCTTATAACATGTTATATATAAAGTCTGGTAGAGTGAATGTGGTGGTGTTCCACGTGACCCCCCTTTTTGTCCTGGAAAGGAATAACAAAGGTCCGAGTCCATAATTTCCAGACTTGCTCCTGCTTTCTCGCGAACTTCATCTCAACCTCGCTCACTTGCGCCACCGCGAAGTGAAGACGACGAAGGCCGCAGTTTTGGATATTCTTCTCCCTTATTATTACTCTGCATTGCGTTCATTGCCTCCGACTGAACTGGATACACCTGGAGAGCCGACATTCTGCATCCAATAAGGGCCAGACCCGAGTTATTAGACCCTTGTCTGGACACCTTGAACTAGAAATCCAGATATAGCCACCAGAGCGCAGCGGATGCATGTTTTATGAGCAGCTGGAATACCCAAGTACCGATTTTCTTGGAGATCCCATTATACCAGAGATATCAGTCAACGGCCACCTTCTTTAGCACAGTGGCAATGCCCATTGCGAAGTCTTTGTCAATACGTGGTTTCAAAGCCTGATATTGGCTCAAACATGAGATAAAGACTCGACCTGGGACCTGATCATCTTTCCTGCCTGGCTGTCGGTACTCTCTTCCTTCTTTGTGCTCTATTTTTTCCTTTTTCATGCAAAAAAGCTTTAGCGGCATCTAGCAACAACAACAAAAAAAATAAATAAATTATGGTACCTCAACAGATGGGATCCCCCGATGAAGGGTTTCAGCGTCGACGGTCGGCGCCAGGGTTTGGCAACAAATCACACCGCGGGAACAGAGGTGGCTATGGCTACCGCTCGAAGAAAACTGGCCAAGGTCATGCATCGTTTCACCCTCTGAACGCTCCATTCCCCCAAGACCAACCACCACCGTCCTGTTTTAATTGTGGCTCTTTCGACCATATGGTTCATCATTGCCCAGAGTATCAGCATGAGGCATCCCCGTAAGTTGAACGAATAGGCTTATATGGAAGCTTTTACCGCTTTTTATTTTTTCGCCATGCGGTGCTGACCTTCAATGTCAATAGCGGATTTCATAAACATCCTCGCCCGCCAAAGCGGCAGAGAACCACGGATGGATCCAGACATCAATTCCGTGACGAGTTCCCGCCTGCGCAGCGAGGGCACCCTCATCGTTCCTTCTCTCACCCGTCACATCCTTATCAGCCTGGTTATCATCAACCTGGGTATGACCACCCTGGACCAGGTTCCCCCGAGCAGGAGGAATGGCATCACAGACCTCCGTATGGATACCCGCCATATGACCCTCACGGGCCTCCTCCACCAATGAATGGATATGATGGATATGATGCTCATGGCCCTATGCCACCATACCCATACAATGCTCCCCCTCCGGGTTACCACCCCCGCCGACCCAATCGCCGCCGTGAAGGAGACTACCCTGAATATCCGATGGAAGGTCCTCCGCCGCCGTCTTCGTGGGATGGACCCCCCCGTAACCAGGCTTGGCGTGGAAAGGGCCGTAAAGGCAGAGACGGACCTCCATCTTCACGTCGACCTGACCACTGGGTTGAAGGATTCTATGACCTAGACACTCCAGAAAACAGGGCTGCAAACGGTCAAGTCGGTAGGTTAACTTGTTCTTGTGTCGTGTTCGGTCATGATTGATATCCATCTAACCATATTTACAGTTTGGAGGCCACCTCACCCTGTTGGCCGGCCCTTGCCCGCAATATTCAGTGATCTAGATGATATCTGCAAATTACCCCCATTTGCTTCTCTACCTCCAGGAATGTCTGTTTCAAAATACTTCTTAAACAAGGGACCTGAGGAGTTCAACGAAAATATCCGAAATACAGAAGACTGGCCCTTCATGATGGATGACCCGATCTTTTCAGAACTCCCATCCGATGGCGAGTCGGTACCCATCAAAGACCTTATCTCTCAACGGAAGGAGATAATGGCGGCCCATAAAATTGTCCCTCGTAAGCCTGTTGTGGAAGAGGAGGCTGCTTACGACAGTGAGCAAGCAGATGAAAATGAAATGCCACAAGAAGAAGGAAGCTATGCAGGCTCCGAACAAGGCCAGGAAGACTATAATCAAGATTATAATCAGGGATATGGCCACGACTATCAGGAAGATAGCCCCGCAAGAACCCCTTCTCAATCTTACCCTGTTTCTCCTAAGCATTATGATAGTCCTATGTCAGATGACGGCAATCAGAGTGAAAGAGGCGACAACACTCGCCCACAATCTAGAGAGAGCTATCGTGATGGCGTTTCACAAAGAGGCAGCAGGGAGCCATCACCAAACCCAGAACAGTAAGTTTAGTTACCTCACAGTGATTAATAGGTCTAATGCTTTCTTACTCTAGTGAAAATCCCCATAGTCCCATCAATGATCATGATCAAAACCAGTTTGCCGCTTATAAACCTGGTCGACCAAACAATTTCCCACACCAGAGGGACAATGGAAAATACCAAAATCATTATCAGCGGAATAACAAGCCAAAGCGGGGCAGACCCAATGGATATAAACGCCAGTTTAGCCAAACATGGAACACTGAGGAATATACTAGTACTCCACAATCAGCTACGCCTGGCAATAACGACAGTGATGAGCATCTTCAGACTACTCCTGACAAGTACACTCAAGCTCAAAGCCCCTCAGAGTCATACCACAGGAAACGCTCGAGGGAAGAGTCTTCAGAACTACCTGATGATGAACCTCAACGTCAGATAGATGATGTTGCCCCCAGACTCAAGCGTCGTCACCCGCGTGTCGCAGAGGCTTACAGGTACGGCTTTCTTTAATATACCCTTGAATTATTTTTTCCTACGTAATCCTTTTACTGATTATAAACTAGTCGGCGCTGGTAAGCCGCCTACTTGCTTATCGGCAATATTTCTTAATTACTTTTTATCTTTCGATTCGTTAATCACCCAGACCCACGGTCTCCCCCATTTGGCTCCCCAGCTCTCATGGCCCATGGCCTCTCACATGATATCAAGCTCTTAAAAACCTACGGGGCCCAGATTGGTGTCTGAAGACCTATTCGGATTTAATTTCCCTCTCTTAGACGCGTGTGACTCCAACCACTTTGAACGACACTTGACTGCCCGGTACTTTTTCTCTCTCTTCTAGAGAAAAGTCTGTTACTAGAGGCAGCAGGAGAGTTAATCTTTACCCCATCGTTCAGACTGGTAATCCGTTAGTCAGCTCTGACGTGGTTTACACGCTCTTGGATATGGCGCTCTACGCGATAATTAATAATTCCCTTATTTTTACTTTAATTGATATCTGATTCCACTTCAGCCGCTATTATATCAAAGCTGCCATCACATTTCCACGTGGAAGGATAATGTTGATGATGAAAGAAAAGTGTCCATTCTCCCACATTAAGGACCTATGAAGTAGAGATCCGGGTAAGAGGCACAAACATGTAAAATGGATAACATGACGCATAGTCATGGCCATAAGAGCATCCCTATCTATGTTTAGCATATCCTTATTGGGGCCAACCGTCCCGTGGAGAAAGTTGTGTTCTCTCTGTGATACAACCCGGGAAGTAGAAGCGAGACATCCAGAAACTAATGTGATACACGGGGTTTCGTGGCTGCTATGATCCCAGGTGATCCATTCTGAAGAAATCATAATCCAAGAATGCAAGAAATACGGATGTCGCCCCAGTTATGTTTACCATAATGAAGGCCTATTCGTTTCGTGTGCAGAAATATGCCAATAGAATATGAAGTGCTATATCCATTAGTACTCTGGAACTTATTCGCGGACTGGTATACAAAGCTTCCTTGAGAAAGAAAGCTGCCTCCTATGCTACGCATAAATCTGCGAGCTGAGATACTCTCCGGACGCGGCTCAATGGGCCGTGACCTGGCTTGCCGGAGCAGTATGCCACCAATATCATTATCCAAGATCGATGGCATGGTCCGGCCGTCCATGAGCAATACGGTTGTACGATTATGAACCCCCTAGTTAAGGAAATCTACTTAATTCGACTATTTTATAATAATATAATATTTATCGCGTTGAACATCAGACTCTTTGATACTTGTAGGCTTAATTATAATCTCTTTGGTAGAAACCTATTTTAGACTATCTTCAACTAATATACTACCCTTTTACTTGAGTAGTTTGGCAGATTCAGCTGTCGATTGAGTATACTGATGGTTGGGCTCTTCCTCCTCTTCGCCGGATTCATCAGTCTCATATTCGCTTTCTCCCTCCTCGTCTTCTTCCTCCTCTTCTTCATCGTCTTCATCTGTCTCTTCTTCCTCTTCGGTTTCGCCCTCTTCGTCTTCCTCGTATTCATCCTCTTCCTCCTCCTCTGCGAGCCAATCATCAAGAGACATATTCTTGGGAACATTGCCTATTCTTCCATTGACGGTTCCTTTTCCAGAAGCAACATTATGTTCTTGAAGTGCTTTATCCAGCCGTTCCCCGGCTGTTGCGTTGATCTTCTCACCAAACCCTGCGCTTGGTTTACCGGATTCATCATCTCGAAGTTTTGGATCGGGTTCTTGTCCGGGTTTAACCCAGTCTGGAAGGTCCTCGTACCCCTTCAAGCCATACATTCCAGCTTCAGGCCCAATTACCAGGGTTGACGATCCGATGAGCAAGTTCTTCCTTGTCTCTGAAGGTGTGGAAGTATGCGGGATGGGTTTAGGCGCGAGGAGTAGGAGGCTTGCAAGCTGCGTTGAACTAGGCACAGCAAGAAGAGATTTATAGAGACGAGCTCGATCACGGAGGTCATATGAGGTGTCATATCGGGCTAGCAGGAGGATGTATCGCCAAAGGGTTGTAATAGCATCTTCCTCTGTTGGTGCAGCAACATGGCCATTTGTATCGAACCCATTATTGTCATTGTCGTTATCACCTTGGTAGTGATCCGAGGTGTTGTCCTTGGGTTCACTTGAAGCCTCTGGGGCGTTTAGGAGGTGATGGAGATATACTTTTGCTCCTAATAGCAAAATTTGCTGCTTTGCTGTCTCTGACTCGTCTGCAAAGCCTTTTGCTAGAAGGCGTAATACATCTGGAGCTATGTTGTTGTTTGCATCGATTCCGGCGAATTCCCCTACTAACCATATGATACTCGCCCTAGCCCCGGGGCTGCTAGTGGTCCCAAGATGGTTTCCTAGCATCACCACGGTATTTCGATGAGATGCAGTGTCCTGTTGGATAAGATGCCGGATGACTGTTACTGCTTCTGAAACCAAAACGTCATCTGCACTTGAGATCTGGCGAAGGAGAAGTTGGAGACAGCGGGTGGAAGAGCTACTATGAGCCTCGGCGCATCTCCCAATAGCCCGAACACTCTCACGTACCAGGTCATGGTCCGACCCGTTAGAAAAATGTTCCAGCTCGCTAAGAATCACACCTTTAAAGTGCATACCACAGTGGGGGAATAATATGGTAAGGATTTCCAGCTTCAAACGCCAAATATGAGAAATATCAGTCGATCGAACAAGGAAATGGGACGCATATTTCACAAACGGCTTCGGAGATACAAGGGCGACTGAGATGATGTTGTATAAAGCGACATGTTGTAGGTCTTGCGGACTGCGGAGTAAAGCAATCAATGGTCCAGTGGCAGATTCTAAATGCTCTATCGTTCCCAAATAGCGGAAGCAACGGACAACGGCCACAATAACGGCAGAATTCCGGCTCTGAAGTAATGGTTTGCAAGCCTTCAGGAGTAAGTCGAGGTCTGGGTCAATAATTTCAACTTCTTCCTCGCTAAGATTGTTATCGTCATCGTCTTCTCCGTTGTCTTCATCGTAGAACCCTTTGGGGTTCGTCTTCTTTACTTTTTGTATCCGTTGTGGGAAGCACTTCCTAGCGTAGAAGACCATAAGCCTCAACGTCACCAATTGACCCCACTCGTCCATATCAACAAGTTTCTTCACAAGACTGCGGTAGTGCTTGTGGATGAGATCAATCTGATCCGGGCAGATCTCCAAAAATGCAGCAACGGCCGGCCCAACCACAAAATACTGGTTATCCCCAAGGAGAACCGAAAGGTATTCGATGAGCTGTGGCAGTGTCCCTGGGTCAAGGCGGTAGCATTTTGGGATTGCTAGCGCAGCAGCTTTGCGGACATGAGGGCTCATATCGCCGCATCCTCGTTTAATTGCGAGAGAAACAATCTGGCTGATCACAGGTACTTTTATCCCCGACATCGTCCGTAGTGCTAAAGCACGAACTTGTGGGTTCTGGTCCGTTAGGGACTTCTGGATTGCATTAATCGACAGAAGTGCCAGATCCGGCTCCGATTCCGCATGGTGCAGTAGATATATATATACTAGTTTCTTCACTTCGATATTCGGGTTTGCAACGTTCTTGACGACGGCAGAGAAGAACGGAAGGCACGGTTCGGCCCTGTACATCAACTAGAAAAGGGAGCAAGTTCTCAGTAACAAAGAGCTTTGGCAATAGCATGGTATTAACGTACTGAAATGACCTTCCGGAGGCCATCTAAGATATCCCGATCATTCCTGCTGTCGAGTAGCTTCTTAATCTGCGAGATTGAGGCGGTGCGGGGTGCGTAGGAGGAGGGCCGTAGACTTCTGACGGAGCTTGCAGATTGAGCAGCTTCAAGCGTGAGCTCTCGAGCTATTAAGAAGGCCATTAGTTGTAATGATCTTGTCGACTCGGCTCCAAGAATTCGGGCTCATCTCGTACCTGTTTCTAGCATCGACGAGATCCGCGATATAGTCTCCATGATAAGTGTATAACTTGACTAATTCCCCCACTTTGCCGCCGAGCTCTGGGGACCGAACGATCGATCTGTATCCCTGGTCTGGGTGTATCGACTGGGCGTCTTTCTCGAATTAAGAAAGTGTGTAGAAAGTTGCTCGCTCAATGTTTAGGTCGGGCAACATCCACATGACAAAAAAGGCGTGACTTCATTTTGATCCAGGCCGCAACAACCACACTTTTACACACAACATCTAGCCAACACGCCCACGCCTGGTTCAGGCTGGCTTTTCTATCAAAACGACAAATACCCGACTGAAGATGTTCGCAGAAACACCATAAATGAAGAGAGAAACGACCAGTGAGAGATTGCGTCTAAAAATGTGCTGCCTGTTTGCCCTAAAGGCGGACCTGATACCAGCATGAGCATCACGATATCCGACTCCGTTGTCGGTTTTATGCAGTATCTTCTCCAGAGCAATGCTTCAACTATTACTTTAATATCATGCTCGACTCGGGACGCATTTATTGAAGAGCTATGCCAGTCTTCAACGCAGGAGAAGCCTGGTTCTCCAAAGCCAGAAGCCAGCCAGGCTCAGGATGCTAGTGAAGAATCAATCGCAGATGTCGAAGGAGAAACATACACAGACGACCATCACTGGCTATTTTCCAATACAATTGATCTCATATCTCGCTCGCAAAGGGTAAACTTGGTCTTCTGCCCCACTGTCGAGCATCTTAGGGCGTATCTAGGTGGTGTATTCAAGCTACGGAAGAAGCGAGATGAACACGAGGTGGAAGGCTGTCTGTACCAGGGCGCCCCTGTGCTTGCTATCGTCAATATGGTCTCTATCCATTCGCCTACTTCAGAGTTCTCCGCGCAGGGCCTCTCGAGGACATCGGCTCTCGCTGTAGAGGCCGCCGCTAGAGCGGGAGTCGAGCTGATATTATGCGAATGCAAATCTATGCATGATGGCGATGAAATAGAGCGTGGCTCTAGGGTGTGGGACGCACAGGTTCCCCTATTGAATTCGATGGTTAGGTCGATGGGAGAAGAACGATCGCCGAATGTTAGAACCATCCAGGTGAAGCAGATTTTGAAGAAATGGTTTCGGTTCGATAATACCAACGGGGAAGAAATGTAGCAATACGCTGAAAGGAAGATAAGAAACCATCGTCATGCCATATCAAAGTCCCCCAAGTAAACTCCGGTGATGCTGTGGGTATCTTAAATCATTACTATACATAAGAAAAGTCCAATCCATAGCCGACACTACTCAGAGACATTTCTCTATCTCTGTGGTGTACAGCTTGATATGTGACTCCATCTTCAAATATTCATCATGCGCCCGATGAATCTCAGTTTCAATCGTCTCTTTAAGATCAGCCATCTGCGGTTTGCGCACGTCAGTACTAAGTTAACTTGTGTGATGGGCCCGGGGTAAGCCATACCTTCTTCTCGGTTTGCTCAATCCTAATGCGTCGCCGTTCCATTTCTCTTTGCTTTTCTCCCCGTTCTTCCCGAAGCTGTTTCTGTATTGTATGAAGCTCTTCCATCCGAGCTTGCGCTTGTTCCGCCTTTTCTCTACTACTTTTCCTCAGTGCCTCTATGCGTTCCTGCCATCGGGCCAGCTGATACTGAAGAAGCTTCTCCGTCTGCGCGACTTCTCTCACGGTGTTTCCTCTCTCCGCGAGAGCTTCCCGGTTTTTGATGCCTTTGGATTCCTGGTCATCCTCCTTTTGTAACTCTATCAATATATCTTCCAATAGCTTGATAGAGCTCTGGACTTCATTATTCACAACGGTAAACGTGTTCATCGACGTCTGTAGAGCGCGCATCCGTCTCTCCATACCGTCCACCTGGCTTTTGCCCCGAATTAAGTTGTCAGACAATTCTGTTAGGGCTGACTGAAGGCTTTCCGGGCTCTGCGAGACGTATGGCCGTAACTTTTCACACTCCTGACGACTCTTCAGCAGCTTCTCCGTCTTCTCTTCAAGCAGAGTCTGCTTTCTCGCCTTTTCACCCTTCACGCGCTCAAATGACTCTGCCACCCGCTCCTGACCCCGCCTCAATTCCAACAAGCGGGTTTTTAATTCGTCATTCCGGCTCGTCTTCTCCCTCACCAAGCCATCCACCTCCTTTTGCTGTCTTTTCATTTCTTCCAACCGCTGCTCCAGTTCTTGGTTTTCGGCATATAACGATTCAATGCGCATCTTTGTATCCTCTGATTTGTTAAAATGCGCATCAATTGCTGAAGTCTGGGATTCTCGAAAGCGAACAAAGTTTATGAGATAGGAGAATATTTTCGCAATCCGGTCGTAGGTCGGCTTGGTAATATCTGTGAATGTAAAGTCGTGGACTCCGCACTGCCGTTTGTATTACGCTTATAATCAACACTGCAAGCATGTATAGGGTCCCAGGCCGGGTGAAACTAACCTGCAGCATCAACTTTCGCAGTGACACTAAGAACCCCATCAGGTTGCGCGTATCCGGGGGGAAGATGTCTGCTTGTTCGCCAGCAATGTCTTCTGCTGCCGCGAGCATGGCGGGCTCCACGGTTTCCCGCGTAGTATTCATAAACAATTCGGCGAACCACTCGAATACCATCTGGACTTGCTGCGGATTCGGCTTGAGTAAATCCGCCATCGTGAACGGTATCCCGATATCGTTGATGCATCCTGCGATAACTTTGTCCGGCTACATACTTGATGTCAATATATGGTCTTGATATGTGTCTACAAATTGCCCACTCACCAGGCGTAGAAAAGCATCTGTATCGTTCTCCTTCTTCTGTCGGCGGTTATGCTGCTGGCCGCCATGGTACTGCTGGGTCGCCCTCGAGTTGTACGCCATCGTGAAGGTGCTATAACTCTGCTCGTCGACTATATAGCTATATATCTCGTCTTGAGGTCGAAAAAGCCCCTCGAGCTGCTTTGTTTGTTTGGTTTGTTTACATGAGGGACTGTCCAAAAGCGGACTAGCATAACAAACACGGCAAACCTTACAAACATAACAAACAAGACAAACATCCTCTTCTAGTGAAGCCAGAAAGAAAAACAGTCATCAAGAAGAAGGAAGAGTCGAGCATCAAGAAACTCTTCAACTCACGATCCTGATACCAGCAGCTTTCTTCTGTTTCTTGCTGAAGATTATCAGTTTAGCGGCTAGGTTGTGACGTACGAGAACTGCCCTCCACTTCTTGCTACCGGAGCTACCCCGCTATCTACTGCTTGAGTAGATCGACGAAGGGACTACATATTTACATACCAGCCTCGTCAGTGCAATATTGCTGCTGTTGCTCCAGTTCTGCTTTGAATAGAGGTCAACATGACTACAGCCACGGAAACCCCGTCAAGCGGGACCACCGAGCCGTTTGAGTGAGTATATCGATGCTGTGACTACATCGCGGGGCAGTGATAGCTAACAGCCAGACAGCATTGTAGCCACATACCACAAGCTTCTACGGACAGACCCAGATCTCACAATGCCAATTGCTGCTATTGAAGCTCTGGTCCTGCTTTTAACACATTTGCCGTCCTCTACCATCTCCGAGACCCTTGATCTGCTGAACAAGCATACCGAACATCTCAAACGATCCATTCCCAATCCGATAGGCCTTTCAGCCGGTACAGATCTCTTCCAGCGCTACTTGATCTCTACGCTGCAACGGCCTGGAAAGCTAGGTCCTGCAGGTGACTTCAATGCCATCAGGGCTCACCTGCTATCGAACGGACGGTTATTCATAAAGCGAGCCAAGGAAAGCAGAGATAAGATAGCAGCGTTTGGAAGTGGGTTTGTCAGAGATGGCAGCACAGTATTGACAAATGGAGGGTCGCGGGCGGTTGGCGCCATGCTGCAGAAAGCTGCTGGCGAGGGAAGCCAGGGGGCCCCAGCCGTTCGGTTTCGCGTGATCTACGTCCTTCCAAACGGCCACAGCCATGAGAAGTCACGAGACGCTGTGCCGGAAGGAATGGATACGGTTGAAGTTCTTCGCTCAAAGGGTGTTCCTGTTGCGACTGTGCCTGAATCTGCGGTTGCGTACTCTATGGGTATGGTGGACACGGTGATTGTTGGCGCCGAGGGTGTTGTTGAAAACGGCGGCATCATATCCCGCATGGGGACATATCAAATGGGCCTACTTGCAAAGGCGATGGGGAAACCGTTCTATGTCGTTGCCGAGAGTCATAAGTTTGTGAGACTCTTCCCTCTTGGACAGTACGATTTACCGGTCGACCAACGGGTTATCGACTTCAAGACCACGACGAGCGATAAGAAAAGCTCGCAGCCTTCGGACCCGAAAGACGAGCAACGACTAATCCCTGACATCGTGGACTATACACCTCCGTCGTTAATAACAGCCCTCATCACGGAAGCCGGTGTCCTCACGCCCAGCGCTGTTAGCGAAGAACTAATTAAAATCTGGTTCTGAACTGGCACATCAAAGCTTAATGCATAATACATTACACTTTTTTTTTGCTGTGGCTCGTCCAATGCAAATCCGAATTGTTACCATGAACAGGAGACGATCACCCATGGCGCCGGGTTCGACAGGAACAGCATCTGGGACTCTCCATCTACGCACGAATGTGGAATATCGCGTTACACCGGCTGAAACGTGGGAAGGGGATTGAGAACTCCTGATGTGACACATATTAAGAGGCCTGCCAAAAAGCAATGCACCATGCTATTCAATTGTTCCAGGTACGACCAGGCCAGGTCTCAACCTATTGACGATGAATGACAGCCAGTGGGTGCCCCCCCTGGTCTTATCCAGCCCGGTATAGTCGAACTTGTATAGGCGAAGGCAAGGGGCATGCCATGGACGGGAGCCAGCAGACCAACTCGTACCATGCATATATTATGTCGAAGAACTGCATCTTGCGTTTTCTATTTTATCCGGTCGTGTTTAACAAGTTCAGCAGTGTTACATTGTTACATCTCGCCGGCTGCAGGTAGAAATGAATACGTACCTCACTTTATACTAGTTTTTAACTCTGCAGATTGACATAGATCTACGCCTAGCAAGGACCGGGCCTCTTGTATACATCCTGATGCTAGAATGAACGACATCAGTAACTCCCTGCCGAGGATGTCCTGATTAGCAAGGCCGTAAAACATTTCTGTCACATCCAGACACTTATCAACAGGCTTTTAAGGCTGAAGAAACCCCGCGATCACCAAATACTCCGAGCGATCTGTAACAATACATCTATTCCTAAAGTCACCAGTAGAAAGGACAATACAATGTCAGGCCTGCTCGATCCCAGGACGGGCCAGCAGCTGCCCGCCGACGCCATCCAGCGCGTCCTCTACATCTGCAAAGCCGTACATGTATATGCCATCCCGCCGCTGACGTCGATGAAGGGCTACGAAGCCGCGAGCTGGACGACTCCTGACCCGCACAACGACGGCAAGACAAAAGAAATATTCACGGCACGACTCAGGATTCTAGAGAGCGCGATACCTACGCCTCCAACTCCGGTGTTTCGAGGCCAGATGCGCCCTCTCTCGCTGCCAGAGGAGAGCGAAGAGCCCGGGGAAGAGGTGAGGACTGATATCGTGCTCGAAGACCCGGAGACAGGCGCCTTGTTTGCAGCCGCTCCGTACGTCGAGTCCAGCGTGGTAGAGCATGCGGTCGATTCATCGCGGTTCTTCGCTATACGAGTTGTCGGCGAAGGGAAGAAGGCGGTTCTGGGTGTTGGGTTCGAGGATAGGAGCGACGCTTTTGATTTCGGCGTTGCACTCCAGGAAGCGAGGAAGATACTCGGTTTCGGAGCTGCCGTTACTACTCTTCCTGCTGGCAATGTCGATAACCCTACGGCTATACGAAACGTTTCACCAGCACCGAGAACGGGCGGACGGGGGCCAGGAAGAGGACCGGGAGGAATCCGCCCATCTCCATCTCCCAGGGGCAGCAGGACGGAAGTGCCACAGAGCAGTATGAGCAGCATGAACATCAGCAGCAGCAGCAGAGACTACAGTTTAAAACCCGGGGAGACCATCTCTGTGAAACTTGGGAGTCGCAGCAGGGGCGAGATGGCTTCTCCTGGAGAGACGGCTTCTGGAGAGATGTCTGATAAAACCGCCCTCTTCTCCATCCTCCCTCCGCCGCCGTCTCCCAGGAACAACGACAGCAACCCGTTTGCCCCGAGTTCTCGCCGTCGAAAGCAGCCTCAGGACCGAGAGGACCAAGGAGAAGACGAGTTTGGCGAGTTCCAGTGATAATCTACATGTAACACCCACATATAGCCAACTACCAGCCGATATGAGATATTATAAATGTATATATGCATTCGCCGCAATGAAACAAGCAGCCGAGCATCGATAGTCAGGCCGTCTGGTGTAATCCCAGGCTCTCAGTTAATATGTTAATTTTAGAGTCTCCGTTCTTCCTGTCGACAAGGGGTTTCATCTGCTATCTCCATGCCAGCCAGCACAGCCTGATGCCTGACCGAGCATGCACGATGCCATGTCCATGTCCGGCCCAGCGTTCCAGCGTTTCCTGTGCCTGGCCTTGCATGGGTTCCCTCCTTGATTTCAGGCGGGCTGAGGGTTCAACGGCCGCTGGATCCAAGGGCAAAGGGGGCCGCTAAAAAGGCACGGAGGAAACGTCGCTCCATACAGGGAACGCGATGTGGAGGCTTGCCCGCCTATCCTGCCCGGGGATGCAACTGGGAGCAGAGGAACACAGGCTCCAGGTACTTTCTTTTTCTCCTACTTATATACATCCAGAGTGAGACAGTGTGCGACTGGGAGAACAAGCTGGCCGGTGATATGTTCTTCCGCCTACAATACTCACACAACTTCATCTACTTCTACTTCAACTCATCTACACTACTACAACTCACAGCTACTCAAGTAGATTGAGATCAGACTGCACAGCTCTTCTCTCTGTCTCTCTCTCTCTGTCTGTCTCTGCCTGTCAACTTTGTCAACTTTGTATATTGGTTATACTTCACACGTCACTGACAGCCTTCGAGTTGGCTGGGTCGGCCCAGCAAGCATTGCGCTGGCGCGCAGTCTGAAGCCTGTTGCCATGGCTCTCTGGCCCTTTGGCCGCCATAAGAAACGAGCTCGCAAGGGAGACGATGAGACATACGCTACGCCAGTCGATCAGCCGCAGCAGCTAGCACCAACGGCCGCCAGACCGCACACTCCGCCATCCCAGACAACGAACGCTGCTGCTGCAGGCCCAAACGGCGGTCATGCGTTCTCCGCTGGCAAACTCGTCCGGAGAGACAGCAAGCGCCAGAAATATAACCAGCAGCAGACACAGGGTCGCAATGCATCCTCCATCTTCCACCGCTCTTCCCCAGCCGCTGCCACCACTTCCACGGCCGCCGGCCCGCCGTCCTCTGCCTTCTCGTCACCGCAAGTCGACTCGCCCATGACGCTGCCAGACGGCCGTACCCTTCGGCAGCCCGCTTCAGTCGACACTTTTGCCTCCGTCAATGCGCTTTCTCCATCCAAACTCCGATCGGCGCCAAAGATGATGTTGTCTCAGCCGGGCGATAACGAAGCTTATCTCGTGCCGACGTTGCACGGTAAACGCAATTCCACCGAGCCCAGTATCCTACGGCGTAGGTCCGACCGGCGTAGGCGGAACGATCATGAGCGCGAGCAGGAGATCAGGCGTATGACCAGCCAGGTGTGGGAACCCAAGCGGAACCAGAAAGACGCAGGCAAGGCATCGGACAGACACCTCTCTGATCCCTTCACCTCCTACTCCAGCCCACTGGTTCCCGAACCAGCCGAATCTTATACCTTCAAGCTCGGTGCTCTCAACGCCTTGTCTCCACGGCCGTTTCTCAGGTATGGAGACGGGAATCGCGGTTCACTGCCTGCAACGGCGGAAATATCGAGGTCGTCAACCACAAAGGACAAAGGCAAATCAAGATGGTTCTCTGCAGACCACTCCGCTACCACCAACAATAGCAACAAGAGGATCGAAGACCTTGCCGACTCCATGGACGCCGGTGCGTTGAGGCAGCTCATGGACCGTGATCGACGACGGAGGCTCGTCAAGCGCCAGATTATCAGGGAACAACAGCAGGCTGCTGTCGCTCGCCAGCGACCAGCCAGTATAGAAGTAAAGGCGCCAGTCGAGAAGGAACAACAATCCATGGGTAGTCCAGTGAGACTGCCTTCTCCTTTTTCTTCGTCTCCTCCTCCTCCTGAACATATGGAGATCTCCAAAAGTCCAGAACCGTCCGGATCATGGTTACGTGATGCATCAAAGGAGAGCCTGGTCAGGGACCACATCGAACCCATCACTGAAATAAAAGAAAACCTCCCACCGGCTGCCACTTCCCCTGTCGTTGTCTCGCGGAACGGCCAGACGCTTGAACTCGCTCTTGCCCCCGGTGAAGAAAGGGACGAGATCCCAGACATCCGTCAACATCCTGCATTTCGCCAACCTTCCATCTCTGAAGCATCGACCAAACCTAGCACACAGAACGAAACCAAGCTCGGCCGCACCTGGACTCAAATCTTCCGACGACGAGGCACCCTTCGCCACAAACCAAGCGTATCACCAAAGAACAACTCGTCTGAATTCTCAGTCACATCTCGCGATTCGAGATCGCGAATCAATCAACAATATCACCCCGCTCCGGTAGCTACCTCTATCCAGCGTGCTGGAACAGATACCCAGTCCATCCAGTCCAAGTTCACAGAACATCTCGATGATGGCTCAAACATTCCCCAAGGAACGCGCATGTACCCTGCCGAATCATCGTCCAACATCAACAGGGACGATGCATACTCCGTCTCTCACCGGATGAGCGGCATATCGACAGGAGCATACGTTCCTGGACCCGATACTAGGCCCAACAGTACCTTTTTAGCCCAGTCGCTAGCCTCGATAGATTCGGAGGGAAGCTGGCTATCTGGCCGACCATCTCGACGCCTCTCACAGGCTCCGCTGAAGAGTCCCGGCTCGACTCGCGAACGACTGGATGATATGAATGAACCCGATGGCGAGGATGACTATAACGCAGTCAGCAGTGATGAATACTTCGGTACTCTCCCCGCTCCCAAAGAAGAGGAAGAAGACGCCGGAGAATTCAACCTTGTGGGCAACAAGGATGCTAAATCCAACGCCGTCATCACCGCCAACGGTCATCGTGAGCCCATCGCAGCTGCCGCCGATGACACCACCCCCTTAGTCGAAGATGGCATGGAACTCGCCAACGCCGACGGTGATCCACCAACATGGCACTCCAGTGTCGGCAAACGAGCCCGTCTGATCAGCCCCGAAACCCGCGCAAAGTCTCGCGAGGGCCTATTCACCGAATTCATCGACAGTGAGAACGAAGTCAGCCCCATCGACGAAACAGAGCCAGAGATCCGTCGAGCTCAGAGCATCGATATGGGACGCCATATTCGCCATATCAGTGCCGGAAGTGCCAAGATCGTTACCTTGTGCCGTGCAGAGTCTAAGCGATACAGCACTGCATCTATCAGTAGCTCCGGTGTTCTGCCTTCTAGAACCGAAGAAGAGGAGGTGTAGATCATACCCTCTTAATCGAAGCGGGCAATCGAGTTTCGTCCAAGCCGTCAACCGCATTGTCGTCTCGCCCTTGGCCCTCAAGTCGCTGCAACTCATATGCAGTATGCCCTTTTCCCATTTTCCTTTGTCACGCATGCCTTTTCTCTGTTCTTGTCGTTACTTTTGCAGATTTCGCAAGCGTGTCTCATACCCCGGTTTTCAACACCATGTATCTCTTAATCCTTTCCCATTTCCTTCCCCTTTTCTTTTCCCTTTCTTCCATTTCTTTGCTTTCTATGGAACGGACGGACGGATGGATCCCCAAAGACGGTCGTACGTTAGTTTTTTTCCGCTGTTTTAATCGTTGTTTTTCTCCATGGATGCATCATACCCCTTTTTTCCATTACATCTTGCCAGCGCTCAGATCGGTCAGGTCGGTGGGTTTTCCTCTCTTTCCTCTTCTTTGATATGAAGCCCAAACGAACGGCCGGAAGGTCCTTTCCCTTTTTCCTTTTCTAATTCCCTTTGTCTTTTCCCTTCTTCCTTTCTTTTGTCCATATTATATCCCCCTTGTTTTCCCCTCTGATATCCCCCCTTGTTAGCCTCCCACCTTCATGTTCTGTCATGCTGATAAGGAATGAAATGCCCTTACATGAGCTTACCCTCTGCCCTACCCTCCCTCCCCTTCCCATTCATTCCTTTCTCAGCCCACTCTATTGTTCAAGAGAGGTCTGTTTCTCTCTTGTGCATATTGAGTCTCTCTGCCTGCTGAGGCATCATGTCTTCCACCACAGTCACAGACCTTTGGGTGGGCCTCAGCAGGCAGAGAGAGATATGCAGGCAGATAGATAATAAATATAACGAACTTTAATAAGTTAAACACATTCAACCTGAGTATGATGGAGAGGTAGAGAGGGTGAAGTTGAAGTTGAGAGTGAAGGTGAGGTGCAGGTTTGTGGGCGTGTCTCTATTACCGGATAAGGGCATCTGGCTCGGCGATATCAACCACTTCCCCTGAGGATGCATCGATTCATCACCTGAGACTTCTTATGTTCTTATCTGCATCTGAGAGGGATGGTTGACTCAGGTTATCACGATATCTGAGTGCTGTCTAAGTGGCTGTCTAAGTAGCTCCTCACTGGCAGTTGGTCATGGACTGTTTGAGAAGCCTGTTCATATGATGTCTCTATGCAATATGATGTTTCCGTGCATATATGGCTATACCTTATCATATCCTAATACAAGAATACAACCGCTCATAGTGGTATATCCTCTCGCCAGATCGTACTCCATACCTGTAGCAACGCAAGAGGGGTCTGTCCATCCCCGCAGACCTCATCCATGCATCAACTCTTCCCGCCCAAGTGACGTCGAGTCTGATATCCTGGCTGCTTCGTCGGATTCTTGCTGAGTAACGAGGCCGCGATCCAGATCGCCCGCGCATTACTAATTCAACCCCGGCCCCTAGCTTAGCCTTTAAGCCCCTAAACTCAAGCAAAGTCCAGTTAAAGCCAGTTAAAGCCCAGTTAAAGCCCAGTTAAAGTCGGGTAACCCCCCAGTTAAAGCCTTAACTGACGACAGGCCTCCCCCTGCCGCGCCCAATCACCGCCACTCTGGCCTTCGCTCGTTTCTTTTTCCGCGCATCGGACGTTCTCCTTGAGCTTCTTCTTCATCGTCCAACCACCACGCATCCCCAACACAAATCACACCATAGCCACGACAGAGTATATACCCAGGTGGCACATCAGTAAGCAAGGTCTTAATAATTGCCGACCGACCGGGAAAAGACGAAACAACCCCGTCCCTCTCTCCTGCTAGAAGATGCTCGCAACAACGTCATCCCGGCCGCTCTTAGCCCACCACCACGGCCAGCGTATGTTGCAACACCGGCTTCCCCTCCTGTCAGTGCCGTCCGCTTCGCCGTATTTAAGTTCTGCTTCTCGCGCCCGTCAGTTCCACCGTCTTTCTTCTCTGCAGTCCAACAACTTCAAGTCGAGATCAGACATCTTCTCCCAGCCTCGAAACCGAACGTTCTCATCCACAGCTTCTCAGCTCTTCTCTCAAACATCTGCAAACATGGTTGTCAACAATATCAAGAAGTATGTCTGCCCCTCTTCCCTCCATTATTAATGTTGTTGTGCCCCTCGTTTTCAGCTCGACATGATTTCCCTTTCCTCCCCCCTCCCCCATCACCATCACCGGCATTCATATAAAACCAATAGATGGTATATGATAGAGCATAGAGCTAACACACACCAGCCGCGAGGAGTACAACAAGGCCATCGCCGGACCCAAGCTCGTTCTCATCGACTGCTTCGCCACCTGGTGCGGACCATGCAAGGCCATCAGCCCCAAGGTCGACTCCCTCAGCGAGGAGTACGGCTCTGAGGTTGATTTCTACAAGGTCGATGTCGACGATTGCCCAGAAATTGCCCAGGAACTCGGTGTCCGATCCATGCCCACCTTCGTCTTCTTCAAGGGCGGAGAGAGACTCGAGGATGTTGTCGGCGCCACTGCCCAACCTATCATTCTTGCCCTCAACAAGCACAAATAGACAATGACCTGACCCCGTCCGACGTGTCCCAAACAAGCATATTGCGGTTGTGTTGTGCTGTGTGTTCTTGACTGTACTTTAACTCATTTGTTTCTCTGATCAAGGCTTCTTCAATTAGAGAGAAACGTTCCCAAGGAAGAACAGAAATCATCGTTGTGTTGTATCATTGAAGTATTCGATTCTTCTTCTATCGTAGTATCCAAATGGGTAACTATATGCATCATCACATCACCAAAATAAAAAACAAAACAAAACAAAAAACAAAAAACGAAAAAAACAAAAGGTATCGTTGACGTTATGTGTTCATGAGCGGAAGATCAATGCGTATCTCCCGTAAAAATGGACGCCAGTAGAATAATGCAAAAATTTCCAACCATACTCCGAGATATCCCGCTCTGATGCTGTCCAGTCCGCCCAAAAACTCCATTGCTCAATCCAAAAGACACGAGCCTAAAATGCATTCTGTGCCTCAGACCACGCTGAGGTCACCGACGTAATCAGGGCATAATCAAGATACCCAGAAATCACCACCAAGCCAAGACCTTTAAGTCATTAAGCCCGTAAAGGAAGAAAGGTGAAAGAAAGAAGACAGAAGCCTGTTAGCTATCATCTTCGAATTCGCTGTCGCTTTCAGCGGCGGCAGATAGTTCTTCGTTCGAGCTCGAGGTCTCCGCGACATCATCTGCATGATCCAAGGTTACAGATGAAGACTCTCGTTCAGTTTGTCTCTGAGCTGCTGCTCTTCCTTCGCTGGAGAAAATATCCTCACCATCGCCAGAGTCAGTGTCTACCTGTTTAGCAACGACTTCCGGGTCCGCCCTCGGTCGGATAGAGGTAATATCGCTGTTTTCATCGTCATCTCTATCAGAGATACCAAGGGTTACATCTCCGAGGATCCGCCGTTTGCGGTCTCTGCCGCGCTGGCGTCGAATTTGTGGCCGGCTGCCGTCTGAGTCGTCATCATCGTCACTGTGGCCCGCCGACCGTTTGCTAGCCGTGCTGTTGCGTGAGGATGAGCGAGAAGACGAACCCAGCCAAGTTCGGGGTGACGGGCGGATTCCCCTGATCAATCGCCGCCGCGGCTTGGTGGGACTAGAGCCGAGTGCGGGTTCGGATGTAGGTGTGGATGTAGGTGCGGGTGCGGGTGCGGGTGCGGGTGCGGGTGCTGGTGCAGGCGGGGAGGGACTGGCAGAGTCCTGGGAGGACGACTGAGACGATGGGTTATCGTTCAGATCCCGGATATATGCAATGGCCCTGTTAAGTTCGGACTTGAAGACAGGAAACGCAGCCTTGAATGTTTCGTCATCAATGCCTTCGAGTGGGGAACCATCGTTAACATCGACCTCTTCCAGATCGGCTCGGTATGCCGCAAGAGCAGCTCTGACCGTGGCATGATCGTATCCTGGAAATGCTTCGGCAACAGTCTTGGGCCAGTGATCTTCGCCTCCTGTAAAGGCAGAATCATCCGTGGATGATCCTCCATCGCCGTCTTCGGCCTTCCCTTCGCTCGATGTCTCCTGACGCTCTGGCTTGTAACCAGATGGTGTCGAAAGCACCGGCAGCCCGTTATGCGGCCCATCAACACTCCGTACAGATGAATAGTGCCGGAAGTTCTAGCTGCCGTTAGTATCGTTGTCTCTGACGTCAACTGGGAGAATGACTCACGTGATAGGCTATGTGCACCGGCTTATCCTTCCCACCGGCCGAGTCGAGGGTGCTAGTGAAGGGAGTGATGCCTTGGTCGGAGTACACGTAGACATCCCTCTGGTAAGCCTGGCAGAAGGCTTGGATCTCCATCGAGCCTCCCCAGAACCCGGTCTCCCTCATGTTGGAGAGCAGCGTCTTGAATTTGGCCCACTGGCCATCCAGCGTTGCCTCCCGGCCATTGGATTTGGCCTGGGCAGCCGCTGCTCTCCTGGGAGTCCGTCTCTCCCCGCCAACGTCCGGCACAAACTTGACAAAGTATTCGGCGTTTGTGCGGACATGCTCGACCAGCCGAGCCCGGATTTCATCTTGACGGCCCATGTGGCCGAATATCTGGTCGGAGAGGGAGTAGAAAAGGCAATTGCCTTTTATATGCAAGTTCTATTAGCTATGGCACGGGAAAAGGGTGGTACGAAATCCAGGAACCAAGGAGTGACACTCACCATCTCCCACGGTTGGCACGGCGTAGAGCCGTCGCTCCTTCAGGCACTCTAGGTGCAGGTCTTTGCTGTCGACCATGGTTGCCTTCTTGGCCGGCTGCCCCGAGCCGTTGCCGGCCAATTGTGCCACTGACTTCCGGGGAGCCATGATAGGCACGATCCTGCTGTGGGGAGGTGAATCAGCCATGGTTGCAGTGATATCACTCGTAACTCAGTCATGGGAGATGGCGGTGACGGTTGAGGGAAGCTGGGTCCCTCAAACGACGTAATGCAAGAGCAGAATCGGGCCACAACCGCACTCTCACGGAGAGTGTGCACAAGAACGTATGGAGTATATGCAAGCCAGATGTTGGGGTAAAAGAAAGCAGAAAGAAACGACAATGAGACAGTGGAAAAAGAAAAGAGAAGGCTAAGCCAAGAGGAAGCCTGTGAATGGAAGGGCCCTGTCTCTCTGCTGGGCCTCCACCGGGGAAGACTTCGGCCTCCAGCGACGTCGCCGGAGAGGAAGACAGGCGAGGAGAGGCAGCAGCAGCGAGGATGCGTATACAAACTGGCTTATGGATATAAAGTCGGAGTTACATGGATAGGACGAGTTGGTTACATAAGGCAAAAAGGTGGTCATGTGATGATGGGGCTCTGCTGGAAGACGCTAGGCTTCTTTGGGAGGAAACACTTCGACAACACTGAAACACTTACAGGTCAACGGTTATATCCTGAAAGATAGATGTAGACACCGGCGGGGTGTCGAGGGGATGTTTCTACTTGGAGTAGAAAGCGGAGTGTTTGAGAGGTGAGCCGGTGTTAGGGTGTGAGCGAATGGGTGATGATAGAGTGAGGGAAGTATAGTTGTATGGTACTATATGGTAGTATGATACTATGATATGAAGACAGTGTGATGAGGAGGTGAGAAGGAAGTGAAGGATGAAGAGGAAGAGATTTATATCCTCCGTGTGAAGGCGTTCCTGCTGTCAGCTTGACATCACGATGACTGCTTTCTAATGGAATGGCAGTACCATGGGAAACTGCAAACCAGCATCGAGAGAGGTACCTCATGCCAGGCCTACGTTTTGCGGTAGCAGAAGTACTTCTCTCAGGGTCCAGGTTAAAGCTTGCCGGACTCAGGATCATTGAATCTGTCTGACATCATAGACTCGTGCACCTTTGAGCTGATGATGAGACGATAGCCAAAAGTCGGAGACAAGGCTTACGGCCTTGGGGAAACTCTTAGCACAAGCGACGAGGATTCGGAGCATCAAGTCGGATGATTCAGGACAAACAGCCTGTTCCGTTTCCTATATCTAGAAATATACGACTCATGATGTTTCTACCTGGAAGAAGGAGTTTTTGTTTGAGCCTCAATGTTTGGAACGGCTTCCCTAGGTACCAGGGTTTGGCCCGGCCCTTGAACCACTGATTGCTACTGCCATACGTCATAAATAAGATATGCAGTTCCAGTGTATCCGGATAATGCATGGACAAGGTGCTCAGTAGCCCTCGCAGAACGCCTGTGGAAAAACTCCGTACAGAGATCGTATACCCTATTTGCATACGGAGTATAGTGATGTTAATAGTCTTTAGCCCCTAAGTTGTCAAATAAATAAAGGTTATTAATAATAAATAGCTGAATAGACGTCATTAATCGGATAGTATATATATGTACAACAAAGGGCATGCTCGCTCTCATTTTTCTGCGCCATGCTTATCCAAAAGTTGTCCAATCTCTTTGTTCTGCAAAATCTCGTCATGTTCTTTCCTAAGCAGTTTCGGCTTATTCAGCTCAAAATAGAAGGCCCAGGTACTCTGTGCGTTAAGCTCAGTATTATCACGGCTGGACTTGAGTCCCACATGCTGGAGCTGCTGAGGAACAAGCGCATATCTCGTCAGTTTTTTCTCCTCCGCATATTCCTCGATCATAGTATCCGTTTGGCCATGGCCTCTTCCCCGGAGATAGTCAATAAGTGGATTGACCTGATCCCTTGGAAACACCATACCCTGCGTGCAGCATCCATACGGGTTAATCTCCACGACACCGTGGAGAGGGGACAGCGAGTATTTCCCCGTCATATATATAAGGGCGATAAAAGCGGGTACGCAAATTACGCATATGGCCAGTATTGTGGGAACATCTAGTGAAGCTCGACAGGGCCGAATCCTCCGGATGGCCGTTAGAAATGCGAATGCAAGCAGCATCCCAGCTGCGAAAACCAACGGCATATTTCTATATGCAAAATCCGACGACTCCCAGCCCAGAGCTGTTTCAGTATAGAAGAGTCGAAGGTAGATCCAAGGCCGTTTATCCGAGGGCATACGTTTGATGTCACTAAGGGCCTTCAGCGTCTTAGCCATCCAACCGTCCGCGATGATAATATCGTCTTCGAATACCACCGTGTATGGGGCGTTGGACTGCTGACAGGAAGATAGCGCATAGACATAGTCACTACAATAGAGATGGGTTAGTGAGGTATTTCCAAAATAATATATAGAAATATATTCTATATATAACAACGACGATGATAGTGAAATATCGTTTCGTTTCACTTACAATACCCCCTTTTCATAAAAGTTCCTGTCCGCCTCCAGCTTTTTCAAATGGTCAAGTTGGCTCTTAGAGACATTATACGTTTCCGCTACATCCGTGAGCCGACCTACCCATTTCTGACCCCAGCTTGGATGTTTCGTGGGGTCTGTATCAGCAAAGAGGATGTTGAGGTGGAGAGCCCGCCGTTCTCGGGGATCCAGTCCTGCAAGCAAAGACCCAATAGAGGGATCAAAGTAGTCGTCTGATTCCCGCCGGACGGTCACGAAGGCGACGCAGAATAGGGGATCGGTACCGCCCTTGATCGACGCAGGCGGGTTGGTGGGCGCATTATAACGGGAGATGAAGTGATGGGCTTCACGTTCCCTACTCAAGCTGTATTCCAAGTCGTAAACGCCGCCGCGGTCATTGAAGAATGCCGAGTGAGGATCTCGCCAGAAATGATATCGACCGTACTGGAATATGAGCAGCCACAGACACGCGGCTGCCAGGAGTGTCTTAACAGCAGTGAGCTTCAGCAGCTGAGGGACGAGACTCATCGATGCAACGCATCTCTCTATCCGCATTTTCTCAGATTTGAACAGGACAAATAGATGATTCGATGGACAATCGCCTCATCGCAAAGGGCGAGGCAGTCAAAAACCCAGCGTCAGCAATATTTTATCAAACAATGACCCGCATCCCTGCTCCAGCTCACTAACGACATTGCAAGGGCCCCCTTGCAGCAGTGGTATCGCGGCCATAGCATCCTTGAATTATTATCCGGTTATTCTTGGTCCTCCAAGTGGCTGGCTTTGCGCGTGGCGCAAGTCATGACCAAGAAAATGGAGCTATTGAATGCTCCATCCTTAGGCCTGGCCTGGAGCTATGCTTAAAATTTATTCTTGGACTTGTTGTTAGGACATTAGATAGAATATAGGGACGCTTAGGGGAGTTGGGAAGAGGCTTCCATACGGTGTCATGGCTCGCTACTCTCGAATAGCCAATCGAGCCGTCAATTTCATTCAGCCCCAAATCCAATTCCGTCCCTGGCGATATGATGCCGGTCTGTCAAGGCAACTGAGCTCAACTATTTCTCATTCCGAACAGTTATCGACAGGGTTTAGCGGCGAACTGACATCAGATACAACTGGGTTGACGGTGCAGAGTCGCTTGAATGTTACGCACCTGGCGGCTATCATCCTGTTATGATTGACGACATTCTCCACGATAGATATCGTATCGTGGATAAGCTGGGATTCGGCGGATATTCGACCGTCTGGCTTGCCCAGGATATTCGCTTGGGACGATATGTCGCTGTAAAAGTTGGCATCTCATCGGAGTCGAAGTCGCTTCTGCATGAAATAAAGAGTCTCCGCACACTCTTTACACCGCTATCTTCACCTACATCGAAGCAGCAGCATCCAGGATGCAATTCATTCCCTTACATCTTAGATGAATTCGAGGTACATGGCCCCAACGGGACCCATGTATGCTATACCAGCACCCCAGCGCGATGTAATCTCCGCGAGGTCTCGTTTAATCGCATGTTTCCTCTCGAGGTTGCGCGGGCTCTATCAGGCGGACTTGCCATTGCTCTTGCATATATACATTCGCAAGGCTATGTTCACGGAGGTTGGTCACTGAAATGAGATGTTCCATATTTCAGCTCGCACCCAGCTAATGCCCCAGACTGTCCCTTTGCATTTATTTAGATATCCACCTTCAAAATGTCTTATTGAAACTCCCATCAGGCTTTGATCAGCTTTCAATTGACCAGTTACGGGAAAAATATGGCAAGCCTGAGGCTATCACTGTTTCTCGGCGAGATGGGAAACCACTGCCCCCCAACGTTCCACCAAAGGCAGTCCTCCCACTATACCTTGGGAAAAGGGCTGAAGAATTCACGTTATCCGATGTACGTGTCCTTCTTAGTGATTTTGGCGAAACATTCGCACCAGCCTCAGACGTGCGTCGTGGAAAGGACTGTAACACGCCGCTTGCTTTCCAGGCTCCAGAAGCTCGATTCGAACCGCAGACGGCACTCTCGTACCCCTCTGATATCTGGAGTCTGGCTACGGCGATATGGGAGATAGTAGGCATGAAGGCCATTTTTAGCACAGATTGGGTGACCGAGGATGAGATGGTATCCCAGCATATTGATGAGCTAGGGCCCATGCCATCGAGCTGGTGGGAACGCTGGGAGGAACGAGACCAATTCTTTGATAAAGATGGGCGTCCATTAGAGGACCGGGACGTGTGGCCTTCGATTGATCAGGCGTTTGAGGACTGGGTGCAGAAATATCGACGAAAACGCAATGTAGGGGAGTTTAGTAAGGAGGAAGCCTCCGCTATCTTGGATCTGATGCGACGGATGTTGGCTTTCCGTCCAGAAGAGCGACCAACAGTTGAAGAGATCCTGAAATCAGAGTGGATGGTCAAGTGGGTGTTGCCTGGTTTTGACCGCAGTTTGATATCAAATGAGCCATTGTAGCGATATGTCAGTTTTTTTTTTTTAGCTGTACATTATGCTGTCTCTGCCCAGATAGAGATCAAGAATTGTTTGGGTGTTTTCCATTGTTTTATTCCCGGGTAAAACCATCTCGAGCGGAAAGTGCCTGGTTATCCTTATATGCTGTAAAACCGGCTACCACGTAAACAAAGAATCTCACTTCTCCGTTCAGCAGGAGTTGAGAAACACGGCGTGATGGAGGAAGTCCGAAGATATAGATAAATCCCCAGAAATGCGGCAAACTAGTGGATCTGGGCGTGGTTTATAAATAAACTGCTTTACCTCGGGCCTTTCTCCCCACAACCTTCTCCCCAGTTCACCTCCAGCACCGACGAGCTTTCTACACATCGATCATGGCGTCTACTAACAAGATTGTCGTTATTGGGTACGTTTGTCAAACCCCAGAATTTAGGCGCAATCCTTCAAGCTGCAATTTAGCCTCGGCTCTAACGCAGGCCTCGCAGGGGTGGAGTGATCGGATTGACGACGGCGTATCTGCTCTCCAAGGACAAGTCGAACGAGATCACGGTTGCTGCGAAGCATATGCCCGGTGATTATGACATTGAATACTGCTCGATGTGGGCTGGTGCCAATTTCCTCCCGTATGTGCAATGATGCCTCGAGATCCGAGTCCTGTTCCCTTTGTCAAGATGTTTGGTGTCGTGGGGGCAGACTCGATATATCCCTGTTCGTGCTACAGTTTTGCTAACCAGCGATGAATACTTTGTTTCTCCCTGGTATAGTGTAGGTGCAGAAGGCTCTGCACATGCACGGTGGGAGACAAACACCTGGCCTGTCCTTGAGGACCTGGCACAGAACCACCCGGAAGCCGGCATACATTTTCAAAGTACGGGGTAACTCATGCTGCGTTTCTATGGTCAGAATATACCGTCAAGCTGACCATTTACTTACTCTAATCTATAGAATCCGTCGTAATAAATCGAAAGAAGGATGCAGAATCTGCAACCGGGCTATGGTTCAAAGAGCTGCTCCGCCCAGATCCCTGGTATAAGGATATTGTTCCCGATGTACGGATCACTTATACCCAATGTCCAATGATTAAGAAGTGCTAAAACTCATCCCTAAAAGTTCAAACTCGCCGCCGATTGCGATCTGAAACCTGAAGTAGACAACGAGGCCTCCTTCACCTCCGTCTGCATGAACGCACCCGTCTACCTATCATGGCTTGTGTCTCAATGCTGCAAGAATGGCGTTGTATTCAAGCGTGCTACATTCAAACACATCTCGGAGGCAGCAACCGTACATGCTTCCGGCCAAAAGCCAGATCTCATCGTCAACTGCACCGGTCTGGGTTCTTTGAAGTTGGGCGGAGTTCAAGATAGTAAGATGTATCCCGCTCGTGGCCAGGTTGTGGTCGTGCGAAATGATCCAGGGGCTATGTATTCGCTTTCAGGCTGTGATGACGGGGACGACGAAGCTTGCTATATAATGATGAGAGCAGCCGGTACGTTTCCCGATCCATGAATATGCCGGCCCCAAAATTGACTTCATCTAGGAGGTGGAACCATTCTGGGCGGCTCCTACCAGATAAACAGCTGGGACAGCCAGCCAGAACCTAGCCTGGCAGTCCGGATCATGAAACGATGCATCGAGGTGTGTCCCCAGCTTGTTGGCAAGGACGAAAACGGTAAGCAACGTGGCATTGAAGGTCTCGATATCATTCGCCATGGCGTTGGACTACGACCTCTCAGACACGGCGGCACTAGAGTTGAGAAGGACAACATTGATGGCACCGCCGTCGTGCATAATTATGGCCATGGTGGGTTTGGATACCAGACCTCTTTTGGATGCTGTGCAGAAGCTGCTGCTTTGGCAAAGGAAGCGCTGGCAGAAATAAAGCCGAAAGCCCGGCTTTAAGGGTACCTTCCATCACTTATTCAATTTTATAGCTACATGTTTTAGGGATATTATAGCCTTTACATCAATTCAGATTACATCAGGAAGGGTGTCCAAGAACTACCCTCATAGGATAAGACATTCAATCCGTTTCTTGATTGTAACCCCTTCTTTCTCTGGCTTAGAAGCTAGCATTGTTAAATTCATATCGAAGGCTGTGATGAAAATGTGGCCGTTAATCTAGAGATATGAATCAATATCATCGTTGAAGTTGTCGTAGTGTCCATGCCAAGGCGCGGCTAAGATTGCGTTACTCCCTTGTCGTTGTCCAGGCAGCTTGGTTTCCTCCCTTCATACTTGCACCCATCGACCATCCTGCGCAACAGCTGCAACAGCTTCTCGGTGAGTGGCCATCTTCATTCCCGTTCCCTATCTCTACTTCGTAACCTGCGTTGCTGACCGGGAGAAGACAGACCCTGCCATCTACGCCATTGGCTACAGCCTCGTCAACCGCATCCCGTCGCCTGCTAGCTGCCTTGACGGACTTCTCTTGCGAAGGCCACGACGTTCCTCCTCTCACGACGCCTACGAGCTCTATATAACAGCTTTATTTACGGCTCACTTGGTCCGGCCGTATTGCACGACGCGAAACCCGGTTCCTTGCCTTACGACGAAGGGCCACCGCATACGTTTACGGAAGCTATAACGACAGCTCTGCTCTGTTTCCAGTTTGTCATATAAGCAAGATGGATCTCTCTAATGTATTGTGAGTAGCATGTCCGTCCCGTGGACTCGGGCTAGCTACACGTCTGCGTGGTTTAAAGAGGCCCTTGAAGCTAACATGTGTCTAACTCTAGCCGTTTGGTCAACTTGGGGGTGGGTGTTGTGATGATCTTGGGTGGTATCAGTCAATTCTTCTCTGGCCCGTTGTTGTATGTTCTCCTGTATCTATCCCGCCGGTCGTATGGCAGCAGCTAACCAGCATCGTTTTAGCCGAAACATCATCGTCGGAGTCTATGTCATCCTCTTCGGTTTAGGTATGTCATTTTATCTCTTTGGACCGCCTTCTTTATAGCTATGGATGTACTAACCTTTTCTCAACAGCAACTGCTGGTATGGAACTGATACCGAATGTTCCACCATACCTGACCAGACATGCGTCCTTTATGTTCTCCTTCATCGGACGAGGAATCTGTAAGTCAACAGTATATCTATCTATGCAAAGAAGTCTCTAACCGTTCTATGCTATAGTCTACATCTTCGTCGGCTGTGTCATCCTCGAGCACCACGTGTTGCGCATCATTGCCGGTTCGCTCATTGGCGTCGTCGGTCTCGGATACTGCGTGCTCGAGTACGTTCCATCGATAGAACCACCAGCCAGCATGCGGGAGGACGGCGGTGACCCAGGCTGGGGCGCTGAGCAGGTCTAAACGCTTGACCCATACAAACTCCATCCAACATCTACCTTCTATCACTACATCACCCACTCCACTTCCATCACCACATCACTGTTTGATTCTAATACCTGTTTAACCCTGATGTACCCCTTTTTTCTTACCATGTACCCCTGCAACGCGCACACGAGATAGCTTCTACTACTTACCCATATTTTCCGGCTCTTTTAACAACGACAACGACAACAACCTGGATATACAACTTGCTCTTAGCTGTACTCTAACTGCCATGGACACCTTCCGTGCTCCCTGTCCTTGCTTATCTCCTTGCATACCTCCTTGCTTACCTCCTTGCTTCCCCCTTTTTCTTCTCTCGTAACCTTCCTGTAAGCTGGATGCGCGTCCTTCTTTCCCCGTGACTAGGATAACCTCACGTGCCCAACGCCCAAATAGGCATCAACCAATAGAAACACACGGAGTAATGCTTACACATCCACCCTGACCAATCAGCGACGTCCTAGATGCTATTACCCATGCCAAGATCCTAAAAAGGCAAAGCGCGCGGGTCTACAAAGTGGGGCTGATGAGGTTAATTTGTTATCAGCAAAACGAAAATCTGATTACATTTATAGATGGGATGATAGAATAGCGACGGGGGGAGAAGAAGAACAAAAGAAGTAAAGAGGATGGGGGAGAGGAGAAGGAGACGTGGGGGCAGTCAGGGATACAGGCAGGATCAGGGAAGGTCGCGGTTCAGTTGGAAATGGCGGATGGCGGACGGCGTACTGGGTACATAGATGATCAAGATAAGATAATGGGCAGGCGCGCACGGGATATCAGATTTCCTTTTTGCTCGCCTCGACGAGAAGAAAAGGGAAAAGGAGAAAAAGAAAACATCGGCCGGCCAAGGATCGAGCATCAACGCACTGCAGCAGATCATCCAAGGTCGCCCTCAACGGCCATCTCGTCTCCCTCCTCCTGGTCGAGAAAAGTGCGAAAGGCAGATCCTGGGCCCATGGGGCGCTGATGGGATCAGATAACGAAGTACCTGGTACATCGGATTCTAGTAGCCTAGTTTTTATCCTCCGCCCTCCTGGCCAATAGTGAGTGAAGTAATTCGCTTGTCGTATCATCCCCATCTCGCTCTCACGCTCCCTCTTGCTCGTTTGTCCAAGGTCTTTTCCTGTTTCATCTCTACTGGGCGGCCTTTTTGTGATATTGAATACCTATCTCGTCGAGTTCACCTGCAGTCGCGGAGTCCCCTGTGCTGACCATCAGTCCTGTCGCGCCGTAGCTGAGAACTAGCAAAACACGAGCTGATATCCGGCTGAAGCCAACCACAGCGCGATCAAGGACATCAACCTCCATCCTATTCTCACGAAGCTATTGGTGCTTAGCCGTCACAGCTGGTGCCTGCTCGTCACCTCAACATCTACTAGTGGCAAACCATCTTGTATCAAACGAACCAACTGCTCCCGTCGCAAACAAAGCTCCCGCCTCATCTTCGCCGACGGCTGCCTTAGCCTTTGACTCGACACTGCCCGTGGACCATCGGATCCTTTTCTCTCTCTCTCCTCCAAAGTTTGCTCCTTCGCCTTCGTTGCGCATAAGCCGGGGAAAACACAAAGAATATCCACTACAGCACTGCAGATGCTCGCTCTCCGATCCTCATCAGACACCGTACGCGGATTCACAGCTTCAAAACGCGATATGATACGCCAACCGTCAGCGGAGGACTTGGATGCTGCACACCAGCTGGTATCTTCGGCGCGCGGCGTAGCAGATTTCCGACCTGATAACTTTGATAGCAGCAGGTCGACAGACGGAGATAAGGCGAGCACCGCTACAGCCGCCATGGATGAGTCGACGGACGGATATACTCCTTCGAGGGAACAGAACCAGGCTGAACAGCAACAAGGTCAGCCCTCGGAGCAGAACTCGGGTCCAGAGAGCTCGAGTCGCTCGAGAACCTCGCCCAAGGCCTCACGGAATGCGGAGCTATTTCTCGGCCATCAGTGTGTGTAAGTAGTTGTACTTGGTATCTTGTTATTGTCTACATCTATGCTAACATCCCTCTCTGAAGGAACTGCGGAACAAAACGAACACCCTTGTGGCGCAGATCACCGTCTGGATCTACTATATGTAACGCCTGCGGTCTATACCTTAAAGCCAGAAACACCGACAGACCTACAAATCGGATTCGTGATTCTGGAGCAGCAAACGGGGCCAGCGGCTACGCAAATGGTGCAGGATCAGACCCAAGAGCTTCTCCTGCTGCCAGCGACGCATCTGGGGCCCAACATGGGACTGCGTGCGGTTCTACTCCGGTAGGCACCTGTCCCGGAGGAGGGAGCTGTAACGGGACAGGCGGTGCTGTGGGATGTGATGGCTGTCCGGCATATAACAACCGAGTGTACAAGGCTGCTCCTCGAGCTCCTCCCGTCCGTCAGCCGCGGCCATCACCCCAGGCTTTCGCCCAGACGAGTGAAGAGCAGGCTCAGAGTGGACTTGATGCTATGGACAGCGCTGCATCTCCTCAGGATACCAGTGGGATGCCAAAGGCTTGTCAAAACTGCGGTACAACGCTCACTCCGCTCTGGAGGAGAGATGATCAGGGCAATACTATCTGTAATGCTTGTGGTAAGTTAAAACCCGATATCGTAACTATAAGATATCCTGCTAAAGCTATTTCTATTAGGTCTCTATTACAGACTCCACGGAAGCCATCGACCGGTTGCTATGAAAAAGACCGTCATCAAGAGACGAAAACGAGTTGTTCCAGCTCTCAGAGACCGTTCTCCAGGAGCTGCATCGTCCGACCATTCTTCCGCATCTCCTGAACTACACGCCGCCAGTCTGTCGACTACAAATACCGACAACAATGTATACGCCCACTCTGACCATGGAGCAGCCTACGGCGCAGCTCCGTATCCTCACACTGCTCCCCCTCCCGTTGATTTCACGGGCTACTACAGCAAACCAACAACCACTCTCCCACCATCATCCTCACTTCACGCCAACGACCACCGAAGCCCGCCTGCCGAACTCGCCCAAACAGCCTCAGGCCTAAACTCCTTGATAAACCGCTCCCCGAACCCCAAGAAACGAACCCATTCTGAAAGTACGACTGCCGAAGCTGCGCCACCAGCCACACGCGTACACTCCGACATTCCAGCCTCAGCTCATCTCCCCCCCATAAACCCAGCAGGTGCTCGCGCTCTATCAAACTCAGGACGCCTGAGTTCGATATCTTCCCTACTCAACCATACAGACGGTGGCTTTACCGAATCCCACGTCGACCCTGCTCTTGGCTCGAACACACCTTCGAGACCTCAAGCACAGCCTCAAGCGGGCGCTCGCTCTTATTCTCCGAATCCAGCAAACCCTCCGACTACGCAAGCACACGGTAACCATGCCCTTCCGCCGCCGCCTCTTCCAGCGGCAGGTGAAGAGAACATGAAGGCCGCGCGAAGGGCTCAGCTACAGCGTGAAGCGGAGAATATGCGCGAAGCATTACGTGCGAAGGAGAGAGAACTTGCTTCCTTGAAGTAAACAGTAAACTTTCCCATTTAACGAAGATTAGTCAACCATATCATATGGCTTATACGGCTTCTCTACTCATTTCCAACTACCAACTACTCAGTCAACTAGCTGGTGGAATCCCTTCCTATCAATTTGTTTCTCTTTTCCTTTCTTATACTTAATCTACCCTATGATACATGACTTTGCTTCCCTGCTAGGTGTTAGGTCGGTGTGAACTCTATGATATGATATTCGGACTAGGTGGCCGGTTGGTGGACTAATATTTCTCTCCCTCTCTCTCTCTCTTCTTTCATTTCTCCTTTTCTTACGTTTAACATGACGAACAGTCGAGGTTGATAAATCACCCAACTCACTGCATCTTAAGTTCAATACTCGCTCCTCTTTATAAGCCATGATTTAATCAATGAGTATTTTTAGTTTTTTTTTTATTCTTTTTATCTTAGATACATTGCGTCCAGATCAACATGATTTTCTCCACAATAAATGCCCTTTCGTAAAGTAAAGTAGGAGGTGACCTAGTAAATCCCGTTCAAACCCCATTCGTACCGGTATTCCCTCTTGTTGACAGACATACTGAAAGCAATCATACGACGGCAAGGATTGCAGGGAAGTCTTCGTTGTCCTCCCTAGGCGCAGAATGAAGAACTCGAGATTAGATCAAGTTCTCGCTCGAGCACACTCATTCCAAACACCCAGGAATCCACAGAAGACGACACCCTCCAACCAAACCACCCTTTGAAGCAGCTCCCTAAACCCCATACCATCCAATCCTGCCAAAGATGCCGCACATAGACTCGATGATAAACGCCTCTCCCTAACATTCGCTAGCAGACATACTCTTTGAAAGTGGTGACTTCGGCATACGAGCTAGCCTAACCTTCCTCTCAGGTTTGGACGTACCTGCTCCAGCTAGATACTCGTACCGCGAAGGCACCCTCCAATGAACCTTCAGCCATCCATTAACGGGCAGCCAAGTCTCCGAGTAGTACGACTCCGAGTCCGTAGGGTCGAGAATTGGTCGTTCCTGAGCCCACTTGACGATGTCGTGGACCCAACATCCGTGCTCGGTGTAGAATTGGTGTACGTTCCCTGTGATAGCTTTGATGAGGCGGTGGCCACTGTACGATGAGATATCCCTGAGAGATCCGGTGTAGAGGACAGGGTCGACGAATTTCAGTGCTTGACGTACAGCCACGGCTCGTGAAGATACATCATAGTGCCAGGGTTTGGGACCACACATGAGGGCGAAGAGTGATACCTCGGGAGGAGTACAGCTGCGGTATACAATTGCATCGCCGAAAAAGTTGAAGTGATGGATCTGAGGGTAGTACTCGGTCAGGTAATCTCTCCAGCGTAGCTCGTCGTGCGCAATATCGGAGATTTCCCTGTCTGACGGGTTGCTGTTGGTTTCCCAGTCGTCGGCACCAGCACCGGCGCCGGCTTCGTCATCTTCCTCTTGTGTCGACTGTTGATCGACGAATTCTGGGAAGGATGTATCGGCAGCTTCAGTGGCAGGGTCTTCGAGCTGGTGTGTGATGGCAGTGGTGTCGTCGAGGTCGTGGGAAAGTTCATCTATAGCATGGCCGGCTGGCGTATTCGCGTCATGGGATTCTGGAAAGTGTTGTACATCGATCGTATCGACTTCATCAGTCAAAGCGTGCAAGTCCTTTTGTAAGGCGATTGATGTCTGGTCGTTAGGCTCTGCTGGAATAGCTTCAATCTCGCTAGCTGGCGCTTGACCTAAAAGAAGAGTCTGAATCGTAAGGGGGTTGCTCTGCTTGTCGATGGCAGTATACAACGTCGTTGACATGTCGACTGGATCAAGGCTGTGTCCAGAACCTGAATCCGCCAATACATCACCATTCCCAGAAGAAGAAGAAGAGGCTCCTTCTGATTCACATTGGCTGGCATCTTCCAAGTAATCACCAGGCAGTGGAGGCAAGCATTTGGTATCGAGCGTATCTCCAACCAAATGAGCCTCATCCACAGTGCGAGAGCCCCAAGCTTCCTCTAACCCATCTGAAGACCCATCATATGAGATCATTGAAGCTGCTCCGCGAGAACGTGGTGGCTTATTCTCCTTGCCGGTCACCTCATTGCGAACGATAAACACACCCAGTCCCTCGTTCCACTCAGCACAAAAACGATGACGGCGTGATGGGGGGTCACGGTAGGGCACTATGAAGGTTCCTTCATAGAGCTTCGAGTTGCTATCCGTATCCCACAAAACACCGTCGATGACATACCAGGGACCAGGGTCCGCGGCCGTGACAAGATAGAAGAAGGCAGCGGCATGGACACCAGATTCTCGCAACCGCGCAGGATGGCCGACTGTGCAGTGGCGAGCTGGGGGCAGGTCCTGGAGCGTATCCAGGGCCCGAGTTTCAAGAATTCCGAGGGCGAAGGGCTGCCAGTTTAAATACTTTTTGGGAGGCATGTTGACGGCACTTTTCAGGTAGAAAGAAACGAGTGAAATGGGGCCGAGTGAGCAAGTATTGTGATCAAAGAGGTTTCAGCAGTTACGAGGCTCAACCCGATAACAAGGAAGACGGCTTCTCCTGATGATGAAGGGAGATATTGAAGGGAAAGCTGCTGGAAGGAGGGAGAGAATCGAAGGACAAAGACTAAACGATCACTCGGTTCGAGATAATGGCCATCAAGCAGGGGACAAGGGAGGCAGAAGCCAGCACAAGTAAAGAAACTGATGAAATTCAGGTGGCAGAAGAAAGAGCAAGAACACTCTTTAACGTGAAAAGAAGAAAATTGACGGCAGCTTTCACTATTTGTGTGAAAAACTTCAAGATGCCGGAAGGTGGTAGAAAGAAAGGAAAATGTCCCGTCCTGCTACGTGTGCCCTTTATCAGCAGGACTTAGGGCATGGCCGCGCAACGCAGTGATGGGAATGTCCTATATTCACCTTTGTGAACGATGACTGGCTCGGCGGGCTTGATATCTAGAGCCTGGTGGGTGAAGATAGGCAGGGTAAAGGGGTAAGAAACGGTGCTTGCCAACGGTAGATGCAGTAGAGTTAATGATTTAATGAGTGTAGTTACGTTTTATCCTGGTTTAGAGATACTCTTTTAGAGTAAGGGTATTTATTGGCTCTTTACCTATTCTCAGTATGAGAGCAGAGCATGCAATGAAAGACGTAGAGGCACATCAAGAGAGAGAGGGGGAATAAGAATATAAGGTATCTCATACTCATGGGTATATATGAAAGCAAAGAAACATGAAGGCAACCTTCTAGCCTGGTAGCCTAGAACTAAAGAGATAATGATCTTTAGGGGTATTTGTTACATCATTCTAGTCAAATATGTTAGCCTTGCAATGTTCAAGACCAAGGGACTTCTAACTTGATACACATGGGATATAAGGTAGACTAACCTTCACTTTCCAGCCAGGTTTTTGCTCTCTTACATAATTGTAAAAAGACCATGGGCAAAGCTGATAACCTCGTTGCTCTCAAGATGTGGCATGACCCATTCCGCAAACTCCCTACACGCCGGATCGCGTGTGGCATAGTAGTCTCTATCCTCGATGGTTCTGAACGTAACGATAAACACATGTTTAATTCTGGAAGGCTTCATCGTTTTCAAGGCAAGCCTTTAGCATCGTATGACCCAGCGGTAAGTTATTTACCCTCACCTGGTTAGGACCCATATGGCTTCCAGTCCCGCCGGTGATTGAGACGATATAGGGCTGCCGTTCTACGGGCTCTTGACATTGGTATTTAAGAGCATTCATGCGAGAGATGGTCTTGAGACATGGCTTAGTTATGCTCCATCTGTATAGCTTCAAGGGACTCACTTCTCTGACAAGAGTCACGCTGGTCTCGCGCTTAAACATCAACATGGATATATAAATGGCGGGCATGTTGTATACTCCTATTCCTAGGATGCCTCGAGAATGGTATCAGGACAAGTCAGTTCACCAGTAACAGTAAACAGATGCTCAGACTGTCTATTAAACAGCTCCTGTCTAATATCCAGCTGTAAACTTGACGTAAACTTGATGTAAACTTGATGTAAACTTGATGTAAACAACTTTTGCTGTCTTTTTTTCATGCAGGAACGATGATATCACATGACCATGACTAAGCTCGGCGTTAAGTGATTAGCCGTAACGCCGACTTAGTAAGCAGGAAAGACTGCGGGGACGCGAAGTTGCATCGAAAGACGAGAAAAACAGAGAGTGACCACCAGCATCAGGAAGCCCAAGGAAGCCCACGGAAGGCCAATTGACCCTTGTATCTGTACCGGCAGCGCCCTCGAGTATCCGGCAGCCCCTCCCATGCTTCGTCTTCGCGCCTGCATAAGAACCCTCGACGCCCTTACGTCAAGATCGACCCTCCACGGTAGCCGACCTTCGATCTATAGCCCATTCACCCAGATCCTGCACGACACCTGCGCTAGACGGACAATGGCCACCGCGATGGGCAAGCGCCTTGATGGCAAGACGATCTTGGTGACGGGCGCATCCTCGGGTATCGGCAAGGCCACTGCGTTGGAATTTGCCCGCACTTCGCCAAAGAACTTGAAACTCATCCTGACCGCACGGAGGTTCGATGCGCTGAAGCAGGTTGCCGAAGAGATCAAGGCGGAGGTTGGCGAGGGCGTCAAGGTGCTTCCCATCCAGTTGGACGTTAGTAAGAAGGAGAATATCGATAAGTTTATCGCCGAGCTGCCGGAAGAGTTCAAGGAAATTGATATCTTGGTCAACAATGCGTACGGTCCCCCTCGCCCCCAGCTCAACTTTCTATTTTTATCAAATTGTGTTGACGGTTTGATTGGGTGATTGAAGCGGACTCGTCAGAGGAGTGGCAAAGGCTCCCGAGATCGCTGCGGAAGATCTCGAGGTGATGTTCAATACCAATGTACATGGCTTGATCCACATGACTCAGGCTGTGCTACCTATCTTCCAAAAGAGGCCAGACGGCGGAAGAGGGGACATCATCAATCTCGGAAGCGTTGCGGGCAGAGAGGCATATCCCGGTGGAAGCATCTACTGTGCCACCAAGGCGGCAGTCCGAAGCTTCACCGATGCTCTCCGAAAGGAACTTATCGCAACCCGCATCAGGGTGATCGAGATTGATCCCGGTCAGGTAGAAACGGTAAGCAGTCGCCATTCCTTCCTCCATCAGCGACTGAACACGATACTAATGCGGGATCTTCCCAGGAGTTTTCCGTCGTTCGATTCTATGGAGACAAAGCCAAGGCCGACGCAGTTTATGCGTAAGTTCCATTCCTCGTCCTCCACGGCTGCCAATTGATAGATGACTCAGGCTAATTGAAAATGGCGGGTATAGTGGCTGTGACCCTCTCACGGCAGAGGACATTGCGGAAGTTATCGTGTTCACGGCCGGACGACCAGAGAACGTCGTTATCGCAGATACGTTGATCTACCCCCAGCATCAAGTAAGTGCTACCCAATAGCCAGCCCGATACTCCGTATGCTCCCGCATATTTTCCGTTCCGGGCCATGCTAACGCTCATCTCAGGGCTCTCCCACGACCATGCACCGAAGATCGTGAAGTAGAAGAAAAAGAGAAAAGGCAAACGAGATGAATCTGGGACATCGAGAATGGCCAGACCATGTATATAGAAAAGAAGCTGCCGCTGAGCTATATCATCAGCCGGATGTATATATCAACAGCCCCTTAATCCGCCAAGCTCAGCTTTTTTTATCCTTTTTATCTTTTTTATCCACCTTGGAGAATAAAAAAGAACTTCACGTGACGATGTTGACTTTTTGATGGCTGGATATCACCCGAAGCTCCACGCCGACTGCCCAATAACCAGGCATGAGGGCATGGAAAAGGCGATGACAAGCATATGTGACTGTCAGTTAAGCAAGTACTTAAAGCCTAGCGACAGCCACTATCGCGGGGGTTCGATGCAATCACAGTAGGACACGGAGTTGAATGATCTCCGACAGCAGATATCGATCTTGACCAGCTCCCCCAACCAGCGTGAAATAGTAGATGCGATACGGATCTACGGCGAGCAATGTTCATCTCAAGCCAGACTTACATAGGTCAATCTACTTGCCTGGTGTGATTTACGTTGCATAAGTAAAGGCATACCCGCATATCCACGCGCATGATGCACATATCACACCTCAGCTAACAGACAAGGGGTGCGTTTTAACGTTGATACTCGAAACAGTGGTGAAAACCGCAAGCAAGAAGGTTCCGCGGCAAGGTAGGGAGGGAGATCCGCTTCGTCAGGTATTGCCTGCATCCGCATGGCAGCGACTGGCCTGCTGGGAGTCGAGTCGACGTGAAATATGGAGCGGCAAGCCGGTGGACAGGGAGATGGGTAGTACGGCGACATGGCCTATATACCGCGTGCGGCTGCCCTTGTCTGCAAGATAGCATGGGATGGCCGGTGGCGAGTGAAACCCTGACAGGGCTGATCTGCTTTACCAGTCTGCCATCGAGAGAGTACGATGTTGCTGTCGATGTATGTTGTATGTTGTGTTGTATGTGTATGTGTATGTGTATGTGTATGTTGTATGCAGAACTAGATAGACGAGCCGGCACATCAGGCAGATCTAGTGCAACATGGCGCTGTCATCACGGTGAATGCGTCTGATGCGCCGTGATAGCTGCAATCTCCGCTCCTCTCTGGATGGTGATAGCTGCTAGGTTAGAGCTAGCGACTGGACGCTGCTTCGCTGCCGGAGGTTTACGCTTGGGATGGCGCCGCCCTTCCAGCCCCCTTTTTCTCCTATCCTGAGTCTCTGCCCACGCTCGCAGCGTCGCGACTCCACTGGCTCTCTCTCTGTATACGGGATGCGCCGAGGCAGATCTGGTAGTCACTAGAGTCGCGGTAGAGAGAGAATATCAGTAGAGCATTGTAGAGTAGAGAGAGTAGAGTATCCGTATCAGTAGAGAGTATCGTAGAGTATCGTAGAGAGAGACTTCGTAGTATCGTAGAGTAGAGAGAGACTTGGTAGAGTAGGTAGAGGTGCTTAGTGTAGAGAGTAGTGTGGTAGCGTCCGAACCCTTTTCCCTTTTCCTTCCAACCCCCTCTCGCTGCTTGTTCTTGAACCGTTGAACTCTGCATAATTACTTCTTCCTGCTGAAATCCCGACCGACGCAGAGCAATATCAGCAGCGGTTTCTTTTTCCCCGGCCGTGACATCTCCATCTCATCTATATCCCTTCTCCCTCGACCGCCAGTCGGGAAAACGTCCAGACCTCACGAATCTCCCATACCGCTCGCGGATACTCTCACATCATGGCCTCACGAGTCAGTCCTCCCGGTCCACGGTGTCCTGTCTCTGCTTGTGGCTGCTAACCGCCTCCTATTATTGCTCTACAGTATCTTCGAGAATACAAGCTGGTCGTCGTCGGTGGAGGTGGTGTCGGTAAATCGTGCTTGACCATCCAATTGATCCAGAGCCATTTCGTCGACGAATACGATCCTACAATTGAAGGTGCTTTATCCTCCCCCTGCTGTCGCGTAAATCATCGTACAGAAAGACAAAGGCTCATCCGGAGACAGACTCATACAGAAAGCAGTGCGTTATCGACGATGAGGTCGCCCTGCTCGACGTGCTCGATACCGCCGGCCAGGAAGAGTACTCTGCGATGAGAGAACAGTACATGCGAACCGGAGAAGGTTTCCTACTCGTCTACTCGATCACATCCAGACAGTCGTTCGAAGAAATCGTCACCTTCCAGCAACAGATACTCAGAGTAAAGGACAAGGACTACTTCCCCATCATCCTCGTCGGCAACAAATGCGATTTGGAGAAGGAGCGAGAAGTATCACAGGAGGGTATGAGAATCTCGTTTTCCCACGATGAATATCTACGATCGAGCAGGTGAAGTGGACATTTTTTGCAATACTAACAAATTCCTCGATAGATGGCGAAAAGTTGGCACGAAGCTTCGGGTGCAAATTCATCGAGACATCCGCCAAATCACGCATCAACGTCGACAACGCCTTTTACGATATCGTCAGGGAGATCCGCCGATACAACAAAGAGATGTCGTCTTACTCTTCTGGCGGTGGCGGTTTCGGATCCAGAGGTCCAGAAGGGAAGATGGACATGGACGACCAAGGCGAACAAGGCGGATGCTGCGCCAAGTGCATTATCATGTAAAGCGAAACAAAGAGTCAAAGGGAGGGAGATCGATAAGGTGACCGCGCACAAAGGGTACCAGAGGGAAGGCTGCAAAAATTGGGTGTATGATTAAAAAAAGAGAGAGAGAGAAAAAACCAAAAGACAAACACAGGAAACAGGTCAACGAGTGCGAAAACAATATACCGGATGATAACAATCAGATAATAAGGGAAAGACAGGCCCGGCTCAGGCGTCTCACATATCGTCTTTATTACTTTTTTTACCACTGAAACGCTCGCTTTCTCAACCCCCCCGGATCTGCCCAGAACTGCACTTACACCGAATCAACCCTATCCTCGACCTTTCAGCAAAGCTACAACTTGACCATCTGATGATTTATTGTATCTGGAACTTCATGGTGTCGATATATACTCTTTATTGGTTTTTTTCCCGTTCTATTTCTATTATTTCTGCTATTTCTTTTATTCCCATTTCTTGTTTACTTTTTTTTTTATTATTTAACCATTTACCCCAATTCCCGCTCTCTACCTCTGTGTTTCTCGACATCGGCCTCGTTATATTGTTTTTTTGGGGTCACTGCAAAACTTCTCTTATCATGCTGCGTTCCATACCACATACACCTCTCCTGTTAGTATCATTGGCTGTTATTTTCTAAGTCTATTTCCATATTTCATTTTCTTTTTTCCATTAATACCTCCTCATCTCGATTATCTTGGTATCGTGGTGAGAACGAGATGCATATGCACCTCACCCTCTACCTACTTAACAAATGAGTCTGGAAGATATCATCAAATTTCCTACCTATCTATCTCATTCTTGTCCAAATCTTGTGAGTCTCTTTTCCCCCTTTCCTTCTTTTTAATATTTTCACTGTGAGTATATTCTAACCCTTCTCTTTCCCTTGCTATTTTCCGTGCCTCGTGTTGCGTTTTGATCTATACTGATATCCCAATATACACTGTCTTTACATCGTTATGCTCTCCACACGTTGTTTTTGTACCTCTTGCCCCTGCCCTGTCTGATTGCTGCTCCCGAGTGCATGTCAAGTTGGATCTTCCTATTTTCGCCTATGTAAGTGACGCAGAACCTGAAGAGAGAAAGAGACGGCATGATATGCCTGAAGCATGAGTGGCGTAACTATACCATGTCCCGTTATTGCCTTGCCCTGGAAGATTCTGGTTCTTTCGTTCGTTGTTTGAATGCTTTCTTTGTTTTCCTACATAAAATAGCTCAATACGTATGTTTTTTTTTCTTACTATCTGCCTATCGCGGTCGTAGACTCGTAGTACGGCACATTCCATATCAGAGTTGAAAGGCTATATAGCACACAGGCTCGAGATTTACCGCTGCCTTGGTCTAGATGCCGTTCTATTTATCGAGCTGAGAGACCTGTAGCAGGTCGTTTGTTGCTTTAATAATTGACCATGACGCGGATAAGACGTTTATAATGCGGCAAGAAAAGCAGGCTACAGGAAATCATAATATCCTACACCCTCCTTGATGGATATTCAATTCCATAACCTAAATATGGAGAGGCCTGCTATATCGTTTCTTCCTCGACATCAGACGGATCATCCTCGTCTTCCCTCTGTACCCTTCTACCTTCAACATTCTTCTCAACTTCCGGCACCAGACTCTCCAGGAATTCTAGATCTGCACCCACCAGGGTGACGGTATTCCTCCTCTTCCCCCATCTCGGATAACTTCCAACCTTCACGCCCTTTGGCTCAACTCGCGCAGACAAGTCGGTCAAATATGCCGCAACCGAACTCTCAACCAGCGGTGTAGAAATCAATATCCTATGCAACCCTTTCCCTTCGGGGTCGAGTAGGCGAGGCAATAATATCGGTTTAAGACCGGCCAGTAGTCTCTTGAACAACGATGGGACTCCCGGTAGAGTGTAGACGTTGCCGTTTACCACGGTGATAGGCGCCCAGAGATCATCATCGATGAAGAGAGCCTGGTCTTCGAGAGGGAGGTTTTTATCCGTAGGGAGTTGGACCATGCGTTGTCGTGCAGTCAGGGCGTCGGAGGGCGTATCCCAATCGAAATTTGGGCCGGCCTGTTGAGGCTTGGACAGTTGGCGCATACGCTTCATGGCCTCTTCGTGAAGTACGAGAGGGAGGTTAAAGGCTCGAGCTATCGACTGGTAGGTTATATCGTCATGGCTGTCGGGCTGTTAGTCGCACCATTCTTATCCCAGGGCCAAAAAGCAGACAAGACTCACGTTGGCCCAATGCCTCCGCTGGTCACGACAAAGTCATATTTCTCGCTCATCCGTCGTACGGCTTCGATAATCTCGCTCTCCTCATCTGCGATAACTTCCACTCTCTTCAATTGTATGCCGAGGGAAAAGCAGTATTCCGCAAAGTGCGGGGAGTTCGTATCAACGGTCTAAGAAGAATCAAAAAGACTCATGTTAGTCGAGGGGAGCGTATCAAGAGTAGCTACGGGATAGATATCACACCTTACCCCCTAGCACTTCATCACCAATGATCAGACATGCTGCCGTGCATATCGTCTTCTTGCTGTTTTCCCGCGCCTTCGCGGACGAGGCTGATGATGTCATTGACGGCGGAACCTGCGCTGAAGGGGGAAACGCAGCGGCAGAGCTATGGGCGTAGTTAGGGAGAGGACGGCTTAGGTGTCGGATTAGCTGGCCTACGCGACTATACATGGGCGGCCAATTCGTGCGAGATGAGTATCCTGGGGATGAAGTTCTGGAGAAGGAGAAGGAAAGGAAGAAGAAATTATGTAGTTGACCAGTGGGGGCTAAAAGAAGTTGCTAACTACACCCCACATCACATCAACTTAACCCATCACTGTTATTTATTCACAGCTTCAAGCCATCGAGATACATATCAAACTCATAGGACTACGTGTTACTGGAGTAGTAGTTAATAATAGGATATCATGGTATGCAACATACCTCCCAACTGTCCCTAACAGAATAACTAACACGCCCGTCAGTCGGACTCACGCCTATATTCATTCTCCCCCGAGACGAAGGAGAAGCTCCGCAAATTCCGCCTGGGTACATCAAGAGCAAAAGACCCGCAGGCTATAATATGTACTCTCCTCTATCATCTCTACCGTCATTCATGCCTCGGGTCCTTTGAAATAAAAGCTATGGCGAGACACAAGTGAAGAGCTGCATACGCTCATGTAAGAACGGATGCTAACGCAAATTATAGATATGATAGATGCAAAGAGCCAGGAAATCCGGCCCTGCGATGATGAGGTTTACTCGAAGATGGAAGACCTTGCGGATGAGCTCCCTGACTCGTCGCCCCGTTTCATATTACTGAGCCACCCGCTGACGATGGTATTCACAGCTTCTGACCCCATTGCATAGACGTACCCTTGCTAACGGGTATCCCTAGTCATCTGGACGCCTTGCTGTGCCATACGTACTCCTATACTACCTGCCAGAAAACTGCAACCCATCACAGAGGATGATGTACGCCGGTGCGGTGGAACTAATGAGGAACAACGCGGAGGTCAACCGTGTGATAGAAGTTGAAAGCGAGACGGACGTGATAGAGATCGAGAAGAAGCTTCAAGGCGCATAGGCTTGGCTATTTGTTGGCTCTTTTAATTTATATCCATCGTTTCGTTATTCCTTGTCCTCTCACTCGTTTGAGCTGCTGCCGCGTAACGCTATACACGGCGACTTCGTTACTTACTCAGGTAAATACTCAGCCGTCAACTGAAATACTGATACAAAATTTTACCATGGACATATGACAGGGATGGGGTATTGCTAATGCTGAAGAGATCACTGAAGAATCCGTGCCCAGCGTCAGTTGGCCACCCTTATTCATCTCTACAGGTGCTATCAAGAAGTCCACTGCATATTATGAGACTTGTCTTAAACTCTGTACTGGTAACCATCACGATGAACATATCGCTACACCTCTACTCTCGCTGTCGCTATCTGTGGCGTTGATATCTACGCCGGGGAAACGTCATCAAGCAGTATAGTCCTGGTATACTAGGAGAATCTGCATTGAGGATGCAATATATATTATATTGCCAGTGCCCTGCCAGTACTACATCATCTAAAAGCATATCATGGGAACGATACGACTCGTCATCATGCAGACAGATCTTGCATGATGCGCGGCATGAACTGTTAAAACACTTTTTTACCGCAGTTCGATTTGCAATCCCATATTTAGGCCCATATCAAAGCCCTCATGACCTCTCATGGGGATGATTTAAGTTCCGTCGACCAGCCTCATCAGCAGCCAATGTACTCGCATAGATGTACGTACATCGACTGAGATGCATGGGGGTGTAGACCTGGCCGCCTTCACCTGGGTCTAGATATCAGTCGGATATTACCGAGGAGATGAGATTGCCACACAGGGGTGGAAGGTATCTGCCCTTGTCCATGTAAATCTCCATGTGAGAGCACTCCGTCATCACAGGTTTCATAGACAGGGATAGTCGAACAAGGGGGGGATTGACGGGAAAGGGCTAAATCAATATACCCGCGGCCAGTGGCTTGTCAAGATCTACCGTTCCAGAAAACTTCGCTCTGGCCGTCCAGGCCATCCCATGCGAGATGAAGGGCCCCTGTAAGCCACCCGTGACTGGGAACTATATGTCCGTATGGTTATTGGGATGAAACTCCGGTAGGCGATAAATCTGGTGTTCGGATTCATCGGGGATAAAATAGAACCACGGTTCTACCCCTTTCGGATGTCCGGTATAGAAGTGTCATCCATGGATAGGAAGAAAGGTATGTAAATGACGTCAACAGACAACCAGACATGAAGAATTTGGACCACGGTTGGTATAACAGGCAAATATGTCAGGTTTCCCCCTCGCTGGTGGTTTTCTCTTTCCTAAAATATGAACAGTAGGATGTAAAGTGAAGTAACTCAACCCTGACCATTTACAACACGTATACTCCAAATCTGTGATAAAAAAGATGGCCTCAAGCCATAGAAGTTCAGACGAAAAGCTAGGGACGGAGATGAAGACCGAGGAGAGTGATATCCAGACGCAGTTGGCGTTCATGTATTACCTGAGCCGCCAGAGATGTAGACTCCGGTCGTTTGCAGAGAGACACCAGGTAGAGGAGAGACACCAGGTAGAGGAGAGACAGACGGAGGAGAGACAGCAGGCTCCACGTCGACTGCGAACGAAGGTGTCACAGGCGAATGTGATGGACTCCCTTGCCAATACGTGCATGTCGCAGCCGGGAGAAGCGATAGCTGCAGCCATGCGCCCAGGTAACGGCGAGAATACAGCTGAGATTATCATCGCAACCGACGGCGCTGTCCCCAAGGAAACGGTCAAGCATGTCCGCGCCGTCTGGGGTATGCTGCGGGACATATCAGTATACGCACGCTCTATGTATCAGATAAGCAGCAACGACGCCCAGATCAAATATCTCATCAAGCTGCTCGAGCTGAAAGTTATCAGGTTCACCTTTCTGGAGATTCGGCGAAGAGTGAGAAGCCAGCTCGACCGTTTCAAGGCGCACCCCACGGACCAGCTATACATATATCATCCTATGCACAGGGTCAGGGCGTATGTGGCGTCTCTTGCAGAATTCATGCACGACGAGGATGACTGCGGGATGCAAGACGCCCCGGCGGACGACGAGAGATGGGACAAACTACGCATCGAGCTACGAGGAGCGACCTGTGCGATTGACAGTTTGTTCGCGTGCAAGTCAGACGGACTGTGGCCCCTGGAGGTCGACCTGGACCCGGGCCTCGAATCGTATCTGCTAAAGATCGCGGCCGTCATGACGGATATTGGGCACCTAACGCATTTTGCAGTCTTACGCCAGTTCCGGTCCAACTTTGACCAAGCACCGGTCGTCATCGGGCTGCCGGATCAGCAACGGGCAATCGAGAGCTTCCCGCCTTCCAGCGAGGAGTGGCTAGAGATTCTCCAACGCCACCTGGACCAGGGAAATCAAAATCCGGTCATCGGGCGCAAACTTGTGATGACGAGGGATACCGTTGAGGAAGACTGCGCCGCGGTATCAGAGTTCCCGGCCGTTGAAACGACGCCTGTACACTGCGAAGCAAAGCTGTTGGCGTACTTGTGTGAGCCTAGATGCACGACGGCTGCATACTCATTTCTTGGGGTATCTCGAATTCCATGCATGGGCTGTTCTCAATTCCTGGTCGCGGTCAACCAGGTGCTCGGCACACGGTTCGTGATGAATAGTCGTACCGACTTCTCCTTCCCATGGGCGTTCCCTCAGCACTGCCCGCAGCACGACAAGGTGATGAAGCGTGTCTATTCCAGGCTCCTCCCCTTCTGGGTGCCTTGGTACAGAGGCTTTGTGGCACCACCCGCTCCTCCCACGAAAACCGGTAGGATCGTTAAGAGGGGAGTGGCTGCCCAAGCGGAAAGACTGATCTCAAAGATATTCGGACGGAGAGACAGAGACAGGCTGCGAGACACCTCCTCATCGCCGTAATTAGTCGAGGGGCGGGAACGCACTATGTAAAAAATGAATAGCCCTCAACCCTATACTTTTTAGGGCCAGAATGGAGATGTTTAACCTGAAGCTTGATGCGGATATTATCCTTTGGCCAGTCCCTCCGCCATGGTATAGGTGTGCGTGTGGCATTGACCGATTGACAGTTAAACTTACCCTTGGACCCTCCCCAGAATGTTTTGAGCATAACGATACACACCCATGACACGACGATACCTCCCTTATATATATATAATATGAGAAGGAAACTTTTAGTTGCATCCTCCAGGGATAAAGAACAGGCAGATGAGGCCAGGGTGGATCGATCGATCGACATCCTTAAATATCGGCTCCGGCGAACGTTGGGGATGGTCGGCGATGGTGCGGAGCATTATTTTTTTTCACCTCGCCTGCACCGAGCACGCAACGCCCGTATGATGGGTATGATCGGCGAAGAAGGAGCTTGACCGTGATCACCGCGTACACCGCTACAGGCGTTGGAAGCTATGACGATATCGACATCAAAACAGAAACGGGAGTAAAAAAAGTGACGGGCTCGCTACCGGAGCCATGGTCGAGCACGATGAGATGAGGCTATCGTCATGCAGCAGCGGTTCCCGGCTCGACCTTCAAGGGTGGTCCCTGTGCGTGGTACCGCCTAGCGTAAGTTCCAGTGGGAAAGTCAGAACCCAGTGTAACCCGGCCCAGCGCCAGCACGATGGGTGGGTGGAGGCCGCTGGGGGGGACTAAGAGGACACCAGGGGCAGGAATGGGGGCAGGGATGGGAGCAGGGCAAGGCACTTGGGGGCGTCGTGAATTGCCGACGAGAAACACTCATAGGACGAGGGAGGAGAAGTAGCGGTCGGTCGGCTATTGAGCATTTAGCGGAAGGTGACGGGTCTATTCCTCGTCTCTGTGGCGTCTTTAGTGTATCTCTTCTCTACTCTTTAACTATCTTCCAGTAACTCCATACATATCTTGTTTTATATTGTTAGATAAGCATGAGGTCACGGGACAAGTTAAGGTTTAGTGGTAAGTTACGGAGCGTCCGAGCCCGGTCCCGGGGCCTCGGTTTACCCATCGCTCTTATAACATCCAGGCGGTTGATAAGAGCGCAGAGGAACAGGGAGCTGAGTCAGGAGAGCCAGGAGGGTGCCAGCGCATTGTGGAACGTGAGACTGCATGGATACAGACAGCGACAGTCGGTCGGTCGTGCGACTGGCAGGACCGACTCATGTGTGTGCGATGCAGCGGGAGACCAGCCTAAGCGCCATGATGTCGGTACTGGGTCCTTGGGACTTGTCCCGCGGCCTGGGTTTCAAGTTCCTTCTACTAGGTCGTGACGTTCCCCCATTTTTCCTTTTTCCTCTTCCTCTCCTTTCTTTTTCTTCTCTCTCGTCTTTCTCATCTCTGTATTCTCCGTCTCCTCCTCCTAGTGGCTGGAAACCCCATTATCCTAACGAGGCTAGATCGGGCACCCTCGCTCGCTGCTTTTAGTTCCCTGGCTGTGGTTCGCCGTGGCCCGTCGGTGGCTGAGTCAGACAGAAGTTTAAAGCGGCAGCCGTATCCATACCGGTGGGTATTACGGGTAACGGTATTACGGTAACGGGACGACCAAATTGCTGGATTTTTATATACCAAAGGCCAAAGTGAGGGTTCAACACGAGCAGACCAGATGTTAGTGTAGTGTTAGTGTCGTATGGCAATGTGTATGGCAGTGTGTATGAGAGTATGCGTATTGACAGTGTATGGAGGAATGCGCCAAGGGGTGCCAGAAGCGAGAGGCGAAACGGTGGAACCAGGGCTGCGGCCGCACCCAGGCTAGCGGGCGATGGGATGGGCGGACGGGGGGGGGACGGCGAGGATGGAGAAAGCCTCTCTCACCTTCACTTTCACCTTCTTCGCCCGACCTTTCTTCTGGTTTTTCCTCTCTCTTATCGTGCCTGGCCTGATCCTGGAGTCTTCCCTGTCTCTGCTCCTCTTCGGCCTCCCAGTCGGCACCAAGGGTCCCACACCGTCATCCACTCCCATCTCACTGTTTACTAGTTTAACCAACATCTTCGCCCTCGCTACGGCGCTTCTCATTCATCCGTTATTCACTCACACACACACCTTAGGAGGTACATCGTCAGCCCACCGCATACAGGGAACCCAGGAGCAAGTGAAAAAAAAAATAGAAGAAGAAAAGAAAGAGGCAGGAGAAGGGAAGAAAAAAGAAAAGCAAGACTGGAGCTGGTACATTTACGCATCTCAAGGGTGAATTTTCGACGCCTTCTCACCTTCACCTCTGCCCTCATCATCCCTCCCCGTTCCCAACACCACGGATTCGGGGCTTCCCATCGCTCAGCTCGCCGGTATTAAACCACGCTCGATACCCTCATTGGCTGCCGCAGGGTCTGCAACACCCATCGTCGTTGGGAATCCTGTGCGTTGGCCGTGGGACTTGCATCCTCACCTTCTCTACGAATTTCATACATTAATATCGTCGACATCCTGGCCTGCTCGCTCACCCAACCTCGTCTCCCATGTCTGACTCGAGGGATCCCGGGAAGCCGGGTGGTGATAAGGACAAGGAGGATACGTTCTCAAAGTACATCCAGCGCATGAAGACGGTGCTCAAGGGGCCTCGTTCGAACAGAGCCTCCATCTCCAGCATGGCTGACGCTGCTCCCGGTGAGCCCAGACGGTATGTCTCCTATATATTCCTAATATCTATATCTATATCTAATGCTGGTGATAGGCCATCAGCACAACTATCCGCCCGCCCAAGAGCTGCTCCAGCAGCCCCAGCTTCACCACCCGCCGACGCTGGCTCTCCGGCTCCCGTCGCTCACCAGTGGACCTCTATGCAGGAAGAGCGCGCCCGCGCCCTCTTCGCCAAATACGGCCTCACCCTCGAACCAGGCGAATGGATCACCGGCCCTGCTACCGGAATGACCTCGACCCCAGCTGGAATCACCTCCGCCCAGCCACCCCGCGAAGTTGAAAGAGTTGAGAAGCCGATTCGCATGCGCGTGCGTCGGAACTGTCACCGTTGTCTGGCTACTTTTGGCGCAGACAAGGTATGCGTCAAGTGCGAGCATACTAGATGCAAGAAGTGTTTCAGATACCCACCCTCAAAGTCTGAACATGCTTCAGCTCATGCATCCGGACACGGACACTCACACTCACACGGATCTGGACAGGGAAAGGAACGCAGCCAGAAGAAGATCGTTAGCGTTGCCGGTGGTGCTGGAGGGACTCGCGACCGTGATCGTGACCGAGAGCGAGAGCGTGAGCGTGAACGAGATGAAGGGAGAAAGACGACCTGCCCCGAGAAGATCATGTTGACTATTCCGAGCCGAACTGGCGGCCAGGACCTGGTGCATAAGCCTGTCCGTCAGCGAGTTCGACGAACTTGCCATATCTGCAATACTTTGTTTGAAGGGAACGCGACCGAGTGTCTGAACTGTAACCACATTCGGTGCAAGAAGTGCCCGAGAGACCCGTACGTGTTGCTCGTCCGATCATATACATATACGGTGCGATATACTAACCTGTGTAGTGCGAAACTGAACAAATATCCCGACGGTTACCCAGGCGATGCAGAGCCGCCGTTCGAACCGCAGGAACGGGTCTGGAGACGACCTCGTCGCCGCGTACGCTGGACATGTCATGAGTGTTCGTCCATGTTCACGGGTGGTGAAAAGATATGTCTAAAGTGCCAGCATGAACGGTGCAACGACTGTATTCGAGACCCGTACGTTCTTTTTCGATCTCTTTCGCTCTATCATGTCCTTCTAACGCGATATATATATATATATATATATATAGGCCCAAGAAGATCAAGCCCGAACCTGATCCGGAGATACTCAGACGTGTCGAAGAGAAGCTGGCGCTTATCGATGTATCTTCCTAGACACGACATCTACGCTGCCAACGACCTAATTCTATTCTGTTTTAAAACTCACTTATCCACCATCGACTACTCTTCTTGCACTTCTGACTTTCCTGCCTTGCCTTGCCATGCGTTGCCTAGCTAGCTATTCTATTTACTCCATGACTATTCACGACTTGACGGCACCGAGCACTGAGTAACTTTTTACTTCACCTTCACCTTCCTCCATAACCTCCATACATGTTCCCTGGCCTTCGCTTTTTTATTCACCCCAGCCTACGCTTCCACAAAGACTGATAAGAATGTTATGTGTATCGATATACCCCTCCTACCCATACCATTACGCACACTGAGATAGACAAGCAACCAAAACAAGGAACAGAATTTAATCTCCGTACCTTATCCTCCGTATATATCTTTTTTAGATACATGCATAGATGCATACGTATACTTATTGTAGTTGGGCAGGAACGAGGCTTCCATCCATCCGTTCATTCATTAAATTAAACACCCCCTCCACGGCCTGTTGTTGCACTGCGTCGCAAGTGAAGTGCATACATAACTCTCCTCCCCAGTCCAATCCCTGCCTTCATCCCACCCTTGCCCATATCCACGATGATATACTTACTTGCTTTTTGCCCCTCTCATGCACATCCTATCATGCCCTGTTCTGTCATGATAAAGGCATTTAATTGACGAACATGACTTGATCCATGTGCTCCGTCATAAATCAGCCAGTCAGGAACTGCAGAACAGGGACAACTGCAGAGTAGCTGGTAGCGCGTCCCGTGGACCAGCATCGCCAGATGGATGGATTCTCGCTTTCGCTTTCGCATTGGTTCGTCCTCGCTGGCCTTTGGGGAGGGAGATTGGGGTTTCGAAATGGAAGTTGTTTCCCTGCCCTGCCTTGCCATGTCATGATGCTCCTTCTACTCTCTCTAATAGGCTGACAGGCAGTTCTTATTTTTTTTTTCGTTTCTTTTTTTTTTCTCTTCAATCACCTCTTTACTTTGTGCCTGGTTAGCCTGGTCCGTTGGTTGGTCCGTTGGCTTAGTTCGTTAATTTAATGCGATCACTCATCTTGTGTGTAGCAGCCGCTCAACCACGGGAATACGTAATGAGATATGTCGGTGGCATGTCAGCGTGGTATGGCACGGTGGTAGAACTATCGCCGATAAAAGTAAATAACACGTGTATTTAACTCAAAAATATACTTAATTCAAAAGGTTAGTGAGCCTTGGATTCATGAGATGCTGGACGCATCAGGTTAACGCATGCAAAGACGGAGGATACTCTCGACCTTTTGACGCATGCACTCGCCTTGATGCGTACGTGCGAAACCTTTCCATCCTTGACCTGGCCATAATAAGCCCACACGTACGGAGTCGCTGCAGACGCACGAGTAATAGCGGCGCCAACATATATAGGCCACACGCCCTTTCCGGCGGAAGGGAAGCGACGTATAAAAAAAAAACGCACAATGCGCCGTACCTGTGCAGAATATTGAGATCCTTTCTTTGTTTGAGCACCTGCCAATGCATGAGGGGGAAAAATAAAATAAAAAGAAGGCGAGCAGGGGAATTAAAAGAAAATCATATTGGTCAGTTAAACCCCTACCCTTGTCTCCCGATATTCTGATAACAACCGGGATACTTGCTTTATACCTCACCTGGCCTGGTTGGAACCATCGAACCATTCTCCACGAACGAGCCGTTGGCTGCATCGTATCCCTGTCGTGAATCCCCTTCTGGGCCGACCATCTATCATCTGCCTACCATCCGTGGCGAGAGCAGGCAAGACAAGGCGGGTTCCGCTGTCTCGTTTCGTCCACGCAGTGTTCCAGGCAGACGGAACGGGTAGAATCTTCTCCCGTCGCGTTTTCTTCAGCGAACGAACCCTTCTCAGTCCCGTGAGCTCCCGCGGGTCCAGCCCATGGCCATGGGAATCCTCATGCCTTTGCCTCCTGCATCGTAGGGGATGGGATGATGGCGAATGCAAAAAATCACAACACATGGCCCTGTTCCTTCTTTTCGGTCGAGAGAGAAAGTCGCTCGTCTTTCTATCCTCTCGCCTCTGGGCGTCAAAGGGGGTATCAAATGGCAACCCCGGTATATATCGCAGCAATCCTTCCCAGATATAGAAATGTGCGCCGTGCTATGTATAGTAGCGAAGGCGGAGAGAAAGCCATGCAGAGTACGCCTGCTGCTCTTCTCAGGCCTCTCCCACACGAGGCAGTGGAACCGTGGCGTGGTAGTGTCCTCGGGATGCTGCTGGCTACCCTTGTGTCGGGAGTCTGGGGCTTTTTGCTTCTTGCTTCTTGATGCCCAAGGAGAAAAAGCTGGGAAAGCAAAGGGAGAAAAAGCACCAAAAAAGGAAGCTTTGGTGGCGTTTTGGTAATACGAGAAACGGTATCAACCACAGTACCAAAAACCGTTTCAGGTACAGATACAGGTACAGGTATGGTAATATCACGTGTGTGGCTTATTAAGCACTGCTTTGGGAAGTTTCGACGAACAATACGAAGTATGCCTTTTGATATCTCACGATGCAACTTCTGATGAGATCTCTCTTGCGATGTCACTCGATACTATATCGTATCAACATTATACTCTTAACATATATACCTAATATATACCTATAAATATCAGAGACAAGCCAAGAAAAGGATGAAGATAAGATAACAAGACGCCTGCCTCAGCTCAAAGGGTATATTTGAACCCTTCCAGGCCCTCAATCGGTTTTACGGCTGTGCCGCTATCTACCTGCTTGTTTCTTTTCCAGAAGATAAAAGACGTGCTCCCCACGGCTGCCATGATGAACAGCTGAAAGCCTGCCGTTACCCACAGACCGGGCACATACTTCGGCCCGTCTTGCTCTCTAAAGGTTGTGGACGCAATGATGCCGCCCAAAGCGCCAAATCCGATCTGCAGGGCACTTCCGACGGCTCGTTTTGACTGATATCGGATGTTGTTTGACTGGTACGCGAGAATAGCTGGAATGTTACCTTGACAGCCTGCAGCTCCCAGGAAGAAGCCAAAATAGCGCACATTGTTGTTCGGGTGGTACGCAGTTAACATCAGCCCCACGATGCAGACGACGCACTGCACGGCGATGACCGGTGCGCGCAACCGGTATCTGTCGGCCAGCCAGGAAAACCCAATTGCTACGATGCACGAAAATACGGTCGGAGGTGCTGTGAGGAGACTCGCGATGGCCGGAGAATATCCCATGGCCTTGAATGGTTGGTTAGCATGTGAGAAGGAATAATGTTTTGGGAGGGTCTATTCTTAACTTACCCGGATGATGGTTGGCGCGAAATACGAGAATGCATATCTATCACTAAATTAGCAGTCCGTTCCTTCGAATATATACGCTTTTTTTTAGGGATAACCCACGCTGGCACCGTGGTCGACAAAAACATCATGGAACTGTTACACATTTCGTCAGTATGCATATCTGGGTCAATGTCTGTGGGTTGAATTACAATATCCATAGTTTCCAGTCCGACAAATGCAGCTTCAGCTTAGCAAGTGTGAGAGGATCAGCGATAGAGTCGGCTCTATCTTTCTCGAGCCTATGTGAGATATACCTCGCTTCGTTTGCCGTGAGGAATCCGGTCTTCGCGGCTCTGTCCGGGAAATCGACGATTATGAAATACGACGCAATCGCAATGACTTGGGTCAAGGCTCCTTCAACAATCTATTCTGTGGTTAACTTCAATAAAGCGTCGGACGCTGGTGTTGCTGCTGACTTACAAATATCCATCTCCAGCCACGGTAGTTGGCGAGACCGTCCATTTGGATGAGACCAAATGATAAGATGCTCGAAAACCCGCCAACGAGGACGGAAATGAGGTAGAATATAGCCAACCTTCCGCGTTAGGGTTAGGAGTAATGGCCGTATCTCCATACATAATCCTAGGGTGGTGCATACCTGGTTTGAATCTCATATCTCACATACCAACAGGAAATGAGGTAAACGCATCCAGGAAACAATCCTGTGTGCTCTATGGTCAACCGATATGGTCTATCATTGTCCCTCTACCTCCTGGCTAAGCTTACCAGCCTCGAAAAGACCAAGCAAAAATCGGAACACCACCAAGGATGGATAATTGTGGATGAAACCCTGCAGAATGGGGTGGTCAGCTCCGTCTTATCTAAGGTTTAGAACCGAAGGGTACATACTGTTCCAAGCATGAACGTTCCCCAAGCGAAAGAAATACCAGCCAGCCAGGCGGCACTTCCAACTCTGCGAAGGAGTAAATTCGATGGAAGCTACTTTCACATGTAAGCATACGTTTGAGGTTACAGCCCTCGCTTGAAGAAAGTTCCTTATCACATACTTCGAATATGAAATATGGAACAAAGAAGACCAGCAAAGCGACAGAGTATCGTGACCCGATAAACAATTTCAATTCTTCGTTCAAACCGGCGATGCGAGCATTCGATATCTATTCTTCCACGTCAGCTTCCGCGTTGCCTCGGAAGAACGGAGAAAATGATTGGAAGTTAAGAGCGATATACATTTGTTCTGTCGATGAGGGCGATGGCATACAGAGCCCCGATAATTGGCAATAGTCGCCAATCAATTTTTTGAATCAACTTCTTCTCCCGATGCTCACAGTCTTCCAGGAAGTCGAGAGCGCCATTTTCTGTTTCCCCGTGCGTTACAAACCCGCCCTCCGATTTATGTGAGTCCAGTGGTTTGACGTCCATGCTGATTCTGCTTGCAGACTTTCGCAGTGATTTTTGTTTTATTTTCGAAGCCAGTCAGTCCCCTGGGAACGATGCCAGAGGCTATCTGGCTGATTTTAAACTGATCGAGCTGTGGGAGCGAGCCCTGTCGCTGCACCACCTACGACTCTGCTCCCAAGCTGCCATTTCCCCCTCCCTGTTACACCATGCATGGATTGCGGAATCCTAGTTGCTTTGGTCCGCCCCCTGTCATGGCATGCGGGCGAAGGTGCAGAGTACAGCTCTTCTAGGCAACCAAGCTCCGTCTAGCATACATGTAGAGAACCCACTAGCCGCGAGATACAGGAGCAGCAAAAGGGAGGAGAAGCGAACGCTTATGAGTGACATCTCGTGCCTGCGGGAGTCTCGAACTAAGGGATGCCTTCTGAAGAAGATCACCCATGCGTATATCCGTAGATTGGGCCAGTAATGGTCATGATTTACCGCCTCTCATATTACTAATTGCAAGGATTAGGCTGGAGGTAGGGGTTGCAACGACTCTGGACTGTCATTTTACTTGTTTATGAGATACCTTTCGGATGACTAACAAATCCTGCATCCGCTGAAGAATGTTTTTGTGTGTGCAGGATTTCGGCCGTATATAGCCAGCTCCTCGACTGCGTGAAACTAAGGACATATCCCTGGAAAAAAACTACAAAACATTTGTTGCAGCTTCTACGGACTCGCAAACCTGAGGCTCTCGTCTCGAGCTCTGATGTTTATCAAATATCAAATCATATCACCCGATAAGCGCGTGTTATCTACTTTTCCTCTGAATCTATCATGCTTCTCTATTGGACACAAGAAGATTAAGAGCTGGATTGTGTGTACGAGCAATAGCTGTACCATCAGCTTCTATGAATCAACGGTACAGAGCTGAAGGTGCCCCTTGCCGATGACTTAGACGAAGCTGCCAATCTGTATCTTATGGCGTCCGTCTCTACGGAGTACACATACGTCTAACCCTTGTAGGATGTTGGTCTCCCATAGGTGGTAGACACGACAGGGAATATAACTCATCGTCTTATTTCTTCTTTCTTCCTTCTTGCTTCCCTAGCTTCTTTATTTTAATGGGAACCAACTGGGCTAGTTCGTGCAGCAGGATCAAGAAGATAGTCGAAATTGCAACAGACAAGTGAGGGCCAAGTATCTCGCGACATATGTTGAGATATGCGATAACCTCCCCCCGATGGACTTAAATGGAAGCCCGTCGAGCCCTCCCATCTTACTATCTCCTAGTTTCGAATGTTGGGTCTTTGGCATACAGTGCGTTTTAATGCCCTTTTTTGGTTGGAGGCTTCTGCTACGCATGCCCTTGCAGTAGCGTTGATACTGAAATACCCCAGTACCAAGGACCTGCATACTGCCAAAGTCTTTGATCTCTTCATACCTTGAGACAGTTGATAAACCTACGCTGTGAACATCAACTATGGAGTTATTACTCGTACAGTTGATTATATTAGAGCTGATCTTGTAAAGCTCATGGGTTATTTCAATCGGCTACCGGGAATTAGGAGAATAAACGTTGACTATATATGTGCTACGGAACACAGGAGAAACGCTGAGGATATTGCTCCCGGAACTTCTAATTTTGGGTATCATATTCATCACTCTAGTATGATATCTGGTCGTCATTAAACCCCCAAAATAATTGAGGAATTCATCTACTCTATATGGGGTCAACAACTTCACCAAGGGAATGAACCGAGTTATATCTGTCCGCTGGACCTAAAGAGACACTTCTCCCCTATTACTCTACGGAGTACGTGAGGGCGAATGGCAAGTTTGTTACCTATGAATGAGATACACGGAAGAAGCCATGATCCCTAAGACGGCCAACGACTTCCTAGTATTTTATAGATTGACTACTGCTGTCAACCTATAGAAATTGGCCACGGCACTGATCGCGTCACCGTCTTCAACCTTGTTGTGTGAAAAACTAAAGATGTACATCATGATACAACATTTCTATCTATACTAGAGCAACATGATCATATTTTTCACTGCTAAGTATAGTAACCGTCAAAGTCCGTTTTGCTAGGCGCTGGGTGGAAAAGCGCACGAATACCGCCCTCCTCTCTCCCCCACAGATAAACTGGCGACGGGTGACACAGACGAAACAGCAGAAAAGAAACAGCAGAGAAAAAGAGAAGAAGAGAAGAGGATGGAAGGGAAGCAAAAGGGTAAGAGGTTGTTAACGTCGCCCATCCAGGAGACAGTCGAGTACCCCCGCCAGGCTGCCCATGCATGTCACTGTGATATCAAGATCAGCAACATCATGGTCAGACAGCGGAGGCTGAAACTCGTCGACCTTGAACTCAACTAAGCGGATGTAGAGGCTACTGTCGATTCTCGAGCTTTTGATGGTGAAATGTAAACAAAGAAAAGAAATCAAAAGGGCTTATTGCCTTCCTTGTAATTTGGCGAAGGCCTGCTGCTGACAAAGCAGAATGAAGACAATGAAAGAGCTAGGCATAAAACCACTGGATAAAATATTAGCATGTCAACTATTGAGCAGGGGTAGCAGTCAAGCAGGAAAGCCTCACCCAACGTCATATTCATATAATAATATCCGACCAATTTCAATAGAAGCCCGGAGAGGAGAGGTCCCAACAGAAGGCCAAGTGTAAACGCCGTTTCTACTAAAGCAAAGACACGAGAACCTGCTCCATTAGGTCCAAATATCTGTGGATCCTCCTTTTCTCGCAAATCAACCACAGCTATATATCACTCCTATGTTAGCAAATGAGATATCAAGAAAAGGAAGGGAAGGTAGACATACATGTTAATTCAGTTGGCCCAGTAACTTGTAGCAAGCTACCAATAATACCAATCCCAACAAGACAAGCTGCTATAATTATTGGACCACAATTCCCTCGATTTGCCCATGGGAAGTAATCCTCACCGGGCGTGGATAAGAGCCATAGTAGGGGTGCTACTAGGGCCCAACCGATTGTCATAGGATACCGTGACCCTACCCGGTCACAAAGCCAGCCACTCACAGGGCTGCAGATGATACTTGGAATTTGTAGACCAAAAAATACAAGGCCAGCTTGTAGACTACCCCAGCCGAATATATGCCGAAGATGTAGAGGAATCGTGTTCTCGAAGTTAGCAATAAGTAGGGAATACATTAAGCAGCCTGCTAGCCCAGTAAGCACACGAATATCCAGAAGCATCGTCCGGTAGAATTTGGTAAAATCTGTCGAGGTAGACTGCTTAGGCTCGGAGACTGTGGGAAGAAAGGTGGCACTTTCTTCATCATGATCGGTGGCTGCAGCAGTGCCAATAGAGGTCATGGGTGTATATTGTAGTGTTTGCTCCTTTTTTTCGATCATGAGCAACCGTGCAATGATATCGAGAGTAATCACCGCCATGGGAATAGCCCAGGTTATCCAGTAACCCCCCAGCTTCAGTAGGACCCCAGAAACCACGGGCCCTGCGACTGTGCCTGCACTTGATGATGATAGGACAATCCCTATAGCCTTCCCTAGATTCTCTGACCCGACAGTATCTTGTAAGGTAGCAAGTCCAACGATCCAGGCACCAGACGAAGCTATAGATTGTAGTATCCTGCCTAAATAGATAGCCCAGACTATCAACCGTGGTTAGCATAAATCTCTACTAGGTAAGATTATTGTCAAAGGCAAAACTTTACGGAACGGAGTATATGCAACAAGGAATGTCCCTATAAGGCATCCGCCTAGCGAAATGAGCAACGGGGTTTTCCTGTCTGGCATCTTGTCTGCAAAATGAGCAGTGACTGGTGCTGAGAGAAGTGATATAAAACCATATGTAGCCAGCAATCCGGTCGTTTCGCTCTGGGTCCGTGAAGCATCAAGCTTCAGGCGATCTTCAAGCATGTAGCTCAGAATAGGAACGATGAAGCTATAGAGCAAAGATTCTGAGGCTCAAGTTAGTGACATATCAAATCTATTCCATTAGGTGAACCCAACCTACCCGTAAACAATGCAATCGCGATCGTAGAAATAATGAACGCCTTGGATGACCTCAACCGGTAGCCAAAGGGCTTTCGTTCTGGTTGAGCAGCCCTGCCCTTCATTTTTCACAGCCCCTTTTGCTGGAAATATATGCTTCTCGAGAATGAATATACCCCTGTGGGAAGCTGGCCGTGGATATCATAAACAATGATTTATATCACCGTGGAGTTGAATATAACGAAACAGATAAAGAAAATGAGTCCGAGTGCATGGCATGGCCTCCAAAGTTCACGGGAAAGGCTCGATTAGCCACATCTACAGAGTAAACTCCGTACCGATAACTAGAGGAGGCGCCACGGTGTAGGCAGAGGAGGAACTTGTAAATAATAGCTAATAGCCTCGGGACAGCTCACCTCGCCCATCGCGCCCATCTCGCCCGTCTCGCCCGTTTCGCCCCGATCTTGCATCTTGTTGGTCCCTGGAAAACTCAAAATTGAGCCTGCAGAAATTAAAGTTATGATCTGCGGGCCGTCAAACCCAAAAACTCTAATAACTTCGGCCTCAGGCTGGATAGTGTAATGTCTATATTATCAGTTACTGCACGTACGCTTGTGCAAGAAGGAAAAACGCACCAGTGTGTTTTATGTACGGTAATTTCTTTTTTTTTGATATTTCGCCTGGGCCATATGTAGGTCCTGATGGACGGGTTTACTTACTACTTTATTCAATGACTCGGCTGCTAAAGCATGCAATATCTATTCAAAAATCTTGCTTGAAGGCCCGCCCGCGGTTAAGGAGAGAAAAAGCATGTCACTAAAATTTAATATCCCAAATCCTGCCGACTATGGAATATCCTCTCGGTATGGCTTCTTGCCCTCTGAGCCACCGATCCAACGACTCCCCAATCGATACTATAGTCCCTGGGAGGATTTAGTATCCGTTTTGCCCACCTTGCTTCAAGATGGAGACCTCAAAAGCCGCGTTGAGAAGCTTCCAATTCTATCAACTGTGTACCTGCAGACACGCCCTGAATGGATGAGGGCATATGTGTGTTTGATCTTTCTGACAAATGCATATGTCTGGGGGGGCAAGAAACCTGAGACGGTACGACTAAAATAACTTCTCTTAACTATATCAACTAAAGCTACCTTTGTGGTTTCAATAACCTCGCTAATTCTCCGTAAAACTAGGTTCTACCTTCCTGCATCACCGTTCCTTTACTGGACACTTGCAATTATTTAGAGCTTCCGCCATTGGCAACCTTTGCTGGGCTATGCTTGTGGAATTATCACCTCCGATGTCCAAGGGAGCCAGTTGACGAACTTGACAATCTTCACAGTAATACTTTGTTTACTGGAACGCTTGATGAAGAGTGGTTTTACTTAATTTCAGTCGCCATTGAGGCACGGGGAGCTCCCTTGATAGCTACCTTGCTCGGTGCGACTGAAGCATCATATCTGGGGGATTCACAGAAGGTTGTCGAATACCTGAAATCGGCCACCAATGTCATATTGCAATTGGGCGACTTGTTGGACCAAATCCATGACAACTGTGGCCCCATGGCGTTCTATACCCGTCTCCGGCCCTTCCTTGCGGGCACCAGTAAAATGGAAGAATTCGGCCTTCCTGATGGGTTACACTACGATGACGGGTCTGGAAACGTCGATTACCGGTCATATCGAGGCGGCAGCAACGCGCAAAGCTCCCTCATCCAACTGATCGATATTGCCCTCGGCGTGCATCATCGGACAAGGGGTGATAACATGGGCCATAGCCGCGGACACAGCCCAGGAGCGCCTCCGAGCTTCATCGAAGAGATGCGAGCGTACATGCCCGGGCCGCATCGGCGCTTTTTAGAGGCTGTCTCGCAGGTCGCTAACGTGAGACCGTTTGTGGCTGAGAGAATCTCAGATGCAAAGCTTCAGGTGGCATACAGCTCCTGTCTGGGGGCTCTCTATCAGCTGCGGGACAGACATATCCGAATAGTGTCACGATACATCATCGTCCCGTCAAGAATGCAGGCCTGCGCTGCTCGATCTCCGAAGCCCCCAAATCAACTGACCAGCAACCTCCAGCGCAGTGTGTCCACGTCCTCTCAACCTGATATGGGCCCCCGTGGGACAGGTGGTACGGCTCTCATTCCTTTTCTCAAACGCACCAGAGAGGAAACTTGTGAGCCTCTGATGGAAATTTTGGTTAGGCATCGATAGACTAGTTACTGATTTTTGTGGTAATAATTCTGACGCATCTATACGGAACACATCTTCAAGAAGACCCGAAAATTAGAATTTCACTGTGTAGTCCGTTCATTATTTGAGCAAGATACAGTATTTTGTTTGGCTGTCCAGCTCGGCTAGAGTGCCGGTTCTTATGTGGCGTTCTTGTGTTGATGGTTTGATAGTGGCGTCGCTGAAGGTTGAAGGATGAGCGAGCATGATTGTCAACATGGCTTAAAACGAACAAGCTGAATAGTTAGTCGATCATCCCTCTGAACCAATGTCAGGTCTTATTCTTCTGTTGCTTCGTCCCTATATTTTGCTGCCCGATGATGGCCTGCTTTCATTATCGCCATACCAAAGTCGGCTGCATAAACTCGCATAGATAACTAGTGCTCCGCTATTGATAACTATTTTCTTTTCTCCCCAACAAGCTTGACCGAGCAATCAATCATAGCACACTATGACCACCACAGCCGGACCCTGATTGGCAGTCGATCCAGAGGGAGATCAATTGCGGGCCGCCTGATCTGATCTCGTCGAAGTTGGTGTGTTACGCCTTGGTTACATGCGTACAAGAGGTCCTCGGAGTTACCCATGGAAATTTCTGATAAATTAAAGCCATTGCCCAAGTGGCATTGGGTGTCTGGAGATGATCTCTTTCAAGCGGAATCCCGGCTAGGACCTATTCTCTCATCATGACAATCCAGATACACGCGCACAGTTCTTCCCAGGAACTAAAAGGGCAAAACCATCAAGATGAACAGAAATCTTTTGCTAAGAGCACTTTCCCTGTGCTACCGGACGCATCAGATAAACAACAAGCAACCGAAACGCTCAATTCATGGATATCTGGTGCCGAATTAGAGCAGAAACATACGACTCCGACCACGTCTGTTCTGCAGCTTGCCTGGGCACTTGTGATTGCGGCCTATACAGACTCAAACGATGTCGTCTTTGATCTCAGCGTTGCTGAATCCGCAGCATCGGCTGCTGCTTCAGTCTATCCCTTCTGGGTTAAAATCGAGCCAGACCAGGTCGTGGGTGACGCCCTGGTATCGCTGGGACATGCAGCATCACCACAATGTGGATTAACCCCGATGGTGGCTTGTCAAATCCATAATGTGCTGTTCATACAGCACGATCCCCAAGAAACCGCCAACATAACAGCGGCGGAAGGTTTCCCTGGTAGCTTGTCTGATGGCTACCCACTGTCTATCACCGCTGTGATTCAGAAGAAGGGGATATCCTTATACGCCCGGTTTGACCCAGTCGTTATCTCATCAACACTGGGGCAAATGATATTGGATCAACTGGTACATGTTGTTAGTCGCATTCAATCCAATCCAACAGATAATCTTAAAATGTTTCTTGGGATTTGTGCAAAGGGTCTCAAACAGGTCCAGACATGGAACTCACGTCTTCAGCTTTACCGCAAAGAGCTGTGCATACATGAAGTGATTACAAGACGAGCATGGGAATACCCATTTGCCCCCGCTGTATGCGCATGGGATGGCAGCTTGACGTATTCAGAACTTGAAGCTGAGTCGACTAGCCTTGCAAACCGCCTGATGGAGCTTTGCCACGAGACAGATAAATTCGTTGGCTTGTTCTTAGAGAAGTCAATGTGGACACCTGTTTCTATGCTCGCCGTCCTGAAAACTGGAAATGCATTTATGCTGCTGGATCCATCTTTGCCGGACAAGCGCCTTCAGGCCCTCTGCCGGATTTCTCAGGCAGCGATAATTATATCGTTACCAGGGCAGTCTGCTCGGGCACATCGATTGGGTCCTCCAGTTATAATTGTCAAGGACGAATTTCGAGAAACCACATCAACATCGCCGCCACCGTCGCCATCATCATCCTCACCACCACAATCTTTACCATCATCACCGTCTTCGCCATTTTTCCCTCTGCTGGCAGTCAGCCCCCATCAGACAGCGTATGCTGCATTCACATCAGGCTCTAGTGGCGAACCAAAAGGCGTGGTGGTCGATCATTCAGCTGTGTGCAGTGGTGTTGATGCATATTGCTCTAGCATAGGCCTTAACCATGAGAGCAGAGTGTTCCAGTTTGCCTCATATTCGTTTACCATCAGTGTTGTCGACCACTTGATTACTCTGATGCAAGGTGCCTGTCTCTGTATTCCGTCGGCTGACCAGCTCAAGGACAGACTCCTTGATACAATGCTCGCTTTCAATGTCAACTGGATGACCACCACCCCGTCCGTAGCTCGAGCCCTCGATCCAGAGTCCATTCGCAGCCTGAAGACCCTATGTCTAGCCGGTGAGATTTTGACACGCTCTGATCTAGAAAAGTGGCGAGGCCGAGTAGACCTAAAGTCGATATACGGCCAATCCGAAAATACATTGGCCGCCTTGGTCGATACAAAGACGGACGCTTCATCTCCTTCTGACCTCGGATACGCATTTGCAGCAAATTGCTGGATTGTCCATCCCCGCGATTCTCATCGACTGGTCCCCATCGGTGTAGAGGGAGAACTCTTGCTGGAGGCACCCACTATGGCGAGAGGCTATCTCAACAATGTGGAGCAGACTCAGGCTATGTTTATCCATAACCCTCCATGGTTGCAGGATGTCCGACCCGGCGAGGGTCGGCGGTTCCTCAAGACTGGAGATATTGTCCGCTACCGACCTGAGGATGGCTCTGTTCAGTATATCGGACGTAAGGGGACACAGGTCAAGCTGCGAGGGCAAAGGGTTGAGCTGACCGAAGTCGAGTTTCAGCTGAGAAGGCAATTCCCGACAGCGGACGCAGTGGTGGCCGAGATTGTGACATTAGACGAAGAACGATCGCACGACGCTATCTTGGTTGCATTTGTTGCGGTGGGAAAGGATGGAGGGTATATCGACAGCTCCCCCGATGTTATATTCGCCAAACCAACTTCTTCATTTGCGCAGCAGAGCCAACAAGCGCTCTCCCAACTGCGCGAGATTCTCCCAGAATACATGGTCCCGACGACTATTGTACCCATCTTAACTGTCCCTTTGACCCCATCAGGGAAGCTCAATCGAAGGCTACTGCGCAACATGGCGTCTAAGTTGGGCAACAGGCTGCTTGGATACCATATTCTGGCCAAGAAAGCCCATCGTCATCCATGTACGGCAAAGGAATTGATTCTCCAACGAATCTGCGCCAGTATTCTCCGTCTGAACCCTGTGGATATCAACATGGACGATACATTTTTCAGGGTTGGTGGCAGTTCCATTTCAGCAATGCAACTGGTAGGCCAGGCCCGCGAAGCTGGACTATCGTTCACCGTGAGCGACGTCTACAAGCAGTCATCTCTAGCTGCATTGGCGAAATGTCAAGGAAAGAGTCCAAGCCACAGCGAAGAGGCCGTTTCTCCGGGTAAATCTGTCTCAGTTACTGAGCTAAAAGCGAAGTTGGTGCATCAAAGTGCCGCTGCTATTGACGCTGAAAAGATCTTGGACATTTTCCCATGTACAGAAACACAGCAGTTTATGCTCGAAAACAAGGAGGGAGGTTATTTTTTGCTTCATTTCTCTGGGATACTGGATACTGGAAAGCTCCAGGCTGCCTGTCAGCGCCTTGTCAAGACTCACACTGCACTCCGGTCCGTCTTTGTGCTTATCGATGGAGTTCCATCGCAAATTGTACAAGATGAAATCGACTTTCCTTTCATCGTGCATACATGCCCTCCCGATCAGGATCCAATATCAGCAGCACGGGGTTTGTGTTCGGCTGATGGCGATGACTTTTTCCCTCTGGGCGTACCGCCGCTGCAGTTCACCCTCATTAGAGGCACCGGGGAGCATGTCCTAATAATGCGACTTTCACACGCTCAATATGACGGGATATGTCAACATATTATTGTCTCGGATCTCTGCACTTTCTACCAAGATCCGAGACATCCTGGTATGCCAACAGACTTCGCCCAATATTCGCGAGAAATGTCTCGGCGGCAAACTCCGGAGAAATTCTCATTTTGGCGAAACGCCCTCGAGGGCTCGACGATAACCAAATTGCCATACACTGTTTCGCAGACGGAGACGGAAAATGCCATTATCCAGTGTTCTACTGAAGTTACTCTCCCGGCACCCCCTAGTGGAATTACGCTGGCTAGCGTGGTGAAAGCCGCATGGTCCAGTGTCCTTCGGGAGGTGACGGGGGATCATGACGTTGTGTTTGGGCAGCTTGTCAACCTGCGTGGCATGGATGCGACAGGGATCTATCGCGTTGTTGGGCCTTGTTATAACATAGTGCCGATCCGTCTACAATATCAGTTGTTCTCGACGATCCAGGACCTCTTACGAGCTGCACAAGACCAGCATGTGCAGGGTATTCCCTTCGAGACCGCCGAGTGGTTCCGTGTCGTATCCAATAGCACCAACTGGGCCCCAGACACTCGGCCTCAGAGTTTGGTCATTCACCAGAACTTTTCCACGGAGATGGACATTCAGATGGACAATCTACAATGCAAACTGGCAGATTATATCTCCATTGAGCCGACGGATATGTCTCTCGATCTGTATTCGGAGCCGCGAGGTGACAGGCTGGGTTTGACATTGGTATCGTCCGCTCATTTTATTGCAGAAAATGACATGCAAGCTCTACTAGAGAAGCTGTGCAGAACCTTGACACTCTTTACTACCGCCTCGGAGAACGTTTTAACGGCGAGGCCTTCGGACCAATTGGAAGTAGGAAGATTTACACGGCGGGATTGAGAACTAGGTAGATATGAGGTAGATTAACTTGTTAGATGCTTCCGGGCTGTGTAGTATGAGATATATTGTATTACTTATTTCATCAACGCCTGGCCACACATGTGAAGCTTTCATTAATTTATACTACATACGGAGTACACACACATCAGTTCCTGGTTGAAGGATTCTAGCTGAGGTAGCAAATGAGATTATATGAAAGCCAAGTTTTATGCGTCGTTGCTCATTCTATAGAGTACAATGGTTAAGTTAGCTCTAGCTACATATTATATTTCCACTCTTTATCGCTAAAGAACTCAAGCTCTGTGTCCTAGCTTCAATATGACTCCGAAGTATTTCCTCGATAAGTTCATGACCCTCACTTGCTGCATATGTTAGAGCCGTGGCCCCAACTACGTCTTGTATGTCAACATCTATATCTGCCATCCTAAGCAAACAGTCAACATTACGTCTCTGTCCGGCCTCTGCTGCAATCATGAGCGCTGTCCGGCCACGGCGGTCTCTGATGTTGACGTCAATATCTTCCCGTGCTAGGAGGACATGCACGGCACTATCAGTCTTTGTATAACCGAGGTCATCACGAGCTGCAAACATAAGTGCTGTTCGACCATGGCGATCTTGTGCATTTATATCAGTGTCCCGCCTGTTGAGCAATACATACACAAGATCTCCAAACCCGGTTCGTGCCGCGTGCATGAGCGCAGTGCCGTCGTACATTTGAAAATTCATGTCAAGATCTTCTCGCTCCATTAGCAAAGATGCGATGTCATCGAATCCTCGAAATATCGCAATAATCAACGCTGTGTCTCCTCTATCATCCGCGGCATTAACGTCGAGGTCCTCTCGGCTTAGCAGTAACCTAACTGCCTCGTGGTGCCCAATTTCTGCTGCCTGCATGAGCATTGTCCTGCGAGTGTCAGTTTTGCAATTGATGTCAACCTCTTTGCGGCCCAGTAGCAGTTCCACTCGGGAAGCATCAGGATGGTATATTGCGCGAAAAAGGGGTCGGTGGTCCGGAAAACTAGCATCAAGGTCTTTCCTCCTTAGGAGAGCTTTGGCTAGGCTGCTGCTGCCTTTCCCTATCGCAATCAAGAGCGCAGTGTCACCCTTCTCACTGCGAATATTGAAATCTATATCTTCCCGCTCTAGGAGGGTATCGACTATAGTTTCGTATTCCTTGCGCACCGCAGCCATAAGTGCTGTGAAACCCTGGTTATCCACAGCATTTATATCAAGCTGGCTGCATTCCAGAAATAGCTTCACCATATCTTCATATCCAAGATTAACAGCGAGACTGAATGCCGTAGCTTTGTCTCCATCGGGTATGTTCGGGTCAATAGCATTGGTGACAAGAATCTTTGCCATCCGAGTATCCCTTTCAGACACGATGAGGTGTAACAGCGAGGAACCGTCATGGCCGCGGTTGTTAATTTGCTTTTTTGTAAGGAGGTGGGCTAAGGGAGGAATCGCACGTATATAGGTGAGTAGGTCCACCGGACTAAGATAATCCGCAATGAGATACATGATGTCATCGTGGAGATAGGGTTTGTTTTGCTTCTGGCCAATAGACCTCAGGGGAATAGTTCTGCATTCTCTCTCGTTCTCGGTCGAGGTTGGCATGGATATCGATGAATATGAAGTCTGGTCCAAGATAACTGTGGTTGATTTCTCAACTCCGAGAGAAGGGAGGCGTTTGCTAGTTTATGCCCTTCGTACTAGGTATACCGATTACACAGAAGCCGGATCTAGAAGTAAAAGGGTAGTGCAAGTGTTGGGATTATTGTTTGATCATTTGAAGCTGCCAAATGACATTGTTGGACCAGGCGATGTTGTATTTAACACCTAATCCACGTGATAACTATTATAGTTATTGTGGCTGAATTAGATGCAGTGATGGAGTGTAATTCATGCGAAGTATATAGGTTTTACAAGCCGTTAACTCAATGTTAGATTGTAGAACAACCGGAAGCAACCGGCTAAAAAGCACTCAGGGAAGACAAGTACTCGCACCTTAACTGACTGGACATTCCGCATTTGTCGGAGATTTATTGACGATTTTCGATAATGAATATATTCCACAGCATGGAAGTGGTGATTGGTTTGTAGAAATTTGAACCGATTCTTATCTTTCAATACCGGGGCAAACCATTGGCTAGATTGGCCATTATTTCCTATTTATACTTTGATGTCACTTTTTCTTTACCAATCGTCGCTGGTAACGGGTCTGGTGCGATTATTGACCATGCGGTTACTTTGTATCTGCGAGAAGAGCTAAACTCTTGGGATACGCCGATACCAATAACTCGGAATTTGTAGCAAAGCAAAATCGAAGACTGGCGATATATGAATAATTGGAATATGTATTGGGTTTAGAGAGTATATTCCATTAAGTTGAACCAATCCGAATAGCCGCGTTTGAATTTTCGGCCCTTATCATACTCCGTAGATGGTAGCTCTGGGGATGAAATTTGGTTCCGTCCGCCTGCTTCCGTACAGGGGAAATCTTTGAATTGACCTCACCTGGTTGGCGTAATTTGGCAGAGAGCTGAATTCTGTCGTATAGTGATTCATTGCATCTCCAAAAGTAGTCAAGGAGCAGGCGTATGGTGCCGGAAAAACAACAAATCCATATTAACTGCCATTCAAAGACATTTTCGCGCAAAATTAAAGCACTTTGCATCTTTGGACAAGCGTTTCAGTAGACGGAATGGAAGATGGAATATGAATAGTAGCATTGTTAGCTATCAAGCGAGAAATGGTCCCTCCACTTTAGGCGCCGCAATCGAGCATTTCAAGATCGCTGTCCGTTAATATGATGTATATAAGTGGGTAGATATACACAGGGAGTGTCAATTATACCACCAGGAAAGTGGCAGGAGTGTTTCGTGCCACAGTGGATGGTGATAAGCCATGGCCAATTTGCCCAAACGATGAACGTCCAAAGACATGAGGCTACTTCTGTAGATCCGAAGAGACGGTCTAGTTTCATGACCTCGGGACGATGTCCAATAGACACACCATGCCGTATCGGCCAATACGAGGCCGGGCCGTGGTGATAAGAAGGGGCTTAGACATGAATCTCCGATCCTTGTCTCGTCGTTTCGTAATGGGAAAGCCGCCATCGAGATATACGGAGGTACGGAGGCACAGGCAACCGAATAAAATCGTCAATTCGTGCGTCTGCCCCGGTTGTGATGAAGATGGGCGTGTGCAGGCATGAGGAATCAATGCAGACGTCTGTCCTCCCACCAACCACTAAATGCCAATAAACGATGGGATCCAGCCTCTGCCCAGTTATCTCAATGGAACTGGCGAACCCTCGTTCGAGAAGTGTCAAGGTTCGGTGGGCTCGACCTGAAACCGGGCGCTAAAGCTGCTTGACTTCACCAATCCAGGCCGGGGGATGTTGGTAATCTGTCGAATATTTCCCACGATGCCCTGTCAGCGTCGAATCCCGTTCGTTCAATCCATGGATCCCCGTATACAATGTCTGCTGTGATTCGGCTGCCCGTAGCGTAGAGATTACGCATGCCTTCTTCTATATATTTGACTTTTGGCCACCCATCTCTTCGCTTGGGGGTTGTAAATGCGCAGTTAAGGTTGGTGAAGAACTGCATGATGGTCCTCCCCGTACCCCAGACTCTGCGCCGGCGGATCAAGCCCCTGACGCCGGCGTAGGTATACGTCGATCTCCAGCCCTGCTACTCTGCCTGGCTGTATTTCTGATACAGAGTAAGGGGGTTGGCTGGTGTCAGTGTGTCCACGTTCGTCAAGCTGCTTGTCGGTTATGTCCTCTTGCTCGTCTTGCTCGAAATGGCTGTGAAACTGATCAGGGGGAAAGCCTCGACGCAGACAATACAGCATTATAAGATGTGACGAGGGCAAGGATGTCCCATGTCCGCCCCTTGATATCCCCCCAGACGGCATCGTGCCCTTCCTAGCCGTCCTGGACAGCCCTCGGATCGAGACGGTTGCGTTGCTATGGTTTGATGACATGCCGATATATAATTAGCTTCGTTTCTGAGGTCCCTCGCCGTTCGATGTTAGAGGTTAACGCTGTATATCCCTATCCACTCGCACCGGCCTGGGTGATTTCATAGGTTTACCCCCCAACGTCGTATCCGTGGCCAGGTTTTTTTCTTTTTCAGTCCCGTAGACGCCATTTGCCCTCTGGCAACTAGGGTTGATTAGCGTTGGAACTTTGATAGCTTCCTGCATACCTGAAAGGGCCCCTGGCCCGTCGGCCCTGAGATGAAGTACGTATTCACAGCGTTAAATCTTGCGGCAGCATAGGTTTCACAGTCACTGGCTCGTAGAAGAAGAAAAAGTAAATGAAGTCGGAGCTCGCTATATAAAGCTAAGCTCCACGCCCGCGCAGTTCGTGCTTTTCTGGCATCTATTTCTCCGACTACACTATTAGACCTTTACTCAGTACACACGCAGACACTGAACTTTTTCACGCAGGTTCGACTCTACATCATAATCATCATGGTTGCCAGCAAGTCCCTTGTCGGCGCTCTCGCCCTCGCCAGCTTCGTTGCTGCCGAGAACATCGACGTCAAGGTTGGAGAAGGCGGCCTCAAGTTCGTCCCTGACAACATCAAGGCCAAACAGGGAGACAACATCGTCTTCCACTTCGTCGCCGGTCACCACGATGTCACCCTCGGCAAATACAGTGACCCATGCATGCCAATTGACGGCGCCACCATCTGGTCCGGTGTCATCGATACCGTTGAGAAGGGCAAGGGTGTGACCTTCACCGTCCCAGTTCAGGATGACAAGCCCAAATGGTTCTACTGCGGAGTCGCCAAACATTGCCAGAACGGCATGAGTCTGGTCCTCAACGAGCCGTATGTTGACACATATAGCCCCTAAGCAGTTTCATACAGACGGCTAACGCATCATGCAAATAGATCTTCCGGAGACTCCCAGCGAGACTACAAGGACCGGGCCAAGCTGGTCCCCAAGTCTGGCGTTGCAACCGAAGTCAAGGGAGGAACCCTTGGAGGCTCCGGGGGCTCTGGCGGCTCCTCGTCTTCCTCTCAGTCCTCCGGCTCTAGCATGACTAGCACTAGCGGAATCCCAGATGCTACCCTCATCCCCAGCGGAAGCATTCCCAGTGCAACCCAGACTGGCTCTACTACCGGCTCCAGCTCCCACTCCGCCACTGGCTCCGCCACTGGCACTGCCATCACAGGAACTACCTCCCCAACTGCCTCTCCTGGTGCCGCCGCTGGCCTCAAGGGAAGTGCTGTCCTCGCTGGACTGGTCGCTTTCGGTGCCTGGGTTGGTCTCCTATAAGTTAAAAATTGAGCAATGATTAAACCCCCCCCAACCATGTATATTGAACCCTTTTCGATGTTTGTTATGATGTTTGTTCATTTCGATTCGGTATCTTGCGTTTTCCCTTCCCCTTGATGGCTGAAGAAAAAATGGAAATAATTAGAATGCAATACTAAACCTGTTATACCTTTTCCGTCAAGAAAAACCAACGCCTATACCTTTATTCATGCTGTTATTCTTGCTGCTATCCCTTAGCTAGCTTGATTAGTGTTATAATTTGCAAAAAAAAAGGCTGGGTGATACCACTCTGACGTCGTATTGCCGTGTATCTTTCACTCTAGAAGCTGCCCTTACTAAGACACGCATCAGCGTCCCAAGACGCCGTAAGCATTCCCAAGCGAAGGCACGTCATTATCCGTAGAAAGAGGAACGGGGTGACATCGAGTGACTTCGATGACAATCATAGGACATGAATATCACAATGGCAGCAATGGTATTCTTTACCTGTTTTCCTCTAGCCCTCTCTGCCTGCGAGCCCAGATAGTTTCCATACCATAACGAGTCCTAGGCCTCTTATCTGCCAGGAGCTGTCCACACGCTATGATAAATAAGTTGTATCTGTGGAGTAGCCAAAATAACAAGCTTTGTTAACGTTTTTTTGCTACCAGCTTGGCGCATCCATTTCACGTAACTTCTTCGTGCTCTTTCCACCATGGAATTCGTTTTAATTGGGTGAGTGAAGACGTTGGCCCTATGACATAAACCTTTGGATCATAGCTTGAGCCTGGTTCAATTGCAATTCCTCATGATGGCCTGGGAAGGACCGTTTCTGGAAAGCGTGGTTCCGACCACTCCGGCTAAGAGAAGGTGCTTGTCTCTGTTCTCCTTGCCTTGGTGTTCGACGTTCGAGCTGGGAAGGAGCAGTCAGTCATTTGTTTATATAGATATCAGCGTAGACATCGCTGGATCAATATCGGTCCCGAATACACGAAAGCATCACATACACATCATCATGACAAAATATTTCCATCATATTGATATCGCCCCCCCATTTTTTCAGGAGCTGCACTCGAGGCAGAAGTAAATTTCGTTGACCCAACCAAGGTCAGTGCAAAACTTTCTCCGAGAGAAAGTCGTCGACGTCACGGACCGGTCTGCCGCCACTGTGCAGTTCATAGTCATCCCTTATAAACCGCCCCTATACGGCTCTGGCATCTCTGTTCATCACTCTGCTCCATACATTGCAGCTGACGCTTTCTCATAGCCCATATCGTCTTCTCACAGCCCATATTGTCTTCTCACAGCCCATATCGTCTTCTTATAGCCCACATTGTCTCCTTATAGTCCATATCAAGTCATATTGTGCATCATTTGCCCCGGAAACCAGAACAGGGGCATCGATATGGCTTCATCCAACCCGCGTCCGAATTACAACCTCTTTTACATCTGCCCTAATGGGGTGAGATATCATGCCGGATGTTTTGAGACCGAAGCCCCCAGGGATAGATCCAGTCTCGATGACATCCGCATCGGCCGTAAACCAGCACCACGGTCAGAATCAAACGAATATCCGGACGTTCCTTCATATAGCGAGTATCTAGCCATGAAACACACGCAACAAACTCAGTCCCCGCAACAGGCTGAAGCGCCCGAGTCTCAAGTGCAACAGGCTCAAGTGCAACAGACTCAAGTGCAACAGACTCAAGTGCAACAGACTCAAGTGCAACAGACTCAAGTGCAACAGACTCAAGTGCAACAGACTCAAGTGCAACAGACTCAAGTGCAACAGACTCCAGTGCAACAGACTCCAGTGCATCATATTCAAGTGCATCAGACTCAAGTGCATCAGACTCCAGTGCATCATATTCAAGTGCATCAGACTCAAGTGCATCAGACTCAAGCGCAACAGACTCAAGTGCATCAGACTCAAGCGCAACAGACTCAAGTGCATCAGACTCGAGTGTATCAGGCTCAAGCGCAACAGACTCAAGCGCAACAGACTCAAGCGCAACAGACTCAAGCGCAACAGACTCAAGCGCAACAGACTCAAGCGCAACAGACTCAAGCGCAACAGACTCAAGCGCAACAGAATCAGTCAGCTTATCAGACTCAACTAGCGGATTATGACCAAGCGGCACAATTGATCCAGACATCGCGACGTAACCAGGCATCAGGACGTATCCAGGCATCGGGACGTATCCAGGCATCGGGACGTATCCAGGCATCGGGACGTATCCAGGCACGACAATTAATCCGGCCATCACGACACGTCCAGCCAGCACAACAGCTCCGGCCAGCACGACTCAGCCAGCCAGTGCAATACATCCGGCCAGGACAACAGCTCCTGCCGGGACAACATGCCCGGTCAGCACAACAGCTCTGGTCAACACAACAGCTCCGGTCAACACAACAAGTCTGGCCAGCACGACTCGGCCAGCCAGCGCAATACATCCAGCCGGGACAACTGCCCCAGGAAAATCCATCAGCCGACATAGTGCAACGGGCCTGGCGGATCGGACAGCTACATCGATGGATACAGTGGGCGGAGTGGGTAAGGTCACAACAGCTTCAACGTGAGGATGGGATTCAAGCGACGCTGGGGCGACATACTGAACTAGCTTGCGGTGCGACGGTACCACCGTACATTGGGCTTCCTAAAGAGGACACCATCAACACAGCCGCCCTTGCGCAGCCGGAGAACACCATCAACAGAGCCGCCCTTGCGCAGCCAGAGGACACCACCAATCCAGCCGCCCTTGCGCGGCCAGAGGACACCATCAACCCAGCCGTCCTTCAGCGACGGCCGCACATACATGGGACAAACGGTGCACCCGGCCTATACGTGTGGCAGAATAATCCGGCTGAATCAGACGCAGAGGTGAACCCACGGCAGCCCCGAGAAACTCGCCCTCCATCGCCGGCCAAGGTTTCCGTGACCAACGAGTTGTTATCTGCGTGCGATAATAAAGCAGAAGATGTGAAGTTTGGGGAATTCCTTCAGGACTGGGTGTTGGATGAATGGGAATAGTGGTAGAAGCCAAAGGCGAAGAAGATGTAAATGAGTGAGATGTGGGAGGCCAGGCTAAAAGGCAGCAATAAGACCAGGAAGACAGTGCACCAATGGACAGAGGACTGCAGTGTGTCGTATGAAACGCAAGAAGAAGCACGAAGACCTGTCCTTTGAAATGCTTCAGGTTGGAATAATAGGTATGCTCTTCCTTTGGTATCTTCATTCTTCCACCGCATATTGACCAGGCTAATAGATAGCCCAGCAATTACGGAACGACGGAATGTATAGGAAGAATGTATAGGAAGACCGTTCCTCTAAAACGAAAGAGAGAGAGAGAAAAAAAAGAAAAATAGAAAGGAAAAAGAAAGGAAATGGGTTGATTTGAAAGCCGCCATATCCTGGGATGGGCTCCTCCGTGATACCGAATGCTTCGAGGATCAGCTCCATGATATTGACGATGCCTCGAGGATCAGACACCACGGAGGAGACAGACCCTATGTGCTGGGATCGCAAAAGGCCAGGTGAAAAAGTCCATCTATAAGCGTTTGCTAACCCATCCGGAGGAAGCGTCCTATTCTTATATCTGTTCAATACTCGCTCGTCGCGATGACGCAAGCAGCCACTGAACCACGGTCAATATCCAGTCAACGCCAGGCCATCTTGCGTACGAATCCGTGCTTTTCAATCAACCCGAGGAGAAGACGAAAGGAAGAGGAGATGAAGATAGAACCGTGGCTCGGGATGCCGCCCATCCGAAGGGCTTCATTGCTCTGACGCCGGCTGCATATCGATATCAAAGTCCTGACGGTGGTGTAGGAACAGAACGAAGCAGCGCCATGAAGCCTGTCGTCTATCAAACGCCGTCTCTCGTGCTGGTTGACCTGTGGTTGCGTGGTTGTGGTTGTGGTTGTGGTTGTGGTTGTGGTTGTGGTTGTTTTTCAAGTTGCGTGTTGCGTTCGTGTTTGATATTTTTATTGTGGCTTTTTGGTTATTTAGTGACAGGGTTTTTGACCTCACGGGACTGACGACTGGGCTTGACATTTAATTCAGACTATTTATGCGTGGATTTTAAGCAACTTTTTAAAATATAAAAATCTAATATAAAAAAGAAGTCTTCTACTTACTCTTCTACTTTACCTACTCCTCAGTTGGTCCGTATACGTTCTGAAATACTTATCGTTGTGGTGGCGGGAAGCCCTGAATGCCGCTTGGAGAGACCGATATATCAGGCGCCATACCATATATCGGGACTGACGGGAGTCGATATCAGGGATCCGACCAGATCTCGACCGGAACGCAGCATCCGGTGCGAATATCATTGCTCGGACCAAGCGTACAGGGCGCCAGAAACATATCTGAAAGCCATATAGCTACCGTGAGACACGGTCGAGAGCAGCAATGGCTCAACCACATATCGCACAGCAAATCCTTCAGCGAGCACATTCGCCCGAGGTAGCAGACCAGCTTTTCATGGACAAAGTCAAACACCGGCCACTCTTTCTACGTCCTACCTCTCCGACGCCATCCGACAATCGATCTCGGCGTCGGCTACAGCGAATACGGAAGAAGGAATATTTCCTACGCAAGCAGAAGCCAAAGCCGCTTTCGGCGAGAGAGAAGCGGATGTTAGGCGTCCACAAGCTGCCCAAGGAAGAGATGAAATATGAAATATTCAAAGGCTTGAATAAGCTATGGATTGAATATATGTGGGAAGTCCTCGACCTGGTTCCTTGGTCGAATACAAATTCAAATGGAAAACGAGCCGTTGGCCGAGAACGTAACGGTTGTATGACTGCTGCGAGCCACGGAAGCAAGCTTGCCAGCGCTGACTTCCACGGTGCTGAATTGCGGGTTGTGCGCAGCCGGTGTGTGAGCCGTGTAGGCGTAACTGGAATCGTCATAAGGGACTCGAAATTCGCTTTCGTCCTCATTACAGAGAAGAACGAGGTGAAAAGTATGGTCCCCTCCCCTTTCTCTACCCCTCTACCAGTACGGATCTATGGGTTTACCCTAGATTTCCGTTTTCTTTCCCTTGGAACTAACCGGATTTCCCCCTTGCAGCTGTACCAAAGGAACATACAATGTTCAGATATGAGATACCGTTGCCCCCAGCTTCTGACTCTGAAGCTAGACAGAAAGAGGCACCTGATGAAGACTCTACTCAGCTGAAAAGCCAGGAAACGGATAAACTTGAGAAGAGGCTCGTTTTCGAATTACACGGAAACCAATTTGAAAATCGGGCTCCAGAGAGAGCCAACAAGAAATTTAAATGGAAGAACTTGGATTATCTCTGAAATTGTAGGAGAATATCCATGACGATATCATTTTCAGATTCATACGATAGCTGTTTAAGAGCAGAGCAGCCCTTACTTTTGTGCGAGCGAGAAACTATTGGTAGACGATGATTTTTGGGAGGATGCTCCTATACTACAACCACGTCTATCTAATCTTGATCTAGGGCGGCGTGCATCGTTACAAAACTATCGGGAGTTGGGGGAACCAGTGCTGTATATACCTATGGTATACGGTACGCCTGATATATACGGTGCATCTAATATACAGTGCGCCTGGTAGGCAGACAACCGGTAAGGGGAGGATCTGATAAGGAAGCAGAGTTCCGGATGCACGCGATAATAGACCGGATCGGGCGTATATGTAATCATAGCCTGTTATCTAGATTTATCTGTCTCTTAACTAGCTAGGAAATGCGAGCCGTGGCCGGGTTGCTGGTCTCTAGATATACATGAAAAGGATGATTCTGATCCTGTCGAATGAAGCCATGCCTCACTGTATCCTAATTCAAGGCCCAATAATGGATGGATGGCTGACTTGCACTGCAGAGTACATCGTTGCGTCATCCTGACACTGCTCGGTAGCTCGGTGCTTCGCTGTGTCATCCTCGTCGATTAAGCCGATAGAGCCGCAAGATTTGGTAGACGTTCTTCCGGGAAACACACTGCCCGTGACTAACGCCGATGCTAACTTCAAGTTGAAATAGCTGTGTAGTTTGATGGGTTCGAGGTAGTGTCTTGATATTCCGTTAAAACCGGAAAGAACAAACTCCATCATCACATTCCGGCCCATTCAAGACTGAACGTCCTCACAGACTGCCCGGACTCTCCATCGTGATCGGGCTTTTCAGCACCGCCGATAAGGTACCCTTTTTTCACGCCAGTTCCCAAGCGCCCCCCAGCAACTAGATCCATGAGATCGAATTCCTCATCCCACTCGGTAGAAACCACGAGAAAATGAGAGTGGAACCGTAGCGGATCGCCTGGATAAGCCATATATTGGCAGCCAAACCGAAGCCCAGGGGAGAGGAAGTATCCCTGTGAATGTAAATGAGCAAAGAGAGGGTATGAAGAAGGGGCTACCGGAAGATATGGCGGATCTTGAGGAGCCATGGGGAATAGGCCATGGGATGTAGCAGGAGTGACTTCTAATATCTGCTCTCCACCGCCGGTAGAGGCTCTAGACGAAGCAACATCATCATCCTCTCCAGCGACTAGTTTCTTGGGAGGTGCGAATAGAAGCTCATCATCCTCAGCGTCCGACTCTGCGTGTGATGATGATGGTGCGTTATTCTCTATTCCTGTTTTCTCGGTGGGATCCGTGCTTCGCTTCGATTTCTTTACCTGTTTGGCTTTCTGCTTTTTCAGTGCTACTTCCCTTCTTTCTGCCTTCTTACTCGCTAGAACAAGGGTGGCCTGGCGCCCGTCTTGTTCTAAGTCGCGCAGATACCGTTGTTTATCCTCCTCGCGCAGATATTTAATACCCTGAGCATGACCTTGGGCATCGTCGATGACGTAGGCCACTCCTTTCTCTACCAGTAGTCTAGCTTCCTCGGGCATCAACTCCAGCGGCAGTCCTAGGAATACATTTTGCTGCGGGACCTGTGGCAGGGTCCCTACAAGGACGCCGCAGATGTTATATTCTCGGCGTAGGTATGTTACTGCATCAATCGAAAATAGGAAATAATGGCCTGATATTAAAGATATTGGAATTGGAAGCTCCGGTTCTTCTCCTGCAGCTGGGCAGGGTTTGTTGTCCATAGCTCATAGATATATACAATCTAGTGATGGATACTGGTTAGTTACTGATATCATTCAAACAAGATTCCAAGTAAATTGTAAACACAGAAGGCATATTGAATCATTAAAAGGTATACGTTTCTCAATCATTTGGTCCCATTTTTTGGGATTCAGGGGATTGACAGATTAAGTAATTGGAATAATCATATAAATGCACAAAAGGAGGACTGGATATAGGAAACATTTAGGACTTACCAAGCAGTTATCACCCTCGATGAGGGATGTTTGAATATTTTCAATCTCGTCGAGAAATTATTTTTTCGCTGTGGAAGAAAAAGAACAGATATATTTAGTCGAGTCACATGACTCCAGGCCTCATTAGTCAGCATATATTTATCCCGTTTGGGAAGCTTTGAGATATCAACGACGAAGCTGAGAAGAAGCTGAGGAGCTGGTGAGAAGCTGTTGATGGCTGCTGGAAGGCTGAGTATATGGTGCAACGATGAATTTACTATCGATACTGGCTATTGTTCTCCTATCCTTGCTTCTACTTCTAATTGGTACGTCTATATACCTCATCTAGGCTTTCATGGAATAAGACCTAACACCACTCATATTAGCCCTTTGGACTATCCGCTTCTGCTTGAGAACGGCGTTTGGGAGTCGGGATGTCGACTTTCGGTTAGATCCTCGGGGCGGAGTATTCGACCGTAACTATTTACGGACAATGGCCAGTGGCGGTCCAGCTCTTTCAGAACAGATCGAGCTGGACGAGATGTTGAGTGAGCCGATCACTTACGAACGGGATCATGATGACGAAACGGGTTATAAACGGAGTTAGCAACCCGCTGCCCCTGTTTAAAGGATTAGAACTCCAGGTCCGCCTTTTTAGGCCCGGAAGATGCATCGTGTTGTTGCGCATCGTTGTCACCGTCTACCGGAGGCAACGAGAATGGCTTGATCGCAAACTTCCTCCTACTCAGCGTGAACGCCCAGTCTTCACCCACATTTTTGTCCATGCCGCCTCCACGCTCGTGCAATATTGGAAGTCGATGCACCTTGAGCATTCCCTGCGGAGGCTCTTCCTGATTTGTGGCTGCCCCGGAACTAGCCAAAGAGCTCGCGTCGAGAGTGTGCGGGAATGGAGCGAGTTCGATAACCCCGTCAGATAGCAATTCTATCCACCGGACAAGGCCTGAGGATCGGGGATAGAGAGATATCGGGAGCGTTATCATGGCCGTTAGCCTATGTGCGTGGGTGGAAAGGAGGGCGCGGATGCCATGTAAGAATTGAAGGACGTGCTCGGGCTGGCTCGCGTGAGGTGTATACAAGGCGGGTGAAAGTAAGGAAGGAACGATGAGTCTGTGGACAGTATTGGCTGGCGAGTTATCTATCGCAGTGGATAGCTGTCGGGTTATGGATGAATACGGCGAGTCCTGGCTGGAGGTTGGCTTTGAGAGTTGTATGAAGTTTATGGACGGGATAGACGGATGGGTTAGGCGTTTTGTAAGGTCGAACGCATGGCAGAATACAGCTGGCGCATTGCCCTGAGCGAGCTGCTGGGAATCAGAATTCGAATCCGCAGTTGCAGCCGGGACTATATAGGAATCAGATCAGTTCATCTAGGCTCATAAACCAGATTGCGAGTTTGAATCCCGTACCTCTGGAGCCGGCAATCCCAAGCCCAAACCCTCCCAGCCGCTCATATCTCCAGGCAATTTTCATTTTATCATCCTTACTCCTACTACTAGACTTGTTTTCAGAAGCTTCGGTGGCTCCAATAAGTCCTGGTAGTGTAGCTGCCCATTGCCTGTCAAACCCCACTACGTGAACTCGATGCTCTTGGACGACGCCCTCTGCTGCATAATATCTCAGCAACGCCCCGGCGAAATCGGTTGTACCGCTCTCCTCGACAAGGAGCGAGCTCCCCAGGGCCAATCCTGCATGGCCGGCTAGCAGATTATCTAGAGTGGGAGTGCCTGTGGACGTAGTTTGACGGCCGTCGACGGGTGAGGGGCGTAACCCGGGCATCGGTGCTGGTTTGACATGCTGGGCCGGCGCATTCGACGAAGGGTCGCGGGCTGTGCCAGACGAGAGGCCTATATTCCTCTTGCGAAATGACATCTCTATCTGCGTGGAATAAGTGTTTCAGTATGTCATGATATCAAGTTGTTTTCTTCGTGCTTTTTGAGGCTGGATATTTCTCTCTAAAAGCGGCTCCACAAGAAAAGCTAAGGGCAGCATCGTCGATATCAAACAATTTCCATCGCCAGGGCCAAATTCACCAAACTCGCCGCGCTCGAAGAACCCAGGAAGCAGCTGCATATAGCTATACCTTAGCCGTTCAATAGACGGAGGAGAAGACAGAGAAGAGAGCAGAAGCAGGATTACAGGGAGGTTGAATACCCGTCTCGTCCACAATGTCAGACCCGATCCTTTTCGAAGACACCTTCAGCATCACCTCCATCAACGCTCAGAAATATGACCGCGTCTCGCGCATCAGCTGTACGTCCACGGACCATCTTCTCACCTTCACGCTGGATGTGAATACGGAGCTGTACCCATGCGCTCCTGGAGAGTCACTGTCGTTGGCTCTGGCGTCGACGTTATCGCTAGACGGTAAAGAAGAAGCGACTGGCGAAAGAGCTGCATGGAGAGATGTAGGAATGGGAGAGAATACTCTTGCGAATGACTACGACTACGTCTGCTACGGGAAGGTTTATCGCTTCGAGGAGAGCGGTACCGCTGGTAACATGTGGGTTTGAAATTCCTGATCCTTTTTATCTGGTTTCTGGTATACTGATAGGCATTATCTACAAAGGGCTGTTTTCGTTTCCTTCGGCGGCCTCCTTTTGTATCTCGATGGCCCGTACAACAAACTCAGTCCGCTCAAGATCGATTACGTCTACCTCCTTATGAAAAAATAGGCACCTCCAGGAAGGTCAGATTTTACCAAACCGCCGTTTCGCCTAGAAAAAAACCACTTGGTCTTGCGTATTATGTCGACTTATTGAATCAAACACAATGGAGATGAAAAGTCTGGTCTTTATGTTTTGGGTTTGGTTTGCATGAGCGCTGGCGTCTGAGTTAGAAGTGGGATGAAATGGTCATCCCAAGACACGGCCCTTGGATATATGTCTATCTATTAAAGGCTGATTGAAACAAGATCCAACAGGGAGAAAAAAGGAGGCCACAAGCCGAAGAAAGATAGGTTAGGCAGTAGGGAATTCATGGCGGCGATGTATCCTTGCCAATATTTCTAGATAGTCCCTCTCGTTCTCCGGCGTGAGGAACCCGTGTCTGATAAAGAAATCTATGAGAACAAGGGCGCAATTTGGTTTAAATTCGCCATTCGACAATGCCTCCTTTACCTGTTCGATACTCCATAGCTGGAACTCCTCCACCTCGGTATCGCACGGTTTGAGCACCACACTAGGGTCGAGCGGCAGGTCATAGACATACTCGCATTCCGGCTGCAACAGTCCTGTCTCACCACCGGCCCTCTCGTCACGGACATAGGTATACGTTATGCATCCACAGGACTTTGCGTCTCGTCGCACGATGTCTTCTGGAAGTGATGCTTCTTCCATCGCCTCGCGGACCAGGCTTTCAAAGGGTTCTTCTCCGGTAGCGATCCCACCGCCAACGGTATTGTCTAGCATTCCGGGATACGTCTGCTTTGTCCTCGAACGTCTTGGAACCCATATCTGAATACCCTTTTCCGGGTCTTTGGTATACGCCGTCATATGAACTCCATAGCTCAGAATCCCAAACAGGCTGCTACCCGCTCGTTCAACACTGGCAACCAGTTCCTTTTGCGGGCCGTAGATTGGGTATAGCTCATTCCGCCAGCCCTTGAGAACCTCAAAATTCCCACTCTTCGCAGCTGTCTCTAGAGTCTGGGCTAGGACGGCACTTCGCTCGGCCTCCGTAGCACCCTTGGGAACAAGCAGTGTAACCGTCCGTGATTCACTGTCAACGTCCCAGTGTTCCTTTGGCCAGGGGAATTTCTCCACTATAGAGTTGAGGACGAGTCCAAAAGTTTCATTGTAGCCAGAGATCTTGAATGCATGGTAGTTTGCTATATATTTCTGATAGTCTGCGGGGTTGTCATGGTAGTAAGGGAATCTACTCCGACAGTTAGACTAAGGGATCACAATTAGAGAATAAACACTCACGCATCACACTCATTGATAAGATCCAGGTTGGACTTCCCCATCTTTGCAAGCAGTCAGCCAGAACGTCGCTGTCTTCGTCTCTTTCTTCCTCTTTCATCTTGTTCATCCATCCACTTGAATATATATAGTCACGTGGTCATATCATGATCTCATTGTGCAGTCTTTTATCGATAAGCATCCTAGTACCTTTTTTTTTGTTTTGATCGCTTGGTTTCTTCCATCTTCGACGCGGATCTAGCATAAGACCTGATGATATCCCCTGGTTCGCCGTCCGTAGAGGACCCTAGCAGCTCACGTACGACCTCTATACCCTGCCACTAACGCCTGGGCTTAGCTTGTGAGAGTTGAGACTCGAGTTAAACCGTCTCTCACTTCTCCCAGCCGTCATTCGTTCTCTAGAATCATGTTTTCTGTCGTCCTACCAGGAAGGCCATGTCTCACTGAAGCCGTTCCAATACAGCCAGACCCTAATACGCCTCCAACGAACTTTGCATTCACATTCCCAGCTGCGCCAAAATTCTCCCATATCGTTGTTTTCCTGTTACCGGGAGTCACCCTTCCTTCAGATGCCGCTGCCGCAGTGTACATACAGTTCCCAAACCAGTCTTCGAACACAACCCTGGGCAATGGGCAGCAACAGCAGCAACCCGAGTTCCGCTTCCTGGGAGCAATCGCCAACGAGAAGCCGTCAGCCATATTCAAAGTCAGCATCCCCGGTTCCCAGAAGCCAATGACAGAAGCAGAGCAGGAGAATGAAATGATGGACGAAGGGGCCGCTAATGTAAACGTTGCTAATCCAAATGCCACCATCACCTTGGGGATATCAATCGAGTCAACTCAAATGGTTCGCGAGAAGCTGGCTACCTTGCAACAATCACAAGCGCAGCCGTCGACGGGCATGGAGCTCGTGAGGCTGGCTGGTCAATCATCACCACGACCAAACGTGTCGACGAAAGTTCTAGCACAAAGGATTATTGGAAATGCATTTAATTTCCTCGCTAGTTTTGCGGCATCAGACCCCCGAGCACAGGGGGAGGAGGTCGTCCCACTGAAAAGCTTTAGGGACTGGTGGGCGAAATTCGAGAGAAGGATCGATTCTGATCCAGGATTTCTAGAGAGAGAAGGCAACTGAGAAAAAAATATCTAATGATAATCGGTGGCAACGGATGCAGGGCTGCATATTTTATGACTGGTTTGAAGAGGAGGCTGTATGATTTATAATTCGTGCGATGGTGATATGTTTATTTGCGTATTCGGTCTCTTGATCAGCGGTGGAAGGCTCTCGGTCTATCGTCTTGGGTATAAAAAGTCCGTTATATGATGTGTGACGTCCATCTTCCGGGTGCCAATGGCCCATCAGACATGCTGCTGGATAATATACCCATGATCTTTTTGTCCAGCGGTTTAACACTCTACTCTTTCTAGCTAAAGAGTTTCTTATTGGCACTATTAGCTCTTTTTGAGCCGTATTGAAAACTAATCTGATCGGCTTTTACCAAATTATTCTCGGCCAGCTCTAGCAATATAAAGTAGAGGTATTCAATTTGCACTGCTTGTCGTAATTTCATATATACGTATACTTTATATCTCGTCTACTTGTCTAAAGTGTATAGAACCCGCCTCTTGACCATTTAGCAACATCCGAGATGTCTATCCCTTACTCTTCAGCCAAGAACTTCACAAATGCTTGTCCAATAAGGACGCCATCCTGTTTGTTGCCAATGACTTTCATGGCCTCATCGAAGACGTCTGGGGGGTAGTTTGCCTTTCTGGTCTGCATAATCTCCATAACTATATCTTTGTCGAACTCGGGATGACCTTGGACGGAGATAAATTTACGGGGAGAATACATGCCTTGGATGGCACACTTGGGAGTCGAAGCGAGGCAGACGACGTTCGGCGGGAGATCAAACACGATGTCACGGTGCATTTCCATGATGCTCTATTCATTCAGAATCACGTTAGTTTATCCGCCTTCAATGCCATCGGTGTATGAAGGTCTATCAAAGGTAGACATACCAGTTGTTCCACGCCAAATATCTCCTTGCCCTTGTCGGTCAGGGTGAGAGGATGTACAGCTGCCTCCCAGCCTGCGTCACTACGACCGACCTTGACACCAAGCGCTCGTCCGATGATCTGATGGCCGAAGCACACTCCGATCACTCGAACTCGGTCCTGGGCGAGGGCTTTTGCGGTAAACTCGACGAGCTTCACGATCCAAGGCGTGGAGTCAAAAGCATCGGACTCTAGGAGAATATTCATATTAGCATCCATAGACGATTTTGATAGATATGGAAATAGACAACATACTCGACCCGGTGATCAGGATAGCATCAACATCCTCCAAGGCCGGATAGGCCTCTTTCACGACGTCATACTCAGATACTTCCAATCCAGCTTCAGGATCGATGATATCTGGTCTGTTCAAGGCCTTCGTGGACTCTCCCAGCAGGAACTTGAACAAACCGCCGAAAGTTCCGTATTTTTCCTCCGTCTTAGGCAGCGGATAGTCGCACTTAAGGACGGCAACGCGGATTGGACGTCTCATCTGGCCGGTTCTTCTTCTGAGCTTCTATCTAAGAATCAGACTTGCTGGTGTCGGAGCAAACTCGGGAATGCAGCATCCCCCACTGAAGTGATGAAGGTGACACGCCCTTTGCCTCCTTTTGCGCCGGAACTCAAAGCCGGGGGAGGGGTGAGGGGCTCTTTTTCTTTTTATACGGAGATGGAGCCGTTTAACTAGATAATCTGGTGGTTTGGTCCACAGGTTGGATTCTACCCAGATGTCCGGCATCAAACCCCTTCCACGATATACTCTACCCCCGACTCTTCTCTTCTCTTCTCTTCTCTTGAACAAGAATCAGGAATCAACGGCAGTAGCTTACTCATCATTAGGCTGGGATTTGGATTGCAGCTGTTCAGGAACAGGGGGCAAAGGAGTCTATTGCCATACGGAGGACAGGACTTCGATAGTGACATGCATCTCTATACCTAGATCATCTGAGCGATCGACTTGGAGAGAGAGATAAGATGGTTCACCTCGTATGGCTCCACGCAAGCGATGGCCGGCTTGCTAGCATCTGAGAATATACCATTTTAGGGCGTTCCACATCCTGGCAAGCAGCGGTCAATCAGTCAATCAGCGTCTTTATCAAAAAAATTAGCCACAGGATATGCGGTATCCTGTGCGACTCGCGGTTCCTTCGGCATAGTATTTCGTAATATGCGAAGGATGGCTGAATATAAAAAGGCCAGGGGTTGGCCGTGTGCTGCTGGATCGAGCGTGTTGACTGCTGTCGTTGCGGTCAACGTCCATCTGAAGCCACAATCCAATATCGTACGGGGCGCCGCCGGACGATACACCCAGACTTCAGCATGACCGCTCCAACGTCTAGACATGATGCCGATGAGACGACGTCCCTTCTTCGCCCAGGGTTCAACGATGCGGCGTCAGCTGTCGTCGACGAGGAGGCTGCAGATTTCGACCTTGCCAAAGTCCAGTCCATCGTCAGTATAGGCGGAACCGAGCCATTTCCAGACCTGATACCTGGCGACAGCCCTTATGCATCAACCGAAGCGAAGCCAGATGCACATCCTCACTTTATCAACGTCACTCACGCGGAATTCTGGGGAGTGTTCTCCGGTATTCTCTTCTCCTGGCTGCTGGCGAACTTCGACTCGACTCTGATGGCCTCCATTCACCCGGCCGTGACTTCGCATTTCCACGCAGCCAACTCTGCATCATGGCTTTCTACCGTCTTTTTGTTAACTTCCACCGCATTCCAGCCCGTGTTTGGTCGAATCTCAGATGTCTTTGGCAGACGACCGGTCTATCTATTTGCGGTTGTTACATTTTTCATTACGACGGCATGGTGTGCTACCGCTCAGAGCATCGGCAGCTTCATTGCTGCTCGTGCCATTTGTGGCCTGGGAGCTGGAGGGGTCATATCGGTCGGAATGATCATCAGCTCTGATCTTGTCCGCGTTGAATATAGAGGGACATATCAGTCCTATCTCAACCTTGCTTACGGGACCGGTTCGTCACTTGGTGTTGCTTGCGGCGGCTATATAGCAGACACCCTAGGATGGAGAGCTGCCTTTGGCATACAACTACCCTTCATCTTTCTTTACATGGTGTTGGCATACTTTACGGTCCCTTCGACTCTAGGCCCAGAGTTAGCCCGTAATGAGGGTTGGACCCTTAAACAGGGGATCAACACTCTCGACCTAAAGGGGTCGTTTTTGCTAGTTAGCGGAGTTACAACTTTGTTGCTGGCAATGAATCTTGGAGGAAACGTTCTACCATGGCATCACCCACTGGTGATATCGTCCCTCGTGATGTTTTTCCTTTGCGTGGTGCCATTTCTGATGGTGGAAGCAAAAGCCACACGACCCGTCATGCCGTTGGAACTCCTATCCAAATTCCCCCAGGCTAATCTGATCATTTCAAATTTCTTTGGAAACATGGTCATAAATACTGTCTTATTCAACGTACCGCTATTCTTCCAGGCCGTGAAGCTAGAATCACTAACTACCTCTGGGCTCAGGATTCTTACATCTTGCCTGGCACTCACGGTAACCAGCGTCTCCACGGGGTTTTTCATCACCTGGAGTCGACGATTGAAACCCACGATTATACTGGGGAATGTCTGTTTCGTCATTGCAGGTATAGTCACCGGCTGCCTGACAAGGAGTACTCCAGGCTGGCTGGCTATGCTCGCTCTGATCCCTTCTAGCTTCGGCCAGGGATTCGCATTCCCAACAACATTGGTGTCTACACTTGCTATTAGCCCTCAAGCGGAGCAAGCTGTCACCACTACCACCCTTGGGCTGTTCCGAAGTTTAGGATCAGTCTTTGGTATTGCGGTCAGTAGCTGGACACTCCAGAACTCCCTTCTGTTCTATCTCAAGCAGACGGTCACGGGCGACGATAAAGCAGACATTATTAGACGGGTTCGCGAGTCCATTACCGAGATATCTCACCTGGATCCAGTCCATCGGGACCAGGGTATGTTGAACTTTGGCCTCTCTACATATGTTTTCAATAGTCCTCGATGCTGACAAGGCCTGTTCTAGTTATTGGAGCGTACGAGCAGGCGCTCCGCCTAACCTTTATAATTGGCGTCCTCTGGGCCTGGGTGTCACTGTTCATCGTGCTGCCCGTCAAGCTGCCTCGCCTAGGCCGAAAGCCATGAGCTCTACATTTTCAGTAGTCCGTTCAGATATATCACATGAGGCGTGGTGTTTTATTTGACAGTTTTAGAGTACAGGGGCGTACTATTTTTTGGCAGCTCGCTCCATGCATCCGTACATGCTCCATAGAGAGGACAAATTCGGCTAAAAGTACATTCATTCTTAAGCATATAACCCCATTTGACCATCCGATCACCCGCCTATTTAGTAGCACGAGAATAAAAAAAGAAAGAAAAGCTGGATGTTTGTCCCCCCCCCAGGCCAGATCCGAATGTGATCTCCTAATCGTATGCTCAACCCCAGGAAAATTGGATGATTACTCTCATCGCCGTCGAATAGAAGGAGAGAATGCATCTCGATCGAAGTTCATCATAATTAGAAAACGAAAGTCTAGCTCCCAAGAACCGTAACCTTGGGTTACCAGGCGTAGAACGTTACCTACTGGCAAGGGGGCGGTCCTGGGCCTATATTTCCGAGTTTTAAGCTAGGGAGTGTGATGGTATTTCTTGTGCTTCTCCAGCTCAACCAACCCGCCGTCTTCAATGGACACCGCACTCGATATATTCACCTCTGACCTCCCGGAGTAAGGCCCTGTCCGATTCGACGCGTGTTTATATATGCATATATTGATTAACAGATCTCCCCGTCTCTAGATACGAAGCCGACTACGCCATTCGTGGGTGCGAGTTACCAAGATCCCATCCGACGCAGCTTGCAAGTACGACATCCAGTACTAAGCCCTATGGGCCGTCCGAATTGACCAGTCATCATTGAGGTGGATTGCAGATATCCGCGGCAGGATTTGCGACTGTTAGCCTGATCCCCCGGCTGGCAAGCTGAGAATGCGATAGGGTTGGCAATTCGAACGAACGGGGACTCCCACACGCAACTCCCCCGTCGCCTAGCCGATTAGAAGCAGAAGGGCGCTCGGGAATAGGCATCTTTGGATATTCCCACGGTATCTAGCCTACTCGTATGAGTTAGATATCCATGGCATCCGGTCTTGGTCGGCAATTGCTGCAGGACAACGACTTCGACTCGCCACTAGCCCTGTCACCCTCGAATGCGATACCTTCGCTGGCCGAAAGTAATGAGATCAGAGGCTCCTATCAACTCCTACCAGCCGCTCAGGGCACTGGGCAGGGAGCTGGGCAGCGGAAGAATAACGGGAAGAAAGATGCTGGTGGAGGAGATGAGGCTTCGGCAGCTACAACCGCAGGCGGCAGCCCAAGTACGGCAAAGGCTGCGGCGACGCCAAAGCCGAAGCGAGTCAGAACGGGGTGCTTAACCTGCAGAGAACGGCATCTCAAGTGTGACGAGGCCGTCCCACGATGTCTGAATTGCCAGAAATCGGATAGAAAATGCAAGCGTGGTGTGAGGCTCAATTTTATTGACACACAGGTTGCTGCACCGCCATATGCTGCGCCTTCTCCCCAGACATGGCAGGTGAACTTCCGGGACGAGTCGAGAGAGATAGCTTCTGAGTACTTGGGCGGATCTGAGAGGTACCATCCTATAAGAAACGAAGAGTTCATAAAGGCGCCAGGATTCGGGTTTTCGAATATGATGGGATTTCCAATCTCTTCCCATCAGGGCCTAACCAATGCGCCGTCCCTACTGTCATTTCCTGAAGCCCCGTCCGCTGAAGGGTATGAATCTATGTTTCAGACTACTCAACAATCATCTTCTTCTAACCATGTAGTTCAAGATCACCCCATGCCACAACCACCTGTGCTGACACTGAAACCACCAAGGGACCCAAGGCCGTGTCTAAATTCTCCGGAAGAGGTGCTTCTTATGCAGGTATTTGTGGAAGAGGTCGGGCTATGGATGGATTCAATGGATGCCATGAAACATGTACGTATCCCGAATCAAGTACTCTGTTCATCTACATGCTCGGAAATAAGGCTTACTTACTTACTTGTGTAGTTTACCCGTATCATACCGTTCTATGCTCTAGGCGAGCCAATGCTACTGAATGCTCTTTTAGCATGTGGTGCTCGCCATTTACATCTTGTAAATTCGACATACAAAGAGGAGAAAGCTTTATATTACTACAATTCGGCCACCCAAGATCTTCTCAGATATCTCCAAAACCCTAATCGCGACTCTGCACTTTCCGCTACCACAGCTGTTGTCCTCAATGTTTATGAGATCATGTCAACGAAGGCGACGCAGCGGATGAACCACATAGCTGGCGCTCGAGCTCTCATCAAGGAATGCCATTGGGACGGGAAATCACCTGGAGTCGGTGGTGCATGCTTTTGGCTAAATGTCGGGATGGAACTACTAAGCTGTCTTCATTATAATTGGAGGTTAGCTTGGGACCCAGATACCTGGGGTGTGGACATGAATATGATCCCAGCCCATCCGAATATCGTCGGCAACGAAGAATTATGGACACACAGAATTGTATATATCTGTGCAAAGGTCGCTAACTTTCGAGCAACGACCCCTCAGCCTCTGCTGCATGATAGGCAGAGCCATGAGGTTGACCTAGGCCGTCAAAGCGATGAGTGGAATAGAATAAAAGACTGGTGTGATGAGTGGGAGAGGTGTGTTCCTCGATCGATGCGGCCGCTTGGGTACCTGCAATCATGGCAGTCAAAGACGAAGTCGTCTTTTCCCGAGGTTTGGTGAGTTCACCCACGCCCCTTGAGTAGGGCAGCTCATATTTGTCTATATGGCCATCACACTTATGCTAATCAGGATTAGGTTGGTAAAACGATCTTCTGTTGTGGCTCGATTGTTTTATCACACATCCTGTCTTCTCCTTGCGAAAATTCATCCTACGGAATCCCAATTTAGCGAAGCAATGCTTGCAACGCAACAAAGCCACGCGTATGACATATGTGGCATAGTGGCTCATGTTAAAGATAGGTAAGGTTTGCCCTGATATCTAACCACTGGCTTAAATGTTGCAAATTCTCTGTTCGTCCAATATTTATTTGTAGGCAATACTGATTTTTTTTTCTGTCCAGAGGGGTCGCTAGCGTTTCCATTCGCTGCCTTATTATTGCAGCTGAATGTCTTGTCAACCGCGTCTCGCAGGAACAGGTACTGGAAATCATGGGCAAAATTCTTAAAGAGACAGGATGGCAAATTGGCTCTCTCCAGCAGGACTTGGTGGAAAAATGGGGATGGAATGTCAAAGCCGACCAGGCCCAGGTGATACCACAGGACCAGCACCAGCACCAGCAGCATCAACACCAACCTACAATATCTTCGATTCCCACAACTACCACCACCGCATCCTCCTTAAATCTGAACTCTTCACTAGTACCCCCCGAGGTAGAGCTTGCCCCACCTCGACCTAGTATGCCGCAGGGGATTGTAAATCCAATGATGGCAGCTGCAGATTTTAATGCAGCAAATCATCCATATCAAAGCCATTATGTTGCACCACAAAACAATCCCCAGGGCAACTACCAATATGGCCACTATTGATTCTTTCGACGAACGATGAGTGAGAGGTCGGAAATTGCATGGGTTTTGGAAATTTTTACCATGGTCTTCCCCTATCTATTTCCGCCTAAATAGATGGCGCACGATTTTCAAAGACGGAAACCAACGCCCTCTAACTCTAGTTTACTATTAATATATCATTCTCGGTATCATTTTCTTTCCGGTCATCCTCATTCTCTGGCGTTTTGATGGACCAAAATTTACAGATTTAATATTTTCGTTACTGTTGTTAAGGCTTCCGGTGGGCGAGTTCATGAGTTTTGTATGTAGATATCAGCGGGCTTGGAACGGCACGGGACTCAGAGCATATTGTTTTTCGAGGAAATGGGAAATGAAATGCATATATGTTATATTACCGTCTCTCTCTATTTCCCTCTCTAGAGTACATATTCATTACTCCCTTGGTGCATTTGTAGATGAAGTTCTAACCTACGCTCAATAAATAGCCTAACGTTGACAAAGGAACAAAGGCCAAGACTCTTTTCTCAATCAACTTCAACCAATATAAAACTACATTTAGCAAACAACCATACCGGTTATGTAAAGAGACCGTATGATCGTTCGGTTTAAATCCACCTAGGAGATAATAATAACCCCCTAGCAATACCTTTCCCCGATTGATCTTCCCAGGAACCATGGCAACCGAGGAGTCGTCGTCCTTCGCCAACAAAAGCTCGTCTGAGCAAGGACAGAAACTCCCCCCTGCCACCCCTATTTATGTTCTTAGGGGGCATACGAGCCCAATACACTCCCTCAACTTCTATAGCAAGAACTCCAGGCTCATTTCTGGCGATGCTGACGGATGGGTGGTTGTGTGGAACATGACTAGCAAGCGAGCGGTTGCATGCTGGAAAGCTCATGACGGGGCCATCTTAGGTGTTACTGGAGTTGGCGTTGAGCTTCAAGCCGGTCTAGAGAAGAGAATATTTACGTGGGTTTTTACCAGATACTCCAGTCTCTATATACGCATCACTAACATCTTGTTATATGACTTTATGTGAGTTTAGACATGGGAGAGACCATAAACTCTGCGTCTGGAGATTGAATGACAAAGATGAAGATGTCGTGGGAAACAAATTACCCGTTGACACGCAAAGCGACGACCAAGAGCGGAATGAACCATGGCTAATCCATTCTCTTTCCGTCAATGCTTTGAACTTCTGTCCTTTTGGGTACTGTTTCCTCCCAGCAAAGAATGAGCCTCAGCCCGGAGGGGCCGTCGAACCTGAAGGACAATCTAAATCACCATTACCGCCTCAAATGCTTCTTGCTGTTCCAAATGCCTTGAATACCGGTGGGCTTGATATTTTCCATCTACCCTCTGAGAGACGCCTATGTGTTATCTCACCAGACGACAAAATCAACACTGGTATGGTCATGGCTCTTGAAATATTCATTCCTCCTCAGAGCGATGAAATATATATCGTTTCTGGTTACGAGGACGGAAGTGCAATGGTTCATGCTTGTCGAGGGCCAATTGATTGTTCAGCCACGGCGGAACAGGCACAGCCTGGCTCATCGTGGAGTTGGGAGTTATTATACACAAGCCGCCCGCACTCACAACCGGTCCTGTCTCTCGATATAACACCTTCCTCGGAAAGAGATTACTTTATCACGTCATCCGCCGATGCAATGATTATAAAGCATCCAATTCCAAAACTGCCACCCCTAGAACCCGATGTCACCAATATAGGTAGTGGAGTGGAAACAATGCATTTGAAAACTAATAATACCAAACATGCCGGACAACAAGGGTTGAGAATCCGGTCTGATAATAAAATCTTCGCCACTGCTGGATGGGACAATAGGATTCGAGTTTACAGCTGCAAGTCGATGAAAGAATTGGCAGTTTTGAAATGGCATAAAGAAGGATGCTACTCTATCGCACTTGCGGACGTTGACATGGATGCTAGTGACATAAAAATCTCCGATACCACAGACACCAGTTCAAACCAAGAAAGTGACAGCACCGCACTTATATCCAGGAATGAACCGCGTTCGCTTTCTGCTATCAAGCAACAGAGAAGTATCAAAGCGCAATTAACGCATTGGATTGCAGCTGGCTCGAAGGATGGAAAAATCTCGCTATGGGATATATACTAATCGGATATACATACAACACCGCTCAAACATGAGAAATATTTTCGCCGTCTACTCATTGCGTCTACTCTTAGGCAATATTGAACTCGTTCGCTGCCGTCATGTGCTCTCTCATCTTCTTCCGCATCCTTTGAGCCGCGCTGTCATTGCTAGGGCCGGAATCATTCTTCTTATCACCAGCGCCGATCGCCCTATTGGCCTTGAATGCCTTCGTCGTTTCCTCCTTGCCAGTTCGAAGACCAGGAACGTTGATCTTTGTTGGTCTATCTCGTAATCCGAACCCTTTCGCCAAATGACCTAGATGAAGATCCTTTATGTTGAAAAATTCCCTCTCGCTAGCAATATGAGTCGCGTACGCACGAATATGAGACTGGAACGCCCGTCGAGCCATTTCAAGGATGGTGGGATTATCCAGGGTCCAACGCTCTATATCTAGCTGGAATTCAGTGGCAGCCTCTTCCCATCCCTTGCCTGCGGCGTTGTTGTTCCTGCCAAACCCTCGCTTCAGGATGTCGTTCGCATCACTGCGAGTCACAGCCTTGTCATTATCATCACGATACCCACGTTTTAAAACTTTGATATAACCTTCTTCACTCCCGGGGAGAAGAAAGATTAAAGCGCGACCATCACGCCCTAATCGAGCTGTACGTCCGATACGATGAAGGTGATCATCAGCGGAAAATGCTGGATCATACTCGATGACAAAGTCGACGTTTGGTAGATCGAGACCACGGGATGCGACATCTGTGCAGATTAATACGGAGGTATCCTTTTGTTTAGCGAATGCGGCAAGCGTAGCGGTTCGAACGTGCTGGGGAAGTGAGCCATGGAGCTTATGTAGAACTACCGAGTTTGTCGGATTTGATAGCGTTGGGCATTGAGCCACAGTGCCTTGTAAAGATGCATTAGGAGCGGGTGCCTCTTCGGAATCCGAACCTTCCTCCTCTTTCTCATCGTTTTCTTCTTTATCCTCTTTTCCTTTTCTCTCTCTTTTCTCCTTCTTCTCCTTCTTCTCTCTCTTCTCTTTCTTCTCCTTGTCACCACCTTCGTCTATAGCAGGTTTGTTTGGCTTCCTGCTAAATACCTCGAAATGGTAGTCCACAGAATCCGCACAAGAAACAAATACAATAGCCTTCATAACCGTCCCCTTGCGTGCAAAGGTACTTTTAAGGAGTGCTGTTAAGGCGACAAGCCGAAGTTTCGATGCAACTATCGCGAACGACTGCTTAAGTTGAGCTGGTGCTGAGAATTCCGAGTCCTTCTGTGCACCGCCGGTTTCAGAGGCGTTTTCTTCCGCTTCGTCGGCCGGGTCAGCCTGTATGTGTACAGCGTCCTTCAAACTCATCTCCCCCAAACGTTGAACATTCATCTTCAACGTAGCAGAACATAATATTGTCAGTCTCCTCGAAGGAAGGTTTGCAATCTTTGACGTAGGCCGCCTTTTTGAGTCCAGCTTTTTAATTATTCCTTGAATCTCTTCTTCGAAGCCCAATTCCATCAGTCTATCACCTTCGTCTAGCACAAGCCACCTAACAAGGCCCACGTCAAGGACTTGGGTATTATCTAGATGATCTGCAAGTCGTCCGGGAGTCGCAACGAGGATGTTCAGCCCCTTTCTTAGCCTGGCCTTTTCTGATTTTTTCTTCTCTCCACCAATAACGGTACCGGCCACGAGCCAGTGGGCACAATTCAACAATCCATCAAGCACCACCGATATCTGTTTGCAAAGTTCTCGTGTTGGCGCAAGGATAATCGCAAATAAACCAGAGTCCCTATGGATTGGAGTAGATGACCCTTGACCTCCTTCTGCGCTTTTCGGGCCAGACAAGTCCATTAACCGCTGAACCAAGGGCAGAAGGTATGCCAATGTCTTTCCAGAGCCAGTCTCCGCCTGTATAAACCCATCGCAATTTTCCTTCAATAGCTGTGTGATCGAACTCTTTTGAATAGCGGTAGGGTTTTTCAAGTTTAATTTCGTCAGTAAATGCGCCGCTAGTTCTGGCGACAGGCCGAGGGAGGTGAAGGTATCAATTCCGTCAACAAGAGGGGCGTTAGACGCCTTTGGAGCTTCTGAATCATCTTGCGCCGCAGTCGCATCCGTTGGAGAGGCGGTCGTAGCAACGGGATTGTACGAGAAAAGCGACGAGATGACTTCTCTTTGTGGGCCATTAGCATATCTGCTGCTAGCATTATTCGGAGTCCCGGTTATCGTAGCACTGCTTGGTTGAAAATCCCCATTATTGAGTCTCTGTCGCTTGGGTGGACGGTTGGGCGCGCCTCCATGGTCTCTGTCTTCTCTTCTTGCGGCCTGGCTATTATCCCCTGCAGTATTTGGCTGTTGCGATTTTTTATGTCGATGGTCAGCGATTTTTTTGGCGACGAGACGGTCCTTCCACTTCCCGCCTCTAAATTTCTGTTGCGAGCTGATAATCCCGTCCCCCACGTCAAAGTTCATAAGCATGCCATCGTCCGCCATGATGAAGAGCAAGCGAGAGGAAGAGATAGCTGTTCGTTGTTCTGTCTGTTGCTCTGCCTGTCTTTTGGCTTGAAGAAGATGAAGAATTTAGGGTTTACAGAAATTTTGGTTAGTTTTTACCCTACTGCTGAGCCCTAATTTCCGCATTCGGCCAATATGTAGACTATGGACTTCAATTAAATAGCAAAAGATTATGCATTAACACTCTAGTAATAGGTATCTGTCTATCCAGGCTTCTTCCTTTATAACAGCAGTATATCCTCCCAGCGTAGGTAAACACAAGTCCACCATGGCGTAACCCAATGAAGGAAATCAAGACGAGGGCTGCAAGATAATGTTATCAATCAGTCTCACGGGAACCGAGCCTCCTCCAAGTCCGCAGTCTTCCCCCGGCTGTGGCTCTTCCAATGGATGCATCTTCACGGCGCCGCTCAAAACCGCGCCCCTTGATTCATCAACACATTCTAACTCATCCAACGAACACGGGTCAGCGAGAGAGATGTAGTCCACCTCGAATTTCACTCGCTTAGATGCAGGAAGAAGCTCTTGCTCTGCTAACACGGCATTTGCAATAGCATAGGCCGCTCCAAGAATAGCCATTCGTGATTTTTCTCCTGACCGATAGACACTCTCCGCCTCTCTTAGAGCGCGGGATAGAACGAGGCCAGCTTTCCGCCGTCTAGTGCCGAGGTACACGTTTCGGGAGCTCATCGCAAGGCCCTCTGGCTCTCTTGTGGTAGGGCCAACCCTAACATCGGTATCTATATGGAGATCCTGCACCATGCGCTTTATAATAATAGATTGTTGCACATCTTTCTGGCCAAAGTAGACACGGTCAGGAGTGAGAATGTTGAAGAGTTTGGTGCACACGGTAGCAACGCCACGGAAAAAGACAGGTCTCGAGGCGCCTTCGAGTTTATTCGCGAGTGGTGTTATCGTAACGAAGCTGCCGTCCCCGTTCAACTCGGAGGTGGGAGGCAGAGTGGGATAGACGACTTTGGTAGTGGGGGCAAAAATTGCTGTGATACGGCCAGAATTAGACGCTGCGTTTGCTCCAAACTCCGTGTTCAACGTTTCTAGTTTCTGCAAGTCTTCGTTCCATGTTCGAGGGTAGCTATCCAGATCCTCGTTTACACCAAACTGGGTCGGGTTCACATATATGCTGACAACAACATCTGTGTTTTCTCGGGCAGCTTGTCGAACTAGCGATATATGGCCATCATGCAGAGCGCCCATTGTAGGTACAAAGCCCACCGTCCGGCCGGAGAGGAGGAGGTCTCTCCTGTACTTCCGAACCGGTGCTACATCCCGAAAGACGGCGATCGTGGACTGGGAGGCGTATTGACGATAGCCGGCAAAGCCCTGAAGCTTTTTAGGCAGCACTAACAACGAATATATTAGCTACATACCATGATTTCGTTAACGGGGGCGCTCAATGGCTCACTTGAGACTCTTCTTGCCCACATCATGACTATGGCTAGGATTAATCTTTATCGAGCTCAAGGGTCAGATTCATCTAGAAAAAGAAAGACGGGCGTGGTTGCCAGCAGCTTCGGCTCTACATCCTAGGTCGATTGAAGAGTTTTCACAGTCAGCCCCAAGGCAGCTCGCGCATCTATCGTGATGTCTTCTGCGGCGTTGCTGTAATCCCTTTCCACTTTCTTCCTTACTAAAAAAGAAACTCCGGCGTCTTTTTTTCCGTTGGTCATGTGACACGACCCGCTGGCCCGAGGTTAGTTTGCGGGCAAATGAATCAGCAAAAGAAAGTACAAAAGGACGCAGGAACAGGAGGAACAGGCCAGGACAGGAACAGGAACAGGAGCAGCGCTGGCATAACGGCTGCAGACTGATATGAGGACGGCAGGCCTGCATGCGTTTTGGCTGTCTCTTCTCTTTTCTTCCGTCGCTATCTAGAACCACGACTGATATGCGGTGGACGAGGTAATTGACGTCTGTTTACCCCATACTCATACTCCATACTCTACTCCATACATCTCCATCTTAATCGCAAGAATGCCGGCAAAAGAAGCCGCTGGAGATGTTCCAAAGTTGGCGCCGGACCTTGAGATCGTGGGAGATCAGGTCAGAATCCAGCCAACTGGCTTCACGGGCGGGCTGGAAGGGACAGATGGCATCACGGAGCGACGGCTGATGCACCAGATGGGCCGATTTCGAGAGAACCCCTTCGACTTTTTACGAGAAATCAGCCTGTTCGTGTCAGGGACAGGGTGGCGTGCATACGACGATTTCATTGGCCAGCCTATCTTCTACTCCGGCTTCAGCGAGAAGATGAAGTCCTCGGTAGCTAGCCATTCGGCCCTTGTTAGCAAAATTGAAGAGCTGGCGGAGCTGCAAGTCAAGACCGAGGAGAAGGAAGGATTGTTAACCCTCACCTCCCCGGCCAGTTCGAGCTCTAACGGAGGGCGCAATGTTGACCCCCGCACCAGGAGGAAGGAGGAGATTGCGGCGAATCTACGAGAGGTCGTTGATACCATGTTGGATAACATGATTTGCAAGATGGAAAGCAAATCCTTTATCCGGGGAGCCTATTATGTCACGACACAGGCTTTAACTCGAGCGTACCATCAAGGTAGGTAGTTTGCTTCAGCTGTTTCCAGTGAACAAAATGCATAATAACAGATGTATAGGAATCCACGTGTCTAGTGAAGAAGTGCTACGGCTTAGGTCTGTCGCTGAAGAGGCAGCGAAGAAGAAACAGTCGATCGTTTTCTTGCCATGTCACAAGTCTCACGTCGATTACGCTTCTCTTCAGGTTATCTGCTACCGTCTAGGGATTGCGCTCCCTGTCGTTGTAGCTGGCGATAACCTGAATATTCCTCTACTGGGAAGCTTCTTGCAGCATGCAGGTATGTTTAGAGGTGATATTAAGACGTTTCGACCGTTTCTAATGATACTTTAGGTGCTATGTGGATTCGTCGCAAATTTGGTAATGATCCATTGTATCATGTGCTTGTTCAAGCATACATTGATACGCTCCTGAGTAACGGTCACAACTTTGAATGTTTCGTCGAGGGTGGTAGGTCTCGAACGGGAAAGCTGCTACCACCGAAATACGGCATTCTTAGATATATATTGGATAGTGTTGGTTCCGGTCGGGTGGAGGATGCGCTTATATGCCCTGTTAGCACGCAGTATGACAAGGTCATCGAGACCGAATCCTACATAAGTGAGCTCCTAGGCCAACCAAAACAGAAAGAGAACCTGAGGGACTTCATTTCAGCGTCATCTGTGCTATCTCTGAAACTTGGCCGGATCGATGTTCGATTCCACGAACCATGGAGTTTGAGAGAATTCATTACCCAGCAAACAACCAGAATACACCGAGCGCCCACTGAGAAAAACCTCATGTCGAACATTGGCGCTGATGAACGGGCTCGAATCCTTCGCACTTTTGGCTATCGTGTCCTTTCCCAGATCAACGATGCCTCGGTTATCATGCCCACTGCGCTTGTCGGTACGGTCCTCTTGACGCTAAGAGGTAGAGGCGTTGGTAAGGCCGAACTGTCTCGACGAGTGGATTGGCTATGTGGCCGTGTCAAGGAAAAGGGCGGGCGGGTTGCTCATTTCTATAGGGCACCGACGGAGCAGGTTGTAGAACGTGCTCTGGACGTGCTGGGCCCTAAACTTGTCGGGAGAACCGTTGGCCTTGCGGAAGAAACCTTCTATGTGGTTGATCGGTTCCAGCTATCCTTCTATCGAAACATGACTATCCACCTCTTTATCCCAGAGGCACTGGTGTCGGTCGCACTGTATAGTCGGGTCAAGCAAGGTGGTGGGCCTTCCAACCAAACAATATCTTACGACGAACTCCTTACCCAGGTATCATTTTTGTCTCAGGTATGTATCTTGTGTCTCCCAACCCATCACTATAGGAGCTAACGGATATGGCAGCTATTCCGAGGTGAATTTATTTTCCCTCCAGAAGGTCTAACGGCCAACCTTGAGAAGTCGCTGCTTGGCCTCGAACGGGGAAATGTGATCAAGGTTACAAGAGATGAATCGAATGTTCCCCAGATGATTGAACTCAGTGAACAAGAGCGTAAATGTGGTCGTGAAAACTACGATTTCTACTGCTTCCTCTTATGGCCGTTTATCGAGGCTTGCTGGCTTGGGACGGTTTCCCTTACCGGTCTAGCACCACCACTCGCAGACCCAGAGAATGTTTGGGTTGACATGAACAAGGCGCAGAATAACGCTCAATTAGTAAGTTTAGAGCCTTGACATGGTAGGAGTTCGCCTGCTAACGACGGCAATGTAGCTTGGAAAAACGCTATATCACCAAGGAGACCTGTCGTACATTGAAGCCGTGAACAAGGAGATTCTAAAGAACTCCTATCAACGCTTCGAGGAAGAGGGCATCATCATCACCGCCAAGAGTAAAGAAACTCGTGAGCCACCGACGATGCGCCTCGCGCCAGACTGGACACCCGAGCGGGATCCTGAGACAGGCAAGCTGCTTCCCCATGGGAAACTATGGGAGTTTATTCGTATGATTGCTCAATCACGACGTGAAGGGTGAGTAATTGACAGAACTTGAATTTTTGCGTGTATAAACCCCTCCCGTTCGACGTTCTAGCTAACACTTGTAACTAGGAAAAATCGCCGTGACGGGGAAACCATCTCTTCACGCGTCCTTGAGCTAAGCGATACCATGGGTCGGTCTCTCTTCCAGAACGCGAGGCCGGTCAAGCCCGCTGGCGCTGGAGGAGAAGTTGAACTGTCCTCGCAGATATTAAGACGGCGAACAATCGATACAGCGTCAAAGCTATAGCCGATCCAGCCGCTGTAGTAAGGGGATGTGTGCCTTGCCATGCTATGCTCTATTACGTGTAAATAAATAACTAGTAAATCACTAGTTGACAAGTATATTAATATTTAAATCTACCTAAATCTTCCATACTCTAATGACACCATGTCTCTCACTTCACTCCATATAGAAGCAGCCGTTGATATCTCGCCAAAAGAGGAAGTAGGGTGTCTCATCACGTGCTGACTGCTGACTGACTTCTGACTCATCCAACTTACGCGTCCTTGAAAACTTTGGTCTTGGCGCCAAGAAATGCGGTCATCGAGCTTTCTCCAAGTTTTGTCTCAACTTTTGTCTCACTCACAACTCCCTGGTTTCCTCCCCGTCGATGCATTGCGCCCGTAATTGGCTGTCTTAATTCCTCCTGGTCCTGCGTTTTGTTCCCCTCTACCGTTGCAGTTTATAAGGACGACCCTTTCTACCCCGCCGTTCGTTTATCAGATAACCGCGCGTTCCTGCGGAAGTTCAGGACACGAGCGCGAGCGCAGATCCCGTTTCAGCCCTTTTCTCGAGAGCCAACTACCCAGACACGATTCGATAATCCCATATTCCTTCCGTTGCCACTGATGCTGGCATCATTCCTTCGGCTGTATTAATTCCGTTTAAATCACTCTGACCGTATCCCTGAGGCGACAGAAGTTATGGTGACGAGGATATATTGATATTCATCTGATCTCGAAGATATGGGGAAGTGTATGTACCGCCAATGTGTTTCATATGCCGCGGCTGCCTTGTCGCAGTCTTTTTTATCTTAGACTGGTTTCGCTAACAGATGCGTTTGTCGCTTGTTTAGGGAAGTATTCGATAGTCTTGGACGCCGGATCGTCCGTAAGTTGCCCGCTATACCTGACGCTTCATACGTTTGAGAACGAGCATAGCTAAAAGTATGCGATTCTTGGGTACCAGGGGACGAGAGCACACATCTATCGATGGCCTAAGAAAGCGCACAAGGGCGCCGCTAGCAAGGAGCTAGAACAGCTGCCTCATATCGAAACAACCAAGGAATGGACGAAGAAAATAAAGCCTGGTACGGAACGCTTGCGGGTGACCCTTTTATGCATACAATGCTTGTCTTAATGCTAATTTACACTGTTAGGAGTTTCGACGTTCGCCAAAAAGCCCGAAAAGATTGGCCCTGATCATCTTCACGACCTCCTCAAGCATGTTCACGGCATAATTCCCCAAGGCGCGGTCGAGGATACACCCATCTTCCTCCTCGCGACAGCTGGTATGCGATTGCTGCCGGAAAACGAACAGAAACAAATTCTCCACAACATATGCTCCTACATTGACGACAATTCTGATTTCCTGTTACCGGACTGTGATGCCCATGTCAAGGTCATTGATGGGAAAACCGAAGGTCTCTACGGCTGGATTGCAACAAATTATCTCCTTGGTGGGTTTGATGAACCAAAGGCCCACAACCATGGTAAAAGCCATCACACCTATGGGTTTCTCGATATGGGTGGTGCATCTGCACAGCTAGCATTTGCACCAAACTCGACAGAAGCAAGAAAACACGCGAACGATCTGACATTACTGCGCCTGAGAACCCTTAACGGCCAGTCAAACGATTACGGGGTCTTCGTCACGTCCTGGCTTGGATTCGGTGTTCGCGAAGCAAGATCTCGCTATGTGAAAGCTTTATTGAAAGGAACGCCTGGCGGCACAGTCGATAGGAAGCGCCCTGATCCATGCCTTCCAGACGGTTTGCGCACAACTCTAGAGGGAACCGTGCTCCCACCAGATGGTCCGGTAGCTGGCACAGATCCATACCTAGTAGGCAACGGGAAATTTGAAGAATGCTTGCGCGAAACGATCCCCTTGCTCGCCAAAGATGTGCCGTGCGAGGATGAACCTTGTCTTTTGAACGGAGTGCACGTCCCTGCAATTGACTTTGATGTCAATCACTTTGTCGGTATTAGTGAATATTGGCATACCACTCATGAAATATTCGAGATGGGCCACCAGGACAAGGCATACGACTTCAAAACCTATCAAACGCGTGTCAAGGAGTTTTGTTCAACACCATGGAGTTCGATCAAAGAGGGTATTGAACAGAAGAAATGGGGTAAAGTCGACCAAGAAACCGCATTTGAAGTTTGCTTCAAGGCAGCGTGGATCGTTAACATCCTTCACGATGGCATCGGCATACCACGCATCGGGCTCGAGGCTACCCCCAGCCATGGCAAGAGTGGCACCGAACAGCTCGCCGAACACGGTAAACATGGCAAACAGAAAGGTTACCTGGATCCATTCCAGGCGGTAAATAAGATCAATTCAACCGAAGTGAGTTGGACCCTAGGGAAAGCTGTCCTCTATGCGTCATCACAGGTTCCTGGCCCCAAGGGCGGTTTACCAGTGGGATTCGGCAGCAACGTTCCAGGCAAAATCCCAGAGGATTTCGAATACCCCAGCTCAAACCATCCCCATATCCCCGCGCCTCCCAGCTCCGGTAAGAACGGTACAAGTGAGCACTGGCATGATTCCTTGTTCGATGGAGAGTCTTCCCGCCGTATTCCAGGGCTATTACTCTTTGGTCTAATCGTCTTGATCGTCATATTCTTCCTCTTCGGTCGAGAACGCCGGTCCCGCATCTATCACAAATTAGGCCTACGGTTCGGACGTGGTAACGGCGGAAGCAGCCCTAGAAGAAAGGCCCCCTTTTTCAGAGGAAAGATCCCCTTCTTCTCTCGGCGCGGAGCAGGAACCTCGTATGAGCGTGTCCTTGAAGAAGGAGATCACCCAGAATTCGAGCTTGGAAGTATGGACTCCGATGAAGATTCTCAATCTTCTTTATCGCCGACTTCAGCAGTAATGGGCAGCCGGCCAGTTAGTCGAAGCCATCATCTTCAGAGCCCAAAATTTAACTTTGACAATTCGTCTTCGCTCAGCATTGCGAGCAATAATAACTCCATGGACAGACGGGGACTTGTGATCAGAACCGAAAGCAGGGAGAGGTTATTCCCGCCTGCCCTTGCGCCGACGACTACTGGTCGCAAGTCTCGGGCAACGAGTCCTATTCGACATTCAACGCCACTTACGAATGCTTAGATGCTACCTATTCCCCCTTCCGCTTCGTCGTTTGCTCTTCATTCATGCTTGTATATAGTACCGGTGTTCGGGCTAGGTGTTTCAGCTGGGTCAAAACTGTTCGGTTTATGCACATCGGGATATTTCGTTGGGATGCGATGTGATATTTATATTCTGCCCGTACGAAGTTATATGTATATATCAATCTTTTATTATCTAGACGCACCACTCTCAAGGCAGTGTTACCTTGGTACAAATATTATTATTTTAATCCTTACCATTGAAACACGACTCTGCTTCCTGGTAGATTAAACTATGCAAGTGCCATTGAATATTATTGATCGAACCTTGTTCCGGATTTTCGTAGAACAACCCTTTTTTAACACCGGTTTTAAATATAGAAACAACACCATACATATTGAAATACCCCAACCCAATGATTAAGCTCATGTCATATCTTTCTTAAGACATCTCAACATCATTATCACCATCGATCTCATCAGCAGCACCACGCGGTATTCGCCCTTCGTTCAACTCCTTTTCCAGCCTTGTGATTTCCTGCAAACTCTTGGCTTCTCTAATCATCTTCTCAACTCGCTTTCGCTCCTCGGGCGTCAGCTTGACTCGTAGTGGCTTCTCGCTGCCCGTACCGCCTGTCGAGGAGGAGGCAGTCGTATCGGCTGCTGCAGATATGTCGAAGGCACGGGACTTTATTCCTAGGATCTTCGAAGCTAGGGCTGTTGGTTGTTTGGTTGACGCTCCAAAAAGCTCCTTTGCTTTTTCACGTTCGACATCTTTCACTTTCTGATAATCCAAAAACCGTATTGTAGGATTGATCCAGATGATCCAATATCGGTAATGCTAGAAATAAAAAAGATACGGCATTAGCGCTCGGGCCTGAAATGTGTCTATGTCTATCAAGTGGGGTGTTTTCTCATACCTCTTTCCTCGTCACTGGGTTCTCTAATAGGCTTAAATGGGTCAACTTGGGAAAAGTCTTGAGTGGTTCTAAATCCGCTAGCTCTGAAAAGTTGTTTGCTGTGAGGACAAGGGTTGTCAGGTTCGGAATTGACGTGGCTAGCGAGGGTTGGATGTGGGAAACGCGATTCCGGGCGAGTAGGAGAGATCGTAGTCGTGGCGAGAAAGGGAAGTTAGATATCGAGGAGATGCTGTTGTCGGTGAAATCGATCGCATCGTGATCCTAAGTTGAGCCAGGTTAGCTTCTATAAATACAAGAGCTAGAAGTTGCGATACTACTCACCTTTGCGGCGCCAAAATTCTCAATAACGGGAATCTTGTGTCCTATAAGGTCCGTCCCCGGAAGGAAATAACGATAGTATCAATGCAGCTCCATTTGTGTGTTTGTTTTTTGGTATACCAAAACATGGGAAAGAAAAAGTGTAGTATCTGGTTCTTTTCAGATTGACTGGGTGCTTTCTCTGTCATTACGCACCTCGAAGATCTAGCTCGCGCTCTTTTAATGGGTTGAGGTACGAGAGTGAATTCTGGATCAATTCAACTGTGAGACGCATCTTTGTCTGCTGTGTCCTCTGTTCGCTGGGTCTCGAGGGGCTGGAATAATATCTTGATCTTGACTGCTAACTTGTTATCGAAGCTCGAAATGCGCGATGAGAGAAGAAGTTCGACGTCACGTGCTGCTTATCTAGATCGAGGCAAACGAGACAAACTTCACTACTCGGTAAACATATAAGATATAAACATAGTACAAGATATCTCATGCTGTTAGATAGATATCTTATACCGTAGATAGATATAGACTATATCTGATGCGCTTCTATCGTCGTGCATCGTATCGTAGGCAGTATGTCCCTCGGTTGATGTCTCGCACAGTAGAAACGCACAACTCAGTTAGTCAGGCTACTAGCATCCAATTACTACAGCCCGTCCCTTGCATCGCCAACTACACGGCCTGCGTACCTGCAAACAATTGTGACACTTCTGCACTTTCTCTGCCCCCCAGTGATAGGAATTATTGGGAAGCCGGAATCCAACAAGCGGGTCTCTGTGGCGTAATTGGCTAGCGCGTACGACTGTTAAGAACTTCAAGATAAGAAGTTCGGTCATCGTAAGGCTGGAAGTTCGAGCCTTCCCAGGGACGGATTCCTTTTTTTTTGCTATTTTCCTAGCTTCACCAAGGCCGGAGACGGGCGGCTGGCGGACGGGCGAGCCTGGCGGGCTAAAATTATACCCACTCACGGCGCAATTCAGCTTCAGTCTAGGCGGGCACGAAGATCCCTACATTTATTGAGAAGGATATACCTATACTCGTTGAAGATATAGAGGGAAAAGCAGAAGAGAATACCCAGCTCTGAGAGTCCTAGGCAAAGGCTTCAAAATTATACCGTGCTGGCGTCTATTATCAGGCAGGAAACTATTCGGTACGCAGTATTAGCCATGTCACGGTCCACTCCTAAGGCACCATGGCGCTCCCGCTTCGAAGAACATATTCCAGTTACAGGCAATCCATTGTTATCCCTTGCGACTGTGTCTCGGCATTCACATGGCAACGCTTTCCCGCGTGTCAGGACCTGCGTTCTCCGTGGCTTCTTCGCAGGCTTGGACCTACATCCGGATGCAAGGCGGGATATGAAATCAGCTTCAGGTCTGGCTGGAGGACCTGGGCTTGAAGAATCAGGGAAAGACGATGATGATGCATCCTATCTTAATCCTAGGAAGTATGAGAGCGACCTGTTGACAATTACTACTGATGTTCGATCGGAGAAGGTCGGCCATATCATGACGGACGTCGATGGTGAGGTAGGAGGACCAGTTGAATGCCTCTTTTGGTCACCCAAAGTGTGTGTACAGTGGAGGCTAAAGGGGAAAGCGTATATTATTGGTGGTGATAGCTCGGATCGTATGGAATTGAAAGCTCGAGAGGAGATTGAAAAGTCGATGCGATTACGCGGGGAGGGAGATACCAGTACATCTGGAACGGGATCAGATAGGCCATGGAGCTGGGAGACAGAAATCACTACCCATTTTGCCAATCTGTCTCCTGGTATGAGAGGTATGGACTTTGACCTCCGTTCATAGGTTTATGTCTATATGACTGAGTCTTTTATTCTAACATACGTTTTGTAGGAACCTTTATGCAGGATCTTCCTGGCGCGCCCAAGTCTGGCCCAGCATCTACTCCACAAGAAGCCCCAGGCGGTGGAAAGGCAGTGAGTGACTTACATGAGCCTATGGCAAGGAAGAACTTCAGGGTCGTGGTTATTAAACCTGAAGAAGTGGAATACATCCATGACGAGGGTACGGGAAACAGCAAGAACGAGAGGTTTAGATGGGAGTTGGTATCTTCCGACAGCTCTACCGGGGGAGATGGACAGTGGCACTGGAAGGAGGAAGAGTTATGGCCATAAACGTATCAGGCCATCGAGGGATGTAAGTATTTTATATAGATATGTTATCTGTGCTGTATCATGAAATTGTAATCAGAGCAATGGCCATCTGCTAATAAGAACAATGGAGAGTTCCATGTTCAACTTCTACATTCATGCTTCTATACTCATATTTCTAGGTTCATTCTACATTCATTCTATGTTCATATTCCATGTCCTGTCCTCTTTGTGTTATTGCAGCAACACTGGCGCCTTTCCCCTTTGGGACATGCCATCAACACAAGATGAAGTCCAACAAGCCAAAGTGAGATGAGATGGAAAACACACACCTCGCTTAGCCTCTGCAGCCTGTATGCCTTCACACAATCATCCTCTCTTCTCTTGCAGACCAGTCTCCCTTCCTACCTGTGCAGTTCAGAGCTCCAGTTCCTCCATCACGCAGTTCAGAGTGGTTGATTGTCTATGAGAAGCCTTTCTTTGACATCTGGATATAGGTCAACAAGGACATTGACTGAAAGGAACAGCAGCACTCCCACATCGCACCGTTGATCTATAGCAATCCCAAGCCAGTCCGTGAAACGAGCCAGACAAAAGGGTGAACAAGATCTTTGTCTCCAGAGCAACATTGTTTGGCAGCTCAGCAGAGATCTCTTGTTGATATCAGGGTATAGTCCTCCCGCAGCGTCCTCTGTTTACATTTCCTGCCCTGCCCACCGTCTTCTTTGACGCCCGCCGCGTGCACTTTCTGTTTCTAAGCACAGTTTGTTGTTGTTTTTCTTTTCTCTGAGCTTTTGTTTGACACCCCCTTACTGACAGACAACCAGTATCTATCATCTTGTTGATTTCTATTGTAATGGTGTCAGGCTACCAGTTCATAGCTAACCATGGCTGAAAAAGAAGCAGAAGAAAGAATCTCCGGACAGATAAGTGCCGGACTCCCTAGGTAAGCCTTCCAACTCCTTGCTTCTTCTGAGATTGGGAATATCAGATCTTCTGCTACGCGTTGAGGGCATATCTCAAGCCACGAGACGAATTCAGAAGTGAAGAGCAAAGATATATCTCGAAAAAAAAGCAGAAGATATACACGCTTCAAGATGGGACACGCGTTAACATGGGAGTACAGCGAGGAGTCAGAGACCGACGAGATGGTCGCCCGCTGCACCTACTGCGGGCGTTTCTGCAACACTCGAGCCATTCATGGCAAGACAGGTCTCTGCTATCCGTGCAGAGACACCCTCCGCAAGGAGGGAGACGAGAGGGCCCAGGAAACGGACTCTGACGAGGAGAGCGCCTCCTCGGGCAAACCGGCCCAAGAGTGCGAGAAGCCCCGCAAGGGCGAAAAGTCTGCCACGGCTGAGGCAGACGAAGACTCCCAGTCAGCCAAGTCAGAGGAGTTGACGGTCCGGAGCAATGTCTGCTCGAGATGCTGGGCGGCCGAGGCGACTGGCACGCTTTACAATTCTCCAGTCTGCGATGACTGCTACGACATCGCACAGGCCAATCGTGTAAGTAACAATGGCATCCTTTGTGGTATTTTTTACGTGGCAGATGCACTGACACAGTCCCGGAACATTGGAAGGGATGGATGAAGGGTACCAAAGTGAGTTTACCCCTTCCCATCTGCCTGTAATGAAAGGGGATATCTATATCAAAGGAAATAAGGGGGGGAAAAAGAAAGAAAGAAAGAAAATAACTAACATGAGTTCCTTCGGTTAGAAGCGATTCCAGCCCCCGAACCCGCATCTTCAAGCGGGCAAGAGGTTGACAAAGGTCTGCGACTCGTGTCGTCAAAAGAGGAAACGCTGCGAACATCGTCGAGTAGTCGATGCCAGTGACCGTAAGTGACAACCCATTGACGGCTGATATCAACGTGGCTAACACTTTCTGGCTCCCCCAGCGGCCGCCCATTGTCGCAAGAGAGGGAGGAAGCGGAAATGCGAGGATATCAGCGAAGACAAGAGTGGGAACGAAAGCCCCAAGGCCTCTGCAAGCAGGGAAGACGAGCAAGGTCAGTTCATCTTCTTAATTCCCCCCTGGTATATATAGATGGATAAAACGAGACAGGACAGCATGCTGATATCCGGGCCAGAAGTCATCATCGTCGACGATCCTGAAGAACAACCCGGCTGCTCTGACGATAGCATGAACCACGCCATCAAGGAGTCACTGGACAACGTATACAAGAAGGAACTGTTGAGACTCGAAGCCATCGTGCATGAGAAGATTAACGAAGCTAACAAGGCCATGGATGACCTTCGTGCGCATGTGAGCGGGTGGTTGGAGCATGTTACGAAGGGCAACTCTCTGGGTGGACCAGTACAGGAGCAGCCAGCCATCCAAGAAGAGAGTGTTTGATCCGGGCTGCCTTCAAACAGCAGAAGCAGCAGCAGCAAAAGTTGGTCTGGCAGGGAGGTGTATGATATGGTTTCGTGGTCGGATCGTTTTTATCCTGGTTTCTCATGAACGTAATATGTTTGGTGGTTAGTACGGAGTAATGATAGCACGAATTCTTCTTCTTCTCAATCGTCTTCTCATATCGTCTTCTCTCTCATATCTTTGTCTTCTCTTCTCTTCTCTCATCTCTCATGTCTTTTCTGTATCTTCGTGGTCGTCTATAACACGTGACCAGCCTCATCTGCTTCGAGCAAAAGGTGAAAAGTGAAAAGCGAAAAGCGAACGAGAAGAGAAAAACAAAGTAGATTCACGATGCTAAGACGATGCTTGATCATAGCAGCCGGTGGCTCTGCATGATCAGCCTGGGCGCCGGACAAAGGGCGAGCCCTCCCCTTATCGCCTCAACGCGTAATGCCCGTCATCCTCAAACGCACGATTGGAGATCGGAGATGCGCCTTCACCAACATCAAACGGAAGCCACCAAGGCATCGTCTCCACGCAGCAAGGGCAGAACCTCCTCCTTAGCTTCCTCCTCCTCCCTCAAGCGAATGATGCTCTTCATTGACGTCCTTTTATTTGTCATGCATGCAGGTGGCTGTCGTCCATAGACGAACGAACAAAGAATGTCGTCCGGGATATTTCCACTCCCCAACGGCTTTTTGAGACAAAGTCCGACCGGAGCTAGGATCTAGAAGAACCTTAAACAAGGCGTGAAGGGGATGGCAAGCAGGAGGAAGTGCCAACGCGGCTATCAATTAAAAAGGGGGTTGATGATTTGCGTGGTGAAACGAACGGTGGTGGACTGGGGCACAGCGGCGAGCCTGTCGAACGAGCTACCCCGGCTATCAGACGGAGGTCAAGACGGAAGAGAAGAAGACGACGAAGAAGAGGGCGAGATCGAAGGCTAAACTAAGTAACAATACCGACAGAGCCACTTCAACCACAACGCCTCGAGCTGTTTCGAGAAGAGCACTAGGTGGCATGCACGGCATCCGGGGGTCGACTCTCCACCGCCAGTTCTTCGGCCTATCCCGCGAGACGGCAGGGAGTCACTAATAAAGAGATGCTTGCTGGCCAGGATATATGATGGCCGATATACGTGCCGCAAAAGGAGGAGGAAGAAGCTGTTTGCAACGCTACACAGCGATTTAGATATACGGAGTACATCCTCCCTGGCCCTAACGTTTTCAGCTGAGAGGCCGGTCAAGAGAGACGCTCGATATAAGTTGGATTATATTACAGTAATTAACATAATAACTCTGCCGCTGGACGGAGGGCATCCCCGGGCTTAAAGCCGCACACATATGACCTGTGTCTACGTCTGTGGCTGTCCAGGATGGCAGACCATGTCCATGTCGTATAGCGTACTGCAGCCATCAAGCAGCATCTCGCCGGGCGTTGGCGTAGTTGGGTTAGTTGCACTTTTGCTCCCGCCCGCCGCCCGCCTGTCCCCGTCCTCTTCGCCATCACCAACTCCGACATAAACCTCTCCTCGCCCTACCACTACCACTTCACTCTACCACTACCACTCTACGACTTTACAACTCTACCTACTTGTCGACCTCGCTATACGGGTTCTCTCGACGCAATTGCAGCATGGCGTTCCTTTGATCGTTCACACGTACCTTGCCTCTTTTTTATTTTTATTATTATTTATTTTGTTACTCCATCCTCGCGCATAAAGGCTGGCTGTCGCTGAGCATCGAACTGCCAGCCAGCCATCATCTTGCCATCTACCTGGCATTCACCTGTCCATCTAGCATTCACTGCTGCGACTGCTACGACTCTACGACTCTACAGCTCTACGACTACGAGACCTGCTGTCGGTTTCCGGTATTGGTTCGACGGCCAGACATACATACAAAAACCCTGCACCACGCCAGCAACGATGAACAGCGCCCTCGCCGACCCGTCCCAATGCTTCTCTCACCTCATCGAGCACATCCCCCTATGGCTGACTCGAGTCACCGACCTGGCCTCGCATACGGCCGCCAAACACGCCGAGTTTGCGGCGGAATACACCCGCCTGTCGAAAGCGAGGCCCCGGCATCGACGACGACGAAACAGCTCGCTCCATACCAATCGACCCGACGACGACAACCGCTCCGTGACGTCCAGGAAGGATAGAACCTCCTCTGGCTCTACGTCCAGACATCTCGACCCGCAAGACCCGTTCATGGACCCCATGATCTTCAAACGACTCACCCGGCAAAATAACCAGGATGCCATCAACAGGAAACGAAAACCAGACGCCGGATTCAGTGCTACCCCTTCTGACGGCGACAGCGGCGTGGCTCGTCGAGTCCGCCAGCAGGTCGTCATCCACTACGATGCCCAGACGCAAACTGCCCTCGAACGCCTCGTCCGCGACATAGGCGGCGCCCGCAACCAGATCCGCAAGGGCAGGATGAACTACATGATGAAAGTCGACTTTGGCCGTCGAGCCTTTCCTTCTCGCCTTTTCCCGGGCGCGGACGACGACGAAAACGCCATCGCCCTCCCACCGCGTCCGTCCTTTCGAAAGTCTCGCAGCACCCAGTTCGATACGAAAGAGGCCTCCGCCACCACCACCAACGGCACCACTACAACCAGCACTCAAGCCAAACCTTCCTCCTCCGCCTTTGATCTAGCAGACAAGCAGCTAGAGCTTGCCCAGAGTTTATGTGAGACCGCCGCTCACCAATTCTTACGAAACGGCGATTGTTCCAGAGAGCTTAGCAGAACGCTAGAGCGACTTGGTACAGCGCTAGAGATGGCTCAGGCCGAAGAGAAACGGCTAGAGGCTGAGAAGGAAGCGGAGAAACAGCGTCAGCAGGCCGAGGAGGAGGAGCAAGAAAGCAAAAGCGACCGTACGGCCGTTGAAACGGTTGGACCTGCAGATACCGAGATACAGATGCAGGTCGACTCGCATCAGCCGATGAAGGTGAAGATGGACATGAACGGAGATGTCAAAGCGCCGCCTGAGATGATGGGGGCCATCGAAGTAGACGACGGATCGTCAACATCCTCTATATCCATTGATCTAGCTGCATTTCGAAGGAGGAGGTTTAAAGCATGATCTACCCGCTTCTACTTGTTTACCTCCCTCCTTCCCTTTAGCCGACGAGAGGGGGAGGGCGCCTTCAAACCCTTTTTCTCCCTTTTTACCTGCCGTGAACTTGTTCTACAGTGCATGAACTCAGGGAAACATGCTGAACCGAAGGTTCCACCGCTGCATGTATGCGTTGTTGTTTGCTTGCTTGGTATTGGCAAAAAGAAAACAAACTGGCAACCCTCTCGGACGGCAGTAGCATCATCTCTCTCCCTTCAGCTTTCGGGTCCAAAAAGCTCGTTGCGTCGACGTTACATCTGTGTTTTTTTGCTTCTCTCTTCCCCTATACTTTTTTCTCACGTCTCACTATCTACCGGCATACTCGGCGTTTTCATACATCTAACCAACCATCTACCACCGCTCCTATATCTTCTCTATCTAATCTTGTCTTGTTTTGGGTTATTTTCTTTTCTGGATGCAAAATTAAAAGGAAGCCAACCATGGTATGGTGATGATAGCGCTGCATTTCCCTTTTCGCTCCCTCTATCTTTTCTTCGGTCGAGCCATTTCCTTGCTTTCATTTACTTGTTTCTTTTACACGTTGGGTATTAGCATGGAGTCTTTAAAACGGGGAATTCATTACTTTGAAAAATACATTAACTATTTATTGCCTATCCCTCTGCCGTAATCTTCAATGTATATGCCACCGGCGAAGTTAGTCCAACCTCACACGGCATCGGCCGGCAACTGAGCAGGCTTCCTCTATTTCTCTTCTTCATCCTCTTGTTTAACCTTCAGCGGACTTCGCGGGCTTCCCGCCAGCGAACCAAGGACCAGACCTGACATAATCAAGCAAACAAGCAAAGCAAAGCAAGCAACTTGCAGATAGTAATACGCTTGGGGAAGTTGTTCGCGTCCTCCTTCGCCTTGTCTCCCCATCGGTTCGTATTCATGAAACAGGAATATCCCTGCGGTTTCTGACAGGACACGACAGGCGTTGCTGGCTTCGAGAGCAAGGAGAAAGTGACACCGGCATAACGCTATCGCTATAGGATGCTAGGTACATGCATTGAGCCGATTCCATCCCCGATCTAACGCAGTCGCTTCGACGGCTCCCTGCTAAGGACATGGATATGCAGCTAACGTGTCCAAGAAGGCCTATATACGAATCTTTAATTACGTCCGAGAGGGGAAAACAGGAAGATCACACTGACCAGAGCTTGTCAGGAAAGCATACCCTCGCTAGTCATGTCGATATACTCAAAAAAAGGAGAACAAGGGAAAGAAAAATGAGCTATCGGGCTATCCGATCTTGTTCAGCTGATGCTATTCCCGCGTCCATGTACGATGTCCATCCTTGCTTGCTGCAGGCGGATTATTACCGCAGGGGGGACAGGCGAGATGGCCCGATAGGGAAACCATCGCACCTTTTGCCTGAAGCACTTATCCGACCATGCAATATGGGAGCAAATATAAATGCTTAGCGTGGGAATGCGTACAAGTGCAGACCTGGTTCGGTCCGGTTGCGAACGACATATATCCCCGGACGTCAGAATAATCAACGATCAACGCTTCTGGTAGACGGTATAGAACGGTACCGTTGACATCCTGCAGGACCGTCGTCTTCACACCCCCAACCATCCGCCATCCACCCCTTTTTACGCTGAAGGATCGAAAGATGCAAGCCAAACTTTCGCCTGAAGAAACAATCAAAACCACGTGTGCGAATCAGATACATATATTTCAACATCTCTTGATTTTAGCCGCAGTGGGCCAAGGATGGTCTGATATACATAGATATAGGCTTGCTTTGTATACGCCATTATGATGTCTGTCGCCTGCGACGCTTCATGTTCTCCGCAAATCTAAACGCCACTCGAGGAAAGGGAAAATCGCCCCCGTCCACAGTTACAGCTTCGATATCTAGAGACCGGTCTTTAGAACGTGGACCGTTTCACCCTCTGGATGATTCCTTGCCTATACGCATTATCGAGGAGTTATCCATCCTGGATGCCATCTTCCCACTTCCTCCTCGACTGTCAGCCGCAGGCAGCGGTCTCTCAAGCACGCTCCGTAATCTTAATATAATATCTCAAGCAGCTAACATGCACGAAGATCAGAAACCTTCGACTCCATATGTACTGTTCGAAACCTGCGCTGACACTTCCAATAGTGTGCGCTATACGTAATGCATGCAATAGCACACACCCCCAAATAACCCAATAACACTCTCAACTGGTTAGAGATCGATGCAAGCGATGTCGTCGATCATATGGTGGGATAAACCCTAACGGCGAAGCTAGCGAGACGGGCCTGATGCAGATAATAGTCGTGGCAATCGAGTGCTACCGGGCGGTATTGGCCCGTGGGGGGAACATGGTAGTATTTTGATATTTTTGGATGTGTCGCTTTACCGTTACTCCAGGGATGGGGGCGTACATTTGAATCTCACCATCCAGGAGCACCCACCCCCAGGAGTATGCAGTATGCTGCGTACAAGGGCATGGGTGAATGGTCGATGCGCCCTTTGGTTGGGATATCACAGGCAGAGACAAGCCCTTAAATTGTCGTCTCGCCAACTGTCAAAGTTCACGTAAATAAAAAACGGAAAAGATGAAGAGAATACAGAGCACGTGATATAAGCAGTTAGTAAGCTATGCTGACTAACAGGTACGGCTTTTGACGATGAGACAAAGATATTGGCAGACATATGAATATTGACAGACATATGAATATTGACAGACATATGAATATTGACAGACATGTGAATATTGACAGACAGATACTAACAGATACTTCGTATGCTAGATCAAGTCTTGAGGAGCTTGGCTGGCAGATATGACGAGGAAGGCCTAACCGCTACCACCTGAGTCGATGAACAAGCGCCCACAGCTGCAAGATGGATAAACACCAAGGACTCTGGACGGCCTGTTGGATGAAGGGATAGCCCTTCAACGTTGACACTACGGCTGCAATACTGCCTTACTCAAGCGACAGGACAACTCTCAGGCCGCTATGCTGGCTCGTTTATAATCACGGACCGTGCCGAAAGGCTTGAGCACCATCACCGGATTCTAGGTTCACATTCTAGACGATCCGGATATATGTCGGTGAAGATACCAGGGCTCTCGAAGATCAAATGCCGATGTATCTCCTTGATTAACACTCCGCCACCTCTTCCCTCCTAGGTAGATCCGTGGGCGCCCTATCCGTTTGCCGTCGCCTTCGGTCAATACTCCTGGCTTGTGAACGAGTTGCCCTGAACACATGCATTGCCCATTACCCGCCTTGCCTAGATAGGTTACAGCTACGGGAATGCTAAGGCCTCCGACAACTGGACGACTAGCTCCGGACGACGCCGGGCTTAAGAGACACCCCATGGAGTATCCCGAGGACGCTGATCCTCCAGCTTTGGGCTTTTCGTCGTTTGGGCGGCTGATATACGGTCTCCCAAACCCGACTCGACTCATATTTTGTTCTTCTCGACCTTGTTGGAAAACGCAGGGTAAGGCTTAGTCTTGAGAGTCCCTTTACTTTTTGGCCCCATCTAGAAGGGGGGCGTGGAACTTGTTGGTATAATCTACAGTAAATATTGTGTGTCGCTTCACTATATAACGTAAATTTATTCGAGGAGGCCTCCCGTGCGCCGCATGGGGACTTCCTAGCATTCCCACTTTCTAGTCGCAATGATAACCTACACCAGTTAACCGTGCGGGTAATTGCCACCTCTTGGGCTTTTCCTGTTATAGGCTAGATTGATGTTATACTGCTAGATATCGAAATTCGACTCGAGATAACCCAACACGGAGCTCCCGAATGTCTCAGTTTCTTTTGTGTATTTCTCAACTAGTATATCAGGGAAGGTTGACTCAACATGCTTGACGTTTACTAACCCAACTGAAAGACCGACGCAACGCTCTCGAACACTATGTGTTTATCCCTTGGGCCGTCCATGTCTACGCTCTGATCGAACATTGGAGCCATGTCTAGTCGATGGATCAAAATGAACCTCGGTTGCCCGGCGTAACCTTGGCGCATGGACGACGAAGCCGTTGTTGCCTACGACGGATCATCGCTCTATACCTAGTACATCGCCAAAAGCAATTGAAGAAACTAGGATCCCGTTGACAAATATGGCTGCGATCAAGCCATTCCAGATTTCAGTGCCGGATTCGCAGCTCGAAACACTACGGAAGAAGCTTGAGCTGGCCAATTTTCCAGATGAGCTTGACGAAGCTAACTGGGACTTGGGCACGCCATTAGCTGATATCAAACGCCTCGCGGGATACTGGAGAGACAAGTTCGACTGGCGGGAAACCGAGAGACGGCTTAATGAGCAGATCCCTCAGTTTACAACTAATGTTGATGTAGCTGGATTTGATCCATTGAACATCCATTTTGTTCACCAGAAGAGTAAAGTGTCTGGTGCAATACCTCTCCTATTTATCCATGGCTGTAAGTCCTTATTTACATCATGATGAACCCTGAGGCATATGAATTGCTACTAAGACCTTCTTAGGGCCTGGAAGTTTCCTTGAAGTTACAAAACTATTGCCGCTGTTGACAAAGGGGAGTGAGAGCCAACCGGCGTTCCACGTTGTAGCACCCTCTCTGCCCAACTTTGGCTTCTCGGAGGGAGTAAAGAAGGTAGAGCTCCCGCTGCTTGCGTTAGTCATTATCTAGGAAATGATCTTGACTGTTATTTAGAGAGGGTTCGGGATCGCGCAGTATGCTGAATCTCTACACGCCGTGATGACGGCCTTGGGATACGAACAGTATGGTATGCATCTATATACCACTGATCCACTAGAGGATATAAATACTGACTTTATCTTTTCAGCCATACAAGGCGGGGATTGGGGCGCCGTAATAGCTCGTGTCATGGCCAAGTTATACCCTAAACATGTAAAAGCGGTGCATACCAACATGGTCTTCATAGCGCCTCCTTACCCGTGGAAGAATCCTCTAGTATTCCTCCAATCTCTCATCACACTTCCCTTTTCCTAAAAGGACCGGGCCAAGCTCGCCGTCACCTGGAACTACATGACCCAGGGCAACGGATATCTGGCGCAACAAGGCTCTCGGCCACAGACGATCGGATATAGTCTTCACGACAGCCCCGTGGGCTTGCTGGCTTGGATATACGAGAAGCTACATGCGTGGACAGACTCCTATCCATGGACCGACGATGAGGTATTAACGTGGGTTTCTATCTACGCCTTCTCGCGCGCAGGACCAGCTGCTTCAGCTCGAATTTATTATGAATTCAACCATGCACCCTCTGGACCTGGGAATGTTTCGCGCGCAGAGGCAGTCTCCTGCTATTCTCCTGATGTCAAGTTCGCCATTGCACAGTTTCCGCGTGAGATTATTACGCTTCCGATGTTCTGGTGTCGTTCAATTGGGAATGTGGTAAGGGAGACTGAGTTCGAGAAAGGTGGTCACTTTGCTGCTTGGGAGGTTCCGGAAGACCTGGCGGCAGATATTCGAGAGTTCCTAGGGAAAGAGGGACAGGCCTATCGCGCCATTAGTGGTGCTGATGGATATTAAACCGACTATGGTTCTAGTGGTCGTTATGCCATGTATCCAGAGTCTGGTTTCGGATTTTATGCTGATTTAGTGAAGACAGTTTGCATTCTCTATCTAATTCTGATATTCTATTCCGTCTGCGTCAATTCCGTGCTCTATACAATGACAAATGATTGTCTGTTTACCTATCTATGAGGTACCTTTTTAACGGTGGAATCTCTACCAGTAGATCCTAGAGCAGGGACAGCTTTAATAGATATGATTGACAACTAAAGGCTGAATATTGGAGGACTTGGATATTTACCTTGCGTATCACCCTAGCAAGACGTTAGGTAGATATTTTGTTCTACAGTATAGATTAGTCAAGACGAGCAAGGGAAAGTCCAGCATCCTCCTCGCCTCGTCCAAAATACGCGAGGTGACGCGCTCCTTCTTTGAGATATCTCTACGTTTTCTATAGTCAACCCCTCTCGCTCGACTCACTTCCACCCACAGAACACTCCATCACCTACACCAAGACCTGAATATTCATTGCTTTCTTACATCTTTACTACACAGAGGTAGTATCTCGTGGAATTAAAGACCATAGAGAAGTCAGTCGACTCTTTCCAAAACCTATCACTCCAGGCACTGAGAGCTAGGTTGGTCAGGTACCATTGTTCAGACCTGGACATTAAGAATACTGTCAAGAAGCCAAATCTCGCAAAGAAAATCGCCAATTATGTCCCAATCAGTACCCTTTCAGAGAAGATTCGATAGGTTCACTTCAGAGTCTGAACTTGGGCCTATGGAGTTCGAGATGGCGCTGGATATAGAAGAGCAGGTAAGTCTGATAGAATTCTCTAGCCTTCATGAAGAGCTCATGAACGCCATCGGAATCTGGAATTGATCTTTGGTAATATTATGAATATAGGCGCGTATATCGGAGCAGAGACAGCACCATCTGAATGACAATTGGGATCAGATGAACTGTGATTTTGACAGCAATGAGGTGGGCGTTCCCAATAGCCAGCCTCAATTGCATATATATCCCTAACGTTGCTGCTCGTTCCAGGGTAATCAAAGCAATATGACTATGAATGAGGAGACCGCTAGCCCTCTATCAGAAAATAATGCTTCGTACCTTTCAACAAGTGAGGCTAGCCGCCTATTCCCGAATCCAGAATTCAAATTCCCTCTAGAGCCATATCATGTCGACTTCAAGGCAGCCGATGACATGGATCCCATGAAGAAACCTACTCAGTTGCAGTCGCCGTCTCGGTCCTGCAGTAGGAGGAACGACCAATTATACACCCACCACCGCTTCATATCTGAGGCGGAGAGCTACACAACACATTGGGAGAACAGCATCCTTTATGACAAGGATACTAACAAACGGGTATCAACGCCAGGCTACTTCCAGTCACGTCCGAAGTACAAATCACCGTACTTAGGGCCCGTGGGTTGGACGGTACCATCGAAATATTATAGTGCCACCACGAGAAGCTCACGAAGAGCCACGGATGTCATTACTACATCTAGAGCCGATGGTGGCTACGATGACATTGCAGCCGTCGATCCATGTTCAGGCTCCCGAAGAAAAAATATTCGGGATAGAACTAGGGAGACGATATATAACTGCCGTACGTCGCGGCCGTTCCTGATCTATCAGGACCCAGAGTGGATGGAGCCTCCACGAGGGATAACCGACCCATATTTCGATAGTATGGCGAGTGACGACAAGGAGAATAATGAGCCGGGCGAGCACGAAGCTGGATATGATGCAGACGAAACTGGTGGCGAATCTTTCATGCAGTTGGAAGATGATGGCAATGATGCTGACGAAGATGGGATGGACGTTGGTGATGATACGGCGACCGTTATCCTCTCTTCGCCATCGAACATGGCTAGGAGGAGTAGGGAGCTGCAAAGATATCGACACAGACGCAATGACAGCTCCACGTCCTCCTCATCGATCCTTTGAAATGCCGAATATATTATCATCCACCAGTGTGACGTCAAGATTGACACCGCCCATGTTTCCTGTTAACTACTCAGGAAGATGTCAACAATACAGATATTTTAGAAAAAGCAAGCAAGATGTACATAAGGCGACCAAGGATCGTTGGGGGTCATCACACAAATCGGTATCGGCAGCAGGAATAGCCGTTCCGCCCAATCTTGAATACTTGCACAAGGCACAAACCGAGCATATTTACGCGTGCCAGGTATTCCTCATTAAGCAGGTCGCAAGCAAGGGTTCGCGATCGGTGCGTGGACGGAGCATGAAAAATATATATCTATGCTTGTCAGACCGCCGATTTTTGTCCTTTATCCTTGTTGGGTAGGGTGGAATGGAGATTATGGGCCTTGCACGGGTTGGTCTACAAATTCATGTACATGCGCTGGACGGTGATAATTCCGCTGGCTACTACTACGTCGGTTCTTGTCACCTGTGCGTGCAGATGTCCACTTCTGCAGGCGATATGGCAACTTATACCTCCCATTTACCTAATCGGTGGTCGACGCGCATTACAGGTTATGCAGAAGCAGGCCCCAAAACCGAGAATACTCCGTACCTACTATCCCTAACACCCAATGCTTCACGGCTAGACATGCCAGGTGGTCTAATGGATGGTTTACCGAGGGGGGATCTCCATGGCTTCGGTAAACTTACTTCAGGTATCACCCCCATACTATAAAATCACAGTTTGTTAACTTTCCCCCGCGCCTCTAAAACTATTGGACGTCAACAATATTCGCTGAACAAACGCCGAAATACGAATGAAATGGGCTGGCCATGGGGCCCAGTGTTCATTAAACAAGCTGGCCCTGTTACCATTCTCCACCTAAGCCGCCTCTTGCGATCCGACCGTGCCTAAATACGAGCGCAAAGGCGAGTATTAAATAGTTTATCGCTGCCTCTCTTCATGCAGAGACAACAGCGAGACGACAGCTGGTTGATCGAGACCGCGCACCTGGAACCCGTTCCCCTCTCTTCTTTCTTTTTTACGTTCTTCCGTCAGGTCAAAAGCAAGCATTACACTATTAGTTGCCAGCGGAACCGCCAGTCTCGAAGGTTATTCAGCCATCGGGATCTGGACTTTGAACGCAAACGCAGAACCGCATCTTACTGGCTGGCTGACTTGAACTGCTTTGACTGACTGATTGATTGATCATTCATTGATGTATTGCTCGATTTTCAACCCCGTCCTGGAACCTCCATTGCCGCCTATCCAGTTAGGACTTATTACGTGAGAGGAAAGCACGAAGCAACCAACCATGCGATTGAACCAACTCCAGATCCAGCGCTTTGTTTCGGACTGAACAAGGGAAAAGGGAAACAAACGATCAACCTCCCTTTCTCGCTTGCTGATCGCCTTGTCTCGAGGCGGGACCTTTTTTATTTGCTTTTTCTTCTTTTTTTTGCTACTTTCTATCCGCTTTGCTCCTTTCTTTTAGAAGGTACTCCATACAGAGTTACCTGCTGCGGCGGAGGCGCCATGGAGCCGGTGATGATGCATCATGTCACTGTCGCTGCCGAGCAAAGTACGTATACGGAGTCAGGCGGGAGTAATATATGCATACCGCCTTGCCATGTCTCTGCTTATATACTCGTACCACATCGTTTTATCATCTTTTATTCGTGATGATCGTTAATCTTCCAATATATGCCGTGCAAAATGCGAGACTAACTGAATACCTGTCAGGTCCGCAAATGCGTCATGCCCATGCCCATACACATAGTGTCCCGGAAACCACGGCGCCTAGAAAGCGCAAACCAAAAGTAGCGGCAGGAACATCGCAGAGTGAGGGTGATAGTATAACGACAGCCGCGATGAGGAGCGGCAATGAAGGCAGACAGGAGTTCTTCTTCGTGGATGACAAGTCGTCGAAGAAAGGTAAACGATCACATGTGATGAAGCATCATGTCCGGGAGAAGCGGAAGGGAAGCCATGGCCAGCTATCCATCTCCAACGAGCAGCATCCACTTAATCCGATAAACCAGGCCGGTGGAAGGCAGGCAAACATACCTACATCTACATCTATAACGACATCCGCATCTACGGCTCCATCCAACACGAACTCGGCGAGGATTTTGCTATGGCTGAATGGACGAGAGGAAAAAGTAGAGGGAGAAAGGGAAGAGGATCAGTCGGCGTCGACACTGGCACTGGCATATGGAAGGTCAGGCTCAGGCTCATCAACGCCCACACCCATTCACACATTACCTGCTCGACATCATAGACCGATGGACCTCCGCGTACAACCTGGCGCGGGAACACTGGATCCCTTCGATACACTACCGCTACAGCTGACGCCCGAGGCTCAGAAGCTAGCAGACATATGGACCACGAAACTGGCATACTGGTCTGGCCAGAACCCGCATCTGAAGACATCAGTCTTCCAATCTGCGATGCGTGACATGGCGACCTTCCACGTCGTGATACTCACGTATGGCGCGAGGTTTGAGGCGTGTGCATCTGGCAATAAGGAGAGAGGGACAGAGACCTCGCGGGCCTATGTTGCTGCTGCACAGAAGTTGCTGGAGGATGAGTTGCACGAGGAAAAGAGAATGGAAGGGGACAATGACTGGGATGACGGTGGGAAGATCGTGATGGCGCTGGCTTCGCTGTCTGTGCAGGAGGATCGGTTTGGGATCACAGATCGAGGGAAGCCGTACCTTGAAGAAGCGCTAGATAGACTTCGGAAGGGCCCCAGGAAAGGAGCTAGGAGGAGAAGACAGAGGGACTGGGGCACCGAAGACACTTATACACATTATATTCGGCTCACGCTGGCTCCCGGGGGAGGGATTGCGTTGACGCCGGCCGACGGGGAACGACTAGTCGCGTTTGTCCATGACGCGGAGGCCATCAGGACATCGCTGTCGTCGCTGTCGTCGCCATCGTCGTCAAGCTCGAAGAAAAGAGGAGGAGGGAGCTACCTTGATGCATTCCGCTTCCACAGCCCACTTCATCTCCTTTTGGCAGCAGGTCCGATTCCCACTCACGTCCCGCCCCACGAGCGCAGATGGGTGATCCAGTCGACGTCTGTAGGCCACCAGTGCCGCACCGCCGCACTAATATACATTGTGGCAGCCCTGCTCGACCTGAACGACGAAGATAGACGCACCCGCTTCATGGACGGGCTAATGGGGAAGGTCGTCAGACATAGACTGGACCGGGAGCCATCTACCGAAACGCTGCTGTGGGTCTTGCTGGAGGACGACTGGGAGAAGGACCTACGGAACAGCCATCGGACGTGGTTTGTCGGGGATCTGATGACGGCCACGAAGGGGATGGGGGAGTCGCTGCAGTTCCTGTTCGGGGAGGTGTTGCTGCGCAGCCTGATGGGCAGGGAGGCCGACCTGGAGATATCGGCAGAGAGGTTTGAGAGGGAAGCCCGCATGGTTATAGCCATGACGGCGGACGGCGATGATCCAGGTAGACGAATGCACGCTCTCGAAATGTGAATTCTCCCTTTCACCGCTTGAATATATATCTTTGACCGAATAATGTAAAAAGTGTGGACGTTTCAACGTGTTTCAGCATGACGTCGTCGCGCATGTCTACTTAGCTATGTCTGGAGAATGCAGAGGTACCTCCCTTGTCGGCCCAAGCTTGCGGGTGACACAAGTCCCTTGACATAACGTCAGCATCGCAGCTCACGAGCCGTGCTGTGGCGGTGCTGGTCACTCTTACTTCTTTCCGCTGCAAGAAATGTATGGCGACAGAGGTACCGGTGACCTTAGCGAGCATCCACTCGTGGCCCACTGTAATTTGCCACATCTGGCCCGATCGGCCATATCGGGTTAGCGTCAGGCCTGAAGAGCAGATCTCAAACAGGATGATGTAAGCGGTTCTCTCCTCTCCTTTCCATCTCTCCGTCTTCATATCTCTCTATCTTCCATATCTTCTTATATTATTTGAGTGTCATCAGAAGACGGAAGATAGAAGATGGATGACAGGAATAACGGCGTGGAAGAGGAGAGAAGCTGTTGTCAGTTGCACGGGAAAAAGCAAGGGGGAAAAGTAAATCGGCGAGCTCGTCTGAAAAGGGAATCACTGCCTGCAGCTCCCTCGCTAGTCCCGAACTAGGAAGCTAAGACGATCGCGCAAATCAAGAATGCAGGACCAACCTCACCTCCTCCTTTTCTCCTCTCCTCTCTTCTTCTTCTTCTTCTTCCTCTTCTTCTCCCTCTTCACCCATCTACCATCGCATCGTCGATAGGAGTATCTAGTCTATCGCACGCAGGGTGCTTGCTCCCAGCAGCCATGGACTCCATCAATGTCTTTGCGAAACGCGTTCGTCTTCCCTGTCGCCCCCTGTAAACAGCAGTCAATGTACGGCCACGGTACAGCTGTGGTATACGATAGCTAACAATCGCTGCAGGATGAGCCCGAGACGCCCAATGATGCCTCCAACTCGCTCTCGGGGCTGGTCTCGACGCTTGTTCCGACCCTGATCATCTCAGGCGTCATGGTCCTGCTCTTCATCATCTTGCGCCGTAGCCAGCGTCGCCAGTACATACCCAGGACATACATTGGCTCTCTGCGCCAACACGAACGCACTCCGGAGCCAGCACCAGGACTGTTCGGCTGGATAAAGTCGATGTCACGGCTGCCGGACACCTATGTCTTGAAGCATCAGTCTCTCGACGCTTACTTGCTTCTGCGCTACCTCAAGATCGCAACCGCCATCTGCTTCGTGGGATGTCTCATTACCTGGCCTGTGCTGTTCCCAGTCAACATTACCGGTCACCGAGGTCTGAAGCAACTCGACATGCTCACCATTGGCAACATTGAGCCCAAGATTCCGGGTAACCTGAACAGATATTACGCTCATTGCTTCGTTGGATGGGCCTTCGTCAGTCAGTATATGCCTTTATCTCACCACCACTTCTAATATGACATGGTTTATACTAATTGATGTAGTGTTCGTGTTCTACATGGTCACCCGTGAGCTGCTGTACTTTATCAATTTGCGCCAGGCATACTTCCTGTCTCCACTGTACGCAAATCGCATCTCCTCCAAGACCGTGCTCTTCACCTCTGTGCCTCAAGAGTACTGTGACGAGGCCAAGATCCGCGCCATGTACGGAAACGACAAGGTCAAGCACGTCTGGCTCGTCACCGATGTCAAGGAGCTCGAGAAACTCGTTGGCGAGCGTGACAAGGTTGCCTTCAATCTCGAAGCCGCCGAGACTAAGCTTATCAAGATGGCCAGCGTTGCCCGCGGCAAGGCTCTCCAGAAGGGAGGCAATGTAGAGGAGGACCCCGCCGCTGCTCCCCAGAATGTTGCTGACGGCGAATCTGGTTCCGTTGCCGCTCGATGGGTTCAGGCTTCCAAGAGACCTACTCACAAACTCAAGCCTATCATCGGCAAGAAGGTCGACACCATCAACTGGTCACGTGAAGAGATTGCACGCCTGACTCCTCTGATCGATGAAATGCAGAACCGCCATCTCAGCGGTAATGCGACTCGCATCTCCTCTGTCTTTGTTGAATTCTACACCCAGAACGAAGCCCAGGCCGCTTACCAGATGTGTATGTACCTTCTTCAAACTTTTGTACCTGTCGGGGAAAAATGCTAACCTTAACTCACTAGTGGCGCACAACCAGCCACTACACATGGCTCCTCGCTACATCGGCCTCAACCCAGGTGACATTATCTGGTCTAACCTGCGCATCAAATGGTGGGAGCTCATCATCCGCAACGCCGTCACCATCAGTGCCGTTGTCGCGCTTATTGTCTTTTGGGCAATCCCCGTTGCCGTTGTCGGTTCCATTTCCAACATCAACTTCCTCATGGAGAAGGTTCCATTCCTGAGGTTCATTGGCCGTATCCCACCTGTCATTCTTGGTGTTGTCACCGCGCTGCTCCCTACTATCTTGCTTGCTGTTCTTATGGCCCTGTTGCCAATCATTCTTAGACGTACGTTCATCCGTATTCCCTCGTTATTTTTATGACATGTACTGACTCTCCCTTTTTAGTGCTTGCGAAACTTGGAGGATGTCCTACCAAGGCCGCTGTTGAACTGCGCACTCAGAACTTCTACTTTGGCTTCCAAGTCGTCCAGGTCTTCCTGGTCGTCACTCTCTCGTCCGCTGCGTCCAGTGCCGTCAGCCAGATTATTAAGGAACCTACCTCAGCCGCCAGCCTGCTCGCCAAGAATATCCCCAAGGCTTCCAACTTCTATATCGCGTACTTCATCCTTCAGGGCTTGACTTTCAGCGCTGGTGCTCTACTACAGATTGCCGGTCTGATTATCTCCAAGCTCCTCGGAATGGTCCTAGACAACACCCCAAGAAAGATGTTCACCCGTTGGTCCACCCTCTCAGGCATGGGATGGGGTACCATCTTGCCCGTTCTTACTAACCTTTGTGTCATTGGTATGTCCATTCCTTATATATCTTTACCTAATGGGGAAATCATTTTACTAATATCTACCTAGCCATTACCTATGGAGCCATCGCTCCCTTAGTCCTCGGATTCGGTGCGGTCGGCATGTACCTGTTCTATGTCTCCTTCCGCTACAACTTGCTATATGTCAACGATACCGATATCGACACCAAGGGTATGATCTACCCACGCGCTCTCAAACAGACTCTCGTGGGCTGCTACCTGCTCATCATCTGTCTGATCGGCCTCTTTGCCATTGGTGCTGCTTCGGACAAATCTGCCACCGGACCCATGATCCTCATGATTGTCTTCTTGGTCTTCATTGTCCTCTACCACGTCTCTCTCCTCTCCGCTGTCAACCCATTGCTCAAGTACCTCCCCAAGAACCTCGAGGCCGTGGAAGAACAAAACCAGGCCCTCCTCGGCCACGGAAATGGCCAAAGTGCTGCTGCCGATACCGAGAAAGCTAATGGTACCGCTGGCAAGCAACCAAACGCAATCGCCAAGTTCTTCTCACCATACAAGCACGAATCTTACCAGAAGCTACGCGAACTTGTCCCCACCGATGCCTACGAGATTGACTATTCCCCCGAGGTGGAGAGGAACGCTTACTACCATCCTTCCATCACCTCTACTGCGCCACTCCTCTGGATTCCACGTGATGAGGCTGGCGTCTCTCGCCAGGAAGTCCTGCACACCAGCCGCGTTATCCCGATCACTGATGATGACGCCAGCATCACCGACAAGGGCAAGATCGGATGGGACGAAGAGAAGGGTCTGCCCCCTATTCACGAAGATAAGGTTTACTACTAGTCCATCTACTACTGGTCCATCCTCTTTTTAGATGAATGTTTTTTTCCTTTGTCAGTATTGATTTTCTGGAGGAAGCACTTTTCTGGTCTACGGCTACGCTATCGTGGGCAGAATATGGATGATGTTGACGGTTATCGTGATGTGATGTGTTTTGGTTTTCCTTCGCTGTTGATTGATACCCTATACCCCCGAAAAAGCAAGAAATTGGATAGCTCGAATGGGATTTGTGAGGGTACAGCTAAGCCTTGTCTGTCTGCAATTGCAACTGCGCGCGAAGCTGTACGTTTTTAGGTAATTTTTGTCGCGTCTTTTTCGTTTGGTTGAGCTGCGAGACAACGTAATCGATAGCCGTAATAGTTAATATACTTATCATGATTTTGGATCAGTCCTCCAGCTTATAAATAAAAACGTAGAGTATCGTACCGTCGTAGTTCGTATCTTCACTCTTTGTGGCATGAAAAAAGAAAAAGAAAAAAAAGAAAGTAAACTGGTGGATGAACCCGGTGCGAATTGAACGCACAACCTTCAGATCTGGAATCTGCTGCGCTACCATTGCGCCACGGGTCCAGTTTGCGTGCTAGCTTCTGCGCCTCGGTGCTAGTTAATCCGCGGCTAAACCGGTACTTATCACGTGTTAAATTAAGTAATCATCGGCTCCGTAGCTTATGTAAGACAGGGAAGGGTAAAAAAAAAAAACTCCCAAAGACACAGAGATCTTCATCATCATCATCGATATCAACCAGCTCCCCACGATAATACCACCAAGAGTAGCGCTTACGAGTCGCTATATGTGAAGAAACAGGACTCCGGGCCTAAAGAAAACTGATTGCGACGCATCCCCTTTTTAACACGCACCTTTAAACACGGGAACCAGTCAATATGGCGAATGAACAATCAGCAGGTACGTTCCTTATCTTGCACCAAGATGAAAAATAAAGAGTGGCTTGCTAACTGTGATCTTCCTACAGCATGGCCCATCGCAGATGAAGCTTTGACTACTGAACTGCTCGACCTAGTCCAGCAGGCATCTCACTACCGCCAGCTCAAGAAGGGTGCTAACGAAGGTACGCAGTGCTCACTTTTCCATTTTCCCCAGCTTCAATTGTGCGCGCAATCCTAACGTGATATTCCAGCCACCAAAACTCTTAACCGCGGAACTTCCGAGCTCGTTATTTTGGCCGCTGATACCAGCCCGTTGGCTATCTTGCTCCATCTCCCGCTTTTGTGCGAGGACAAGAACACCCCTTACGTCTATGTTCCTAGCAAGGTTGCTTTGGGACGTGCGTGCGGTGTCAGCCGTTCGGTGATCAGTGCCAGTATCACCGTCAACGAGGCTAGTGATTTGCAAGCGCAGATTCTCAACATCAGACAGAAGGTTGAGAGATTGATGATTTAAGTGGGTGGTAGAAGGATGGAGGAGGGACCAAGTTATGCTGCATGGAATGTAGTTTGCATTAGCTAGCTGGACAGATAGATGGAGAATTCAACTGGTTCTATGAGTGAGATTTTTTTAAGATATTGTTGCTAGAGAGATTGCATGATCGTCAGGCTTACTCGATAGCACGTACTATTTGTCCGTTTTTCTCTTTCTGTTGAAGCTTCAGGCAACCAGGCTGTAAAGAATTCACTCTCGGCGAGATTTACCCATGCTTCCGAGTATCCAGTAACAAGGCTTCTCCCACAAGGTCAGTCTGATGTATACGAGAACCTTCGCAGTCATACTACCATAGCTATCTATTACTTTCCCTTCGTATAGATTTCACCCATTTACTATCATAAAGGAAATATAATATATGAACAGTAAAAATATATGCATCAATAGTATATGAAGTATGTATATACGTTTTATGTCATGTTGGGCATGCCCCAAAATCTATAAAACAGCCATCAATATGGACATAGAGCTTCTCTAGGTCGAGCCCTCCAGACACTTGCCCTTGTCACCCCACCAGGAGTTTGCGACAGCTCCCCACCAGGCCTTGGTATCGAGCAGGGCCTCCTTGGTAATGAACATTCTGCAGTGAGATTTCTCATACACAAACTGTCGGGGAACTCGGTTCTTGTCCTCGGTGAAAACGGCATTGCGGTAGTTAACACGACCACCAGCACCGTCGTTAATAAGTCGTCCTAGAACGTATTTACCCTTGGTAACCATTTGGCCAAGACGGGTGTTCTCCAACTTGCGTTGTTCCTCTGGAGTGGAATATTTGTGGAAGATCAGCTCGGCAACGTTCCAGAGCTCTCGGAAGGTCAGGACTTGAGTACCCTTGACACCTCCAACGGTCTGCATGGGGCCGGCGCGAGGCTGACCACCGGTAGTGATGAATTTCATGCCGTTACGGGTCATCAAATCGGAGAAAATGGCACAGGTAGATGCGCAGATTCCGTCAGAGACGATAACCATATCCTCCTTTCTGAATGCCTGGGGGGCAACGCGGGTGCGGTTGCCGTATCCAGAGACAACGAGACCACCGGCCTTAAGGGACATGGGGATGTTGTTGAAATCCCAGATGGCGGGGCGGCTGAAGTTGCCATTTGGCACCCTCTCTGGTCCGAAGTAGGAACTCCAGGATCGGTATTTGCGGCCATTGGGGTCAACGTAGGAGTTGATGTCGAAGATGTCGTCTCTTTGCTCTTCCGCCTCATGAGCCTTTGGTGCACGGGGGTGGTTAAGGAGGTAGTTGACCTTGGTACCAGTGATGTCGAACTGTTCAATGGCACGGAGGTTGAAAGGAGTCTCTACCCTTCCTCTTGGAAGTAGCTGTGTATGACAGGTTAGCGGGCTGTCATTTGCCTAGAACGGGCTCTGGGTTGTTTTCTCGGTGACCACTTACCTGTTTGAATGCGTCGTATCCGAGGAAAATAGTACCACCTCTGTTACCACTGACGTCAATGATAAGCTTCTGCTTCCTGGTTCTCCTGCAGTCTGCCAAAAATTTGCTGATCGTGTAACTGTAGTCCCACAGAGGATCATTGCTATCGGCACCGCCGACGAAAGACCTAAGATGGAGGACAGCGATATGGGAATCCTTGCCCTCGAGGAAAAAGCCGGCCACGGAACCATCTGCAGATTCCTGGATTGGCTTTACCTCCTGTAACGAGCGTGAGGCCATGAAGGTAGATGGCTGGGAGATTGGGCTTGCAGTAAGGAAGCGGTTGTTTTTCTCCATGGTTTCCTTCAATGGCAACAAAGATGCGGCAGTCTGTTTGCCACTGCAGAATTTGTTGTAGAATGAGTCGCCGTCCTTGACTCCAGCGAAATCGGCAGTGAAGGTAGCAGTGTTTGCAAACTCCTTCTTAGCTCCGTTCTCGTAGCCAACCGAGATCTTATTTCCGGTGTAGAGGCCACGGCTAGTGAGGAATCCACCAGTACCGCTAACTTTGCTGCGTGGGAGGTTGAAAAGCATGCCGTTGTAAAGGGCATCAGGGTCCTGGAAGAATCCGCTGAAGGAAAACTTCTTCAACCATTCTGCGGCGTCCTGGTCATCAATGGTCTTGATGGCAGATGCATTGGCCGATCCACCTTGGACGTCCTCTTCATGAAGGTATTAGCAACATGACCAAATATCATACACAAAACTGGTAAAAGAGAATACCACTTACTCAGAGCGTAGATCTTAGGGAAGTTCTTTCCATTGTCAGAGAGAGACACGAGTGAGCCAAGCTCAGAACGAGTGAAGGCAAAGGTAGCGATGAGATCCATCGCGAGGTTGAAGTGGCCATCGTGTACGGTCCTGACAAGAGCATCCAACTCGAACTGGAATTCGAATTCGTTCTTGTAGGCGTTGCTAGCAGCCTTCTCGCGGATCTTTGCAAGACCTCCCTCGAGATCGGTGCCTGGCACGGCATATCCCTTTGGAGGGTCCTTTAAAAAGTCCTTGGTAGTTTGCCAGTCCCAGAAATACTGCAATCCGTCAATCAATTGCAAGGAGTCGCTTGACTTGAACGGAACTGAGGTCAGACAGGCGTGGGCAAGCTCCGCAGAGACAGTGTAATTTTTGGCTACAAACGCGCATCAGTATGTATTCAAATCACTCGACACACCCCCCAGGCGGGCGTACCATTTGGGTTTTCCGCCTTCTGCTTCCGCTGGGCCTCAGCAACTTGGCCGCAAGGCTCTTCGGCGGCAGCTACAAGGCCAGTGGAAGAGAGCAAAAGGCCAACGAGGGCCTGGTTAAATCGCACCATGTTCCCTGCTCTGGTAAAAGCTCAGGTTGAAAACGATGGGATAAAACGATCTACACAACGAGAGAGTGTAGATTGAGATTGGCAGACAAGAGACAAGGCGCCGCTGTGGAAAACCTGGGGGAGATGGAGAATCAGCCGGTTTTTAAATAACCAGAGCATTGGTCTGGCCACCTCCTCGATCCATCACGGGCTATCAAGGTGCTGGGGACGAAAGGAGACAATTTCCCGGAAGAAGGGAGAGAACTTTGCCTCCATAGCCCGGGGCATTGGGGCATTGGGGCCATATTGCGAGGTAGCGCTGGAGATAACGCAAGGGCAAGGGGAGTGGATTGCTCAATCAGAATTATCCCGCGGGGAAGAATAAACATTCCAGCTCCTCCGTAGTATATTATTGCAGAAATGCAAGGATGGACATCCCCTCGATGCCAGGGGGATCTTTCTCCGCCTGCCCGCACATCGCAAGGAGGACCGGCGCGAGGCTTATGTCTCCATGTTCCGATATATGGGGGAGCGCAGTCCCCAGGCACATCCACTTAGCTGGGAACGACCTAACCACAGGTTAACGAGCCGAGATAAAAGCCAGCCGGGCTGCCGCGACTCACTGCGAAAGGTCTGCGAGCTTGTGAAGATCTCAATCTCCGTGTCGCGGGCTCTATCTCCCGGCGAATTCGGGAAGAAAGTTGCCCATTATTGCGATCACGACGAACACGGGCGGTTGTATAGGCCAGGAAGCTCCTTGCGAATGATCCCTGGATGCCGAATCCCTGAGGTCTACCCCTGATTTCTTCTCGTTGACTGCTTGATAGAACTTGGCCGCTTTTCCTGATCATGGAGTCGACGGCCTGCAACGTCGTATCGAGATGTCGACATCAGTGGGACTTGCCGGGGTTAGACAGGGCACTAACACGATAGCAAGGGCGCCATGGAGTACGAGAACAATTCTGGAATGCGAGTTTCTTAACTTTCGGCCTGGGATAAACATTCTGCAGGGTTTTATGTGCTTAGCAGAAACTCTCGAGGCCTTGACGATGTTAGTCTCGGTGGCCTTTCTCCCTGGGAAGACGGATATCTGATATATCCCGTCGAGGCTTCAGTCGGCTCGCTAAGAACGAAAGTAGCCAGCACCAGATAACCTGCAGGCCGTGTTAGCCGTCTTCTCGCTAAACAGCTAAACAGTTAACAGTACTTCATGTTGTCCTCAAAACGCCGATGTTATAGGTACCGCGGTCGATAACGAAGCGTGGAACTCGTCAGAAGAAATCCCCGAGTTCATTTATATCTTGACGAATTAGAGCAAGGCGAAGATCTATATTTGTATATTTAGGTCCATCGATCTACAATGAGCTTGGAGATCTACAATGCACGGATTAGAGCCTTGAAGATGGGAATTTTCCCGGATGTGCCTCTGAGTGCTTTCTACGAGACCCTCACCAAAAGTCGGCTGAAGTTCTATCAGAAACCACATTTACTAAGTGTATACGCCCGGCCAGGCAGATGAATTAGCCTGAGATATATCTATCTGGATACAAGCGCCAAAGAGACAAAAACGCAATGACATTATGGGAACAGTTCGTACTTTGACATGGATCATATCTAACCCAGCAATATCTCCTATCCCTACCTTGATACAACCGAGAAGAGAAGTATCAGCGTCATTTCCTCCTACAGCTACCTAGTTATATGCTCTTATTATAGATAATCACCTAATCTAGAACATAATTCCAACTGCTTCAAAAGTGAACGCCATGGGTAACTTCAACAAGTGCCTTCCTCGTTGAGAAATGACCTTTATGCTTCAATCCATCTCGATCCAAAGATATTCATTAGTTAGAGGAATAAGATGGAGTTGACAATCCAGTGTTATGCAACACTTATATAGAGCTATATATTTGCAAGCGGCTTTTCGACATTGCACCAGGTCTTCCCTTGGCGCTTCCTCAATATCATCGTCCTTGTTAGACTCGACCAAGATGTCGTCGGCGTAGATGCGTGATTTTCCTCCTTATTTGTTTGAATATACGGATGGGTATACTTATGGCTTGGTGTTTAATGGTTCAAGGGTAGTTAATAGTCGTGATTATATAGGGGAAGGATGGCATTGATTTTCGCAGGGAGCACGATGATCCCCGAAAGCTATTTAGCTCTCTTAAATGATTTGCTTTCTGATATCAGTCGACATTAATACTCCGTACGCGAAACAGCAGTATAAGCTAAGAATCGGTGCGCTGAGGGCAAAGCAAGCTATACAGGACCATCACGACATGTATCTGCGGCCGTAAACCATCGAAATATGATATATTTGGTTGTGCTGATATTTCTTGCATAATATAGTGAAAATGCAGATTCAGGAGATGGATGTCGATATTGCCTAAAGAGGTAAAAAGGTACTCCGGATCAGCCAAATTCCGACGATAGCGAGAAAAAAAAACGCCTCCGAACGGCTGAACCCCAAAGTCCTTCGACTCTGCGGAGTACAACTCCTCTATGCTCAACGCATGTTTGCTACTTCCAGTTGTCGTCTAAATCATCTGATTCTGCGATGTCAGAGACGCCATGCGACGAATATTTACTGGCGCATCTATCGCATCGACCTCACCATCTGGTGACGGGCATGATCTCAATCACTGACCCAGCAAAGCCATCATCTCTTAAACGACGTCCTGGACCATCATCCTTAGGCCTACTCTCCGCCCTGCCTCTCGAGATTCTACATCAGACCCTAAATATATTGGATTTTCAATCCCTGTCCCGGCTCACGCGCGTCTCTCGGCGAGGTAGAAGCGTCGTTGAGTCTCTACCAGCATGGCGTGAGCTCATGAATTATGCACCAGATACGTTAAAAGCACTCGGCCAATCCAGCCTCATCAGTTTCCACTCTGCTGGCAAACTTCGGGCGGTTTTAAGATCCAATGCTTGCGTCTCATGTGGGCAGTTTGGCCCGTTCTTGTTCCTCCCAACATGCGATCGATGTTGCTGCGAGTGTTTACGCTATAACCAGTCCCTTTGGGTGATGACGGCTGATCTCGCAAAACACTGCTTTGGACTCACTTCGCATCAGCTTAAAGAAATTCCCATAATGCGGAGTATTCGTGGAATCTATGACGTTCCGCACGAGCTCTCTCGAAGACGACGTCTGAAGCTTGTGAGCGTCAGAGCCGCGAAGGAACTTTCACTAAGGACTGCGGATACCGATATGACTTGTGGACTACCTAGTAGAAATAATTACAGCCTAAAACATTTCCTGGAGGCCCCCTTAGAACCTCTGCTCGACACCCCGTCAAGGATAGTCGCATATAAATATCCCCCGATGGATCAGTGCAATGGCATGGCGTCTATATGTTTCCCTTATCTGCTACCAGACAACACACTTGAGCACGGCCTCTGGTGTCGGGGATGTTATTTGGTGCCTGACCAGTTTCTGGTTGTGCTTTCGCCCACTCGTCCAATCGATGATTCACGACGGGAGCGTACTGGTATGAGTCTACGAGCTCGATCGAAGAGCGAATTTCTAGAACACGTTATGCAATGTGAGGGAGCGCGCGAAATTCTTCCGGTGCTGAAGACGGGAATACTTTAAAGGCACTTAAAACCATAAAGATGTCATTTCTACTTTACTGGAAAACACCTATGTGTTGACTAAAAACGTTGATTTCTCGCCATATAGCTCTGCGCCCTGAGCAAACCTCCTGCCCTAATATCTGGCCATTTTTTTAAATCGAATCAATCAACGTGTGTGGCGCACACGATATTCGGTCATCGCCTTTCCCTCTGGCTGTAAGTGCCCTGAGCAATAGCTGGGGGGTACGATCCCCCTCTTTTCCGTGACATCGCATCCAAAGCTCGACTCTGACTTGTACAGTCGTTCACACTGCTTGAATTCCCCTTTCTGGAGGCAACCACATGTATACTTTATCTACTGTTGAGTGCACATCTCCGATTTCAGGGAGGGGTTGCTAGGTAAGGCGTAAGCGTTATGTCGAACGTCAAGGGAATTTATCCTTTCATAATTACAGAGAGCACTGATATGTTAATCGGTCAGCAACTCTCACTCGTGGAATAATGGGATGCTAGGCGATTTAAAAGGTGGTTGATGGAAAATCTTTATTATTGTCCAAAAATTCTTTTCTTTACGCACCTAGGATAGCCCTATTTAACAGTTATATGGAGACTGGGAAGGTTGAATTTAACTCTTAATACTTCTACGCTTGCCCTTAGGCCTAAGGATAGATCTACTTTGAAATTGCTCTTTAGCTTATCCTTGGGCTTGACCTGTGACTTTACCCTTAGACTTTTACCTTGTAAAAGTGAAAAAGCACTCTCCTCGTTTGGTGAGAGTTCTAAAGACGATGTATAGCGGTAGGAAGAAGTCCTCTATCTTCCTTGCATCTAGGTTTAAAAAACTACACGATATTGATAGAAGATATACCCTTATATAACCATCTGCTCTAGAGGATATCCAAAACATAGACATCAAGGCTTTAAGCTTAGTAAAGGCCATTTCGATCTCGAAGGACCAGCACGGCCTACCTATACACATAATCCGACCCCCTCACGGCTTAGATGCATGTATGAGGTTCGAAGCCACTATCACAAGCACAGCAGATACCAAAGGTGACCACTGCCCTATTGCCTGGTAGCTTTCCCCGACGGGAAAACCGTTTGTCATGAAGTAAAGTTCGCTGACGACAACGCTCACCACAAACGTAATCGGCGCCAACATGTCAAAAAACAGTTCATTAAAGGCAGCAGAGAAATGGAGGAAAAGTAGTGACCAATACGTGAAGCCTGTTGACTTCGCCTTAAGCTGGTAATTCAGCATAAGAAAGTACCCGCTATACCAGCTTGAACAGGCAACATGATATATATTCCTCGACAAATGAATGTTCAAGGAAAGGTCGAGTTCCTCCATGACTCGAAGAGCATATGCATTCGATGGAGAGTCATTGCTAACGACTGCCGTAAAAATCCTGGATATGGGCAATAGTATTGGGAGATTCAAACATGACATGATTGTGGCGTAGGACCCTTCAAATGCCTTCGAGGGCATCACGGTGATCTCGGAGGGCTGTCGTAGTAACGACTTGCTGCCGAAGCATTTGTAAGTGCAGTTGAATAGACCGGTCTCAAGCTCTGACTGCTGGGTTAACAGCCTCCCTGTTGCAGACCTGCAGGCTGGTTCTATTGGGGACTTGTGATTTGTTAGTACCCAGTTTGCTACCATGAATCCCGTCGCGACCAGTAAACCCCATAGTATCAGCACTGTTCGGGCGCCGGACTCCTGAGCGAATTTCCGCAAGGATGGTGACCAATGGGCATGTATAATAAAGACAAGGCCCGCCGAAGCCAAAATTGTCCAGGCAACAAGAATATCAAGGTCGTATACCAGGCTCTTCGACTTTATGAGTGTAAGTGCGTGGATTGCTGTCGATCCAGCGAAAGACATGGCAGACGTGAGTGTTCCGATGACTAGCCAGGTGTGAGACCGCCCAACAACCGCAAATACCAACGACCCGTAGTATAGCAGCCGTGGTAGGAAGCCATATTGTCCGCTAATCGGGTATACGCAGACGATAGAATCGTCAAGATGAACATTCCCGCCGGCCATCAAGTTATTGTCTGGTACTGATACTGGAGTCGTGGCACTTTTTTCACCAAGCAACATGAGGCCTAGCATATATAACGCCCATAATAGGACATGTAGAATGCATAGTGCAGCTAAGAACCAAAGTGGGTGTTGTGATCTCTTATCGATCAGAGGGCTTGTCATCGCCTCGAAGGCCATGCTATCAGGTAGCAAAGTGATAGCCTTGAAGGTTGAACGACGATTCAACTCCAGTTCATTAAAAATAGAGCGAACGTGGTTATAATCGATTCACAATCCTGCTCGAGATGGCTGGTGTCTTCATGGCTTGCGTTTCGGGCGCAGCCGAGCCGCGTCTACTTCCGCCTCGACAGGGATTTGATCCTTCGAAAAACCATGGCCAAAGAGCTTGGTTGGTGGGCAGAACAGCATAGTTCTGTCTATCTGAAGAGCACCGTTAAAAGTACTCGACATGGCGAGTTCGAGAAAGTAGTTGATACTTAATATCTCCAGTGCCGAGTCAAGCTCCTGATGACTAATATGGCTTCCGACTTCGTCTTTTTGTCCCGACTGGTTGATGACGACATAGACTTGCTTCACCAGCCGTACAGAGTACTTATAAACGCATCTCCTTTTCCCTCTGCTCCAAGTTATAATAACTAAAACTATGTCTCACGACAAGAAAACGACAGCTGAGATGGAAGCTCCCTCAGAAAAGCCTCTGGTGCGAACGCATCAAGCGAATCTCCAGCAGCCTCAAAGCGCCTCACCCAAGTTTGCTCCTCCTCCCCCAAAATCCTTTGACAGCGAGGAAGGACGTGGTGCCTGGTTTGAAAAAGTCCTCGAGGACATGAAAAAAAATACACCCGAGGTAAACGCGGCAACAGCACGAAAGTATGGACCACAGAGTAAGTCTCCTATAACTCTTATTATTTTATTTCTACTAAATAATCATAGTTGTGGGCGAGGGCATCCCATACGACACAGACGCCGATATTGAGTACGACACAGGGGAAAAACGCTCATAATGTCATCCGCTCACTCTTCCTTTATAACCCGACTATTAAAATTTCTCACGTCCGTTGAACACATCCCAGTCACGAACACCACTTGAACAACCACAACAACATCCTTAAAGACTGGGTCCCTCGAAAACTCTGTACTCTACCTCAGTTTCCGCTGTTCACCATTCTACCAACCAAGGACTGGGTCCTTTATGCCGATAAGCGTATTCCTGCGTATGCTTCTCTTAACTACTGTGAGTCCTATTCCCTAATAATATCACTCCGTAATTGTCAGGCTAATTCACAATCTACAATTTTAGATATACCGACGATACGAGCTTCTAGCGAATTGGAGACTTGGCCGCGAAGTAGTAACTGCATTGCCGACAGCGACCTTCTACCTGTGTAGACAAAAATTACATGGCTATGACGACTGTTTTAAAGTCGAAACGGCTGTTCGGAGTATTTAGGACGTGTAGGTATGGGGTCCGGTCACACGCCCGGATCGCCCACTGATGGATGCGAGCATGATCCCACCGGTGCAGCAGTGGATGGCCGGGACAGGCCTCCCCACGCCCAGAACGAGCTTCTCGCGCCGTTATGCTGGCTATGCTGGGTACGGCCGGAGTCAAACACAAATACTGGAGCCTGGCTGCAGGATCAGGGATCGCGTGTCGTCATGGCCGTTGAAACGCACTATGTATCCTGGACGCTTCTAGAGGCTTCTGGAAGCTAGACTCGGCGCACAAGCACGCTGTGTCAACGACGAACGTCGACATGGTCTCCATCATATCGTCGCCGTATGCTCCATATCATAACTGTCTCATATATCTATTGAGTATACTCCGTACGATCCCATCAACATCTATTCTGACCTGGACGAAAATAAGTCGGAAGGCGATGAGTCAGCAACACAGCCCTAACTAACACGAGCCGGGCCGTCGGCTCCGAAGACTCCGCGAGCTCCGAAGTTGCCCCGGAACCGTGCCTTGTATGTGTATTTCGCGTATCTTGCTCTTCGCCAGGCCATACTGCGCGCCAGCTGCTGGAGACGGAGCTCAGGGGAGGCAGACGACGGGCCAGCGTCGGTCCCGGCAGCTCACACTCTCTCCCAGCGTCTCTATCTCGCTTCTGTGCTGCGATCTATAGATATATGCCCGTACTCGGCGGTTCACAGTTCCCCCGGGTCACGAGACCGGCCCGGATGATCCCGCCAATCAGGACCCGCTCTCGTGCCCCTTGGTCTCCACTTCCCCGATCGGGCGATCGAGCGCAAGAAAAAGACACGGAGACTCAGAAAAAGTGAGCTGTCTTAGTCAGAATGTGAGTATAACATCCTCGTTTTCTTTTCTCCTCGACCTCATCCCTTCACTCATCACCATTCTTTACTCCCTCCTTTTTTTCCTCTCTTAATTCTCCGCTGAGAGGCTTGTGGGCGTAGTCACTACGCTCCTTTCTACACATTCACTCATCCTTATCTATACAGCAATCGAGATACCGGTGGATCCGTCACCTCGCGATCACCTCCCTTTTTCAGACCTACTAATAACCCTTTTACCCTGCGCGTTCATTGACGGCTGTAGTCGTCAGATGAACCTGCGTTCTTCTAATCATCCCAGTGCAAAGGTAGGTATCCGTTTCCCCACGGGCTGAGTTGTCGAGTTGGGTGGACTGACTCATTCTTATAGTATCTCCTCTTCGCATTGAAGAGGTCCTCAATAACGTAAATGGTTTTTAAACCATTCACACACCTCGCGCGCCAGACCTTTTCCAAGACTTTTGTCCACGGGTACGCCCAGTCTGTCGTTGCCGCCTCGCAATCCTCCTATGCTCCGTCAGCCTCCTCCCTAAACCAGATCACTTCGATCCCACAGACTGCAAAGTTCACCCGCACTGCGCAGCTTCAAAATGCTTTCCAGAACGCCTCTGGCTCGTCGTCCAACGCTGGTGGTGCAAAGGCTGGCCACGCAGCTTCCACCACTACCAGCGGTGACTCCGGCCTAGCCGCATACTACGCCGCGTGGCAGCATGCCCAGCAGACCGGCGATGACAGTGACTGGAAGCAGTTCCAGTTCACCAAACGCATTGGCTGGAAACCGACCAAGGAAGAGGTCCTAAAGGAGGGTCTAGAGGACTCGGACGTCGACCAACTTGCCGCATCCGTATCGAGAGCACGAAGCCGGAATGAAATCCGCACTTCGAGGAACGTCGAGAGTGCTCCCGTCGACAAGGATGTGAGCGCAAGGGTCGACGAGGCAGTTGCCAGGGAGATCCAGGAGATCCAGGAGGCACATGCCCTCGCAGAGTCGGAATATAATGCCTCCGCCATCGAGTCCGGAAGCGAACTTTTTGACATCGAGAGCGGCGCCCAATCTGATCGAACCCCTGCGTCTTCCGTTCAGGAGGCCATCGTCTCCCCCAGAACTCCCGTGAACGATCACAGTCTGTATGAGAAGAAACAGGGCGAGTCTCGATCGAATACTGTCGTTGAGTTGGCTAGGGACGGAGCACATGCTAAAGTTCCAGCTGCCTTCGAGAACCTCTTGAGAGACGGTGTCAAACCCACTGCTACCGCCTACAATGCTCTCCTCGAGGCTGCAATCCGTCTTCACCCAGAAACGCACAATGCCGTCCCCAAGGCCCTCGATGTCTACTCCGATATGCTCCGTCGAAGCGTCATGCCCAACGAGCAGACGTACAAAATCATCGTTCAACTCTTGTCTACCCGTGCCTTGGACTGCCTCCGCATGGCCAAGGACCTGGAGCAATCACGAGCACGATTCGGTGGTATGGAAGAACCAGGCAAATTCATTTTCCAATCTAGCGAAGTCGAGCACGAACTCTTGACCGAAGACCATTCCCTTCCCATTGCTCTCAAGCTATTCAACGTTGCTACCGCCCGACATGCCGATATTGCTTTCCCGCTCCCTGTCTACCGCTCTCTCCTCACGGCTTGTGCCATGCAGGGAGACATTGACCAGATGATCGAGATATTCGCGCACATGGAAGCTAACAAGGTCGCTCCCCACGCGGCCATGTTCCCGCCTATGATCGATATTTTCTCCTTGAAGGGCGATTTCAAGAGTGCCGTTGAATGCTACAACGAGTACAAAACCCTGGCTATTGCTGATAACAGCGGGATTTTCGGGGTCGTTGAACGTCAAGACGGTGAAGTCTACGCATCTGTCATTAAAGCCTACCTATCCTGTGGAAACGAGGGCGGAGCACGCCGATTCTTCGACAAGATCCGCGCTTCCTTCAACGGCGTCGAGAAGCAGGCAGAGCGTCTCCAGGCTGTCGAAGAGGTCATCGTCAAGGACGGTTTCGTCCAACACTTCCTCAACAACCGCAACTATGCTTCAGCACTGCACATCGCCCAGACTCAACTGCAAGGTCAAGCCCTAACAGATGCGGCTTTGAAAATCTGCATTGCGTCCGCTGATGCCAACGATATATCCACTGCAACCAGCGCATACAATCTCCTCACCGTGGATGCTGCCAGCTCCGTTGAGCCAGCTATCGCCATGCTAGCCCTTCACATTCGCCAGGGCAGCTTGGACTTGGCCAAACCTTTCTGGGATGTTCTCTCCTCTTCTTCTCGTGTCACTGCAAGCTTCATCCAGCCTGTAGCCATGTATACCATCGCACTGTTGAAGAGCGGACAAATTGAAGAAGGCCTTATGGACGCCCGAAGTATGTTCTCCCGCATTCGCAGCGCCAACGCCAGCTCCACCGCCAACGAGCAGAAGCAGCGTATCCGCGAAGAGATTGATGAGGCTATGGACTTACTTGGTCGCGTTCTTATTCAAGCTTCAGCACCGCTCTCGCCCCATTCCGCCATGACACTGATGTGGTGTATGGTTGAGAATGGTGGACTTGTCTCGCCCGTCGCTGAGTATGTGGTTGCCAGTCTAGGTCCAATGGGTATTTCTCACTTGACTGCTAGAGACCTTACTCTTGCCATGCAAGTACAAGCTGGCATGCTGGTTAATGGTTCAACGCTATTCGATGCTGCCCACCCACTCCGCTTTGTCCATATGCTCGAGGTCGCCATGAACACTGGCATTCGCCTGGATGAATACACCAAGCAGCTACTTGACCAAGGTGTTGCAAAGTTGGGTGATGTCCGTTCAGACATTGCGCAGAAATGGCATCACTATCTCCACGGAAGCGCTCCTACATTTGTCACACCACAATACAATGCACCTGCACCGGCAGCACCGCAACCCCAGGCCCAACCCTCACCTAGACTCAAGCCAACGAGGCCAGAAGACTCGTTCGACCCATACGCCCACTCCACGGACTTCAGAGGCTCATCGATAATCGCCGAGCTGCTAGAGAACCCACGCGGTCGTACCGAGGACCATCTTAACGAGGCCATGATCAAGTTCAAGAACATGCGCCGAATTGGTCGCCACCCTCGCTACATTACGTATGCTAAGCTGATTACTGCTGCTGCTAAATGCGGACGCATGAACATGGCACATGAGATTCTAGGCATGGCTAAGCACGATGTTCCACTGATCCCACAGTACAATGCTGTCAAGTATGGTTGGACCTCTATCCTGGACGCCATGGTTGCTGCTTGCCTGACTACCGGTGAGCGTAACCTGGCAGCCAAATATCACCAGGAGTTGTTGAACATGGGTTCTGCTCCATCCGCTAACACGTTCGGTCTCTACATCACAACCCTAAAGGAGTCGACCAAGACCTTCGATGAAGCCACCGAGGCCGTCAAGGTGTTCCATCGAGCGACATCTGAGGGCGTCGAGCCAACCTCATTCCTCTACAATGCCTTGATTGGTAAACTAGGAAAGGCTCGCCGCATCGATGACTGCCTGCTCTACTTTGCTGAGATGCGCGCCAACAACGTCCGACCCACCAGCGTCACTTACGGAACCATCGTCAATGCCCTCTGCCGTGTCAGCGACGAGCGCTTTGCCGAAGAGATGTTCGACGAAATGGAGTCAATGCCAAACTACAAACCCCGTCCAGCCCCTTACAACTCTATCATCCAATACTTCCTCAACACAAAGCGTGACCGCTCCAAGGTGTTAGCATACTACGAGCGCATGAAATCCAAGAACATCCAGCCAACAATGCACACTTACAAACTCCTTGTTGACGCCTACGCGTCTCTAGAGCCCGTCAACATGTCTGCTGCCACAGCTGTTCTGGACTCTATTCGTGCTTCCGGCCAGCTTCCTGAAGCTGTACACTACGCTTCTCTCATCCATGCTCGTGGATGTGTACTCCATGACATGGCAGGGGCCCGTGAAACATTCGACTCGGCCCTCTCTCAACCCCACCTCCGCCCACAAGCATGCCTTTACCAGGCCCTCTTCGAATCGATGGTAGCTAACCACCAAGTCTCTGACACCCCTGCTGTGCTAGCCGATATGGCTGCCAACAAGGTTGCTATGACCGCTTACATCGCCAACACACTTATTCACGGATGGGCTGCGACAGGCAACGTCCGCAATGCCAAGGCAGTGTATGATGGTGTAGGTCTTGAGAGACGCGAACCAAGCACATACGAAGCCATGACGAGGGCATTTATGGCCGTTGAGGACCATGCCGGCGCTGACCATGTGGTGCGCGAGATGATGTCTCGCGGTTACCCTTCGGCAGTTACCGGGAAGGTCCTAGATTTGGTCAACGGTGGACAGCCCGCGTAGGCTCAAACCGTTTAAACTATCTATGTGCGATGCAACGAAAAATATACCCTCGTTGCATCCACATAATTTTTCCCTTTTCCTTTGTTTGAAACCCGAAAAAAAAGAAAGAAAACCCGATTCGAGGATTAAAAACTTCCTCGCTTTACGTGATTGAACATTTTATTCAAATTATTCCCCATAAAAAGATATACCTTTTCCTTCTGTCTCCGTTGTTATCTGATTCATGCATTTCCCTGTACCATACACAGCGGCCGGCGTTTTTCTGTTAATTGGGACTTGTTTGAATTTCAATGCTTGATTTCCTACCATCCCTCGGCTGAGAGGTTGAAGATTTTAATTTAATTTAAGGCTGGTTGGGCTGGTCTTCCCACATCCGCGAGACGGCGTTTCAAGCAGTCGGTCTCGGTCATATTTACATTACTTTGACATAGAGCTTGATATTTGATTGAATTGGCTCTTTTGAATTGTGGGAAGGGAGGAGGATTTGGGATGCGAATTGCACAACCGAGGGTCCTGGTGGGAATGGTGTTTTAACCAAAAAAAAATCGGAGCGGCGTTATTTGAGCGCAGGCCGCGGTGGTGTTGTGCTGTTTTCTTTGACATATTCTTTTTGGCCGGTTCGCGAGGAGGTGGTATCCCGGAACCCGAGCACATAGACAACTCTCTACTCCATAGATCTTGAGGAGAAAAAATATAAAAAAGATTGTATAATATATTTTACTTTTGCCGGTGTAATAATTTGACAGTTATATAGATGAGTTATCGCCGAGATTCGCCGACTGGCCTGACATCATCCCGTAATTCCGCGTGTGACCAGCAAAAAAGAAGAGAGAGACCTCGTCATTCTTCCGTTTCTCTTCTTTTCTCGCTCTTTTCCTTTTATCTAGATATATTTCTCAGCGCTACGGTGTACTATTACCGCTCAGTCCTCATTCCAGTGCTGAATACGTTTCCTCAATTGGAGGTTCCCCTCTATCCATTGATGCGGGGTGGAATATAACATCTACCAGACAACGACGGGGGAAAGGAACAAGCAGCGCTGTGGTGTAACTTATGCACACTACGCTCCCTAGAAGGAGAAACGTAATCCAACAGATCTACAGTTCAATTCGACCAGCTACTCCTCCGCTAAGTCTTGCTCCTACGAGGATGACGCTAGATAAGATGGATGAGAGTGAATCGGCTTCTGCTGCGCAGTACCATCGACATCCAAAGAGATTGATTTGTATACTCCCTTTTCACTCCTTGTAACTTTTGTGTTAATATCTAATGGTAAATAGTTGCACCGGGTGATATTGCTGCTCCCCCGGCGGAGGGTGCTGCTCCATCGACGCAGAAAATAAATATCATGCCTGAAGACATAACGGCCACAGGTCTGCCTAAACGCTTACTGGCATCGTTGGACGAACCAATCCCCTCCGGCGCTTCAACACCAGTCGCCAACGCGGCCGTCGTCTCGCACCCGTCTCGCGCGCACCAATTCGGCACAAACCCGCCTCTTCTCTACTCCCATCTACATGCTAACCCACAGCACCAGTTCCATACCTGGTTCAAAGATGCAAGGCTTCCCGCTTCCTCTGCGCCGGAGACATGTACTTTAGCTACTGTCAGCATGCCCGCCGGCCGCCCGAGTGCACGTGTCGTGTATTTAAAGGAACTCGACGAACGGGGATGGGTCGTCTATAGCAACTGGGGCAGCCGAGCTGGTAAAGGTGGACAGGTATTTGGTAATGACAGAGACGGAGACGAAGAGGCCATGTCTCTATTCGATGGATCTGAGCCCCGATTGCAAGAAGGAAACAGATGGGCTGCGTTGACGTTCCATTGGCAGAGCGTTGAACGACAGGTTAGGATTGAAGGGTTGATTGAGCCGCTGTCCAAGGAAGAAAGTGAGACGTACTGGCGGGTTAGAGAGAGGGGAAGCCAGATCGGTGCTTGGGCAAGTCAGCAGAGTAAACGGCTCTGGTCGAACGATGGAGAAGGTGCTGGAGAAGGGAATGATGACGGTCGTTCCGTTCTTGAGAACCGAGTGAAGGAGATGGAAGCTAGGTTTGCGGATGTCAAGGAGATACCATTGCCGCCATTTTGGGGCGGAGTTCGTCTTGTTCCTGAGTCAGTGGAGTTTTGGCAGGGGAGGAAGAGTAGGTTACACGATCGATTTAGGTATGGGAGACTTCATGGCCCAGATGAGGTGGATGGAAACGAGAAGACTTTCAAGTGGAAAGTTGAAAGATTGTCTCCCTGAGCTGGCACTGTAGGATTCCTACGAGCTTCAGGATGTAGGTTTCCATGGAGCGGAGAGATAAAGTGTATCATCTAGAGATAGAATCGAAATATGATTACCTATTAAATCATCTTAGTAGTTCAAAAGTGTCTTGTAGGGTACGGAGCAACAGGTGTGAGAACCGAAAGACGGCATACGAAGGAGCGTGTGTCCCCTCAGAGTCATCCATCCTGACCTCGTATCTTGTCCTAAACTCCGCCTACCTACCTACTAGGTAGGTACTAGGTACCTAAGGTAGGTACTCCTTAATATCCAGGTGATGTCCCGTTTATCTGATTTATAACGGAGATAAGATTAACGTATCTCACCACTCGATGACCGCCACCACTCGATGACCACCCCAACAAAAATCTTCATCTCGACAACCACCTATCTTTAACCACCCACAACATGCCTAATGAAGAAGCAATTGCTTGTGCGATTGAAGATTTGAAATCGCAGGACGTCCCTAATTACGCACAAACAGCCAGAAAGTGGAAAATCGATCAGAGGACTCTTGCGCGTCGATATTCAGGCAAAACAGTGTCCAATAAGGAAGCCACCTCAACTCATCGCAAAAAGTTAACAGATACTCAAGAGGAAGTCCTTTTACAGTATATCGAACGTTTATTGAATAGAGGCCTATCTCCTACACCTCAAATCATCGCAAATCTCGTTCTAGAGCTCACCAAACAGCCAGTTGGCATCAATTAGGTATCTCGATTTTGCAAGAGGCATCAGGCCCGGATAACATCAAGATATCTTCGAACGATCGATCAATATAGGCATGTTGCGGATAACTCTGCCCATTTTGAGCATTTCTATGATCTTGTAAGTGTTTAAATATTTGTTATTTATTAGATATCTCGTTACTAATACCCTCTTCTTTAGCTAGGGAAGGTGGTTGATAAATATAATATTACTCCTAGTAATATCTATAACTTTGATGAGAAAGGCTTCCTAATTGGGCTTGGATATGCAGTAAAACGCGTAGTCCCTATCCATTTGCTAAAGAATAAGAGGATAACTACCGTTTATGATGGAAATAGGGAATTTATCTCTCTACTTGCTGCTATCTCTGCAGATGGGGAAAGGATTCCTCCTACACTTATTTATAAGGGAGAAGGAGATCTACAAGACACCTGGTTAGATAACTACTCCCCAGAGGAACAAACTGCATATTTTACAGCATCACCAAACGGTTGGAGCTCTAATAATTACGGCCTAGAGTGGTTAGAGAAAGTCTTCGATAAACATACAAAGATAAAGGCCAGTAGGGCAAGGAGGCTCCTTATCCTTGATGGGCACTCTTCTTATATTAATATGCGATTTATTGACTACGCTGATCGAAACCGTATCCTTCTTGCCATCCTTCCTCCCTATTCAACTCACCGTCTCCAGCCGTTAGATGTTGGGATATTTGGGCCACTAGCTAGTGCATATTCCTAAGAAGTCAACAACCTAATACGGGGAGGCCTCGGATATCTCTCAATTAGGAAGAGAGACTTTTGGAAGCTCTTTTATACTGTATAGTGTAAAGCTCTTACAAAGGAGAATATTTAGTCTGGCTTTAGAGCAACGGGTATCTATCCTCTTGAGCCACAGAGACAGCTGCGATATTTCCAGCAAGAACGGCCAATTACTCTAGTAAATGCAGCTGCAGAGCCTTCTACTCCTATTATGATATGAGGCCTCCGCCGGATAAGCAAAAAGGTGTATCTCCGCCAGTCTCTTACAGAAAGAGACTATATCCAAAAGATAATTCGAGCTAGTGAGCAACTTATCTTTAATAATGATATTTTACGGTATGAAAATCAAGCTCTTAGCGGTGCTTTGATTATTGAGAAGCAACGAAGGAAGAGAGGCAAAGGATTGGGCCTTTTTGATAAAGAGAAAGCCGGCCAGGCCCAGTTCTTCTCTCCTTCCAAAGTTAATGCAGCAAGGAAGAGAGCTCTAGATATCGAGCAAGAAAAACAGGCCCAGATAGCTCAGGCCAAAGAGTTAAAGCTTCAGCAATTGATATATCGCGATACAAAGGCTCAAGAGGCTGCAGAGAAGAAGGCCCAAAGGCTTAAAGAGCAGCAGGAACGGAAGGAGGCCCGTGAGAAGGCCCAAATAGAGGCAGCTGCTCAGCGCGAGCAAGCAGCGCTAGAAAGGAAGCGTAAGGCCGGTGAACAGGAAGCCCAGCGAATGGCTAAGAAGGCCAAAAAGGCCCAAATCAACGCCCCGAGCCCTATCTCACCTTCCAAATTAGGAAAGAAGAAGAAGTCACCCACAAAGGTGGCTCCAATCGATCCTGTCCCTTCATTACCCAATTTCTTATCCCATGGCAGAGAAACACGTTCTGGCCGAACTATCAAGCCCAACACTCGTTTGTTTTCCTAATCTAACTAATTAATATGTAAACTAGAGCTCTACTATCGTTACTTAATATCTAATTTAATTTGTTATTCGCGTTGTTGTGGATATATTAATACATGTAGGGGGGGTGGTGATATCGGTGTTTATTTTGATGGGTGGTCATCGAGTGGTGGCGGTCACCGAGTGGTGAGATACGTTATCAATCAGATAAGATCTGCCCAGCCTGGAACTTCCGCCTTTTCTTGACTTTGCTCCGTCGTCAATTCACTCCATCGTATACACGGCACACGCAAGCCTTATACTGGCCAGATGGCCCCTAGGCCGCTAGATCCTACGAGGATGCTCGCGTTATCAGATGAACTTGGTGGAGCAAAGCCACATATTTACGAAGGCCCCATGCAGTCGGAGTTTGCAGCAACGGCACAACCATCTCCGCCGACCATAACTCGGCCGAACATATATAATTTGGCCAGGCTGCCAACGGTGGACGTGGATGCCAGTACTTCGATTCCCTCCCTGAATTATACGTCCCTGATAGAAGGGTATCTCTCCATATTCTGTTGTCTTCTTGCTTTTTGACAAGTCAATCATGGCGAGAGCAAGGACAGTCCAGACCTGCGAGGCCTGCCGAAAGGCCAAAGTGCGCTGCGACAGAACAAAGCCTCAATGCTCGCGTTGCCACAAGACCGGCCGAGAATGTTCATACCTCAAAGAAGCTAATAATATATCGCATGGATCCTCGTCTGTATCTTATACTGCATTATCTGATCCCGCTAGCCTCGATCAGGTCGAAGAATGGTTGGCGGACCTGAATAACGTCACACCACAGTCGTTCGATGCTACTCCGAGCTCAGATGCGAGTGAGCCTCGAGGACTCTTTGATGCCTTGGATGTATGAGATACCTCTGTCTGTCCTTATTTAGGCTTATGGCTAATAGTGCTGAAGGAAAATATACCCCTATCTCTGAATCCAGCATGCATTCCTCTGCATTCTCTGACGGAGGCTGGGCCACAACACTGGGTACCACGCAAAAGGAAGCGAACTACAATAACTTGTGTTCGCTGTCGCCGTATGAAGGTACGCTGTGACCGCCGGTTGCCTTGTGGTCGTTGCTCCAAAATAGATAAGGCCGACGAGTGTGTTTACGAAAAACCTGAAAGGACCGTCGATGATGATGGTCTGCTTTCACGGCCCTCTAGTGATATCCCTCAAAACGCACTAGTCACGCATCGAATATGGAGATCGAAATTTCGCACAGGGACACATTGGTCCTGTCTGATTCAAGATGTACAGCTGAACATTTCTCTAGTCTCGTGACAGTATAACTCTCTGATTATTTGCTGTGGCTAATGATGTATAGATGGAGAAACTCTCTACACCTACCTGCTTTCGGAACAAGGGCATCATCCCCGAAGAAGAGATGACTTCGCTTGAAGCAATCTCGGCAAACTACCCGTTCGGTGAAAAGCCTCGTCGTTCAAAATCTACAAGGAAGGCGATGTTGGCTTCTATCCCCCATCGGTCAGTTGCCGACAAGTTCGTTACGGCATATCTTGAAATAATTGAGACGTCACACCGACTCCTTCATGTTCCAACCTTCAAACTACAAGTTAAAGCGTTCTGGGATCAACCCAGTGCAGCGGATGATGGCTGGCTAGCTCAATATTTCACAATTCTTGCCCTTGGTTGCGAGGCCCATAACGCAGATGCGTCAGATACGACGGAGTCTTACCCAGAACTACCGCATACGCTACTAGCCGCTGCCGAAACCTGTCTAAGGCTTACACCATTCATGTATCGACCTACACTGGCTAACCTCAGAACCCTATGTCTCATAGTTATTGCTAAACAGATAAATACTATGTCATGTTCAGAGTATGAGGCCTGTTGGCCACTCACCGGACTTATAGTTCGCCTAGCCATGGTGGTGGGCCTGCATTCCAGCAATAGCAACAAGGTCTATTCACCCTTTCATGCAGAGATGAGAAATCGTCTGTGGGCGGCGATATGTTTCATGGACCTCAAACAATCATTACTGTCGGGAATGCCACTCCAGATCACGACTGATACATTTACATGTCTTCCTCCAGCCAATATAAATGAGGATGAAATATACGAGTCTTTCGACGGCGAAATCCCAACTCGAGGGTTTCCAGAGAGGGCAGATTCCAGTATCCTCGTCGTTTTATATGATCTCTTCCCACTGGTGTCGGAAATACTGAGGAAGGTGAACTCGGCAGATGCCTCCTTTGAATACGAAGACGTCATAGAATACGACCGACAACTTAGGTACAAGATGAAAGAATATGATTTAATCTTCCAGACACCCCCAAAACGGCATCCGGAATCTACAGGATCATCGTCGGGCAGAGAAATTGCTGATTTTGAAAGGGTCCTTCTAAACGTCTACTTCCGTCGAGTCCTACTCACCCTCCACAGCCATTTTGCAAAATTACCACAGGCATACGCTCATTATCCAGTGGCTTACTGGTCATCTTTAGAGTGCTCGTTAGCACTGCTCGCGCAGCAGCGAGAACTCTGTGAACAGGCAGTGCACAATTGCGGATACTCTATGTGGTTTTCTGGCATCTTTAAGCAGGATTTCTTCACCGCAGCAATGACTTTATGCTTTCACCTCATAAAGAACGACTCGCCGCTTGAGTTACCCGCGGAGCATCTGTGTCAAATTCAAGCTAGAGAGACGGTTCTCGAAACACTAAGGTGTTGTAGGGATCTTTGGGCAAGGGATAAGGATAACTCGAGCTGTCATGGCAGGGCTTGCCAGGTAGTAGATAATTTAGTACAATATTTGGAGGGAACGTCCTAGGCGAAAAGGGAACGGTTCTGATATGCTCTTCGGCAGTTACGTTAATATACCCTTGCAAACTGCCTTCATATAGTACTAATGTATAATAGCACTATGCTCCTCTCACTCCTTTTATAACGGCAAGTATATATGCCGAGGATAGTTTAACCACTTAAAACAACAACGATAGAACATAGTTAAGTGGACATGGAGCAAAAGCTGACATGCTAGGTGAATGATAATACGAACCTCGTCATTAGACAGTACCATATAAGTATCCTCTATGTAGGTGCAACTTCCATATGATAGAAAGCGAGCTTAAGATATGATAAAGCTCAATTTGGCCAAATAGTCTAAGGGCAATTATTGGCCGTAGTATGCAATTACATATAGATATCAACTGATGCAAAATTACTTCTAAAATTGAGATATATTAATGTACCCCTAAAAAGTTCCTCGGTGTAATTTTCTCAAAAGGGCTATTTCAGTAGCACTATAATAGGAGTCAAAACTAGCTCTGATCGTTGCGAGATGAAAAAGTCGGCGGCGTTAGGGGCATCGTGAAGGTCGTGCAGAGATAACAGGAACTCTTGGTAGATCAGTCAGCCACGTACCCCGCAAGGTTAGTCGGGATCTTAATGATGAATATAAAGGATACGAACTTCCCAAATATTTAGAAATGATTGTTCATCCTCCTGTGGAAGGTGGATTTCCTATTTACTTGAGCTGTGTTGAGCGTTGGGATTGTCCGTCTTCTAAAGCCTTGTAGACAACTTCACCATGTTGTCGACTCGAGGCAAGAAGCTCACTGGAATGCTCGATGAGCCATGGCGATTCCCACTCAGCAGAGTAGCTATGTTTAATGCAACTTCGAATCCGTCTGGATTGATATCATTTGGCACGGCTGAAAATGTATGAAACTTTGGGGACTATGAATATAGAGTCTGTGCTGATGCCCATAGTCCCTTGTCTATGACGAGCTGACGGCCTACGTCAATAGAAATGTTAGTGATGCCTTATTTTCACTCTCTAGTTTTAGTATTAACCAAATCATGGCATCAGGTGCAATTCGACAAGTCGGTGTGGTCCTACGGCTACAGCTCGGTTGGGGGTAAAGAATTCCCGGCAGCTATGGCGGGCCATATCAACAAATATTTTGACCCGATTGTGCCTGTAAAAGGCAGCGATATACTTGCAACGAACTCCGTCCCTACACTGAGCGAGCTACTTGCATTCACTCTGGCAGACGCAGGGGACGCAATTCTGCTTAGTCGCCCGGTTTATGGGAGATTCGAGATCGATTGGGGAAACAGGCCAGGACTGAAGACCATTTATGCTGATACCGAAGCAGTTGAGAGCTTCACCCCGGCAGTTGCAAGGAAGTATGAAGAAGCCTTGGTTGCTGCTGAAGCTAGGGGTGTGAAGATACGTGTACTAATAATTGTTAATCCACACAATCCTCTTGGTAAGTTTTAATCTATAATCACCAAGGAATTCGATACTGATGGGAGCAGGCCGCTGCTATCCTCGTGAGACACTTATCGAAATATTCAAGTTCTGCCAGAAGCATCAAATTCATCTAGTTAGCGATGAAATATATGCGCTCTCCGTTTTTAACTCCGGTGAAAGTGGAACGGTGCCGTTTACTTCCACTCTCAGCATTGATCCCACGGGACTGATTGATGAGAAGCTCCTCCATGTCATCTATGGAATGAGCAAGGTGAGACTCCTATTGTCCAATTTCACTTTGGCATTATAATAACTGGCGCAATTCATAGGATTTCTCTGCCCCGGGACTTCGGATAGGCTGCTTGATCAGTAAAAATCCACAGGTGCAAAAGGCTGTCCGCTCAACTTCGTAAGTTTGTTCGAGTAATAGTATTATGCACTGAGAGGCTGACGTAGGCATCTCAGGCGACAGAACAATCCATCGGCGGTCTCTTTATCAATTGCATCGGCGATGTTGAATGATGAAAAGTTTGTAACTTCTTTTCTCCAGAGCTCTAGAAAGCGACTGGCAACCTGCTACCGCTTCGCAACGGGGCTCCTTCGCAAGAACAACATTCCCTATCTGCCAGGAACGTGAGTGACAGCCTCTTCTAATGTTTATATGTCGAAGTAAAGTGACTAAACATAGGCTTCGGAGGATAGAAACGCGGGATGCTTCCTCTGGGTAGATCTGTCCCGACACCTGCCACCCAGCACCACTTCTAAGCTGATGTCCCAGAAAGACAGGGAATTTGCTCTAGCACAGAAATTGGTTGATAGCGGTGTATTTCTCCATCCTGGAGAAGAACATTCCAAGGATCCAGGATGGTTCCGACTCGTGTTCACTCACAGCGAGGAAGTCGTAGCCGAGGGTATAAAGAGGTATGAATTCACTCCACAAGGCGGGAAGAGAACGAAACATACTAAGTGATAATGCAGGTTGAGTAACGCCCTCACATCTTTGCCATGGGCGTTGGGAAGAAGGATGGATCACCGCAGAGGCGACGGAAGCAAATTATAGAAGAATAGAAGACGGAGTAAATCGGGGTGTCACCAAATGTGCTGACACAGGTGGTGCCCTTTAAACATAATTTCATGTGGCCCTCTAGGTGGTTAGTTTATCGCCGCTTGAGAATTAGGATATAGCCACTGAAATTGATATTGATAGAGACTAGCCATTACGCCAGTATCCTGGGTTTTGCTGCGAGAGAGAGTCATAAGGTAACAAGGGTGGTCTCCGGTATAGTTCGTACCACCAATGAGTCTCCTCCAACATGTCATACATCTCAACATAATTGTCAAATTCGAAATACATCCACCCAACATCTTCCTCTTCGTTGTCTGTTTCACCATCCTCAAAATCAGGGTGTATAATATAGTCTCTTTCTGCAGGGTCTCGCGCACCAAAGTGTTTTGCCAATAACTTCACAACCGGGACGTCCATATGGTCAACAGACTCCAGGCAAATATCATCAACAAAAAGGCAAAAGTTATACCGTGTACCTAACCCATCCTCTCGCCCCTTACCATGAGGATGATTCACGAGCGTCAGCTGCAGCTCAGACTCGGTTGGTGTAGTAACCATGATATCTGGTAAAATATCAAATACCCAAGAAGTAAAATGGTCACGGATATCGTGAGATGTAGCACCATCATATTTTGCTATATCGTCCATAATAATCATCTCATGGCGAGGCAGTAGGTCCTCGCTCCTCTTCTAGAGTCTCGGTTATCTCGTCGCGTAATTTTTGAAGAATTGTCTGCCAGGCATCCTCGTTATTATACGAGCATCGATAGACCACAAAGCCCCAAGTAGTAGGTTGCTTTAGAGCAATGTCGCCAAGCGATAGCGCAATGCCCTCGAGGGTTTGAGGAGGAGCTGGTGTTGTCATTTTTCAGTAGATCGTTTTAATGGTCAGGACTGAGGCCGTAATGGCTGTTGAACTGGAGGTGTTAGGTTTGACTCCAAATTTTTCGGTTAAACAGATGATTATTCGACATGCCTGATATAGAGGAAACGCCCTGACGGCTGCCTAAACATTGAAGCCACTGTGATTTCAGCCAGGTTTTAATCCAAATTCCCTGGCTCTGCATAGCGTGCTCGCTGGCCTGCGTAGTAGCCAATCAAGCATAGGGGAAAATAGGGGGTTTTCGGAACTTTAAATATATTTGTGAGGCAGTGAGGCTATAGACGCTGCAATAATACTGAATGGCTAGATATACGCGGTTTTCGGTACCTGTCTACAGAAATGAGGAGACATATAAAACCAATTACTACTTCGTACTGTGGTGTAGGATAGGTAGGGTGCTAGTATCGAAGACGCAGCTGATCAGGGTGATAGAAAGAAAGAATATGGAGTATTCCTAGTTGAATATAAAGAAGTTTGAGATGAAGGAAAAAAAGGGTTGATATCGTAAAAGATTAGATAAGATCAAAAATACAATCTAACAATGACATACAACTAATACCACGCCATTTTGATACTCAAAACGGCATCGATACAACATCAATACATCACCAACCGTAAAGTCCAAAAAGACAACGCTCAACAACCCACGATGTTTCCCTAAGAACGCATAATCCACCACCAACACGCCGCCTGAGATGCCCGGCATGCGGTCGACGCCGCTATCCTTACTCAGGGAGTCCCTACGGTCTGGGACATTTTCACAATCCAGCTCATTCCGGGCATCCAGTCGTTTACGCAACTTTTCATCCCAACCGTTTCCTCGGCCATCGAGTCAGCAACCGCGAGCTAGGAGCAATGCATTCGTTTGTCTAGTATGCCAATTGCGGGCGCAGTCAAGGCTTTACTCTACTCAGAATGATAAGGGAACACAGGGGGGAAGTGTGAGGAAGGATACACCTAAGGACGGGGGGGAGACGGCTGCAGTAGATGGCCCCGAGGTGGTGAAGCCATCGGCTTCCAATACAACTCAGCTCCCATCCCAGGAGGAGCGTCTACGTTCCAATCTTTCAAAGAAGTTTGAGGATTTGATGGATAACATGCAATCGAACATCTTCGTCGCTGGGCAGCACTTAAACGACCTGACCGGATATACGGCAATTGAGAAATTGAAGCAGGAGATTCGGGTTCAAGGTATGTTTATTATAAAGTCACTTTTCCAGTCGATTTCGATATAGCATAATCTAACTATTTGGAATATAGAGGAACTTGTTCGCCATACCCGTGCCAAAGTCCGGGAGGCCAAGGAAGCGTATTCATCTGCTATCAACTGCCGGTCAACTTCGCAACGCGAGGTCAATGAGCTCCTTCAACGAAAACACGCCTGGACCCCCACAGACCTCGAACGTTTTACATCTCTTTACCGCTCTGATCATGTAAACGAGCGAGCAGAAATAGAAACGCAAGAAGCGCTTTCAAACGCCGAGCGTGAAGCCGAAGAAGCGACCGCTGAGCTGAGCAAGAATATATTGACGCGGTACCATGAGGAGCAGGTGTGGTCTGATAAGATCCGGCGTATGAGTACCTGGGGAACCTGGGGGTTGATGGGTGTTAATGTGCTGCTGTTTCTGATCTTTCAGATTGCTGTTGAACCCTGGAGGAGGCGGAGGATGGTTAAAGGGTTTGAAGATAAGGTTGTGGAAGCGCTGGAGAGGGAGAATAACCGTCCTGTTGGAGAAGGTTCACCGGCAGTTGATGAAGGGAAAGGAGTTTCCGACGCTGAGAAGGATGGCGGTGTCACAACTGTAGCAGCATCCGATATACCTGAATCAGCGGATAATGTTGAACCTGCTCTAGAGACGGCGGCCATGGAGGAACCATCCGATCAGGTTAAGCCTGCAGAGGAGACTCAAGCGCCAACTCCGGAATTGCCGCCCCTGACCCCCATCCTTCCACCGGATCTTGACCTCGCACCCGAATCGTGGGGTAAGACCACCAGGGCATTCTTCACTGAACGACGGGTTACGCTCTCACAGCGTGACTTGACCACTGTGGCATTGGAGAGCGCTGCAGTGGGAGCAGCGGTGATGGGAGGAGTCCTGATTGCTTTCTTTCGGCTAGGGTGAATGAACCAACAGGGCCATCTACGAGGGTTATCGTGCAGTCACGATAAGTTGGATAGAGCTACGAGCAAACCCTTCGAGCCTGGATAAACATCACGTAGACTGTATATCATTTGTACATAGAAAGCTTTAAAAAAGCAAATTCTCTCTAGACATGTGTAGAATATTAGAAAGAGGACCATCTTCCTTTATCGATCTGAACTTTCTCTAACCTTCCATGCTCATTATTTCTATCAAAAAAATTCCTGTAAATTTTAGTTCGGGGGAGGGGTGAGAAATACATGAAAGCGGAGGAGGGCTTTGTATATGGAGAAATAATACAAGGGAAACTGGAGATGCAGAAAAACGAAAAGACTAGAACAAGTCTTGCATAGAGCAGGTAGGTAGGAACATAGGAAAACGGGGAAGTTATACAAGTATGGACAAACTTCCAAGCAAGATCAAGAAGTCAGACGGCCCAGAGAAGAATTGTACTTTCCATCTATAACGAAGAAACCACTACCTCCCATATTCCGCGGATCAAGGAAATAGAACGATAGGATGACAAGTAGAAAATAGGCCAAAGCGACGCCGGCCGTTTTTGTGTTTATCTGGGTCTACTTTCCCACAGCTGAACCGCACAATCATTGCTGAAAGTTAGAGTAGGTGGGTGGGTGATGATCGAGAACGGTCCGCTTTAACCGATGACGAGAGTGTCATCAGTTGGGAAGTCATACGTGGGGACTTCCAAGTTCAATGGGGCAGGACCCTTTCGAATTCGGCCGGAGATATCGTAGTGGGAGCCGTGGCAAGGACAGAACCAGCCGCCAAAGTCACCAGCTTCACCAATTGGCACACAACCAAGATGGGTGCAGACACCTATATGATAACAAGTGGGCGTTCGTTAGACAAGACGATCCTGGCTTCTAGATATATCAATGGCGCGAGCTATCTTACCCAACATGATAAGCCATTCGGGGTTCTTGACACGGTCAGAATCTGGCTGGGGGTCTCGGAGAGATTCCCAGCTGGTCGACTCGGCTTCTTGAATTTCGCTGGCCGTTCGGTGACGGATGAAAACGGGCTTTCCTCGCCATTTGATGATGACCTAAAGTGGTACCGTAAGTATGGACATATATAGTATCGCAACCTGAAACCCAGGTCCCGATGCGAAGTGATCTGAGATATAACGTACGTTCTTGCCCTCTGGGATCGTGTTAAGAGCGATTTCGACCTTGGCCTGAGCCAAAACATCGGCGGAGGCGGACATGTTGACAAGGAAATCTGATAATGCATCCAAAAGTCAGCTACCGGCCACAACGAACATCCATTGTCTCCCCATCTCCCCAATTGACCGTAGCATCAGACAAAACGCACCTTGCACAGTAGCCTTAGCGCCAACAGCAGCCATCATGCCCATGGTACCGACGACGAAGTAGGAGAAGGTCTTGTTGGTGCCTTCACGACGGGGGCTGGCGTATTTGCCGAAGCTGGGGATCTTCAACGTCGAGGGGGCAGCGTTGCCTCTGCCGAACGGGCTATCGAAGGAAGACGTCTGAGCAGCATCTGTGGCTCGTCCTCGTCGCTGCTGGGTGACGGACGATGCAGCGAGGGCGCGAGGGACGACGTTGGCGTGCCGGGCACACGCCCGGAGCGAGCTGGCGGAAGAAGCAGCGAGAGGCGACATGGCGGGCCAGAAGAAGAGCAATTGAGCGCAGCCGGGAGACTAGAGTCGCAGCACGCTGGCGTCTGGAAGTGGTGCTGTCGATGTTCGATGTTCTATGTCGGTGGTTGACTTCGGGTGAGGTTGAAGTCGAAGTTGCTAGTTGGGTTTTTTTTGATGCCGAAATCATCCGCACACTGATTGGCCAGCACTACAACTATCAACATACTACAACATCAACATCTACAACACAACGTTATACGAATACAGGCTACGATGATCGATAGTGAAGAGAATAGTGAGATAGTGAGAACGAGATTAACTCCATGCACCAGTAACCAATGCTCCAAACGCCAAAGAATACAATCAGAGAGCCATGTTGACATCGCCGTCGTCGTCTGGCCACTGAGGCGTGTCCTCGTCCACCAGCCGGCTGCGAGACCGCGAGGCATGTATAACCATCGGCGGACGGGGAGACAGCTCGTTCACATTCTGCTCGCCCACATCGACCATCGACTCCTCGCGCGAGCGTTCTGGCGTCTCGTGCTGGCGTGCCTGCATCTCCTTCAACGTCCGCTGGTTCGCAGCCTTGCCGTCCTCCTTTGCCTTCTCTTTGGCTCGTTTCTCCTTGAATTTACCGTACGTAGTCGTCTTGGGGATAACGTCAGACAGGAACTCAAGATTGTCGATGCGTGAAACAGCAGTGGCTAGAGGGACAGGTCAGTATATACCGTAAAGTCATAGATGGGTATCATACCTATATCTGCGTATCGTAGGTTCTTCAGGTTGTTTGATTTGACCACGTTATATCCTTGCTCGGTCAGGTACTGAACGAACATCTCCTAATAAAACGCGCGACGCCATGTTAGTCCTCGTCCTCGCATCTACATCTCTTGTCTCGTTGCGGTGGGAGTCGTACCGTCGCCACAGCGATCAGGAAGGTCGCGTTTGTAGAGCATTGTGCGATATCGTCGTCTGCTCGGATGATTCGTTTTATCCTCGCCACTAGAGAGCCGGTGTCAGCTATACCTGGCGTAGGACGGAAAAGTGGTGTGCGGCGAGATACATACACGGCAGGGATGAGTGGCCAGTTGCTTCGCTGGAGGATTCCCGGCTGGCCTTGGTGGGCGGCATCCTCGACTCGAGCTTCGTCGCGCTGGGTAGAATTGATAGAGGTCGAGATCTCTGCCTGTCCTTGACTATGGCTTCTTCCTGTCGAGCGTGTTGGTCTTGTTAATATATTTAACCTTGCGATGCGAGGATCATTTTCTCTCTTGGCCAAGAATCCGATAAACACGGCGGCCTTGCGATCTTCAACTTCCCTTCGACAGCTACATCAAACTGCATTCTTCGACTGTATCTCGTTTATCAGACGATCTACGACGAGTGAAGGCCTCACGCTTGACTGCTGGATACCTGCTTCATCACTGTCCTGCGCGCTACCACAGCCCTCCCGCATACGCATGGTCAAAGGATGATACCCAGCACATAGATCGGTGTCATAGATCGGTGTGATGAACCCGACACACCTCTCCTCGTCCTCGTCCGCCCGTCAACGCTCGCAGAACCGTCTCTCGATCCAGTCGAACTTCTCGGGGCTGTCTCACCTGCATTCACGGCGGGCGTCGAGCTATTCCGTCCGCTCCCAGGCCGGCGACCATGCGCAGGCCGCCGGAGCTTCTACCGGCGTAGACAGCAGCCAGACGGCAATAACGGAGGAGATCAGTGAGATAAAACGCTACGAGGACTTTACCACGATCGACTGGGTGCAGGATGCTGTCCAGGAACAGACTCGCCGGCGTATACGGAGGACGGAGGGAGCCCGGTTCTGGGACCAGGAGGGCACATTTGGATGGAGACGGAAGCTCGACGAAGCTTACGATGCGGGCCAGGCATGGCTTGTGATGACGATTGTTGGAGTGGCCATTGGTCTTAATGCCGGGTTTTTGAATATTGTTACGGAATGGCTGGCTGACGTGAAGCTGGGATACTGCACGACCGGGTTTTACCTGAACGAAGCCTTTTGCTGCTGGGGCGCAGAGGATGGTAGGCAATTCCTTAGAACTCTAGGAGTTAGCTATATCCTTGACTGACCATATCTACTTATCTAGGATGCCCTGAGTGGAAGCGATGGAGTACTCTCCCACCCATTAATTATATTGTCCACTTTATATTTGCGGTATGATTGAACACGTCATACATACTTGTTACATCCTTATAGATAAGTGTCTAACAATATTCTAGATTCTCTTTTCATTTTGCTCCGCGGGGCTTGTTGATGCATTTGCACCCTACGCTGCAGGGTCTGGCATATCTGAAATCAAAGTCATCATCGCTGGATTTATTATGAAAGGCTTCCTCGGTGCACGAACGCTGGTGATAAAGTCACTTGCCCTACCGCTATCCATTGGCTCTGGCCTCGCCATCGGTAAAGAGGGACCTAGTGTTCATTTCGCCGTCTGTACGGGCAACGTTATATCGCGTTGGTTCAGCAAATATAAACGAAATGCTGCCAAAACTAGGGAGGTTCTAACCGCAACCTCTGCCGCCGGTGTCGCAGTGGCTTTCGGAAGCCCCATTGGTGGAGTGTTATTTTCTCTCGAGGTTCGCTAATAATGCACCGGTTACATCTATATTGCCGAGTTACTTACTGTTGTATAGGAAATGGCCTCGTACTTCCCGCTGAAGACTCTCTGGAGAAGTTACTTCTGTGCCTTGGTCGCAACCGGCGTCCTTGCTGTATGTCTGCCTGCGCCCTATACCACTTTAATAGTGCTAACAGCGAACTAGATAATAAACCCATTCCGGACGGGACAACTGGTCATGTTCCAGGTCCAGTACGATCGATCGTGGCACTCATTTGAGATCATCTTCTTCATCATACTTGGAATTTTCGGAGGACTGTATGGCGCCTTTATTATGAAGTGGAACCTACGAGCACAGGCGTTCAGGAAGAAATATCTTTCGAAACACCCGATCATGGAAGCCACGGTCCTCGCAGGCCTAACGGCTTTGGTTTGCTATCCAAACATGTTCTTGAGAATCAATATGACCGAGATGATGGAGATACTCTTTCGGGAGTGTGAAGGGCCCCATGATTATAACGGGATCTGCCAGTGAGTATATTTCACTTCCATAATCAGGTGAGAGCCAGCATGCTAATCAAATCTGCAGAGCGAAAAATCGCTGGTCCATGGTCCTTTCTCTTTTGGCGGCAACCATTCTACGCATATTCTTCGTTATTATATCCTATGGGTGTAAGGTCCCGGCTGGTATTTTCGTGCCGTCCATGGCCGTTGGCGCCTCGTTCGGCAGAATGGTCGGAATACTTGTCCAAGCCCTTCACCAGAGGTTCCCAGATTCGCAATTCTTTGCGTCCTGCGAACCCGATGTCCCTTGTATCACTCCGGGGACGTATGCCCTTCTTGGTGCTGGTGCTGCATTGAGCGGAATAATGCACCTAACCATTTCAGTGACGGTTATTATGTATGAGTTAACCGGCGCCTTGACTTATATTCTTCCTACAATGGTAAGACCCCAGTCTGACACTTTTGTTTCCAATAGTGTTGAAGATGCACCTTGACTAAAATTTACTTGTTTCTTTGAATAGATTGTCGTCGGAGTAACGAAAGCAGTCAGCGACCAGTTTGGTAAAGGAGGTATTGCTGATCGCATGATATGGTTTAATGGGTTTCCATTCCTCGACAGCAAGGAGGAACATATATTCAACGTCCCCGTTTCCCATGCAATGACTAGCAACCCTGTTGTATTCCCCGAGGCCGGCCTTTCTATCAGCAAAGCTGAACAACTTCTACGGAAGCATAAGTTCCAAGGGTTTCCCGTCGTTGAGGATTACGACTCAATGACGCTAGTTGGGTTCATCGGCCGAACTGAGCTTCAATATGCTATTAGGCGTGCAAAACGAGAGGGACTACTGGCACCAAACGCTAGATGTCAATTTGTCCGCCTGTCGACGTCCATGGGCGGCGGTCCGGCATCAAGCTCTCAGTCTAGTGACATATTTGGACCACCTACACCGTTGTCTTCCTCGCCCCCTCCAGACGGCGAGCGACACAATACGGGAGCACCGACAACATTCGATGATATAGCATCGTCCTCGGGCACCCGGGTAATCGACTTGAGCCCCTACGTCGACTTGGCTCCAATAACCGTCCATCCACGCCTTGCCCTCGAAACTGTAATGGAAATCTTCAAGAAGATGGGCCCACGAGTTATCCTAGTTGAGCATCGTGGCCAACTATCAGGGTTAGTCACCGTAAAGGACTGTCTAAAGTACCAATTCAAGGTGGAGCATCAGGAACACGCGGATGCAAATGCTGCCGCTGGTGGTGATCCTACCGCTGGAATTCACGCAGGGCCGGAGGAAGGGATCATAGAGAAGAAGGCGTGGCAACTTATTCAATGGGTGACTGGCCACGCAAAGCGGATATTCAGGCTAAAGGGATCTGGTACAGGATCAGGAGGATACGCACCAGTTTCTCAAGAGGAATTGAGAAGGCGTGACTCGACAGAGATAGTCGATGGCACTGAAGAGCTCGATGCTCATTTTGAATTAGAAGAGAGAGATCGTTAGGGTGAATGCCTACGATATTGGATTTCCTTTTCTGTAATAACGTTATGTATGACACGATAGATATATATGTATGCCAATTCACCGGAATTAACGACATAGCATGCTTCTCTATTCTAAAGCCACAGGTGTTCCTCTAGTGCTGCTGAACTCCTATTTATATACATGTTTAATCCTCAAGGGCAATCAAATCATCGTCTTCGTCCCTTTTTCGATTACCAGTTAATCTAATACTTTCTTCATCTGCACAAACCCGGGTACCAGCACCAGTGCTAGTATTGGAAACTTCATTATCCTTCGGCTTCTCCTCTCGCATACCAACAATAATGCATCCGGCAGCCATCAAGGTGGCGCCAACCAACCACTGGGCAGTAACATTCTCCTGGAAAACAAGCATACCCAGCACAGCCGTGACGAGAAAGTTTGCTGTAGTGTTTGTGATGGTTACCTTGGTTGTCGATGGAGAGGCAGTCAATGCACGAGTGAAAAGCGTCCACATAATGAAATTGGAGAGAAGATTCAACCCGAAGAAGCCCTGGAGAGGTTAGTATAAGATATTATATGCATATAAAATCGATATCGAGTGCATAGGTATCTGATAATACATACAGCTCGAACTATGTATTCCACCACCACATCCACGGTGGTAGTCGCTCCAGATGACGAGAAGGGATGAGATATTGCCCGCGAGATGCTAGTTGTAAGCTCCGTCGTAGTCCTATTCAACCATTAGCAAGGTCTACAGAATATATCTTCTGTGGCTAGCAGTTATTAATTAAACATGTCGACGAAGTTCTTTGGATACTTCCAAGGTATACCAGCCGTTATATGTACCATATCCCGTGATTGCAACGATATAAAAATCAAGATCGTACGAAGACTTAAGATATCGACGGAGATGAACCTACAATTTCGCAAACAGTCCATTCATCGCAGCAAATGCGCCACTAGCAAGGGCAAGCGTCAGCCATTTCGACTGCTGGCTCATTGTCGCGTCCTTGTGGGTTTCGTGGAGTTCTTCCTTTCCCGCCTGCTTCGAGCGGCCCTCTGTCGATACCGGTCAGCTTTTGCGCTCCAAGGAAGGCCGATTAGGGATGCTCCGTACCATCGGGGCCCTTGACATTCCGTCGCCTCGCCATTTTTAGGCTAGTTCCCACTGCAGATTATGATGACTGTCGGTTTATCCTGGTTGTATTTGCTTGGTCAAAATGGATCTGGTGGCTCGGCGTGGGCTCGTAACAGGCTGCCAAGGGACGGTCATAGCAAGCCCCTGACTTTATGCGCCTCCGGACAGGCAAAACACGGCCGGCGAAGACAGTGTGATGCGGGATAACTATTTTACGAGGTGGTTCTATTCCATATGCGACGTCTACAGATATTCTGGGATGGAAATAATGATAGAGAATTGATCATCAAGTTTTATACTCCGTACGTCTATTTGGATATCAAATTGAACAACAGACCGTAATACACGCCTGGCTCCATCCTCCCCCATCATTTTCCTGGCTAACATGCCATGTTCGTCGTAGTTTACGCCGTCATCAATAACTATAGAGCCAAGGAGTGAAGAAAATAGTCATCAACGTGATAAAATGAGGAAGATTAAAAATCTAACAGGTATCCTGCATAGATTCGAGATCCAAACATCATAACTGTGACCTATATGGGTCTACATCTCCTCGACTGCACAGTTGGGGTGCAGCACATATACCACTTTGGGCTCGGCTGCAGGTTGCGCTCCACCGTCAGTCTCCATCAGCCCTTCTCCACGGATTTGCATGAGGATATTATCCTATTTGACGATGACCATGTTAGTGATGAAAAGGACAGTGTATGGGGGCGAGTAATAGACATACCTTGACCATTCTCTTCAGTATCTTCGTCACCAAGTCTCGCTCTTGCTCTAGCTCTTCCTCATTATTTAACTCAGACTCGACCTGTTCGAGGTAATAAAGGATAAGGTCCTCCTCCTCAACTCCCTCACCGGTCCGGGTCTCGTCATCGTTGACACGACGAACGAGAACATTCAGGACACGCATGTATTTATCATAGGTGATCTTCATCTTTTGTGGTCGACTCTCGGCAGTACTCTGTTGCGCGTCTGTTTGCTGCTGTGTATCGTCGTCCTCGTCCATCATGTGCTGGTCATCAGCAGCCGTTTGGTTGTTTCCTGCAGCGGCGGCAGCAGCATCTTCCTCATCATCAACCTCTACATCATCCTTCTCAACAGTAACGATACTCTGTCTCAGCAAGTCATAGGCTTCCATCACGAAACTGGGAATGACCTCTTCAACACAGTTCGCCTTCGCCACGGCTTCAGATAATCGAATCAAACTCTCCAGTTGTCGAACGGTAATTCGATAACTGCTCCGGCCCATACCTCCCTGTGAATCATCGGCACGAAGTTCCTTGTATTTAACAACGACCAAAGCCCTAGCTTCTTCGGTAAAGACTGGTCGGAATGTCCGTGCAAATCGAATATATCTTTGTAACTGCTCTGTGGATAAATCGGGTTTCACTGCTTCATCCCGGTTCATGTGGACATTCACAATGTGATTTGCCAGGTTTCTATCAACCGCTTCATTTGGATCGTCTCGAATTACGAAGAAAAGATCAAAACGACTCATAATAGGAGCACTGAAGTTAAGGTTTCCTCGGAGAGTAGTCTTGGGGTTGTATCTCCCTCCTATAGGATTCGCAGCTGCCAGGATACTTGCTCGCGCATTGAGGGTTGTATGGATTCCAGCTTTGGCAATAGATATGGTTTGCTGTTCCATAGCTTCGTGGATAGCAACCTGGTCGCTCACATCCATCTTGTCGAATTCGTCAATTGCACAGATTCCACCGCCGTTCTATAGATATATTAGTAAAAGGTTATCTTTAATTAGGTATAGAAATTTAGGTTGAAACCTACCGCAAGCATCAGCGCTCCAGCTTCAATAGTGAACTCCCCAGTTTCTGGGTCCTTAACAACGGCAGCAGTGAGACCAGCTGCAGACGACGCTTTACCACTGGTATATACTGCTCGTGGATGCAGCTTACAAATGTACCTAGAAGGAAGCCAGTTAGCCCACGAAACAAACATATCACGACGAAGTGAGATCTGGGTAGCCATACTTTAAAAACTGACTCTTGCTCGTCGACGGATCGCCAACAATGCAAATATTAATATCACCACGAAGTTGCATCGATTCCTCCACCGTTCGTTTACTGACACCTCCGACCAATTGCAGGAGCAAACCTTTTTTAATTTGCTGATGACCATAAATCATAGGCGCTATAGAGTCGATAAGTCGAGCGTAGATATACTCAGAATGCACCAACTCCTTTAGATCCTGGACCTCGTAGGGGGTAAGCGTTTGAAGTAAGGCCTTTTGTGCCATATCTTCGACTTCTTCGGGCAGCTCAGCCTGATTCAAGGAGGCAAGAATATTTGGAGATTGACCCTGTAAGTTCTGGTTTGATGATTGGCCGGGAGTAGACAAGTCTGGCGTTATCATACATGCCAGGAATGCCATGCGGTATGTGAGATCCCGCACACCGAGTGATTTCAAGCCAGTAACACCGTTTCCTCCGGCATCTCCGCCTCTGAAATTTCCGTAATCCCTGGTTGCTTCAGGTCGAACACCGGGTGTCCCAATCTGGCTGACATCTGGAATAACAACAAGTGTTCCGGTGAATATACACCTTTCACCAGCCTTTGCACGGTCAACCATCTCTCCACGTAAGATAACGTCCATAGTTCTAGGCATGCTTCCCGTTGGTATCTCATGTGACGACTCCTGCAGCTTAACTTTCTGCCAATCCACAAAGGTACTTTTTCTAATATCTAAGCGCCATCCAATGCGATTACCGCAAGTTGGGTTGGTGCACTGGGTAGGCTCGGTGAATTTAAAGCTCTGCTCGATATCCGCACAAACAATGTTGCAAGTTTCACAAATAAATGTTCCCATCGCGAGTTCTGGACGCACTTCAGACGTTCTCGTCACGGTGCCTGATATCGAAGAAAGCATTCCAATCTGGGCCGTTCGAAGCTGTCTGAGCCTGGAGACTAGCGGAAGATTGTAGAATGCAAGCGTAAACACCTTATCCGTCTGTTGGTATCTGGTCTTTCCGGCAAGGTCGTCGGGTTCGGTGCTGTCGAGTGCTACCGTGGAGGTACCAGCCTGTGACGAATGGCTTCCAAGCTGTTTATGTGCACGGAAATACTGGGGTTCATATTTCGCGATTAAATTATGTAGTGCCTTGGTGAGGTAGGGCTGAAATCTGTAGTACTGGTTCACGATGGCATCGGCCAGTACTTGATTCGGTAAGGAGGTAAGGTGGGTGAAGTCGACGTAGAGGGTAGAAAGCTGTAGTTTTTGCATTCCATGGATCTGAGAGATGTAGTATTTATCACTGAGCATCTCCGATGATGTAGGAGGGACGCCGGACGACATGGGGTCTTCAATGTGCGTTTCCAGCAGTTCTTCGAAGGCTTGCTGTACTTTTTCACCGGCGACATCGCGGACAACGGGAGGTCCTCTGCCATACATGGGATGTCGGGGCCGCCGCGACGACCTGCTCCCTGGTCCTACAAGCTGGTCATCTGCGAATTCGGGTGCCTCGCTCATGGGCGCATTGCTCTCTGAGGGAAGTGGGAGGCGGGATCGCTGCGAGCTGTCCAGCACAGGGCCGGTGCCTGGCTCGGAGGTCATGAGGAGATCCAGCATGGACGACATGATGGCTTATCATTAATAAGAGCGAACTGGCGGGTGTTTGGAGAGAAATTGATCTTTGTCTTCTCGTTCTTCGTGGAAATTCAAGCGAAGTTGACAAAACGCGTAGTTCGCGTTACGCGTAAAGTGGTTTAGCACGTGATTCATATCAAATATCTACGGAGAGTATATAGAGTAGATTATAGAATAGAATATAGAGTAGAGTAGAGTAGAGTAGAATAGAGTATAGATATAGTATAGAGAGAGTATAACTGAAATAATATTGCTAGTCTAGTAATGGTCGTTAACTCATGATCGTGAAATGCATAAACGACATCAAAGCACGTTAACCACTCTCCACGTCGACTCATATCCATTCGCTATATCGGACTGGCAGCTCGTTCAGGATCCCCTCAGAACCGTAGCCCACGCCGAGTAGGCGGACTCTTTCGATCTTGCCGCCAAAGTCGTCCTCCACGGTGCTGTGCCAGTCTTCCAGGTACGCGCGGATCGCATCGATGATATCCGGGTCGTCCTCGATGAGCAAGGCAATAGCATCATACCCTCCTGCACCAGGAACAACGCCGCCAATAACGCCGTCAAGCTTGCCCAGAGCGTCTAATAGTTCAGTCTGCACCAAGGGTTCGACTGGCACGCCGCTCTTCTTCGTCATCGTTTTAATCCACATTCTCGATTTAAGAAGTAGACTGCGGACCTCGTTGAAGTTACCTGTTCCCGGACCGAGGGTGAGTTTCTTCAGCTCAAGACGAATCTTCTCGTTATTCAATTGTAGACTAGACCATATGGCATCTGCTTCCTCGCGGTTTTCCTCTCGCCAACGAAGCAGCTTTTTAACCATGCCCGGAGTCTGGGAGCCGCAGTCAACGTCACAGAGCACCATCTGCATCCCCCCAGGAAGTTCAAACCCGACATCATTGCATTCGGTGTCCCATGGAGCACTCGTGTTGAGATCTTCAACGATGGAGAAGAGGCGATCTTCAAACTTGGGCGAGCCAGGCTCACCTAGTTCAGCAAGCACGGATGGAGAAAAGCGCCGATAGTAGCATGATCCGTAGACGGCGGCAGCAACATCGAAACCGGAGCCTATTTTCCCCTGGGCGGCGCAGTGAGCTGCCTGGGCGAGGTTATGGAGCTTCTGCCTGTTCTGCGCGAGCTTCTCCGGCGGTACCGTACGATGAACGACGAGCGCGGACACCAGCGCAGTTACCAGTGCAGCGGACGATCCCAGTCCCGTCTTGTGCGCATCCTGCAGCCGCACTCCGAACTTCTTGAATCCTGCAGGGCCTCCCTGGGGCGCACTGCTGGCCGTGGTTTCGGAATAATAGTCGTCGTCCGCCAGAATGGTGATGGCGAGCGAGCCGATGTTCTGGGACGCAGAGACATAGCTCGCGTAGGTCAGGGCATAGTTGAGAGATGTCTCGACGAACGGGTTCCGCGGTCTATCTCCAATTAGTTTATATCAAAGCCGGGGTTATATTAGATGGTGAAACCAAGGGTAAACAAGACCGGGAACAGATACGAAAGACAAACAACGATACGAAGGACGGGAAGAGGAAAGACAAGAAGAAAGGAGCCACAAACCCGTCGCCTGTTTGCACGGCTTTAACGCCGCCTCCGTTGTCTGATCGCCGGATCTTGTATTCCCATACGGCATCGACAAACTGCGGCGACCTGACGGTGACGGTATCTTCCTCCTGCGCCACGTCCGACTTCTCAGCTGCCTCACCCTCCAGCTGAACAGTGTCTGCCTGTGTTTGCGTATCCGCGGTCCGTCTCTCGATGTTCTGCTGCTGCACGACGACATGGATCCTGGCGTCCAGAGCGCAGACGGTGCCTGTGTAATCTCTATCCAGGACCAGGTAGCCTCCCGCAAGCAGCACCTTTCCAGGCGCAGATACGGCCGTCTCAGTCGGCGGCTGTCGTTGAGCCATGTCTCTTGCTGCCCGCGCAACCCTCATGCTGACTGCGTTGCGAGCGACGACTGCGTTACGGGCGAGCTCGAGATGGCGGGACGAACTGTCGGCGGCGTCGGAGTGGGATGGCGATGGATCTGTGGCTTGCGGCCGCGATCTCATCTCAGTCGCTGTCCAGGTAAGCTTCTAAGCTTACTTGCTAGCTGCGTCTCTAGCTGCAGGCCGCGGTGGCTCGTTTGGCGATGTGGCTGAATCTCATTAGCTGTATATTAGCTCCGGTTAAGGGGCGCAACCTGGCTCTCTCACTCGCTGGTGGAGTAGGAAATATGCGAAATATGCGAAAATAAGTGGAATTAGCTCCGGAAGGGCCCCTTTTGCATCGTGAGACCGGCTTTGCCTTGGTTTTGCTGCTTTTTTGCGGATTTAATCCTGGCAGGTTGGTCTGAGATCGAGATATTAAGTCGTGGAGTCTCTCTTGAGTCTCCTGTTTCATTCAACATACGGAGTACACAACTTCTTTCTACCAATTTGTCCGCCACAAAAGTCCAAGATGCGTAAGAAGCTTATCTTCCTTGGAAAGTCTTGTCGTTGCTTGCCTTGCTAACGAAGGATGGCAGATCTCTATCGCAGCCAAGCAAGGTCGCTGGCCTGGTACGACGCCGAAGGAGAGCCCCCAAGCCGCAATCCGTTCAGGAGAACCAGATCGCGCCCCGAGAGGACGCCGACGTCGAACCTGGAAGCCGGCGGTGAGAACTACACGATGTCGAACATGAACTCGAACGGAAACGCGGAGACTACGTGCGGTGTCGCGCCCTCGACGGCGGGAACAGATGGCCTTCAGGGAGGCACGGAGTCCATCACCAGCACGGAACCTCTCACTCGCGGTCTGGGAGGCGTCAAGCCTGCCGATGAGGGCGTCCAGAGAGGTTCAGAGGGCTCGGAGTCGGTCGATAAACAGCAGACTACGCAGGTCGAGGAGCCGGCTGCCAAACACAAACCGACATTTACAGTCGCTGGACAGTTACGAGCTACCGTGTTCAGCTCCTGGATCAACCTTCTCTTGTTTGCCGTTCCTGTTGGAAGTACGTTCTCATAAACCGTGGAGATGGTGGTTGATCTGCTAACAGGCCTATAGTTATCATGTACTATGTCAAAGCCAACTCAATCGCCGTTTTCGTCGTCAACTTCATCGCTATCATGTAAGAGACGTGCCATTGGAGAACTAGATGCCAGGTAGCTAACCATTGAACAGTCCCCTTGCTTCAATGCTCGGTTTCGCGACAGAGGAAATCGCCATGCGGTATATATACACCTCGGGATCAACACTTGTTCTATCTCTAACAATATTTGCAGAACTGGAGAAACTATCGGCGGTCTTCTCAATGCGACCTTTGGGTAAGCAGTCTGCTATTCCAATAAGCCAGTTCTTCGAGCTAACAATAGCTAGAAATGCCGTTGAACTTATCGTGTCCATTCTTGCCTTGTTCAAGAACGAGATCATTATCGTGCAAACATCCTTGATCGGCAGTATCCTGTCCAATCTGCTCCTGGTCATGGGCATGTCCTTCTTCGTCGGAGGAGTAAACCGTATGGAACAGAATTTCAATGTGACAGTGGCCCAGACAGCCTCCAGTCTTCTCGCGCTGGCTGTCGGCAGTCTCATCATCCCCACGGCCTTCCATACCTGGTCAGGAAGTATGTTATCCAGACATCCACCTTCTAACATTCGTTCGCTAACTGTATATCAATTAGATGGCGAGGCTGGAATTGCTCAAATTTCCCGAGGTTAGTGGCCATCTCCTGCCACAAGAATGTGCCTTGTTAACCCGATATCTAGGCACAAGTGTAATCTTGCTCATCGTCTATGGAGCCTATCTGTTTTTCCAGCTCAAGTCCCATTCCTCAATCTTCAACAAGCCCAGCGAGAAGGTTGAAAAGAGATCAAGATCCAAGAAGGTCGAGGAAGGCGATGCCACCAAGGGCATTGCTCAAATTGGTGCTGGATTTTCGGCTTCCATGGGAGGACGTAACGCCCAACAGAACCCGATCGTTATCCCCGAGGAGCAGGAGGAGGAGCCTCAGCTTAGCGTCTTCGTTGCCGTCCTTACTCTTTGCGTTTCAACTGCTCTAGTCGCCCTTTGTGCAGAGGCAATGGTATGCACATACCCTTGTGAGGTTCCTTTGATCGATTTATCGACTCACAATCTATATAGGTCTCTTCTATCGACGCAATTACCGCCACCGGTGGCATATCGGAAACCTTTGTCGGCCTGATCCTCCTGCCTATTGTTGGAAATGCTGCAGAGCATGCTACTGCAGTGACAGTGGCCGCTAAGGATAAGATGGACCTCTCGATCGGAGTTGCTGTCGGGTCTAGTATGCAGATTGCCCTGCTCGTACTACCGCTACTTGTAGTTATTGGTTGGATTGCCGGTACGTCCCCAACCTCATACTTATATATTCCTTATTATCACGCTCCAGACTCAAATACTAACGATATGCTACCCGATTATAGGAAAGGATGACATGGTACCGAAGCCTAGCCCTCTAATATTACCATCTTTTAAGCATACTAACAAAGAACTAGACACTGTATTTCGATGGATTCCAGGTTACTGTTCTATTCGTTACCGTTCTCTTGGTATGTAGTACTCTATCGATCGTGCATTCTATCGTGCTGACCTAGACTCTGTAACAGGTAAACTACCTTATCCAAGACGGAAAGTCACACTGGCTGGAAGGAGTCCAGTTAATGACCCTATACATCATCATTTCAGTTGCCGCTTGGTGGGCTACCCCTCCCCCCGGCCGTTTCGCGTATCTCTGCTAACCCAAAGGTCAATTGCACAGGTTCTACCCAGCCAGAAGCGAGAAAATGCCCGGAATGTCCTAGATGTCTAATACACCACTTTCATCAAGCTACATCTCGACGTCGACCGTTTCACATCATTTAATTTGAGGTTTAACCAAACATGGCCCGACAGCTTACACATTACTTACACCTACTTCCTTGCGGCGGGTAACTTGACTTTTTGACTTCTCTATACCTTGTTTGTGATTGATACCCTTCCTTGAACTTTGACGTTTTATTTGCATTCATATATCCCCCCTCTCTAAAGTCACAGTTTGTAATGCCTTTTAATTAGATTAGAAAAAGAAAGAATAAAGAATGACAGAACGTGAAAAGTGCCGAGTTTCACGGGGCGATTGAGTAGATATGCACACCCTCGGCCCGCCACCAAAGTATCATCTTCCCTTCACGCGGACAGCACGGAGTAGAGAGCGAATGAATCGATCGCTTGCCAGATGCCGAGCAAGGCACAGGACTACGTATGTTGTATTTTGCAACCTTGCCCCCGCGCCGACTAAGTTCCCGTCAGAGTCCGCATAGGCTATCGCGATCCGCCGGCCGCAGCCCTGCAGCAGATCGACGGGATGCGATGGCCAGCTCCTATCAGCTAACTACTAACCTCTAACCAAGAACTAAGCCTCTAACCAGCTACTATCCAAGAACTAAGCCTCTAACCTCTAACCAAGAACTAAGCCTCTATCTAACCTCTACCTCTAACATCTACTGGGCATGCCGAGAATGCAGCCGGGTCGAACTCTCTTGCGTCCACCGTTTCTATCTCAAGTCTCCTTTCTCCCCCGACTGCCTGTCTGTCTGCCGGGTGACCGCGCGTACAGATGGCGCGATAATGGCAAAGGGGAAGTCTCCGCACCGAAACCTGGGGTGAAACCGTTCCCGATGCGCAGAGAAAGATACAGGGAGACGAGCATGATCCCGTACCTACGGGCCGAAGAAATAACGCAAATTATCAAAGCGCAGGCGAACAAGATACATGGATTCCTGCAGCGATCGTCGAGAGCTTAGCTTAGCTACGGCGTACGTATAGCCATGACATGGCGTACGGCGTGGGGAGTCGGTGAAGCAGGCAAAGGAAGCACTCGTTATCATTTTCATTGCTGAGTTTCTATGGTATATCTTTTTTGGTAGGAGCTATATATATCAGGGCATTTTCGTTACCGTGGTCCGTTGCCGTGCATCGATGCATATCGCATGTCAAGTAAGGCCTGAGACAGAAACGTAATGGAAACACCCAGCTGTAGAAACGAAGATTAAAAAAAAGGAAGAAGTGAAAGTGTGCAAGAGAGAGGAATGATAGATGACCCAGATCCAAGAGAAAAAATAATACAGCAAGCTCCTTGGCTGAAAACGATAAAATCAAACAATCCTTATCCATGCCGATACCGATGCCTATCCTTCCATTCCCTTCCCTCGCCAGGTCCAAGTCCCATTCCAATCCGTAATAATGTAGCGCGGTCGAACCGAGAGCTATAGTCGAGCAAGAAAGTGAATAATGAAAAAAAGAGATAGATATGATCAGATGCGCAATGCAATGCAATGAAAAATACATGAGAAAAAAGGAAAGATGATATGGCGTGTAACGTGATGAGATATAGAGTGCAGATTAATGGGTATATTCGTTCCAGATTAGACCTAGCCATCCGTTGGCACTGCCACAGCCGTTGCTGTTGCCGTTGCCGTTGGTTTGATAGTGGCCGTTCATGTTAGACAACGAAGCTGGAGAAGGCGGGCCGTTTGACGTAGGTATAGTCGTAGACCACTTATCAAAGCTGTCTGCCTCGACAAAGGCGAGCACGTCTTCTCCACTTAAACTGCTCAGCCATAGAGGATTGGCATTGGCTCCATCATAAGACATGTATGGCGAGACATGTCTAGATGATGGTTGTTGCTGTTGCTGTTGATGTTGATGTTGCTGCTGCTGCTGCTGCTGCTGGGGGTACTGTTGCTGGGAAAGCGGCGGCGCCAGGAACGAGCCTAGATCCAGTCTTGATTGCGCGAGGGGAGGGGTCCTGTTGCTTGAGCCATGTACATGACCGTGCCCAAGCCCATGACCCTGGCCATGTCCATGTCCATGTCCGTGTGCTTGGCCGCAGTGGGTTAGACTCGGCTGGAGAGGAGGTAGGGGGAAGCTCTGCTGGGCGGCCAGATTGAGCGAAGGGAGTGACTGGGAATATGGCGGAGGAGGAGGCTGTCGGGATGTTGGCCAGGGTTGTACAGCTTGTAAGCGGTGGTTTGAGTTTGAGTTCGACGGTGAAGGAGTCGCAGGGAAGTACGGTGAAGATGCAGCGGTTGTAGTTGCTGTTAAGGGTGCGGTTGCGTGCCCAGTCGTGGAAGGGATTGGAGGCGGAAGAGTCGTACCGGCCGAGCTCGGTGGAGATGCAGGAAGCCCCGATGAGGATGTGTCGCGATAGGTGCTTTGGAAGGGGGGGAGGCTGTATGATGGAGCTGTAGATGGGGCGTTGGTAGAGGGATGATGCTGTTGCGGAGCAGGGAGAATCGGCCATCGATCGCAATCGGCCGATTTGTCGCCGTTCTCCTTGCACCCGTTGGCCATCATGATCATCGCAGCTGCCGGTCCAGAGGTAGTCGCGGTCATTGTGCTCGATGTCATCGCAGTTGTTATCGGAGCAAGGGAGTGAGGTGTGACGAGTGAGTGAACAGGGTTGTTGCTGCTGCTGCTGTTGTTAACGGGTACCCATGACTCTCGCTGCAGCCCACCATTAACAACGTGGCTATGATTGTTCGCCTCGCTGCCATGGGGAGCGTCTGGGCCGTCACCCGGTTCGCTTTTCACAATGTTGCTCGCCGTCTCACTATGCTCCACCAGATTCGCAGATAACATCGCAGCCACATCGTCATCCGACCCGTTCATTTCGGGCGTTTGGTCCTCAGTGCTACCTAGCTCCATGAGCACTTTGTCCAGCTGCTTGAGTTCCTCATATAGATTACTCAGAGCAATCAGCGAGGAAGAAGAGCAGCGGTTGTGGTGGGCGTTGGCTCTGTTGTTATGGTAGTGGTTATCCGCACTGTTCATGTCCAGCTTCCGCCAGGAACGCTGCTTCTGGTCTCTCTTGACCTTGCAGAAATAGCCATGTAACCGATGGACAGTTCGGAACCAGCCGACTGCCATTTTCAGCCGAGGCCTCATCTCACCGAGAATCTCAATGGCTTTCCGCACATCAGCCTGGCCCTGACTTCCCGCTCCCATGGACATTGCTGTACCACCTGGAGAGGAAGCAACGGCATCGTGGGAGTTTGGCTTTAGACATAGATAGCCCTCCTGATCCATGTGGTTGAAATGAGCTGCATATACGCCTATGAAAGCAGCGTTGTAAATTGCAAAGCCCACCAGGGGTGTCTCCATGAGCACACCACGTTCATGACAGGTGCGAACAAGTTCCACCATCTGTCTTGCTGCGCGAAATAGTTCGCGTGCACTGTCTTTCCAGAAGCTGTCGGGCACGCTGTACCTCTCGGGCGGATACGAGGGCTCGTCCAGGGGCCCCTGTGGATCCATGGGTCGGAGTGGGAGGAAAGGCAGGTATGCGCGATGTAGGACAATGACTGAAAGGAAATAGATTATGTGCATGAGAGCGTATGGGGCCAGTGTATTTTTGTACATTATGTGGGTATCAGTATTGCGAGTGCTGTACTGTAGATTCCTGTAGAGGCCTTCTTGGAATTCCAGCAACTGGTCCCTGAGCTGGTTGAACCGGGACTCGTGGTGCCATGGTGGGCACTGGTCAGATCTATAACTTGTTAGCAATTCTGGTAATGATAAAAATGTGTCTGCAATTTACACAATTACACACCTTCTGCCGCCGTCACAAGCCCATTTCGCAACGCTTCCCCAAATTCGAATGATTCGAACTAGTCGGCCCAATACACACTCCTCCACACCGACCTCCCACCGATCAATCCTGTCTCCAAGTCCGTCGCTTCTGTGGCTAGGAAGCGGTGGCCACTGTTTGGACTCGCCGCCGTTTCGCAGTTTTACATCCTCGCCGTATCCGATGGACTGCCTCAAGCTGGGTATCTGTACTCCATTAGTGGTGGTGGCCGTCCCACCGCGGGAATCAAAGCTCTGCGAGCGTCGACTGGTCCCGTTCCTCCCACCGTTTCCGTCACTAAGCAAGGACGTCTTTACTCGCTCACCAAAGGCAAACGCGTTCTCGCTGGGCAGTTGAATTCCAATTTCGCGCACTCTGAGCATACGCGGGCGTAATCTGCCGTTGCTCAGACATCTATCGAGGATGAAACAGCTCCAGAATGTCCGTCTCTTGGTCTCCTGATCGATGAGCTCGTCCGAATTGAGCTGTTCCTTTTGCTGATTCTGCTGGTCGATTTCCGCATGCATAGATGGTCGACGGGACGAGTAAGAGTAGTATGCTGTCTCCTCTTCGGCAGGCTCAAAGGACAGCCCCATAGCCTGAGATATCCTGACAGCCATTCCCAGATAGATCCATGCATTCTTGCCACGGCACATCCCCCATTCATGCAAGGTTAGCATGAGCAGAGCCTGGACTCGGCTGAGGTCTGTGATGGTGATATCGGCACCGTCAGTCCCCGCCAGTCGTGCCCGCAAGACATTGGCGTAGAACTCCGAGGCCATGGTTGGGTTGCATGGGCTGACCGGAGAAGAAGGCGAGTGGTGCTGAGCTAGCTGTGGATGAAACCTGGCAGTCAGGGTCAAGACGCCCAGCAGAATCAGCGGAGACACCTCTGACCTCGGTGCCGGGCTCTGTGACTTGTCGACAGCAGCCGGCTGTCCGTCGACAGTGGTGGTAGTAGAAGAAGCAGGGGTGGTGGTAGAAGCATAGGAAGCGCCTGTGAGGTGACGGATCTGAGCCAGCGAGGTAGCCGGGTGCAAGAAGGGCAATATGGTCGCAAAGTGCTGTTGGAAGAGGTCGAATAGGGTCTCCCATACTTTGGGAGTGAGGATGACGGAGTCAAGGGCGAGCATGTAATTCTGCTTCACCATGGCCTCCTTGGATGAGATGGAAGAGTTGGCATGCTTCCTGTTGCGCTGCCGCTTAGGGTTATCCCATTCGCCATGGCCATGGCCATTACCGTTGCCGTTACCGTTGGCGTTGGCGTTGGCGTTGCCGCGTTCATCGTCGACTCCGGACGAGGCTGTGATATCCCGTTTGACACCGGCCGGGTGACAGCCACCGGCGGCTGCTGGAGTTGGATAGGAGCAGTCTCTCCCGGAGGACTCGCAGGCTCGACAGGTGGTATCGATGCCGGCATTGACGCACTTTATCTTGCTCCGGCGGCAGCGGGAGCAGGCGATGCTGGAGCGCATCTTAGCAGCAGGATAGGCACAGGCAGTCGAGAGCAAACACAAACATGAACATCAAACGTCAAACGTCAAACATGAAGGCCATGCATAGGTCTGCCGTCAAGAACGTAAGGTAAGAAGTAAGTAGTCGACGGGTATTAAGTCTGGGGGAGCCAGGCCGGCGGTGCGATGGTGCGCATGTATATACTTCTTGCTGGGTGATATTTTCCGTCGAGATCGCAGGCTAGTGGGTATTAAGTTCGGTTGACTCCGAGAGCCTGGAGAACGGCCAGTCGGCTTCTTCTTTTTCTTCTTTTTTGCAGTTTCTCTTGAGGCGTGGAGTTTGCAGGGAAACCCGGCCGCGCTACCATCGAGCTTTATAAGTAGCGTGAATAGTCGAAGCCGTCTCTGATATATAATGGAAGATGTAACAAAAAAGTAACAAAGAAAAGAAAAAAAAAAAAGAAGAAAAAAAAAAGAAAAAAAAAGTAAGCATGTTTGCAAAAAACAAGGGCAGGGCGGCGAGGGACGGCAGAAACAGGGGTCAATTTGCAAAAAGACGTATTACAAATACGGTATTACTGTATTGCAAACCGGGCAAAAACGCGGTAATTTTAAAAAAGAAGGTGAACAGACAGATATCTAGACATAGAGAAGACATATAGAGAGGACATCTAGAGAAGACATAGAGGGATGGAGAGAAGATAGGAGAGAAGGTACGGAGGACGGAGTACGGGGTGGAGGATGAATCCCGCGACCAGGTTGATATCTCGACTTCTCTAGTGGAACGGTGGACACGGCGGCCGCAGGCGAATGGAGAGAAGCCACTGCATCAGGAGCTGTACGCTGGCCCGCCGAGAGACGTACGGATGCCCTCCCTCGGAGAGAGGTACACGGCAACAAGTCGAGCAGGTGGACTCGGGACAGCAGCCAGCCTGTGCCGAACTAGGTCTTACTCCCATCCACACTGTCTTAGCGTTGGTCGTTGGGCTTCAGGCTGATTCGTTGACATGGGAGTTGATAGATCTCCACGGACGAGCTGACGAGGGAGACGTTCGATGTAGATGTACACGATGACGCCAGGCTGGGTGATTGAGAGCTCGCTTATGCTCCCGGCACTCGTGGTTGGCTGCAGTTGTGTGCTTCCTCTGCCATCTGCCATCTGCTCTGCGCAGGTCAAGAACCATGAACCCGTCTCGCCAGCCACTGCGGAAGGCGTCTCCCGACTGCCGATGCAGGCATGGAGCAGGACATCCAGGCTAGAGGGCACCCGTTCGCCTCAGCTAACGCAAGCCCGGTGCTTGTAGAGTACGTACTGCGTGGGATGGCCATCACATACCATCACATCTCTTCACAATATATGGAGACGGATACTCTACATATGTACGGAGTATATGCACTTTGGGAACGAGTACTCCGTATATACTCCGTACTGTGGACTCACCTATCGGATCACCAGCGGCACTCACACTGTCTGAAGAATGATGGATATGATCCTCGCAGCTTGCACATCCGATCGCTGGTTAGCGCGCAGAAGCAAAAGCAACACGCAACCGCTCGACTGAGTCCTCCTACCATTTACTTAATGGAAGGCAAGGGAAAAAGAAAAGCCAGGTCACCAGCCAGCAAACGGTAGCAGGTCTATCCCGTCGAGCTCCGTCGCCAAGTCGGAAGGCCAGGTAGGGGTGAATGCCCACGGCGGACTCTCTCCCCTGGGTATCGGTTATATATTTATTTAATTCACGACCGACTGCCACACTACGATTTTGACCTTCCACTTGAGACCTAACTCGCTGGAGCTTGCACTGGAATGGAATGCGGGAGTGCAGGGCCGCAGGGCCGTCGGACCGCGCCCTATACATACATACATCCATACACCACTTCACTTGATATCGATGCACGGCGATTACACACCGAAGGCAGGTCTTGGTCTCCTCTTGGTCTCTCTCACGGCGTCCACCTTCGATCGACGTACACTCTGGATGTACGGACTCCTCTCCCTCTCCCGAACACCACCGCCGCAGCTCCACCACTCTCCTCGGGCGTTAGCGTTGGCGTTGACCAGTTGCACAAGAAGTAAATCCTCCGCCATTTTCAAAATATCCCGCATCCCGCACCAGCAGAAGATTAAAATCGCCTCTCCTGTGCAACTTTGTACCAGGGATGAGAGTTGATATCTTCTTTCCCCTGTTCACTGCATCTCCCGCCCGTATAGACCGTCGGTATGGTAAAGCTTCTAGAAAATACACCTCGCCGTATACCCTCGAAGCGCCGATGTGGGCCACCGCCAACGACAGGGAAGCTGCTCCTGCTCATGCTCCCGCTGCTGCTGCTGCTGCTGCTGCCGATGATGCGCTGATGCTGCTGGACGTTTGATGCTGGGCGTTGATATGCTGCTGGCCGTTCTTCCTTTGGCCCGCCCTTCCGTCCGTTTGTCGGTACATACAACATCACATCCCTCCGTAAGCATTATCTAATTGCTTATAAGCATGTGAGTAAGACCTAACGCTTTCTCCACGGCGGGAAATACTCTCTCTCGCTTGCTTCTTTTTTCTTTTCACTCTGACCCTAGCATTGGACCCTGCAGCAAGCCTCTCGGCAATCAAACAGGGTATTATGTAACTTTGCATTCCCGTTCCTAGTATCTGGGCGAGGAGGTCACTTGGTTACCAGCGCAGCAGTCCTACAATCTCGTTATACATCCAACCCATCGCAGGACCATTGCGTATGCTCTTGCCAGGCAGCGGAAGCGCTCAGATATAGATCAACATGATCTTCCGATGAGGTAAATTTTTTAAAAAAAAATCCTGCCCGCTCCCCGTCTTTGATAACTCGGCCGGACTCCGCCAGTTCCTCTCGTCCACGGCCAGAGTATTGGCTCAACCGCCCGTCCGCGCAACGCTCGACCATCACCCCCATACATCTCCAACTGAACCAAACTACTCGAGAGTCAAAAAAAAAAAAAGATAAAACATAAGTATACAACCCCCGTCGCAGCCCGAATTTGCCTCTTCTCTCACCTGTTCCCCCGAGTCTTGCCGGGCCCCAGACGGTGCGCTCCCTCTAATCAACGGACGGCCAGGCCAGCAGTCGCTCTGGCTGATGGTTTACTAACCAGACTTCTCGTCGGCGAAGTAGATTAGCAGCCATATTGCTTAACCCGTGTCTAGTCTAGAACCCGGCCAAGTAGAGGTCTGCCAATGTTCGTATTCCACCTTTCTCCAACTGCTACATGGTGCGGTGCGGAGAATAAGCAGCCGGGGAAAATCAGCGTCCTGACTCCATAATCGAGTTTAGAAGGCCGTGAGAATCTACTCTCTGCCGTTAACTCTGTCGTTAGGCTCTCTCTCGTGAGGGGGTATAGCTACGTCTTATAATCATCTATTTTTAGTCGCTTCTCTGCCGCCATCGTGTATGTATGTTATATGATCCTATCCCCTTCATTAACTGCTCCAAGCAGGCGGGTCGCTATCTTGATCTTTGCCTGTCGCCCTTGCTCGGCCATCGAATATAGGATGGAATACCTATAGCGATCGAGGTATGTATACGGTAAAAGTGTATCCCCTATACGCATCTTCGGATTCAAACAGCATCCCCCCGATACGTACGGTGTTCCTATCTTCTCTCCTTGGGGAATGGCTGCCGTCCATCACTTAACTATGTATACAAACCGCTGCTCGAGTATCTTTTCGTAGTTTTACAGGCGGCGAGCTGGCGAATAGGATCACTAGGCGGACATGATCTCCTGCATCGGCGCGAAATTCTCTTTTCCTTTCTTTTTTTTTCTTCTTCTTCCCCTTCTCTCAAACTTTTCTTTTCTTTTCTTTCCTTTCTTTTGTTTTGCTCACGCTGCCGAAGCCCGATCCGACCGAAGGAGATTAACGCCATGTTGTACGTAAGTGTGAGAGAAAGAAAAGAAGCTCACCATGCCACACCCCTTTTCCCCGTCCAAGATGCTGCCCATGCCGTGCATGCCATGTAACGACTCTCCTTTCATAAAAGACTGAAACATGCACCCGCTTCCTGCACCTGCAAGGCTGCATCCAATCGTGCAAGACCGAATGTGGAAGTATATATGTATAAGATTCCCGTTCAGCCTGCTCCCGAACCGGCTGTACATGTGTAAATGCAATGCAAGGACGGGGATTACGTCGCGCGAAGGTACATATGTACTCGAACACCCGGCCAAGATGGCCTCCATACGTACATCAACTGGTTTTACATAGATATGGAGATCTTCTTACGTCTACACGTTATACATCTTCTTTGCTGGGTGTGTATATCGTCATTCTTCTTGTTCCCTCCTTGGCTCCTGGGCTTTATGGAGAGCTTCAGGGGCCGCTTTTTAGCCCAAATTCGCCCAAATTCGCCGACACTTTCGTCTGGAGGTCGACGTCCGAGGTCACCCGCTCCGTATAACGCTCTACTTCATGCTTAGCCCTTATGAAGTAGCTCTATATATGGAGTACAGGTGCGTCGACAGGTACCTTATGGAAAAGCGGAGGCGAGGCGACTCTCAGATCAACGGGAAGCGGGCGACGGTTGAACTGGCCTGAAGCTAGCCAGTATAGGGAGGAGAAAGTACCAATGTTTGCGCGGATGCAGACGAGTTCGATCCATCGCGAGATCGATTGAGGCCTTGCGTTTGCAAGGGTATCAAGCCTGAACGTCTATCTACAGGCACGTCACTCCCGTACTTCAATTTGGCCGTGCAGGCCTCAGGCGATATCCATATTGCATCACAGTTAGGGCCCCCCATGTTGCAAAATGGAAGGTCGAATCTTCCACCTTGACCGTTTAAGGAGGTGGGCAAGGACACACAAGATATATAATGCCTATATGGTGAACCTGGCGTCACATCCATAGCTATCTTATTATACTCCTGGCTATAGCGTCCCGTCGAGGCCTGAGGACAAGGAGGTAATCGGGAATTCAGCGAATCGTATATTTCATCGCCCCCTGGCCATATGTTGGCTGGTATGGGCTGTTGGCCAGGTTGTTTTTTGCGACTTTCTCGTACAGCA